CGTTCATATCCACTGGCGTCTGCATCTGGTTCATGGGACTGGCGGTATTGCTCATATTCTGCTGTATCGACAGAGATGAAAAGTCGAAGTTATTGATGCCGGAGTCAAGTGTTTGGTCTCCTAGTCCACCCCCAAACTCGTCCTCCTCCCCCAGCATCGGAATTTCTTCGTCGAACCCACCGTCCATGTCGTCGTAATCGTCCATGCCGTACTCTTCATACTCGTCCTCGACGGAGTTGGTAGAAATGCGCGCCTGCTTCTTCTCCGCCTCTTTCGCTTTGTGTCGCTCCTCGAGTAGCTTCTCTTGCGCAGAATCTGTCTGACCGGAAATCTGGAAGCTGAATCTAGATGCTCGACTGCTGAAATGCGCGGGTAGCCCGGCTGGCTGAAACGACGGGTCGGAGACGGAGGTGGCTCTCGAGCGTGCGGGCGGTGGTGGCGACTTTGTCGACTTTCTTTTCCGCGGGGTAACATCTGTAGACACGTCCAGCGGATTCTCTGACTCTTGTACGGGCGATAAGACTGAAGAGCCGCTGTCGAATCCTTGGAACGACGGTCGAGGTAGTGGGGACGTTTGTGGTGGAGGCAATGGGGACGACTGCGGTGGAGGCGGCGGCGGCGGCGAGTTCTTGGGTTGCGGCGGGGGAGGTGCTGAGCGCTCAGGCGGAGGAAATTGTACGGAGTTTCTTGCGAGGAAGTCCTTGTTCACCAGTTGCTCTGCTCGTATAGCAGCTTGCGACTGCTCGTAGCTGGTGTCGTCGTCAAAGTGCTCACGGAACACTGGTGTATGCTCTTTGTCTATCTTTGGCGGGCTGGCACGACCAATCTCCTGCTGTCCTTCCCCTCCTTCTGCCGCAGTGTTGTATGAGTAGCCTCTGTTCAGTCTCGGCGCATTGAAGTCATGTACGATCTTTCCGCGGATGCTGGGGTCGTAGTTATCGGGCATGGGGGGAACATTCGAGGGCGAGCGTTGGGTAACGAGCGATTCATCGGCGAGAGGATCCAGAGTCTGTCCAGACCTGCGTCGCATGAGGAGCGACATGGGGTTGCGCAGGGTCAGTCTCGATTTTGACTTGCTGGGGGCTGCCGTTGGGGTTGAAGTGCCCTTGGAACTGCCCGTGAGCTTGTCGCTGATGCCACTCAGCAGCGACGTCTGCGACTTGGAGAAGTTGGAATAGCTGGGAGAGATGACAGAGGGCGCCAGGTGGGAGGATGACTGGGGAGGCGTCTCAGACGACGGGACGGCTTCTGTCCTCTGTGGCAAGGGAGAGCCTCCACTATGTGAGCGCGCAGAGAGGGGCTTATTCTCATGGGCGGGGGAGAAGTGGTCCTGTGTCCTCTGGGGCGGGGAGAGCAAGCTGCGATCCTGCGCCATCTTACTGCTGCTCCCCCCAGTACTCCCCGAATGCTGACTGGCGGTATATTGGGAGCTATTAGGCGAAGCCGCCTTGTCCAGCTTGGAGGCGACGCGTGCAATAGGCGGCAGTTGGGGCGGATAGGGCGATATGGGCGAGCCGGAAGTATAGCTGGCATTGTCGTTGAAGCGCGGCGAGGACAAGTACTCGGTGGTCTGCGACGGCGAGGGCAGAGGAGGTGCGGCGGGACTGGGGCTGGGGACGGGCTCGGGCGAGGCGAGACTCGAGGCATTGCGCTTCGCATGGCCGGGCCTGAGCTTGGAGAACATTGAAGTCCCGGACGGCGCCATGGTTGTGTTTCGTGTCGCCGCGCGGCCGCTGTCGCGCTGCTTCTAGCACGCAGAGTCGATGCCGGGCGGCGCTGGTTCGGGCGGTTGTCGTGCCTCTCAGCGAGGCCATGCACCGAAGCGCACCATGACCGGGTGGGGAGAAGCGTGCGGCGGCGTCGTTGGGGCGATGGGCCGCTGATTGGAAAAGTTGGTGATGGGATTCCGGCGTAGTACAGCCTCGGAATGCTAGCGGGCGAGGTGCGACGACGTCAATTGCGGCTTCGCGGTAGCAGAGCAGGGCAGCCAAGTGCCGAGTGTCGTGGCCGTCTCGTGTAGCCTGTGGGAAGGGCGCGTCGTTGTCGTCGTACTGCTCAGGCGTGGCTGCCCGTGAATGCTGATGCGACCTCCTCTCCCAACACCAAGGTTCATGCGACACACCCGCTAGCAGGGGTCTTCCCGCACCACTCCCTCCCCACCGCGACAACTGGAACGCTCTTGCAACGGCTTCGCGTAAACTTTCTGAACCCGCGCGAGCTCGGTCCCACACAGGTGCTATGCGCTGATCCAGCAAAAGGGCGCATGAGGCCGCTTCACTGCAAAGTCGATGATTGACAATCAGACGCTGATGACGTTGGAGCTCCTTCATACTACAAACCCCACTATAGGCCTAGACGAGCGATAAGACCATGGCATGACATGTGCTTTTTTATTCAACATTCATGTGAAGATGCATTAGAGCCGATTCTACCCTCTCAACATCTCACTAAGCAGGCCTCTTGCCGCCCCTCGACATCTTTGGCCTTCCCAGCTTCCCAACATTCCGCTTCCTCACTTCTGCCCGCTTCGCGACTTCCTCACCAGCCGCCCAGGTAGGCTCCGGGTCTGGTCCGTTGAGCGCCGTGTTGTATGTTGCATTCGCAGGTGTCACCTCGAACTGGATCGTGGCATTACCCTCTCTGTAGTCACTCGTGGGTGTGCCCACACTCAGGTAACCGTCGTCGCACTTCTCCTTACCACTCGCGATATCGACTTGCTTCAGCGCGCGCTCAAAGATCTCAAGGGACGCGAGAGGTTGGTAGAAAGGTACCTCGTGGCCAGACTCGTAGATGCGGAGGAAGGAGAAAAGTCCCGCCTGCTTGACTTGGCCATGAACGATGCCGTCGCTAGTAGTAATGTTGGTGAATCCAGCCTCAGAGTAGCCGGTTGCATTGATCATGTCTGCGACGACCTGACCACCGAGCCAGTTGCAGTTGAAATCGCTGGGAGTTGTTAGCAAGATATCATTACGAAGAGCCCAAGATACTCACGCATCACCGTAGTACAGCATAACCTGAACGCCAGCATCGAGCAGTTTCTGACAAGCAGCAATCGTACCCGATGGGCGATCGTCATCACCCGTGTTGCCGAATGCCGCAGAGACCGTGCTAGCACTCTGGGAGAAGTTCTGGAACGCGCCAATCGCTTGCTGCACCTCCGGTAGGTTCAGATAATCACTGTAGTAGTCATAGGGGAACGGGTCCGGCGTCAGGAACCTCATGTCGTACTCGTCGCGTCCGCTGTAGATGTCGTAGAGGTTTTCGACCTTGGAGTAGCAGAAGTCATCTGCGGCGGCACAGACCGAGTTGATCCCAGTCTCGTAGCATTGCTTAGTCCGGTCTACGCAGTTTCCAGGGCCGTAGAGGTTGTTGTACCACTCAGCCTTGACCGTGTCGTTGTACGGATCGTAGTCGTAGGTGTTGCCAGGGAAGACGGTATAGTTGTAGTAGGCTTGGTACTGGACAAGCGGATCGAACCATCCGTTACCGATCAACACATTCTCGAGCTCGATCTTGTGTGCGCCGGTAATGTTCTTCGCGTTCTGGTCGAGGAAGTAGGCGTTGAAGACGGGCGCGTAGTGGCCGCCGTAGCTCTCGGTGGTGAAGCTGAAGCCGTTGCGCGAGTACTGGGGGAAGGCACCCATGAATCCTTGTAGCGTCTTCCACATATTCGGCGCCGCGCCCTCTGTGCTGTTGGCGGTCAAGGTATGGTCGGGCTTGGAGTATGTGCCGCATGTTCCATAGTTCTGAGCGTAGTCTGGACAGGTCGCGTTCGGCAGCTGGATGATCGTGCTGCCGTCCTTGTAGCCGGGGATAGGAATCGAATACGAGAAACCGACGTCCGTTGGCTGATCGATGAAGAGCATGTTGCTTGCATTCGTCCACGAGTACGGGTTGTTGAACGGCTTCATGTCTGGGCCAATACCACATGGTCCCAATTCCTGGAAAAGACCGATCATGGAGCTCGAGCCTGGGCCTCCATTGATCCACTGAAACAATGTCAGTATGATTCCATCATGTTGGGAAGATGATGTTGGGAAGGAGCTCGTGGTATCTCAAATCATGCTCCGAAAGTCGTCTGAACTTACCACTGTCAACGGCGCATCAGTCGGATCCTGATTGCGCGCCTCAAAGAACCACCAAAAGATATGCTGATCCTCCGCCACATCCGCGTAACCGCTGTAGCTCTTCACGCTGGGGTCGAGCTCACAGATGCCAGCAGGTACCTCCTTGTACCGTACACTGACATTCGCATAACCCTCTTTAGTAATAAGATCCTTCGGCGCAGGAACAAACTGCGCAAGGGTACCAGCAGCCAACAAAGGCGCGGCGAGAAGCTTGCCTGTCGCGCTCTTCATCGTTAATGTCGGTTTCGTTGCAAGTCTTCGAGGCGACGAGCTGATCCGATTCAATGGCTGTGAGTTGGGAAGAGCGAAGGTAAGCAGAGAAAGAGCAGCATGACGAGCAACTGCTTCTTTTTATTCTAGAAGCTTATGTAGGTCCGAACTAGAAAGGCCCGCAGTCGCGATAGCCACATGCTCTCACCTTCCCATCCAGGCTAACGAGTTGCTCATCTCGGTCCCGTAGGCCGGGGTTGTAGCTATCCTCGTAGCCTGTTGCTCGTACCGGCGACGTCATGGTGTAGCTCGGTACTTGCGGTTTGTTATTCGCGACGCGCGAAACATGTTTGAAGAATGCCTTCGAAGTAGGTTCATCGCTGAAGTTATACGTGAAATGATTGTTTTCAGGCAACCTATACATACAAAGTCCAACTCGGGCGAACAGAGACCATGAATTGACCGAAGCTCGTCAATTGAGTAAGAAGCCGCGGAAAGCTACCCCGCTATTCAACCCAAGCGTGCATTGGCAAGAGCTTGTGCAAGCTTGCATGGCTTGATAGCGGTCATGGCGATAGTGGCAGCCGATCTAATCCTCTACGGGCAGGTAGTTAGCACCGACTATCCGAACACCCACCGTCAGCCTTCATTTCTTCGGCGCCGCGTCATAAGTCATTTCGGTGTAATCATCGTACAAGACGGCTTAAACTTCCACGATAAAGGAGACATCACGCCACGCAAGTCGAAATCTTTGTTCAGAACATATCTCATTGGGCTCATGCCATTACAATCGTTGTGTATTCGTATCCGTCACTTCGTATGCAATCGTCAAGTCCTCCAACGCCTCTTACTCCATGTCATGCTGGGATGCAATTGAAGTAGACGCTCATCTACAATACTGTACCGAAACCGAAGGTCGTCTTGATACTTCGGACGTAGTACTGGTCCCAGTTGGTCTTAGTGGGCTCCTCCTGACCAACTGGTACGCCCTTCCACTCGACCCTCATAACCGTCACGGCATCAACATCGTTTTGATCAAACCATATCGACAGTGTCGAGTAGTGTCCCGCAGGCCATTGTGCAAGTCGCCATTTCTGGACGATGTGTGTGGGTTCTTGGAGCTCGGTGAACTCTCCACTGACGTTTCCGCCGAAGAGCTCAAAGGTACCGCCAGGCTTTGCGCCTGTGAAATTCTTCGGGGGTGCCCGAGTGAACGCAGCGATGCGCTGGGGGTCCGTGAAGGTCTGGTAGAGGTTGGCCGCATCTGTGCGGAACTCTGTGCTGTCGGTGATGGTGGTCACATTGACGACTGCACCAGAGCTGCTCTTTTGAGAGCCGGATGCCTCCGTCTGCGAAGTGGACTTGTTCACACTTGAGCTCGAATATACCTTTGGGGCCGAGAAGCCGCTACCAGGGTTCGCGCCTGGCGCATGCTGGATATCCTTTCCGTGTTCCGCCATGACCGCTGGTGCAAGCCCTGTGAAGCTTGTACGCAGTTGCGGTAGGATCTTGGATCGTACTAGGTCCTTTACAGGTTGTTTGCTGGCTTCATCAGAGTAGACGTCTACCTCAAACTGTGACAGGTTGTTAGTGACTGTGTACACTGGCGGGTGCGGAGAAACGAAGGAAGGTGCCAGCGAAGGGAACATACGACATACTCGTCTTCCTCCGTGTCGTGAGCGACTTCCGGGACGGTAATGGTGCCGCTGGCCTCCTCGCCCTCTTTGTTCTTGCCTGCCGACCGAGTCAGCGCGATCAAGAAAGGCAGCTGAGAAAGGACGTACCTGAGTATTCGAGCTTCAGTTTCACGTCAAAGATGGTGATAACTTTGCCTTTGCGCTGACTGACGTCTACGTCTCCATCCATGCTAACGACCTTATCGATCTTTGCTGTGACGCCATCTTGCTCCGCCGATATTTGCGTAAGCTCCTTGTCAAGGTACTCGCGCGTCCATCCTGATACATCCTTGTTGACCCAATGCCAGTTGTTCGGGTTGTGGAGGACCATGGCGATGTTCGGCGGCGCGCTCGATCTGGTTCTATCTCTGTAAGGAAGTTGTTAGCTTCGGCCTCTCATACTATGTAGAAGTACACGTGTAGTGGGAGATTGTCAGAAGGCGACTCGAAAGTCTAAGCAGCTGATCCGCATATAAAGAGTACAAGTCTTCTCAGACTGGTGCCAGCTTGTGTCTCATCATTCAAGGGTTGGTAAAGGATGGTGAATACTTACAAATTATAGCGCTCAAGCTGGAACAGAACTATACAAGCGACAAACCAAGACGCAGGTGCAGAATATTGAAGGAGTCGAGATGTTGATGCGAATTATGTAGAGGGGAGCTCGAGGCAGAAGTTTCTGGAACTGATACCACAAAGCGCGCTATGCCCGGGCCGACCGAATCTCCGCTCGCGTTCCTTGGCCCGAGCTCCCTGCAGCATCGGCAGCAACGTCTACGGGTCGATGCATGCTGCTGGTCACAATGCTTTCACTCACTCTCAAACCCCTTCACGAGAGAACGCACTCAACAGCTCGCAAGTAACGGGTTCAACTTCATTAGGAAGTAGTCACTTTCAACATTGAACAAACTTTCGGGGCTTCACTACCGGCGGACTTGATCCGAACTTGAAGAAAGTGAAGAAAGTGAAGAAAATAGAAGAGTAGTCGAATGGAGTGTGGAAAGGGTAGTAAGATGGGAGGTGTATATCTAGGGTTTGCTTTCATGCGTACGTTTGGTTCAGGTATGATACCCACGATGGGCGGTAGGCCCGCGAAAATGAAGTTTGGTTTTGTCGTGCGATACTTTTCCGATGTATGTGTATCTACGTAGGCTTTCGAACATGAGTTCGCCACACTATGATAGATATTGTTGGATGATTAGACTGTCGCATAACTCCTGCAGGGAACAACGGAAGGATATCTCTCAGAAGTATACATTACCTTTGAAACCTTGCTAACCATTATCTTCATACTAATGTAGACTGCAACGTACATATTCGGTTTCTTATTTGTATGCTTTACCGAGATGATTGGTGTACTCTATCCCATATACATGATAAATGATCAGCAACATTGGTTTCCGGTAAGGCCACGTAGTGTACACATAAACGCTATGCCGAACAGGTGGTCATACATATCACTTGACATTACCCGAGGTGATTAGGCGAACGCTTCTAAAGACACGAGAACAATAATCGCCCTAGATGTAGAGGAAAGAACTTAAATTAAAGATTATGAAAAAGGTATTGAGGTATTGACTGCCGCTTTTACGGGACTAGGAGCAATCCAGAGCCTGTCGAGCGTTGTGGCGTCTCTCTAGAGGAACATGATGTGTAAGGCGGGTAGCTTTTCCATGGTTGTTTGCCTTTGCGGGTGCTTCCAAGAAAGAGGTCTTTGAAGTCGACACTGATACTGTGATAGTGTGGCTTCGCGCTATCATTGAAGAGGTGGGCAAGATGTTCGACTTGAGCGTCCGACAACTGCGGGTCTGCACTGAAGAGCCTTCCGTCCGTACATCTTGTCGCCAAAAAATCCGTCCAGACGCCTACATTCGCGTCGTGGCGACCTGAAAGGCACTGATACTAGGATGGTAGCTGCCAGGGCGTGGTCTGGGATAACGCTGAGTCGACACAGTAAGAGTACAAGGCGAGGCGGTTGGCGAGTGTCAGCGAGCTCGCCGCCTCTGCCAGCCTGCCGCGCAGCGGCGCCCCCCATTAACATGGCCCCTGCACTAAGGATGACACGCTCAATCAAAGAGAAGCTACCATTTTTTTGCTCTTGATCTGGCGCCGGAGTAGACGGTATATCTCGAAGAGATTTACATTCCAATACGTTCTGATGTACATGTCAAAAAATGTGAAGTGCAAAAGAAGTGGTGTTCTAAGCGTTGTTGCGAGTGAAGAAGGGTTGCGCGGCAAAAGAGAGCGCAAAAAGAAGCGCAGTAGCGAGACTCGAACTCAAGACCTGCGTACCAACTTCGACGCAGGAGTCAGACTAAAGAGCAAAAAAATGGTAGCTTCTCTTTGATTGAGCGTGTCATCCTTAGTGCAGGGGCCATGCTAATCTTCTCTGTATCGTTTCAAATTGACCAAATGCCCGAAGGCGAAGGAGTGGGAAACAAAGATGTATATAAAGTGCATGCATTGATGCTGCTGCGCCCGAGCGCGTGAAAAACCTGGATCTGGCTCAGTGGCGGTCCAGAACACCAAAACTTGGAAGTGGATCAAGCTCGAACCACTAAAGCTCTCAGAAATCATCGGGTGACCTGTGCGTCTCGAGACGCTGCAATAATGGCTATCATAGGCGGGGCTTCGCCCGCCGTGATAGTCATAGTCGGTACTGCAACAATTCGCTGTCGCTATGTCACAACAGCCTATACGACACTCAGAATATATTCACCATCTCTTTCTCCGTCCAACGCGTGGTAGGCAGGTTGACGTATACGTTTGGCGACGACGATTCGTCATTTCTGGAGCGCGTTTGTCGTTTGTCGTTTGCATAGTTGTCTTGACGGTAACATTGACATATGTACCTCGCGCATGGTAACTGGACCTGTCGCACATACGTTTAGCAATGTTCAATGTCGCGAGATATCTCTATACTCTTTGCAGTATCTCTTGTCGTTCCTGAAATTTGCTGTCAACTCTCTGCATACTTTGATCAAGTACCTGTGTAGTTACAACCAAAGGATATCAGTCCGCGACATGTACGGAAAACAACTTGACGCCTTCATATACAATGCAAATCAGTTCAAGAGTAGCAGTATTTGCGCCAGCATCACGAATAGTGAATGGAGTCGAGCGAGAAAATTGGGCAAGTGGAACTGACTGTGATGTTTACCCCTCCACCCCACTTACACTTCGCGAGGCTGCACATGGGTAAGGAGCGCTCTAGTGTCGTTGTTATAGTGGCGACATCCAAACGTTGTCTTATGCATACATCTATATTTGAAGACGTGCACATTTCAATACCAGAATGCAGGGCAAGTGGTCAATTTGGAACAATACCGCGCAGATTCATAGGGCCTGTGTCCAAGGTGAAGCGCACGCATTCTCTAGGACCAAAAAGATGTCCAGAGAGGAGACAAGGGTATCATTGCTATACATATCTACTCCTCCAACAAGTCCATCACTAACTGCGGAATAACCTGCACACCTTCTCCTTGCATCGCACTAATCGGCACAGTCTGTACGTTGCGGCGCCATGCATGCTTGCGGTTACTAGGATGGGGTTGTGCGCCTTTGCTCACCTCCTCTAGATACGCGCGAAGAGCCTCAAAGTTGGCCTGCGTATCCGGCAAATCCGCTTTCGTCGCGACAACAAACCACGGCTTCGACGAGATTGGTGTTGTGCTCAGGAAGGGAAGAGGCTTCGGTGAAGGATCCAAATGCGGTGAGTCGAGGAGGTCGGATGCGTCGCTCGGTGGTGCTCTACCAGCGGGTGTGTATGTGACCATCCTGCGCTCGGTCTCGGCGTTGAGTTCCTTTCCGCGCAGTGTTTCGTACTCGGACACTTCGCGCCAGAGTAGCTTGAGCGCTGCGACGGCATCACCGGCGGAGAGGTCGATGACGAAAGCGAGCACTGCGGCGCGTTCAATGTGTCGCAGGAAGCCTAGTCCAAGCCCTTTGTCTAGATGCGCATCTTCGATCAGGCCCGGCACATCGGCAATAGTAAAGTTTTCTCGCAGCTCTCCATTTGGTCTGCGTGACCTAACAAGTGGTCGCCCCTTGTGATCGTCCAGAACAACAGTGCCAACATTTGGCTGTAGGGTCGTAAAGGCCCAGTTGCCGACTCGTGCACGGCTGTTGCTCAAGGCCCGGAGGAGCGTACTCTTTCCAGCGTTGGGCAGCCCTACCAGTCCCAGATCCGCAAGAATCTTCAGTTCTAATTGTAGGGATATCTTCAGGCCTTCGTCCCCGCGCGTAGCCATCTTCGGCCTGTTGTTGAACGGCGTCATAAAGTGCGGGTTACCCAGGCCACCCATCGCTCCGGCTGCGATCAGCAAAGGCGTCTCCATGTGCTTGTCCAAGTCCAGCCACATGGGCGCTTCCGGCTCGAGGGCTGCGAGATGCGATCTTCGTGGCGGAGGAAGTTTGGGGAACTTGATCCTGTTCAGCTCTGCGGGTACAGTTCCGGGGTAAACCAGCCATCGGTCTCTCCTATAGCTGGGTTGTCCCTCCTCCAACTCCTCCTCCTCTGTTGCCTGCTCCATCTTCCAGTGCTCCTCCTCCATGATTGCCACCGGATCGTGTCTTTGTAGCTCGCGCACGATAGTCCCCACAGGCACCGTGATCAAGACGTCGGTCCCCCGCTCGCCACCTTTGACCTTGCCCTGTCCATTGCGCCCTCTACCAGCCTTGATCTGTCGCCGTCGTGCAAGCTTATGTAATGATGTCTCGCCTCGGACTGCTTGGATGTAGACATTTCCTCCACTGCCACCGTCGCCGCCATTTGCAGGCCCTTCTTCAATGTATTTTTCGCGCAAGAAAGAGACGCAGCCGTGGCCGCCGCCACCAGCTTCAACGGTAAGAATGCATCGGTCGGCAAAAGGCGTGAGGGAATAGTCGTCCGCCGTGGGATCTAATCGCGAAGACTGAGCGTTCGCATTCGCATCGGACTGCTCAGCAGACGTGGAGTTGCATCTGAGCTGTAGCGAGAAGCGTTTGCGTAATGGACATCTGCGCGCTGCCGAGGCAAGTGGCACGTGGAGGAACGCGGGATACAGAAACGGCGTCAGCGTACCGCTCAGACTATGCGGACGAGCGAACGACATGCGTTGGTTGCGAAAGTGGCGTCGTTAGGAAGATACGTTCAATCCTGTATATTTCAATCGTCAATATCGCGTCGCGGGACTAGCGAATGGCGGCTCCAGTTCCGATCGATGATCTACAACGCTTGTCCGGGCTAGTCCTACATGCCTCGGTACCCAGCAAACCTCAAAAGTACATATGACTTCTAAGGCATTTACTTCTGCCTAGGACAGGCGTTCAATCGTTTGCCTATCTTTTGTCCTCTCTTGGAAGCCCCCGAAGTTCGTATCAGTACCTGCATAGTACCTGCCTCGACCCCCATCAGCCCCCATTTTCAATAAACGCTTACGCCCCATCTACTCGCCCCATCATGATCCGGTGTGCCTTGCTCACACTGGCAGCCGTGCTACTCAGAGTTGCCAAACCCGAGTACTTCAGACTTGGTGGGAAACTCGGTCTCTCCAGCAGTCAGCTTGTAACCCTCCATTACTACCTCAAGTGGGCGTTGCCGATATGGGCCCTTGTAGACTTCAACTCGGTGCTCAATCGCTTTGCCGAAAGGCGATGGATCTGGAGGACCGACAAGTCTATTTGGGATTGGAAGAATGAAGTCGCTGTAGTCACGGGTGGTTCGGCGGGTATAGGAGGTTGCGTGGTCAAGAAGCTCACATCTCATGGCATCAGGGTCGCTGTGCTCGACGTTAGCCCCCTGTCAGAAATCTTTACCAAAGGTCCGTTGCGGCACAGGATCCTTGTGTTTCAAACTAATGATATTAGATGAGCTTGCTCTCGTACGATACTACAAGTGTGACATCACATCGCGAGACAACATCCATCAGGCGGCGGAAGCCATACGTTCCGACTTGGGCTCACCATCCATACTAATCAACAATGCTGGCATCGGTAACGCGTGGACTGTAAAAGACATCCCCCAAGCCAACCTCAACAGAATGTTCGACATCAATCTTCTGAGTCACTGGAGCACCGTCCAAGAGTTTCTGCCAGACATGCTTGCTAAGAAAAAGGGCCACATCATGGGCGTCGCAAGTCTTGCTTCCTTCGTTGCACTCGCCGGTGCCGTAGACTATAGCGCCACCAAGGCGGCGCTCCTAGCTTTCCACGAAGGATTAACGCAAGAGATTAAGCATCGCTACAAGTGTCCAACGATCCAGACCTCCATGGTCCATCCCAACTGGACCAAGTCAGCAATCACCTCACATGAGGCGATTGCGGCGGGGCTGAAAAGTGTTCGCGCAAACATCCTGGAGCCTGAAGATGTAGCCGAGGCCATGGTCAACCAGATAGTCTCAGTCAAGAGTGGGCAACTGATTCTTGGCCCAGCGATTACTCCCATTATCCGAGCACTGCCTCTTTGGATAGGGGAGCTTATTCGAGATAGCCAAGCCAAGGTCGTCACCGGCGATGGCTCCACTGGTGCATGAACGATTCCCTCGACACGGTGATGACAGGGAAGAGCGGCACTTCCTACGGGCGGTACGGAGCGTACCCGTTCCAGCCGCCTGGGGCCAGCAGCGTCAGTGAGAACTGCATGTTCCAACCAGACACGCCCCGCCGCAATTTCGAGAGGCTTGTTGGAATTTTAGCGCGAAGCCGAATCAGCGGCACAGGCACTGTCGAGGTCGTAGAGGTTGGAGAGGGCTGCGCCACGTCAATATCGGGGTCGGCAGTCAGCAGGGCTTCTTCTGTCAATTTAGCGAAGTCAATAGAAGGTATTTTGCGCAGCACATCATGGGTAATGCGACCAAATTGCCACTTCTGACAACTGTTATAAACGATCGGGCGGCTGATGCACAATATGCGAACGATCGAGCGCCACAGCCGGATTCTGAGCTAATCATAGGTGCTGCAGTAAGTATTCTCGGGGTTGTATGCAAGGTGTGGTCGACTCAGCCCCAGTTCCTACAGCACCCATGCAAGGTACATCGCGCCTAACCCAGCTCGGTCCGAACAAAGTGCAACCGTACGAAGGACCACGGCCTTTGGGCAAGAGGCGCGGGATTCAATAGTTATAGGTCGCCTCTTTGTTGTCTGTTTCATCATCTCCGGGTATCTGCCGTGCTGCCTCCGCCTCGTTGTTGTTACTCTGCTTTGCTTTCCTCTAGTCATTCGTTTCAGATCTCGTGAGCATGCAATGGGTTGGTTCGAGGGTGTTCTGTTCGCTTGTTGCACTGCATCTTTGGTAGTTGCAAGTGATGTTGAATCAGGTTCAAAGAGTAAGTGGAGCGCTGATAGATGACTGCACTTACTTATGTTACGCAGCTGCAAGCCTCTCTAATACACATCTCACGAACGAAAGATCTCCTATAATTCCACGGCGCGATTTGCACTTTCGCAATGACACGAGTACATCAGAGATAATTCCAAAAACCCTAAGCACATCAGATACATCGACGCTCTACACTTCTACAACAGTGGACTCTATTACGACGTCGAAGTCCGAGATCAACGCGCCGACGAGAGCCACTGTCCAGACGACCAGCTCTTCTCGCAGATTAAATCCAACGAAACAATACTCAGATAGAACAACGAGCCCATATAGTAGTGGAAGTAGTAGCGCGCCTGCTACATCTTCTGCTGCGGACGAGCCGGCAGCGACATCCCTTGTCATCACAGGAACGCAGCGGCTATCTGCACCATCATTGATCTCTTTGATCGATCAAATACAAACACCGATACCTGCTCAAGCATTTTCGATTACATCAGAAGCTTCTTCTTCTACGCGCGCATCATCCACAGTTCAGGTCCTTCCGGTCACTTCAGATGTCAAGTCGACCACGAGCATATCCACCCCGTCTGCAACATGGGTCATCGCGGACTCATCACGAGCGTCAAGCATTCTTCTGCCTGTCAGCACGTACTCAGCGATCATTTCCCCTCCGGCTGTATCAAGCCTGATGATACTTCCTTCACAGACCTCGCAGCCTCTATCTTCGACTTCTACGGTCGATGCTACTGCGATCACTTCGAGCAAACTTCTTTCTTCGATCTCTTCAAAGGGTGGAGCGACCAGTGAGCCCACAAAGGCTACAGAACTACTCGAATATTCTGTGTCTAGCCTTGCTAGCTGGGTGGCTTCAAGCTCCGCTCCGGCGGTCATTGGAGGCAGCAGTCTCGCATCTCTTTCGTCCACAGACGCGGCCACACCAACCAGTGTCGCATCTCAACCAGCACGATCGTCTGCTTCAACAGGATATGCCAATCTGCCATCGGGTCAGGGCAATGCATTATCTAACACGTCGGCAGCAACACTCTCCGCGTCAGCCCATCTCGAAAGCAGTGTAATCAGTTCTTCATCAACCCCGACTCTCGCCAGTGGTTCACTCCCTCTGGCGAGCATTACTTCTACAACAGCATCCTTGGCAGCTTCTATGAGCTCAGTGATCGTGGGCATACCACCAAGCTCTGCTCAGCCTAGCGTAACAACAAACGAGGCTCCTGCAACGAATGTGACCGCATCTGTCCAATCTAGCAGCTCTCGGATCGATAGCTCGACTTCGGGCGGCAGCGTTACCATTCCTGCATCCTCCAAGCTCGAAGACACTACTTCTCGAACCACAATTCGGCCGCAACCCATACCCATCAATCCAATTAACGGCAACATGACAAGGCCAGCAAGCTCAATTGCTACGACGTCAGCGCGGACAACTGAGTCGATATCTCTGTCGGCACCAGGAAACGGCACCGTCTCCTCCTCCTTGGCTTTCGCAACTACATACTCAGCGGCAAGCAGCCTCTCTAGTACTGCTATGATTTCGTCATCTTTCGGCTTATCTGGCTCTTTCACACAAACCTTCATCGTGTCTACGACTAGTCAGACCCTGAGCACTGCCACATCCAGTCAGGCGGCGCAGATCTCAGACGCACCGCTTTGGTTGAGCGACACAACCACTGTACGATCAACCCCCGCTTTAGGAATCTCTGCGTCATCCTCCGTTAACATGGGGCTTTTACCGTTTCCACTTGAACCTCCGCTTCAAACGGCCCCTACTGGGTGGACGAACAGCTCAACTTCCAGCGCCACTGGCGGAACTCCCACTTCCAGCCCACCATTGTTTACGGCTAGTATTGTCATCAGCTCCCAAGAGACCGGATCAGGTACCTTGCGCGACATGTTTACATTGAGTCCTCTCTTATCTACCGCCACATCCGCTATTCTCTCTATTCCTACGTCGCTCAGCGGCTTCATAACCAAGACGAAGACGAGGACTGAGAGCTCGGTACTTAGCTCGAGTATAAGTTCGATGTCTACAAACATCTACGACACTACCCTGAGGACCCGAACTTTGACCAACGCGCCCACCAGCAGTGCTACCGAGACAGTGGCCGCCGCAGCTCCACCCTCAAAGCCACTTACCCCAGAGGAGACTGCCGGGGTTGCTATAGGAAGCACTGCTGGGATCCTACTTGCTATAGTCGCCGCGATCTTCGTCGCTCGTCGCTACCACGCCATTCATGCGGCAAAGCGTGGAAGCGGTAACTCGTCGGGTATCTACCCAAAGAGGCGTACTTGTACGATCCTTCACTTGGCGGGAACGGTGGCAGTGGCAGTGCGTCCCATGACGCACTCATCTTCATGTCTGGTGGAGCAAGTGGCTTGCCTTCCACTGGAAGCAGAACACCGCCTCGTGTGCCGAAGAACTCTCGGGAGTACGATCCTCGCAGTTGGTTTAACATTGATGGGCAGAACTACAGTGACCCAGGTAATCCATTTGCAGATCCTGAAGACCCCTTCATGGACTGGAGAAGTAGTGATGCAATTGCCTCGCCCAGTGAAACTGGGTCTGCTCTTGCTGCGGCGGCGGAAAAGTATGCCGCAGGTCCGCAAAGACCTCTTCCTCCTGTACCGGCGTCTCTGACACCACTCTTTGGCGACCACCACATTCCTTCGCCAACTCTAAGTCCAATCATGAATGGTTGCAGCTTGAAACGTAGTCATTCAGTATCGTCGAGACGAAGCAGTGTCAGGAGCCAAAGGTCATTGAGGAGCTTTCGTGGCTGTCCTTCGCCAGACTCCGAATCGAGGAACGTCCCACCAATATCTCCTTCCTGGCGTCGGGCGAGCAAGATCCTAGCATCTATTAGAGAGGGACACGCCGACGATCCTCTTCCGGATCCAATCGAACATGACCTTCTTCTGCCAGTCGATGTAAGATCGGAAACGCCAGATTCAGTGATGGTATATGCACCAGCACCTATAAGCAGAGCACCGTTGCGACCAAATCTACCTACAATACTGTCAGAAGACGAAACGTCCATGGCTTCACTACCAAGCATAGCAGCCGCAAAGTCACTATCAGCTACACAACCTCGATCAACTGGTAGCATCCTCTTCTCCACATACAAAGACGACCAATACGCCTACACGCCACTCACGCCCAACAACATCCCATCACCACCACATTCCGAACGAGCAGATAGCGAGAAAACAATAACCCAGTCCACATACTTCGTCCAGCCATCATCTCCAACCCCAACAATCACCTCCGTGCCTCGGAACAAAGGCTGGGAAGAGATAAAACGCACTTCAAAACGGTTCATCCAGTCTCATGTCATCACGTCCGCCAACACCACCTTGGCATCAATTCACTCCACCACGACCAAATCTCACCCCTCCGCCTCCTCTCAAGAAACGATCGCTGATTCAACTCCGCCGCAAGACACCCTTGGCTGGCCACGGTCAACTCATGGTTCCGCCTCACAAGACGTACTCCTCTCCTACTTCGTCGCCTTTGACGGTGAAGACGAACTTCATTGTCAATTCGAACAAGAGTTTTGAGGGACCGAGAATGAGTCTTCTTGCCAAAGTGAATAGCATGAGCGACATGAGAGACGAGACAGCGAGTCCGAAGAAGCATAAGAAAGGCATTGGACTTGGGATTGGATATCGCGATTCTATCTTGTGGAGGGTAGAGGGGGTCTCGAGATGGTGTCCTGAAGATGTGGGGACGAAGTTTTGAGCTTTTCCTTTTGGCTTTGGCCACGGTTTTGCATGCAGTATATCTCCTTGAAGTCTTCGTCGCCTGTCGATATATTCCGGGCGACAGCTGTATCTTCCAAGTTTCAGTACAATGGGCTGTCATTATGATTACGCCCGATGTCGAACGAAGCGTTCCACCACGCATCCCATGCGTCTTACACTTCCAACGGTCTTACTGGGGCGTCTTTCTTGAAGCTCTATATACATTAGATCATGTCACTTTGCACTGCTACTCCCATTTACTGCGCTACAGAAACACTTCTTTGTATATAGAATCTGTACTGTATAGCTAGTTTCTAATCCTACTTAATACAAGTCGAAGGCCTTACCTACACTGTATAATTGGCCGTGTCAATCATGTATGTAGTCGTCTGTCGTATAGCAATAGCATAAGGTAAATGGCAATGTCAGTACAACCATCCATGTTATCTCTGCATAACAGAACAACAATACGACGCTCTTACTCTTCTCGGTCAATGCATCGTGCATCACTTTCTTGCGGTGAGAGCCTCATGCAATCCTCTCAGCCACAACCCTCTGCATACACATTGTACACTGCTTCCTTGCAAATACCCACATGCATCACCGGAAACATAATATCTCACCAGAACAAAGCCAATGCAACCCTCCCACGCACTAAACCCACACACAACACGCTACCGGGTACCCTTCGCCCATCTACTCCCACGCCAGCACCACCTCAAACCCATGCTCATCGTACGATCCGATTCGTATTCAAAGTTCAACGAGTACCCCATTCCCATTACCCCAAAACAGCCTTTGGGCATCCATCCACAAGGCCCGTCTGCCGTCGCGTCAGCTAGCCCCAAACCTTATCCCTACATACATCGGCGCCCGACTACCACGCGTACATGGCTGCCGGGCGCCGGGGCAACTCCCCGGCTGATAGCAGCGAGCTTATACGCTGGCGCCAAAGTCAGGGTAATTGTGCTTGTTCCTCGCAGCGGCACGCGATTGTCGGAGGGACAATGCTAGGCCTCGGAGGGTATATGCGGCACCTGCTTTTACCCTGTCTGCGTCTGCGCGTCTGTGAGCTGCTGCATGCACGATGGTGTTGCGTTTTGTGGGAACGGAATCATGAAAAGTCTGGGTTCAGGGATCGCGTGCACTGTGCATGGTGCATGTATCTTTTGTTTTTCGCATCTCAGCTTCGTCCGTACATGCGCCGCTAGCATCGTGCAGTTTGAGCGGCGGTGGCGGTGAACCGCGAAATGGCCTCCGAACCCTCTCGCGATCGAGCTGCAGAATGCAGGCTGGGCACTGGGCGGAGTAGACTCCGATGCACCCTCGCCTTGCTTTTTCCCAGCCCTCTTTCCCACTTCCGAGCCCTGCCGTGGACAAAGAGGGTGTTCAGCCGAGTTCGACCGGGGAGATTCTACATCTAGAAAGAAACGACGACCTGCATATGGGATGAAACGAAAAAGCAAAAACGCAAACGTCATCCGGCGATTAACCGCACGAGGAGATTTGCAATCTCGTATGCAAGATGATCTCTCGTTTGATGCTCATGGTTCGCACTGGGGTAATAATCTAATAGTGTGTGTACATCGTAATTTTGGGACCGTAGAAGATCCGGGGCCCAAAATTCCCCCAGCGAACCATTTTCGGATGGTGCGGCCTGGGCTTTCCAGGGCAAGATGCGGCTTCCTCCGCGCCTCATAGACGATGATCCAGAACGTGAAAGCCAGATGTGTATCCTACAGATCGTTCCAGATCGTACTGGCCTTCAATGGACCAAAGTCGAAAGCGAGATTCGCTGTTCCAACACATGCATCGCCAGTATTCCCCTCCACCCTCTGGCCGTCAGCTTCGAGCCAAAAACAAAGGCGCTGACAGCCACCACCGACCTTCACCACTATAGTTTGATGAATCGCAGATATGCTCGCAGACAGGCATCAGGCAACATCTGAGCCGCTGCGCTTGTTCTTCCTACAAGCCCACAACTCGCGAAGCCACTTGTGAGATGCTTCGATGTCAGTGGGACCGGGGCACAGCGGGAGCCTCTGTCGGTATTCCTTCTCATACTTGCGGATCGCCAAGTGAAGCTTGATCTCGTGCGACATGCGCTCCAGTAGCATGTTTGCTTGTTCATGATTCCTCGGGAGGGTGCTAAGGGTTGCTTCAGCCACGACTTTAGCCTCGTCCGCCGGCACTCGAGAAAGGTTGCAGAAAAGCTGACGCTTGTAGAACTCCATGGATGTATCCAGGAGCGGCGCTAACCCGCCAAGCTCGCGGGTGAGGACAAGCGGAACCTCCGTATACATCCAAGATCGTGTCGGGTGGAGTGAGCTGCGATGCAGTAGCTGCACGTCGAGAGGGCTTACCTTGGTGGCACCAACACTAACACAGTTCTGCAGCTCCTGTCTCAGTCCATTGGCGTCAAGGCATGAGTTGAGGATGGGGTTGTCGGAGTTGAGGTTGACGCCCCGAGTCTCAGCCTTGTTGATGCGAATCCAGACGAAGAGATTGTGCACTTGTCCTGGAAACAGTCGGCGAATCTCCTTACAACCACAGAAAGTGAGGATCTCACAACCTGCTTTGGTCCGAAGGTCGACCTTCAAGTCAGTCAGTTCGCCGACGGGTTTCTCAGAGCGAGCATTCTTCAAGATGCGCTTGATGCGACCGGACGTGGACTGATACTTGGACCAGTTGCTAGCGAAAATGTTCTTGCAGCAGTCTTCAAGACAGATGGTATCCTGGAACTCCGGTTTGCGGCGATATGGGAGGAACGCAGGATTGATGCAATGAATGTAGATATCCGGGAAGGATTTCGACACTTTGTGCAGTACATGAGCCGCAGGAGACAGCACGATGACATGAGTTCGACCAGCCTTGAGGTGCTCGGCCGCCATAGATCCGGCGATGCCAAGGATGACATCAGTCATGGAGGGGTTTGGACGAGGCGGATGCCAAAGCTGCGAACCAGAATGTGCGATCCTAGACGTCAAATCCCGGAAGATCTCATCGACATCTGCACAGACGGGTCGAATTGGATAAAGCACCTCTGGCCTGTTTCCGGTGACATCAAGGTGGGTACAGTGAGTAGTGTACAGCGCCAGTCGATCTTTAGGGCCAAGATGATACTAAACAAGTGAGCAGATTGCTTCTGAGCAGCATCAGCGATGGTGGCTTACCAAGGCTCCATTAACCGCATCTAGTGACCTCTCGAGACAAGCCGGAGTCACATAGTAGCTGTACACAATGTCAGCTAGCATCATCGACCCCATCATGCAGGCACTGACCCGTTGTCTACCACGAAGATCACATCAATACCGGCGTCGGGCAGAGGCTTTCGGTTGTGCAGGACACCCTCAATTTCGATAGCAACGCCGATGTCTTGGTATTCCTCGGTGAGGAGCTTGACCTCGGGAAACAGTCTTACCGCTGCCCGCAGGGTTGTCGGCAGATATAAAGTTGAGTCTGACACCTGCGCTTCTGAAGCCTCATGATCAAAGTCAGTCGGGGAAGGAATGCGCTTCGAGATGCATCCCATAAGGGAGGTGAACTCGTCTCCGCTGGGTATTGTTAGTGACTGTTGCACCAATTCGCAGGTGATAACTTACTTGCGGGCGTTTTGCAGCAGGTAAGCCCCGAAAGCTTCAGCGTCTGGGTGCTTCACCTCTGAGTCTTCTCCGGCCTCATCGTGAGCCGCAAGCGCTGTAGCTGTCGTAGGAGACGTTGGATCCGGCGACTCGCTAATACCAGCGCTAGTCTCTCCAGTGTTGTGACGACGTAAGAGAGGTAGACCACTGGTAAATAGTCGAAGCTTTGATGACATGCGCCGCTTCAGCGGTTCGGTGCTACCTTCAGTGTTGCTAACCGCCTTCTCGAGAGCCTGTTGCGCGTTCATGTGTTCAGCGCTATCGGCGACGAAGAGAGGGTGCGCAGGCTCGTTGGACGCCATATCGATCAACGGCCAAAGGGTGACTGCAGTGGTGTGCATAGAACGTACCGGACCGCCATTCTCGGGCTCGACTTGACTGTTCTTGCGCGAGAACGCCATCTGATCTCCAAAGCTGGATCCTGAGGCTGAGGACCGACTGTTTCTGTTCTTGCGCATCGTAAGAGGTTGGTCGCTCGGAGCGCGACTAACAGGCAGAGGTGTTACGGTCCACGACAAAGGTGCTCTGGGCGGGTTCGCCCAATCAAAGACGGGTGAGTTGAAGCTGTATTCGGGTGGGGACACCCAGATATCGCTCTTGATCTCGTCGATGATGTCGTCTAGCGGACCGGACACGTACTGATCGTCGCTATAGGTAGGAGTTGACTTACGAAATATTCGCTTTCGGAAAGTAGCTTTGCGCGACTTCTTCTGGATGTGGAGGGGAGGTGGGCAGAGAGGTGTGCGGTCCAGAAAGATGCTGCCAGCTGCTGCTGTTGTTGTGATCATTATCGACGCGTCCCAATTAGGCACAAATAAAAGCCCAGTCACCGCGCTGCGCTCACGTTCACCTCCAGTTCCTTGAGCGCGCGGGGCCTTTCGATCAAGAGTGTCGCCAGATGGCAAACGGAATATCGGAGATAGATAAGAAGAGTAGGCAATGCCCAAGTTGAGATGTAAGAGTGGGATGTGGAAACAGAGGTTGACAGTCCAACGGTGGGGTGAGGTCTGAAGGTGAGAGGCACTGCTACAAGCCAGGAAGGTGCGAGGTGGGCGAGTCAACAAACCTACGATGCTCTTTCCTGAATCTGAAAAGTAGACAGTCACGATCTCGCATCAAGACGCGTTCAAAACGATGCTGAGCTTCTGTAGTGCATTTCGTGCTCATGTTTCATCTAGGAAACCGATGCCGTCCATGATCCAAGCAATGACCCAGCGATTACGCCTCGCCCAATTGTGCGGCAGCCACTTCTAAGTGCCTCTTCATCTTCTCGTGCATCTCATCGTCCGCCTCGCGAAAGCGAATCTATCACAGGAGTAAGTAATGGCTTCGTCAAATATTGTTGCGACCTACTATGTCTTCTCCAGCGCCAGCGCCGAACAGGACTGGTTCCGATATACTAGCCTTGACTGCTTTTTTTACGCGTTCCTCCCAGACTCCCTCCCAGTTCCACTCTCCAGGACGCCGATTACGTCCCAATGCAGATGTACCTTCTGATTTATCCGTCGTAGAAGGGTCGGGACTCGGAGTTGCTCGGTCTGACAGTTGAGATTGCAATATCGGAGCCCGATGCGCCCGCCACGCATGATAAGCGCCTGGGTTTGCAGCAGCCTCTAACGGAAGCGAGTCCAATATTGACTCCTCACTAAAGGTCGAGCGGATGTACTCTAGCATGCGCACAATGGAGTACTCCGCAGTAGACTGAGAGGCCCCAAGGACGCCAGACGTGACGTTGGAGTCGGACCGCACGGGAAAAGCATTTGAAGATCCACTGACATCGCGAGAGTTCGGTACAGATCTTCGAGCTCTGCCGAACCAGTGCGGAAAGCCGTGCCGAAGACTGAAGCCTCCAGGTGGCAGCCGCTCCTCATCCGTGGCACTGACGGTATCCGTGTCGGCGGAGCCAGTCGTGTAAGTATATGTGGTAAGTGGCGTGAGCAGTGGGTGAAAGACATCGGTAGAAAAAGTCACGAGGGGGGGTATAGCAGGATAGCTGGGCGGGAAGGAGATTTGGAAGCGTAAGACTGCTGGCGCATATGGTCCTGTCAAACGTGAATAACGTTGCAAGGAACGCAACACCATGGCGTAGCCCTATGGAACAGCCTACCTTTCTGCACGAATATTACACCTACCCACAGTGTTGGGTCGCCGGGCGTGATGCTCAAGAAAACGCCATCCAGCTGTGCGTAGCGCAGACGGGTGCTGTGCAGAGTTAGGAAACGCCGCTGCTAGCCGTGTGCCTCGACTCACAACTCGACGAGAAGATGCTGCTTCCGAAACGACGGGAGAGCCGACGCAGAGACGGACAACGGCATCTCGAGAGCAGCGATGATGGTTGTAGGTCGTTCGGCATCTTGCAAGCACGGCGCCTGCGATAGAGAGCCGAAGCGCGTTCGACGCTAGTGCTAGCCGATCTGCGTTCTCACCTGCTTGAGTATAACGCGCTTCCCCGCCTGCCATTCGTTGAGCGTGCAACACCACCAACACCATTCTGTATCTCACCGGGTCGCGAAAGGAGATGCGCGTATGGCAGCATCGCGTGGGATCTCGGCTGCCCATCAACGTGGCAGTTCGTGAGTGGTGTTTGATTAGGTCGAGCTGATGATTATTCGGTGGATGCAATGCCCTGTCGAACACCATCCCTACACCACGTCTGGATATATTCGCGGTAACACTGCATGCATCTTCCTCACCCGCCCCATACCGGGCTGCCGCTCCAGTCCCGTCGTCCATCTATGTCAGACATACGCGGGACGTCATGCGCGGCCCTGGGACAAGACTCTGTCCGCATGTTGCGACCGAGCATCTGTGCCGGCACACTCGCAACGATCCGGCTGAACGCACACCACCGGACTCACGTCAGAGTCCCGGAGAGGGTGCATGACCGCATGCGCCGTTGGCACTGGCGAGTCAGGGCAGAACTGGCTCACACACACCTATGTCGTCTCGAAACGCCTGTGTCGGGACGTGAGGTTAGCCATCCCGCTTTGCGCTTGCCGAGCCAGCCTATACACCAGCATCAGGATAATCAACTTTCGCCCTCCTACGCTTATTTCGAGACGCTGTGCCGCAATGGTGATGATTGATGACCACACGTCGTACAACTCTCGGGTCGAAATGCGCTGGCTCCAGTTAGCCCATAATGGGTAACCTAAGGCGACAGTATTACACGTCGTCGCAACCGAGCAAAAGAAGGCAGACAAAGCCTCGCACGTAGAGTCGACGCCGCATCGAGCATCTACCTGATGCAGAATGATCGGGCAGCATCATTCCGATCGACCCACGCTGCCGGTTTCAAGGCTGGCTTTTCGTTTTTGTACACTCGTGCCGACAAGCGCGTGAACACCCCAATCCTCCGAAATCTCTCCAACCCACGCCGCCTGCATCTGCTGTCATCTTCGTCGCGGCACGACGCTATGAGTTATGCTATTGCCTAAGAGCAAAGAAGCATGGTGTCATTCTCGGAGGATTCCATCAGAGCAATAAGAGGGCCAGGGGGCGTCAACCTAGAGGCGCTAAAAAAGGCGGTGGCTGTCTCAGACGCTTCCATCTCTTTGCGAACCCTGTCCTCGCGTGGAAATCTGCAGGCCAGCCTTACATATCCACACCGCCATGACAGCTTAGGCCAGGTTGCGTCGAAACAGCCGTTGTGCCCTGGACACCTTTGCACCAGCAAGCAGAGATCGCTGGTATACAGCGACAGCTCACTTACAGCACATGACGGAAGCATGTCCGGGGCCCACCGGAAATGGGAGTGCTGGCAAAACCTAATCAAGCGGTCTGAAATGGGCAGCAGTACAGATGCTACGTTGCCGCAGAAGGGCGCAGAGCCTCGTCAGCTGATGGGGGTCCTAGGGTTATGATGCCTTGATGACTGATGAGAATGCAATCACGATGTGTGACCAGCAATGACAGATGCAAGCAGCAAGCCACGTCCTGCGACCCGGTTGGGCCCAATGCGCAAGCGTGGGAAGCTTCGAAACCACGCTGACCGGACAGGGGGGCAGAGAAATGATACCTGGGGCAGCAAATGAAATCGCCGCACGCCTAGTGCCAGGTCGCGATCTGAGGGATACGAAACGCGCTGCGTCGTCCTCCTCGGCCATTCAAGCGCCGCGACTCGTGCCTTGCGGCGCTGACGACCATCCGGATCGCCAGGCATTGCAACAAAGCGACGTTGTCTAATGCGCATTGCCGCGTGACCGGTTGGTGTCCATCTGCCGAATAGGCATGCAGTACACCGCTATTTTTTGGGGGTTTGTCGGAGCAATCAAGCAGCAAGGTATGATGCCATGACAGACGCTCATCATCAATGACAACGAGGGCCCCAGCTGCATGGCCCAAGCTGCTTCTCGAAATTCTGCGGCGAATCTTCTGACTCGCCTCACGTCAAAAGTCTGACCGCGGCTTGGTGTCCTGGTGCCCCTGAAATGGGCGCTGCGAAAATTAGCATCGCCTTGTGTTCTACACCATTGGCGGCACGACGTCCTATTTGCTGGCGGGGCATCGGCCTCTGAGCCGCCGTGTCCGTTTAGGGAAGGAAAGCAAGCCGCAAGTCGCCGGCATGTTGCCATGTCGTTCACAGAGCGACAGGGTCCCCCCTGCTGTGGCGCGACTCAGCGCGCTAGTGCCTGTGAATGTCGGTAGAGGCATGCGGGCATCTCTAGCGCCGAGGATTTGGGTCCCGGGGAGTCGGGTTGCTCTGTTGATCCTGTTCCTCTTACGAGCCACGTCCAACGCTCTTGCAACTCTCCCTGGTCCGCCCTACTCGGTTCCTTCTAGCTCGTCCAATGTCGTGGATTCCGCCCAACCCGGACCGGTTTGTTCGATGAGCAGAAAGCTTCCCCAGCCCAGCCCTGGCCCACTTTCAGGGGCCTGCATTCGCTCTCGCATGCTCACACAGAGCCCGTCCGGTGACATGGAGTCACAAAAAACAGAGCTAGGTACAGCTCGGCTGCCAGCACTGCATTTTCCGGTCGCTTATCGACAGACGGTGGGCTGTTTCGTAGCAACGATGGCATCACGGATCCGCTACTCATTTTACATTCGCTGGTCCCTCCGCTGTCCCTATCCGCCCACACTACGTATCCATACCCACTGCCATCACCGCTTGTTCTCCGTTTCTTCCCCGCCGCCACAATCCTTGCTCATCCCAGTGGTCTATCCGTTTTCAGGACGCCACTTAAATCTTGCTGCTCCTTATATACCCTGTGACGCTCGCGTCCTTTGCAAACTGACTCTGACCTCTGAGCCCTGGAGGTACTAATCTGTCGCAAACTCGCACATGTCTTATTTGTCACAGCTGACTCCCACTTCACTTGACATTCACCACCTGCTGTCATAGTATTTGACATTCTTCTTCGACGACCTCCACCTCTATACCTGCACACCACCTTACATTCGACTTCGATACTATCAACATGGCTCGGTATGGCGTGGCAGCTGCCGCCGGCAGCGATATAACACCTTTCCCAACCCGACAGATGGCCGTACTTGGTGAGCAGCATGCCATGATCTAACAGCACACGAAAGTCGCTAACGACGGTAGCGTTATGCCGGATATGCGAACCAATCGCATTCATGTCGATATTTCCCTACGCATACTTCATGGTCGAATCCTTCATGACCGGACATTCCACCGCCCAAATTTCCATGTACACGGGCATGGTCACATCCTCGTTCGCATTCATGGAATGCGTCAGTGGCATTTTCTGGGGCCGACTGAGTGATCGGGTAGGACGGAAGAAGGTCCTACTTGGAGGTCTTTTTGGGACGGGGCTGAGCATGTTGCTCTTCGGCTTTTCCCAGAGCCTACCAATGGCGTTGATTGCGCGGGCTCTCGGGGGTTTGCTTAACGGGTGAGGTCATAGTTCGATCTAGCGTCTGAGCCTCGCTAACCGAATATGCAGGAACATCGGCGTTCTCCAGACCACTGTCGCAGAGCTTGTTACGGACGAGCGACATCAGCGTGAGTTTTGCCATAACTCTAATTATACGCCGCGCACGACTGACTTTCCATAGCGCGCGCTTATTCCATCATGCCCTTTGTCTGGTGCCTTGGGTAAGATATTTTCCTAGCAGCCCGACTTGTCCACGCTGACCGCTTTTTGTAGCACCATCATTGGCGGAGCGCTTGGCGGCTTGCTCGCTCGTCCCGCTAACGTAATGCCGTTTTTCCAGGACACCATCTTCGAAACGTACCCGTTCCTTCTTCCAAACTTGGTCTGCACCGGCTTTGTCGTTCTCGGCCTGACTGTCGGTATTTTGTTCTTGGAAGAGACCCACGAGGATCGCAAGTACGACCAGGATCGAGGCCGCGACGCGGGGCAATGGCTTCTACAGAAGCTGTGGAAGCGTGACGCAGATGCGAGATTTGACGACAAGGATGCTTCGCTTGACGAGATGCGCTCGATGTTGAGCGACCACGACCACAACGTACAGGCTTACCGCAGCACCGACACTTCGCCTACTCTCTGCAGCACACGAACTTCCATCTCAGAGGTCCCAGAATTCGAATTGGACAAGCAATTCGAGCCAGCGCCGACTTTCCGACAAGCATTCACCAAGCAAGTGTGCCTGAATGTAGTGTGCTATGGTATTCTTGCTTTCCACACCATCTCTCTAGAGCAGCTTCTACCTATTCTCATGTCCAAGCATGTACCAACCGAGGGTAGCCAACACCTTCCCTTCCGCTTTGAGGGAGGTTTCGGATGGTCTACTCAAACGACCGGCGCGTTCCTCGCAGTGCAAGGTTTCCTCCAGATGTTCGCTCAGGTCATTCTCTTCCCTTGGGTCAGCAAGAGGCTCGGCAGCCTCCGCACTTTCTGGATCACTCTCGCCTGCTACCCACTCCTGTACCTCCTTGCTCCTTACCTGGCTATCCTTCCCGAGAACCTGCGCATCCCTGGACTTGCGGTTCTGCTTGTCGCCAAGGTCACCTTCCAATCGCTCTCCTACCCATCCCTGGCTATCATCCTCGCAAACTCGTCCCCATCTAAGAAGGTTCTCGGCACGCTGAACGGCGTCGCCATGTCTTCTGCTAGTATCTCTCGCGGCTTCGGTCCCACGATCTCGGGTGCCGTTGACAGCCTCGGTACCACTCTCCACATGTCTGGCCTCGCCTGGTGGGCAATTGCCGCCGTTGCTCTTCTCGGATGGCTCCCCGGTTTCGCCCTCACAGAGACCAAGCGATCCAGCTTCGCTGCACAAGACGAGGAGTCTTTCATCGACTCCGACTCAGATGCAGAGTCCGTCATCACTCTTACTCCGGACGATATCGAGATCGTCCTCTCCAAATAGATTCACGCAATCACGACCAAAAAACAGTAACGACGCCCCTTGACCTGCATGATGTGGCACAAGCCCTCTGCACGGCGTCGACGCGCTGGTAGCGACCTTCCCTTTCACACCATAATTTCGGATTATAGAGACCTTTTTTTTTTTTATCGCGGCAGAGATGAGGGTTACATCTCCCGCGCGGCGCATCATTATGGGTGCGATTTAGCGACATCATTTACGCGGGCGGCATTTTTTGGGTTAACACTATTAGAAGGGAAAGCTCGATTGTATTGGAGACTAGCAATGGTCATCCCCGAGCCGGCGTTTGTCTCAAGAACAGAATACCCCAGTAGTTATTAGTTTCCTTTGCTATACTGTATGTTAGATTAGCGTGCTCGAGCACCAATTCATGATTTGGATGATTTCTCAAACACCAGACCTTTGTTTTGCCATGTACGTCGTGAAGAGTGCATTAGCTGGATCCGAGTCAGAGCAAGCCTCCAGCGGTGAGTTCAATGCGTCTGTCTTGAAGATTAAGCGGAAGGGGCAAAACAGGTGTAGTGGGTAATTTGCATTGTCGAAGTGGTCCCTTGTACGTTACGGATGCTTCCTTTTGCCTTCTACACGTGCTTGGATCGGTGTGCTTCATGCACGTGGAGGAGCAACGGGGATCGCGAGTCAGTGACCGCCAACATGCGGATACCGGACGCCTTGCATAGCTGCTTCGGCAATGAAACGGTATCACGAGGTCATGGACGGCATATATGTGCGTGCAGTGACGAAAGTAACTTCTTCCTTTTGTGGTCCCTGGGTGTTGAAGGATCGCGACGGCGGCTTACCTAGGCCGAGGCAGTTTAGTAATACTACGCGGGCTTGCAATCAGCACCGCAGCCATGTCAACCTCAGGACTGATGTGTAGCTGAGCGATGACGCAACTGCGAGGGAGGAGGAAGATGGAATCTTGAACAGGTTGATGCTTGACGCACCCCATACCGCATGGCAGAGTAGACGTCTACCCACATGGCGAGCATGACGTGCAGCCGCACCCACACTCCGCCCACGCCTATCTTCCGCTGGAGAGATAAGGCCCGTAGCCGACCAGCTAGCCATCCACGAGCAAGCGACGACTACGGCGTGCCGCTGGGAGAATGGAAGACATCCTCCCCGTGCAATCGCAATCCGCAGCCCTATTCACGCTGTCGCTGACGTCCTAATCCAGAGTGCGGGGGAGTAAGAAGGCTGCCCGCCCGTTCAGTGAGAGCTCGGAGAATAGACGCCAGACGTGCGCGAGCTGTCACTAGCCCGAACCCTGCGGACTTTCTTGCCATGCGCCCTGATGAGCGGCCTCAAGCGCTCCTTGGACGAGGCGTCTCATGACGGCGACCGGCCCTCGCCCTCAGAGTCGTCCGTATCGACAGTGAAGCCTGCCTCGCCCACCGCGCCTTCCTCGTCATCGTCGAGCTCCTTCCGCAATGTGAGCGCCTGCAACCGCTGCCGGCTGCGCAAGAACCGCTGCGACCAGCGCCTGCCCTCGTGCGCCTCATGCGACAAGGCCGGCGTCAAGTGCGTCGGCTACGATCCCATCACCAAGCGTGAGATTCCGCGCAGGTACGCACAACGGAGGGGAGCTATTGGCGGTCGCCTCGGCTACGACTGACGAGCGCTACAGCTATGTATTCTACTGCGAAACCAGAATCGCCTACCTCGAGTCGCTCCTGCGCGACAACTCGATCCCCTTCCAAGAGGCCGACGACTTCAATCCGGCCTTTGCCTCCAATGGCGCCGCCACCCCACGACCCATATCCGCTGCGCCGCCGCCGCGCAATGGCAATACCAAACCCTCGGCTGCCCAGGCCAAGGAGGAGAGCGACAAGTACGATCGCGAGAAGCTCACCAAGCTCGTGTCCAACATCGGAATGGTCTCGGTGCAAGGCGCCAGTGATCCGCGATATCTGGGCTCCACATCCGGCATATCCTTTGCACGCGTCGTGTTTGCTGCCGTCAAGAGCTCGGTATCAGGCTCCTCCTCTGAGCGCGGCAGCAACCGGGGTGCCAAAGTAACGAGCAATGTCGTGGACAGCGGCACCTCGATGCGCGACTCCTTCTTCGGCCTGCAAACCAAACCTACCATACGCCAGGCGCCCTTCCCAGACCGAGAGCTCGGGTCGCGTCTTGTTGAGCTGTACTTTGAGCACGCAAACCCACAGATCCCCATCTTGCATCGGGGCGAGTTTATGGAAATGTTTGAGCGCGTGTACGCTTCCGGTGAACGGCACCGCACATCACGAGAGTCGTACATGCTCAACATCGTGTTTGCCATAGGCGCTGGCATCATCTTAGGCAGTTCCGACTCTGAGGGCTCGCCGACGTCGGATCACGGGCGCTCACCAACAAAATCACGATCATCACCGCCGAGTAGCAAGAAGCGGCGACTTGCAGGCCACCAGCACCAGCCCGAGGAGTACCACGCATCCGCCATTGTGCACCTAGAGAACTTCCTGGGTTCCTCTCCCGCAGCGGACCGTCCCGACGGCTTCGGCGGTGGCCTGGAGGAGCTGCAGGCTGTGCTACTGCTCGCGGGCTTTGCGCTGCTGAGACCCGTTGCCCCTGGGCTGTGGTACATTGTCGGCGTTGCCGTCCGTCTTGGAGTGGACCTAGGGTTGCATTACGAGGATGGCGTGGGTATCGACGGGGCGGGTGCGGAAGACCAGTCTGCTGGAACCGCCGCCTTCAAAACTGAGGGTAACGGGAACACGACGGCTGCCAGCGGCGGGAACCCTTCGAAAATAGATGCAAAAGAGAGGGGCCGCAGACAGTGGGTCAGAGACCTGCGGAGACGCTTGTGGTGGTGCGTTTACTCGTTGGACAGGCTCGTCAGCACATGTGTTGGCAGACCTTTCGTAAGTACTCTCCTGGGTCTTCATCTTCGTATGGTACTACCGATCATGTCGGTTATGTTACGATGCCGCATGCATGTGCGGCAGGCTTCACCAGGGGGTCGATACCGACTTTCCAACATGGTCTCGTGCTCTCAAAACTGGCTGCAGTGACTAACAGGTGCATAGGGCATTACAGACCAAATCGTGACTACCGAATTTCCTTCGCTCCTCGATGATCGCTACATCACTAAGGAAGGATTCCTGGAACCGCCAGTGCACCAAGAGAAACCGACATACAAGATTGTAGCCCATCATTACTTCCGGTTAAGACTACTGCAGTCTGAAATCCTGCAAGTCCTACAACATCGGCAGGCACAGCAGGCAAGAGCGAGTGGTGCCAACCAGACCAATGAGTTTATGCATACCAAGCTGCCTTCGCCGTTCCTGATCAATTTTGAGTCGTTCCGCGCGTGGCGCGTAGATATCGATAGACGGTTACTGGAGTGGAAAGACTCTGCACCGACACAGCTTGATGCCGGCGTGCAATTCTCGCCGCTGTTTCTGGAGCTTAATTACTGGCAAGCGTTGATTATGCTGTACCGACAGAGCCTGGTCGTTCCCTCTGGTCTACAAGAAGAACTGGGCAACACCGGCTCAGATATGGGCAGTCCTTCCATGAGCAATCTTGAGGAGCGCGAAGACGAAGATCTTGTTTTCCTCAAGGTAGCTGAAGCCGGTCAGAAGGTTCTGAAATTGTATCGACAGTTGCACCGCGTACATCTCGTCAACTACACCTTTTTGGCAACACACCATCTCTTCATGGCTGGTAAGCTTCACCATCTTCACCGGTACCTACAGTGCTGACATCTGCAGGCATATCCTTCCTTTACGCTGTGTGGCACAGCGTTCATGTGCGCAGTTTATTGGTAAGTCGGTCCGAATTTCCGTACTACTGTAGATACGTTTTGTTGGTGTAACACGCATGTCTAACTAATGCAGTCTCTTGACGACGTCGACTTCACCGTCCTTGCCGCGACATCCGTCTTGGGTGACCTGATCGACAAGTGCCCACCTGCGGAAGCATGCCGCGATGCATTCGATCGGATGAGCAAAGCGACCATTCAGATGTGCATGTCCACCACCGGCTTCGGACCTCAAGCTCTGCGGTCACTTCCGCAAGCACAGCAGTACCCTACTCAAACATCGCCAAACACTGCATATACATCTGCAGCTGATGCAGATGTTAGATCAGACACTGACATGCAAGGTTACGGACCAAGAAACACAGCCAACTTCTTTGGCCAACAGCAACAGCAACAACAGCAGCAGCAGCGTCGACCCATGCCACGCTTCGACATGAACCTCAAAGACCTCTTCTCCGATGACGAGACCGACAAACGGTCTTTCAGCCGCGTAAGCAACCAAGTCAACGCCATGAGACCCCCTCCTCCACCTATGAAATCCGAATCCCAAATGCAACCTTTTACAGCGGATCTGAAAATGTCTCCTCAACTACGCACGCCCCATCACCAACAGCAGCAACAACAGAATAATTTCTTCGCTGCGAATTCGAATATGACTAGCCCGAACCAACAAAGTACCTTTTCTACTTCTCCGCCGAACAACCCGTCAATGCCTTCACCTTATCAAATCAGCAATCAAGTGCCCTACAACAACTTCACACAAAATATCACGTCCAGCTACCCTGATCTAGGGTTCTCGGACTTGGACTTCCTAGACAGTTTTCCCGTGCAGGGCGCAAGCGGCAACGGTGCTGACGCAGGAAGCGGCGGGTTGCAAGATGTGGGTATTGGGTTTGGAATGGGGTTTGGTGATGGGACGCATGATTGGAGTGATGTAAGTTTTCCCCTCTCGCTACTTTTCACCACTATGGGAGTACGTGTGCTGACAATGACCGACAGGGCAATGGCTTGGATCTCTTTGATGGTTTTTTCTTTGGTCCTGGAGGCACAGGTGGGACGGGGATGTAAAAATCGGTGTTGTTGCGAAAACCAATCTTGATGGCTCTTCGCGTATGTGCGTGAGCGGCGGTATGACATCGCCGTCGGCTTACTGTACCTGATGGTATCGAGTAAAATGGTAGCGGGTATTGTTCTTACCCGCCTTCCGTAGATCTGCGGCACAGTCGCGAACGTGGGGGCAAGGCTGGATAAGCCGGAAGGCGGCGGCCTCCGATGGACGCTACGCCGTTACGAGAAGAATGGCAACGAGGTTATGGATGTTTGTATGATAGATGTCTTCAGCCCATGAAACATTTCGTGTTGTCACTGAATGTGTTTACTTTTGGATGTTGTAATGGTCTGAACGATTTTGAGGTTGACATGTGCAACTACCAGAGGACTGAGAGACTCTCACCACACCGGAACGTACGGGTATCATACTTCTGCCTTGGAATAGATCCAAAGTTCACTGGTAGTACTTTGACGTTTTATCTCCTCTTCTCTCATACATACCTCTACGGTTTCATACCTCTTGCTCTCCAATTCTCCCGATCTTCCAGCCACCACTCCGCACCACCCACCAAAATGGCGCTCAATCGGAATCATACCCTCTACACAAGGATGCTTGCAACTTCTCAAAACGACCCACGTACCCGCATCAAAGAACCCACCTAGCTGGGTCTTTGTTCTCTTCCGCATCCCTTCCCATCCCCATGCCATCACGTACCAACTCCAAATTCACACAACGCTCATCTATGTTCAGCTGAACTGAGCTGAGCTCATTTCAGATCCGGCCTGGTAATAGGGGCGTGTTGACTCACACCCGTTTTACCACGTAGACTTCCATATCTGCATCTGCATTACTCATTGCCTACTACCACATGCACGACTTCACTCTATCTAACACTTCTACCACTTCATGATTCCCATTTACACCGTTTTTTTAATTACTGTCTCTTTCATCGCCACGTCACTACCAGGATCCAAATCCAAAGTCTTCACACAAAACATCACATCCCCCCCCCCCCCCCCCCCCCCCCCCCCCCCCCCCCCCCCCAAGCGCAAAGCTTTACCAAAACCACCCTGCGCTGTCACGCACCCATCACATCTCTCAAGATAAACATGTGTCTCTACATGATCGTGCACTACGGACCCTCCCCTTGCTCAATTCCTCGACTCCTCCCACGACAAACCGCCGATATTTCGCAGCGAAATGCATCAGAATGGCGAGTCGAGCGATTGAGTCTGAATCGTTTGTGGGAGCTGTGGCATTTAAAGAGCCGAAGTCAGGAAGACTTGAACAAGGGGGAGAAGGACGATGGGTTCGATATGAGTTACTGAGCTACTGAGTCACCTAGTTAAAAGTGTCAAGTGACACAGACATCAACATCGACACATTACAAGCGAACAAAAAATGGAATGGGCTTTTTTGGAATGAACTTTTTGAATTCTTCCTTCAGCTGATGTGCAGAAGACTTGTCTAAGCTAACCAGAGCATGTGGCTCGGCCTGCCCTCCATCCTCCGTCGAGGAGTGGGCGACCAGTAGTCGTGATCTTCATGGTATCGTTTTGAAGCTAACCGTTTACTCCACCCATTGAACAAAAAGTACAACAGCCTAGTTCATCTGCCTAACGAGCTGGTTGATGAACTCCTCGCGGTTACCAAGGTCGCCACCCTCGATGAAGTGCTTGAACTTGCGGGTGCGGAAACCACCGTTGGGGGAAGACAGCTTGAAGGGCCAGAGGAAGTTGGAGACGGCCTTGAAGTTGGGGCCGACTGTGTAGATCTCGTGGATGATGTCCTCAATGCAGGTGATACCGAACTTGCCGAGGCTGGCCTCGATGAGCTCGTTGTCGGTGATCGGCAGACGCTGCTTGTTGACCTTTCCGTAACCGCGCTTGTAGACAAGCTCGCGGACAGTCTTCAAGTTGGGGTATCCGTAGGCGACGAAGGGCTCGACAATCTTCAGCATCTCGCTGGTGGCCTTGGTGAGCTTGACGAAGACACCGTTGTTGATCTGGAGAAGACGGAGGAGCTGGAGGGTCTTGCGCTTCTTAGGGTCGATCTTGTTGATACTGCGTGGGTTAGTAAGAGATTTTGCAGACGTTGAAAATTGCAACATACCCCTTGATACGGACAACGAAGGCGAGGCGGGACTCGGCGGGGACGAAGAGAGAGTTGTCACGCTTCGCGGCACGCTTGGCCTCGATGACATCGCGCTGGGCCTTTGCGTACTCCTGGGTGTACTTGGCGGCGCGCTCCTTGATGACCTCGCGCTTTTGCTTGCTGGCCTAAGAAATCTTAGCCAACTGTGGAACTCCTATCTGCTTGCGCAGGTTCTGGGAGACGGTTATACCTCACGCTTCTTCTTCAACTCAGCGGCCTGGGAGTCGCTGGTCTTCTGGTGGGCCTTCTGCTTCTTGAGCACCGACTCGGGGACAGCGATGTCATTCTGGGTGGGGACGCTGGACTTGTTAGCTGAGTTGCGGTGAATTGACAGCGGCATACTCACGATGAGCGGGCCATTTTGCTGGTGGTTAGTATCCTTGTGGTTGTCGGAAGCTGGAGGAAGAAAGTTCGGTTGTCCAAGTCGAAATTCATGTGCGGGCGCTAGCGTTGCCGCCAAGATCGAGTGCAGCGCTAATGCCCCGCTCTATTGGCCCGCCTCTCGCAGCTATCGACATTTTCCTGAGAGCTACCAACTTGCGACAGCTGCGGCAGGTTTGCAAATTCAACCTTTTCCCTATACCTACTCGCAGCAATGGCACGAGGCGGCGGTCGCGTGAGTAGATACAGCATGCGCCACCTATATATAACGCCCACTGACTTCCATAGGGCGGTGGTCGCAAACCATTTCGCGGCAAGGGTAAAGGTCGCGGCGGCGGCGGTGGTGGTGGAGGCCGTGATACTCGCTCAGAGCCATGGTCTACCATCGAGCGCAAGAATGAGCTCTTCGAGAGCTACTATCGCATGGGAGGATTCTTGGAAGAAGCAGAGTTCGAGGAGATGTGGAAGGCTCTCCAGACCGACCTGCCCAACAGTTTCCGCTTCACTGGCACCAAGTCCGATGCCCTCGCAGTGCGTGAAATCTTCAAGCAACGCTACATCCCGGCGATCGCATCCAAGCAGTTTGAAGGCAAGCCCGTGTCGCCTCCCGAGGCAGTCCAGGCCTTCCCCGATGAGCTCGTATGGCACATGAAGACGCACAAGAAGGTCATTCGACGACATGCTCCCTTTGCCGACTTCCAGAAATTTCTCGTCGCCGAAGCCGCGTCCGGAAACATCAGCAGACAAGAAGTCGTCAGCATGATACCGCCACACTTTCTCGACGTCAAGCCAGGCATGGTAGTCCTCGACATGTGCGCAGCACCAGGAAGCAAGTCGGCGCAGTTGGCTGAGATGATCCACGGCGACGAGGAAGAGCGCGTACAACGGGTAGCGAACGGCGAGTCGGTTGACCTTAGCCAAGACGGTGACTACAGCGACGACGGGCGTTCAACAGGTCTCCTTATCGCGAACGACTCCGATTACAAGCGTGCCGGCATGTTGGTCCATCAGGTCAAGCGCCTCAACTTCCCCAACCTCATCGTAACCCAACACGACGCCTCCATCTTCCCCTCGATCGAACTACCCAGCGATGGCCAGAGAAAACAATACTTGAAGTACGACAGGATCTTGGCCGATGTGCCTTGCTCTGGTGATGGAACCGCCCGCAAGAACCCGAACGTATGGCAGAAGTGGACACCCAAGGATGGTCTTGGTCTCCACGGACTCCAGCTGCGCATCCTGTTCCGAGGTCTTCAGATGCTGAAGAAGGGTGGCCGCATGGTGTACTCAACCTGTAGTTTGAACCCCGTGGAGAACGAGGCTGTCGTCGCAGCGGCCATTGAGGCTTGCGGTGGTAACTCCAAGGTCCGACTCGTGGACTGCTCAGACCATCTGCCAAACCTCAAGCGAAAGCCCGGTCTCAACGTGTGGAAGGTGCTCGACACATCGTCAGTCACTGCTGCAGGAGAGAAGACCGCTCACATGTTCACCAACTGGGAAGCCTACCAAAAAGCGAGGGCAAAGTACGAGGCCGAAGAGCCCGAACGCCAATTCTCCACCAAGGTTACTCCCGGATGCTTCCCCCCTGTACCGAAGTCCGAGGAGGAGCGCATTCCTCTCGAAAACTGCATCCGTGTTTACCCGCACTTGCAAGACACTGGCGGCTTCTTCATCGCCATCCTTGAGAAGCTGGATGACATCAAGATCGCGCAGGTCCAAAACCCAGAGAACTTGGCCAAGGCCCAGAGGTCACACGCCAACGCCGATACGACCACCGACTCGTCGATCCCCACTCCTGCTGAGAACGTGATTGAAGCCGACGCTACCAAGACAGAGTCTGCAGATGAGGCCTCGGAGACGGCTCCTCTGAAGCGCAAGCTGGAGGAGGATGAAGACACTGAAGCCCCAAAGAAAGCCAAGACCGAGGACGCAGTCGCTGAGGCAGCGCAAACACCAGACGCAAAGCCCGCCACTAACGGCTCAGCCGCCCGCTTGAAGCCTGAGAACCAGTCTCAAGCCAAGGAGTACTTTGAATACCTCCCCTCTGACGATGCAACCATCGCCTCCATCATGAACTTCTTTGGTATCGACGATCGCTTCCCACGCGACCGCTTCATGGTCAAGAACAAGGAGGGTCTGTCGCTCAACAAGATCTACTACACTTCCGATTTGGCAAGAACCATCCTCACACTCAACAAAGACCGTGGCATGAAGTTCATACATTGCGGTGTCGTCATGTTCGTCGCGCACAAGATCAAGGACCAAGACCGTACACAAGCACCATGGAGGTTACAGAACGAGGGTATCCGTATCCTCGAGCCATGGGCGCGGAAGCGCATAGTCAAGCTCGAGAAGAAGGAAACCCTTCACCAGCTCATCCGCGAGATGTTCCCCAAGCTACCCAAGGAGGGTGACACCGGCCTCGGCGAAGTCGGCTCGCAGCTCCAACAGATGGATGTTGGCTGCTGCTTCATCCGCGTCGAGAAGGACGACGAGAAGGGCATCCCATTCCGCATGGTACTTCCTCTCTGGAGACATCCCGGCAGCGCCAACCTCATGGTCGACAAGGACGACCGTAAGGCCATGCTACTGAGGCTGTTCAACGAAAAGGATACCGAGATTATCAACCACGTTGCCGACAAGGCCAAGGCGGAGCAGCAAGCCCGCGATGCTGAAGAGGCAGGTGAGGATGATGCCAAGGTGAAGGAAGAGGGAGACGTCAGTGACGGCGAGCAAGCCACCGAGGCCATGGTCGCTGAAGAGGAAGAGGGCGCTATGAAGGTCGAAGTGGAAGACGATGACGTGAAGATGGAGGGCGATGCTTAGGTGTCGTCATCTCTTCACAACGTAAAAGTCATTGTTAGAGCATTTTGGCTTTGGCTCATCATTTGGTTTGCATTTGGGTTGGCGTTTTATTCTTTTCGGTCATCATCTAGAGCTCAGCTTCAGCTTCTTACTCTATCACGCATATCTATGTATGAATGTCATGATGCAATCGTTCAACACCTTCATCGCCTCTTTGATCATGACCTCCAACAACATGTATTACAAGGGGTATTCCAATAAAACTACAAAACATGCTCCAGACACCCCTCACCTCCACCAATACAGGACCTCGCTCAGAAACACGTAATAAACAAATCTTCTCTCACGCAAAACGATACCTCCCCCTCAAAAAGCCCACCTAAGACTTTTCCTTATCCCCCGCTTTCGTCGCAACGCTCTTTCCGCTCTTAACACTCTTCCCACTCTTCATACTCTTCAAGCTCTTCTTACTCGCACTACGCTTGAGTTTTGCTTTGAGTTTACTCCATTTCTCCCTCAGGCCACCGTCTTCATCCTCGTCAACATCTTTCGGCCTCTCGACGCTATCGAAACTGCCGCGCGGATACTCGAGCTCACTGCCTATGTCTACGCTATCGTTGTTCCTGGCGTGTTGCTGATGCGATTTCCGGGGTGTCTGTTTATTGGGAGTTTGGATACCAGATGATGTGGCGGCGTCTTTGTGCCGACCCAGGAGCATGAATTGGAGGGTTTGCCAGGCGGGCATGTTGGCGATTGGACTATCCTTTTCGTTGGCCTGGACATCGGCGTTCTTCCAGGGACAATGTTCGCGGTGGGACTCAAGAAGATTAAGCCTCAGACTCTCAATCGGCACATCTAACTTCTTGCTCATCTCTGTGAGGCGCGTGGCGGATGAGAGCCACAGACCCAGGCGCTGGAAACAGTGGTTGCATACTGCGAGGGAGATGCGCGATTCGGAGACGCCGGTCCAGCCGAAGAGGGCGAAGACGAAAGCTACGGTGTCGCTGGGTGAGAGCGGGGGTTGGGTACCGGAGGATGTGAAGAAGGAGGAAGGGATGCGGGAGAGGATTTGTTGGATGGGTGGGTCGGGATATGTGATGTGTTCGAGGAGGGGGAGGTCGGCGGATATGGCTTTGAGGAAGCGGTAGCGGTCGAGTAGTTCGGCTGAGCTCTTGGTGCGTGATGCGATGGGGATGTGGTAGATGTCTTCTGTTTGGGTCGTTAGTCGTGGTACTGTTGCTGTCGCACGTGTCGTCCTACCTTGACACCCTCGCTTCCTCCACAGGCAGTCATCCGAATGTCCTTCGACAATGAGATCCTTGTATCGGTCAATTAGAGCGTCGTCGATATCGAAGGCCAGATCCTCGCTCATCTCGAGATCCTTTCCATTCGCATCTTTCCGCTTCGGCCTCAGCTTGACCGCAACACGATTCTCGCATCCACCCTTGCAAGCCACTGTGTTCCAGATATCGCAACTCCAGCCCCGCTTCGCCCACTCGACCTCGTTGATCGCGTCTGGCTTGGTCGTCCACTTCCTCACATCTGCAAACGTCTTCAGTCGCTCAAGGAAGTGTTCTTGGCTATATGGCTGGAAGTTGGGTGCTTTGCGCGGGGTCGAGGCTTTCGGTGTGACTACAGTCTTGCCTACAACCTTGATTGTCTTTTCCCTCCGTGGTGTCATAAGCTGTTCCTTGAGCTGCCGTATGCGCTCCTGTCCTTCCGATATGCCTCTCTGGCGCTCCATGCTCAGATTTGCGCTGCGCGGACGCTTGTTCGGATGTTCAGGGCTGTCCGGTTCCGAAAGCGCGGAAAGCGACGCGGTCGATGCATTTGACTCTTGGAGGGTGCTCGCGAGTGAAGTAGTTGAGTTGCTTGCGGTGAGATTATCTAGGAGCTTGTGGAACTTGCGCTTCGTGGTCGCAAGCGCGGGCTGCTGCTCTGTCGAAGTCATGGTGCCGGAGTGAAAGAGTTCGCGATGAATTGGGCGGAAGGGCGGATCGTTCGAGTTTGATTATTGGGATGCGCGTGTCGTAGAGTCGTTCTATGTCGATCTTTGTTTACGTCCACTCAAGAAGAATGCCAGGTCCGTCTATTCGCTCAGCATCGATCGGTCGTAGTCGAAATGATGTGATAAAAGCTGCACTTCGCAAGACAAGACCGCAATCTCGAATGTCTGTGCACTAACAGTTGAAAGCCGTTGGGGGAAGTGTTGTTGCCATGGCGGCGACCCGATTCCCCATGCAGTAACCTCCGCCCGCAGCGCCAAGCGGCGGCCAGCGGCTGCGTCGCGTCAACCCACCGACCTGCAGAACCCCACCAAAGCGACAAGGAGGGGCTGAAGATTGTTAAGTGTTAGCGTTCAATGCCCACCCAAATTGCGCCATCAAGATTCTTCCTGCTAGCACTCGCCATCCTGGCTATCTCACTTGTCAATCCATCACTGTTCTCTCGCAGTGTTGCTCGTCTTTCTCAATTGAAACACCACATCTACCCGTCCGCCGCGCTTCATACCTCACAGCACGTATACACAAACTCCAATCGAAGCATACAAACAATGGCCTACGAAAAGGAACTGGAGATTGCTCTCCTCGCCGTGCAACGCGCTTCTATCCTCACAAAGTCCGTCTACTCGAGCCATTCCAAAGGCACGCTATCCAAGAGCGACTCCTCACCCGTCACAATCGGCGACTTCGGCGCACAAGCCCTAATCATCGCATCGATAAAGCACGCATTCCCCGAAGACGAAGTCGTCGGCGAGGAGGACGCCAATGACCTACGCAAGAATGACTCGCTCCGAGACCTCGTCTGGGATCTAGTACAAGCAGCGAAGCTCGACGACAGCAGCGCAGAGGAAAAGATCGGCGGACCCATCAAGAGCGCAGACGCCATGCTCTCAGCACTCGACCAAGGAAACAGCGAGGGCGGAAACAAAGGCCGGATCTGGGCTCTCGACCCCATCGACGGCACAAAAGGTTTCTTGCGCGGTGGACAATACGCCGTTTGTCTCGGTCTCCTCGTAGACGGCGTCCCCACCGTCGGCGTAATCGGGTGCCCCAACCTGCCCGTTGACGACCAAGCCCCCCTCACCACAACCACCGGACAAGACGCCGACGACAAAGAGGGCAAGGGCGTGCTCTTCGGCGCTGTAAAGGGACAAGGCGCTACAAGCCGCCCCCTCAGCGCAGGCGCTCTCACACAAGCCAACCCCATACAAATGAAACCCCTCTCCGACGTCACCCAAGCCACCTTCTGCGAATCCGTAGAAGCAGGCCACTCCTCCCAAGGCGACAACGCAGCCATCGCGTCCAAGCTAGGCATCACCAAGCCCTCCGTACGCATGGATTCCCAAGCAAAGTACTGTTCCATTGCGCGTGGAGCCGGTGATTTGTACCTCAGACTGCCGGTTAGCAAGACGTACCAGGAGAAGATTTGGGATCACGCGGCGGGTGTTGTGTTGGTCCAGGAAGCTGGTGGTGAGGTTAGTGATGCGTATGGGAAGCCGCTTAACTTTGGTCTGGGGAGGACGCTTAGGGAGAATAAGGGTGTTGTTGCTGCGCCTAAGGATGCGTTTAAGCAGGTTATCGAGGTTGTGAAGGAGGTGCTGTTGAATAAGAAGGAGTAGGGGTGTGGTTGTTGACTGATATGATATGATGATTTTGTGTACCAAGTTGTGTGGTCTTGATTCTGATGAGGTGATAAGTTGATGTCACAGTCTTCTCATTACGAGGCTGAACCACACCTTTTCTTTCTCCAACTACATCACAAGCAAAGCAGCCACAGTACTAAACAATACTCACAAGACACTTCTAGTATAACCCCGCGTCGAAAAATCTGATTGAACTACCCTCATACTCTAGAAGCCCAAACCTGCTAACCTAGAAAAACGCCAAAATGCGGAACTATGAAGTACCCTCAAGATATCCCTGCCTACCAACCTGAACTTACTCCTACTCCAATACCAGTATTCCCATAAAAATCCCCCCATCCTATTCCATTTCCACCAGAAAAGCCGTAGTCAAACGTAACTAAGTTCCCATTTTCGAACCATATTTCCTCCCTTTGGGTATCACCTGCTGTAGATCCTCCATCTTCTTACTCCGTAAAATTGCAATCTGGTGTTTCTCTCCATGTGGATGATGTTCAAGTTGTTGTCAACGTGTTGTTGAAGTGGCTTGTATGAGCGATGCGCTGCTTTCGCGTCCTGGATAGACTGTCAAAGTCATCGAATGACGACTCATGCTGTGAGTGTAGTCGTAGGCGTGAGAATACCGCCGCCTAGAGTATCGTCTCCGGATTCATCAACGAAGGTGCTTTCGGCACCTGCGTCGAGCTCGTCGGTATCTATATCCGCCTCTGCACCGGTATCATTGACTTCCTCGGTCTGTTCTTGCTCATTGTCATGCTGAACGTGTTCAGCCTCTACGTCTACCGGTAGATGCAGTATGTGAGCACTCATACCAGGCACAGGAGTGAGGTGTATCTGCGCGAGTCCTTGCTGGAGTGCTTCAACCTCCTCGTTTACGTCTTCAGTCATTTCGACGTTGTTCTCTTCTTCGTCGGAATGATCGTAGGCGACGTGGTATGGCGAAGGCCCCGACGCACTGATGGTGGTCAAGTTTGCGGGTTCCTCCATGACACCGAATTCTGTTGTCACAGTGATAGAGTCCGGGCTCGGGATGGGTAGCTCGTGTGCATATGATGAGGAGGAGCCGTCCATGATCGGGTTGACAGTGCTCTCGTCATAGACTGTCGTAAAGAATTCAAACATCTGTCCAGCCAACTCATCTGCCTGCCCGCGCTCTTCCTTGTCTTTCCTCTGCTTGGCGATGGCACGGAGTTGTTCCTCTTTCTTTTGTTTGATCTCCGCCTCAAGCCGGCATTTGGCACGAACGTTGGGTTTGTGTGTGCATGTCGGGCAGTGGTAGTTGACAGTGCAGAATGTGCAGGTGCAACTTGGGTTCGACGATGCGCATTGCTAAAGATATATTAGTGACTACGATGATCATGTACTGGTAGTGAACTTACATCGCAAACAAGAACTGCACACTCCGAGCATTCCTTAAGGATAGCTGGACACTGTGGTCGAACATCCCCTGCGGGTCTCGGATACTGGCAAAAGTATGCACCACAACCACTCCATTGAACGGGATGCCGTGGATTGCACGGCAGAGGAAGAGGATTCGTGACTGGGTGATTGATTGGAACGCGTTGCGAATTCGGCGGCCAAGCACTGGTGGGTCGACCGCGAACGCCAGACACGCTGAAGGAACGCGGGCGCCCAGAGCTGATGGGAACAAACGATAGCGACGTGGCAAGTTGGAAAGGCTCGGGATTTGAAATAGAATTGAAAGATGTGGTGGTCGACATATCGATTGACGAGTGTTGAGGAGCAACCATGATTTGCGACTGAGACATGGGTGTCTCGGAGGATTCAGACTCGTTGTCCCCCGTGGAGTAGAAGTCTAGATGCGATGACGATGCTGTAGGTGTGCGTTCAGGATCCGGTGTACTGGCCCTATTCGGGTTGAACTCGGGTATGACGAGGCGTTGTGGCGGCTCGTTGTGTGACCGCACATGGTCTCGCTCTGTATGTAGGTCCCGGTAACCACACTTGCGGACCTTGAGCGCCCTGAAGTCATGCTCCTTGCATATGGGGTTTTTGCAAGCCCGACATGACACTTTCCACCTGAAGCTTCGATAGCAGTCGTTACATAGCCCTCTCGGACATGTTTGTTGTTGCAGATCAAGCGAGTCTTGCTTCAGGTACGACAGGATATCAACGTCTTCCCCAAGCACATATTCGTACAGGCCGTTGTTCTTCAATTCCCGGACGTAGTCCACGGGTCGAAGTGTGTTGCTGAAGTCCGGATCCTCATACTCCTTTGTGCGAGGTAAAGGCGCTGCGCGTATCTTATCCGCTCCTCGGCCACCCAGTCCAGTACCCAAAACAGCAATACCGCCACCGCCAGAGAAGATGGGCTCAAGACAACACCAATGCATGTTCAATTTTGGTGGCTCGCGGTTCGCAGGTGGTACAGGCATACCGTTGTTCCCGTCTTCGGAATCAGAGTCGTCGTCATCCTGTGCACCCTCGTTCATGAGGTTCGGTGACCGGCTCGCGCCTGGGGCCCACCAAAAGCGATTCTGGTCAACCTTCTCCTCTTGACTCCGGTCTTCCAGTGGTCCAGAAGACCCTGACGCGTGTCCAAGTGTGCCGCCCAATGTGCCGGTGTTGCCAAAAGCCAGGTTTGCGAAGTGCCGTGTCTTAATTCGTTTCCTCGGTATCGGCCTGTTGAAGGCGCAGCTCGCACAGAGCGTCTTCCTGCAGCCCATGCAGTGCATGCGGACACTGCACGACTCGCATCGCTCCAGGATAGGATCGTTGCATTGCGCGCATTTGACTTCTTCAACAAAGACAGTATGGCTCCTCCGCTCGTGCACTGGGACATGTTTGCCTTCTCCGGCGGAGTTCCCGTCTTCGGGACCGAGTGGCTCGCCATCCTCTCCGGTCTCGGCAATCTCCCATAACCGGCCATCGTGTTCGCCCAGCTTGGTCGTGCCTTCCACCGGGCCAATGCGGTTGCTCGATCGCCATAACCGGTCAAAAGGTACCCAGACTTCCATGTTCTGGGGTCCTGCTCTTCCAGCGTGGTAGTCCTTTCTCCGGTTGCACCTGCCGCCCGGTGTCGGACACCACGCTGTATCTGTCCATATCCCCAACTGATGGCATATCTCGATAAGCTGGTGGGTGGGGTCGGAATCGGAGTCTCTCCGAATGAGGGAGGACGGGAGGTAGGGCCGCCGGCGGTGGTGTCGACAGCGGTAGGTGTAGAGGCTCTTGAGAGCGAGGTCCTTCTTTATCCAAGGTGCGTCCTTCAGTGTGTAGGGTTCGAGGAAGGGCACGATGTGGTACTTGATGGAGACGTTCTTGCAGCCGCGTACCGACAGATGCTGGAGGGTGTCCTTGCGCGGGCCAACTACGTCGCTGATAAGCGAGACGCCAGCCACGGCCGTGTTGCAGAGGTCCAGACTGGTCAACCGTGACCCGTTCGGCAGTATAGTCTGGATGAGGAGGGCGTTCAGCGAGTAGGCCTTGGATTGGCGTTCCCGGTTCTCAGGCGTCTCGTTGCCGGGCGAGCCCACTGCGACGGCGGGCTGGGGCAGGCGGAAGGAGAGCGTCTTCCATGCGAGGGGGTACTGCTGCAGGAAGTGGCGCAAGTGACGTGATGTGTGGTAGAGTTCGAGGAGGGTGACGGTGGAGATCTGGGCGAGGAGCGACTCTAGAACGGGCGGGTACGAGGTGATTATGGATTCGAACAGGCTGAGGCTGGCTCCTGGTGCGGCGGCGTGGCTCACTGTTATCGTCTCGGTGTGCGTCGTCGCGGCTTTGGAGCCATGGCGGGTGGTGCAGGCCCCGAAGTCGCCGTGGCCGCCGTGGAGTATCGTGCTCATGCTTCGTGGGTGGTGAGTGACGGTGTCTACACAATCACGCCCGGGAAGAGGATGGCAGCGACATGCACGGGTGGAGCGCGTTGAGTCGTGTCGCGCAAGCGAAGATGGTCGTGTGAGATGGCTTGGCCAGCCGTCCGTCGCAGGCCAGGGTTCTTAGGCCAAGATGAAGGCGATCCGTTTGCCGTCGCCGGGCGATCTTTCTGCCTCACCGATAGCCAGGTGCGACTAGCAGTACCATCCTCACTGTCATTCGGCTCACGCTGCCGGCGACTTCATCAAAGACGCGAAACTTGACGTGCCAAGCTGAGACTTTGATAGATATGCATTCGGCCCTCCTCACCCTCACGCCGGCGCCAACCAGCCTATCAGCCAGCGGCACATTGCAGTCCCTCCCTCAGCCTTGCCGCGACAGCCCTCTGCCAGCTCAACACGGTGCATCACCTGGCGACACTAGTGCGCGTTGCTTTTGCCTGTTGGCAGACACGACACTTCTATTCCATTCGCCTGTGCGCGTCCATAATCACATCATCCGCGCTTGCTGTGCGACTGCTACTGAAACCCCTTTACCCCGCTGCACTGTCCCAATTCGCCACCCTTAGCATATCATGGCAGGAGAGACAACACCAAACCAAAAACATTACATAGGATACGCTAAGAGGATATCAAACAGAGTGCGCCAGGTAGGCCCTTGAGCGAAAAGTTATTGGGCATACGCTCGTGCCCACAACATATTCCAACAAAAACAAAGACAAAACGCCGCAGGGACCCCTCTGCGCTACTGAGTGCGTACGCAGGGCAGCATGCGGACCAAATATTCCAAGTACCACAATCAAAATACCCAATTGCCCTGCGTGTCCCGATCCTCAAGCCCATCAAACAGAACAATATCCCATTGATCCTCATCCTCACCAGCCGGCGGCCACAGCGAATTATCAATGAATGAAAACACTGGGAGATGCTGCCCCGTAGCCGTAGCATTCATCAGCTTACCCGCATCCGAGTCGAGATCGAAAACCGGCCGTATGGGCAGCTTCATAAACTCCAATTCCACAGTCCCGAAGAAAGGTATCGTATGGCGGACTTTGCCACCAGGTTGTTTGCTCGGGTCCAGTGAGGAGAGGATCTTCTTGAGTACTATAGCGCTACGTGCTGCGATTCTTTCGCGTGGGCTGGCGTTGGCGAGTTTTTCCATTTCGCCGATGAGGCGGCATATCATGGCGAAGTCTGTTCCTTTGGTCTTCTTTACTTCGGTCTTGTCCTTTGTACCCAGCTCGATGACGATGTCGAGGGTGAGTGTGACGGCGGCGATGAAGACTCCGAGCTCTGCGAAACGACAGCAGGCTTGTGTGATGCTGGCGTTGCGAAGCGCGAACCATCTCATCAAGATATTGCGGCAGGCCTGTAATGCAGTGACTTTGGAGTATTCGTAGCGGTTGTCGAGATGTGCTCTCAGTAAGTAAGGCAGGTGAATGAATAGCTTCATCTGAAAGTGCCAGACTTGCACCATCAGTCGCTCTAGGGTAGCGAAAGATTCTGGCGACCTTGCTGTCGACGGTATGTTTGGCACTTCCCAGAAGTCCTTCGGCATCTCCTTGATGCTAAACTCTAGCTGTTCGTCCAATGCCAGCGCCGCCGAGTATGCCTGTGGCGAGACATCGCGATCAAGCTCCGCCACTTGTCTTGTCATGTAGTTAAGTTTCGACCGATGAACCAGATGTGGGCTGGCGTCTGCTGGAAGTGGATAGTCGTCCGCGCCGAACGGGAGGCGAAGATGCAGTCCTAGATACCGATCAATGTCAACGAAAGAGCGCCATATCGACTTGGCGTCCGAAATCGCCGGGATCGGGGGATTAAGGTCGTCCTGCGCAATAATGCGCTGAAATCCCATGAGATGTGCCAGACTTAGACCACGCCGCACAACAAGCCATGACTGCCGTAACGAGGCACTGTTTAGATGGTAGAAAGCTAGGAGCAAAAGCGTCTCAAGTCCATGCAATGTCATGACCTGCTCGTCCGAGGAAGTTACCAACGATGTCACCGTCGATACATAGTTCTGCATTGCCGCCTCCATGTTCCAGATGCTCGAGAGGCGCGAATGGTCGAAATCGGGTGGGAGTGAGTTGATACAGATGGCCAGATGCAGCAGGGTGCGAGCGATGATAATGGTCCGCTCTTGTGCGACAGCCTGCATACACAGAGCATACGACTGCAAGTCGTTGTCAACATAGATCTCTTTCGACGCCCGGTAAATGCCTTCCAAGATCATCCATCCGTTAGACGATTCGAAAATGATATCTGCATCATGTTGCGACGGCAATAGGGCGGCTAGGGTTTGGTGATTGCTGTCATAGCCTATGGCCTGCCCTTTGCTGTCTGATTTGTCGACCAAAGTACGAAGAGAGGGCGCTGAAGTCCAGGTTTGCGCCCCAAGCTGACAACATTAGTGTGGGCGGCATGATGAGAAGACTCGACTCACAATCCCATCGGCCAGTGAGGAAGTGCTATACGCATCACTTCGCTGTCCCGATACATCCGGTTTGATGTCTTTCTCGCTAGAGCCTGAGGCAGTGAGGGCAGGGCTGTGCGGCACAGTAGTGGCGGCGCCTGCGGTGGCATTTTTACGACACACAAATCTTTCAAAGAGTTGTTCCAGTTTGCATAGCCTTTCTTGGATGTGATTTGAGCATGGATTGCCGTCATCTACCCGATCCGATCCGGTATTGTCCATGATGGCGGAAGAGCTGAGGGTAGTTTGGCTTGCATTCCCGTGAACCTTGCGCTTCTTGCCTGTAGCATCTTTAGCAAGTAGTCCAGAAGATTTGTAAACGGATCCTAGTCTTACACTCCCAGCATGCCCGGCGTAGACTTTTCGAGGGTCGTTTCTTAGAAGTATTACTCGCGTTACTCAATGATTCCATGATACTCTTGGCGATAACAAGCGATGAAGATGGTATGGTTTACAGAGATCTGGTATTCCTGTCACAGGCCTATACCTGATAAGGGCGGCCATGTTACTTTCATAGCGGGGTGAACGTGTTGCGATGGCAATTGCTGATGTGGAGCTGACCTGTCGGACCGCCGGCCGGGTTTCGTCCGCAACGGAGGCCGAGGATTACTCTACTTTAGTAAGTCATACAGTTCCGGCGCTTGGTAACGGCAAGGGAGGCTCGCCCGAAAATATGGCCACCTTAATAAGCGTATCTCTGAACGGGTACTGTAGAGTACCCTCGTGTTTGATGTTTTTGGTGCGCTCTTATCCGCAGCCCTGAATTCCACAGGCTCCTTTGGTGTTGAGAAGTTCGCAACTTTGGATTATCGACATGTCGGCTCCAAGGATGCTCCGACGGATGATTGCACAACGCGACCAGTGCTTATGCGGCCTATCTCCGCCGTGTACCAACGCATTTAAGAAAGCCACGCGCGTTGTTGACAAAACCTGGGAAAGTCGCGTCTCGGATACGGATATCCTATTACCAACATGTCGCTCAAGATCGTAGTTTCTGGTGTCACTGGTCGCATTGGCGCGCATGTGCTGCACCATGCGCTACAAAACCCGCTCGTATCGAGGGTTATCGCAATATCACGGCGGCCCCCACCCGGGATAGAAATTCACGCTAAGCTGGAGGTAGTGTTGCTTGAGGACTTTACAAAATACCCCGACGATGTGCTTGCGAAACTATCCGGGGCAGACGGATGCATCTGGTACCGAGGCATCTGAGTTACACTCCCTAACGACTGCTGACGTTGTCAAGGTGTATGACGACAACGGCTGGTGATCCCATGTTAGAGCTAGAATATCCCAGGGCGTTTGCTGAGGCGTTTGGATCGACCATGCCAGTCGACTCAAAGCGCTTTCGGTATTTGCACTTGTCAGGCGGGATGGTGGAACGCGATCAGGAGAAGTCATTATGGATGAAAGGCTCGATGCGCAAGATCAAGGTAGGCGCTTATTGTTCTTTTGTGATGCCATGTGCGCACGTTGCAGTTAGAGTGATCCGGGGCAAGCTGCCAAAAGTGCTGACTCTGCGAAGGGCCGAGGAGAAGTTCAAATGCTTGAATTCGCAAAGCTGAACGAAAGCTGGACCACAGTCATAGCTCGGCCAGGCATGGTTGTGCAAAGAGGCAGTCTTGTTGGTGAGGCTTCCATGATGATGGCTGGCTCTTCTGGCTCCTTCATCCGATTTGATGAGCTTGCGCTTGCACTCGTGGATGCGGTTGTACATGGCAGCGAAGAGCTGTTACTACCTTCTGCACTCGTACAACGAGGCCAACAATTGGTGAGGGAGGCCATCAAGTGACCTGTTCAGTCAGAAAGGAGGGGGAGATGTTTTGGATTCCATTTGATCCATGAGTTGGAAGCGAAGGCTGGCGCCAAACTACCGCTTAATTTCCTACCGCATATGATCACTGTCAATACCGGGAAGGTTCCGCGTGTGCGCATGATCCATCGAGATCATCTATGTTCATCCGCTATCTGCTGGTATTCCCAAACTCCGATGCAACGTAACGCAGGGTGAGACCTTTCAGGCGTACATATCATCATAGTCTTCTTCGTCATCATCCGCAGGCGGTGGCGGCGGTTGTTTCTTCTTCAACAGTTCTTTGCGATCAAGAGGGCATGTGGAGTTCAGCTTGAGCCAAGGTCCTATGCAGTCCAGATCGAAGCGATGATCGTCGTGACAGGGCAGCCGGACTACGAGTGGATACTTGTCTATGCAATTACCATCAGCCAAGCTCTCAAGCTCTACGTTGGGTCTTTGAGACGTGCGACGTACCTTCGAGGAATGGGTTCACACAGATTGGGCAGGTATCAGAAGGCTTCAGCGCTTTCTTTGGTACGCGCTCCAATTCATCCAGGAAGCTGTTTGGAACTCCCTTCAGTTCTGTGGGCGGGTCGTCGGCATTCTCGCGGAGCATCTCGATCATACTCGCTAACAGATCCCCGTGTTCGTTGTTCTCGTCCGCCGGTCGTCCGCGCATGGTCTCGAAAGCATTGGCAAGCAAGCGGAAGGCCGCCGCCATATTCTCGGGCTGCGGTAAAGCATTGGCGTTCGTATGCGCGCTGGGATCCGACGTGTCCACCAGTTCAAGCTGCGAGAAGAAGGTCGAGAGGTCCGGTCGGCGCGAGGGTTGTTGCGACTTGTTGTCGTCGGTGGAGATGTTGTGTTCAACTGTCTGGGTTAGCTGTTGTGTTGCGCACACAGTCGCTCCTGCCTACCTTCGTAGCCAGACATGGTGGCGGTATTCGCAGGTCCGGATTAGGGTTTGTGGTTTTGGCGGATATGCTTACCAGCTGAAATTATGAAGCTACGCGGAGTAGACGCGTCACAGCAGCAGCCTGAGACCCTGCAGTCTGACCCCTCAGTTGTGGCGAAGGTGGCGCTCATCAGCCACACCTTGACCCACACTGCATGATGACAATTCCACTCTGCGCTCGTCCATCCCGAGGTCTGCTCGCCATCGGCTTTCACTTGAGCCCGTCATTCCTGCCACATCGACGTGTGGCGCAGTCCAAGCCGCCACCCTCATTGGCGCTCGCTGCTCGCAGAGCCCGAAGACAAGCTAATACTAGGGGAAGCTTGTTCGTGTGGTATGCGATTCTTGCGACACGCGACACTTGCGCGTTCTTTCGCAGTAAGTAGCGAGGCCGCGTCTGTCGTTCAAGGTAGAGGTGCAGTGTGGAGGAGTTCCCTGTCAGCGCTGTCCCCAGTCTAGCGACGCTACAGGCACCCTGCACCACCTGCGTGAGGTTGGGCGCTGCATGCATATCTTGTCGATATCTGGGGAAACAAGCAACTGATGCCCAGGCACAGATCTCGGCAAAGATGCGACTCCATTGGAAACCGCTGGCGTGCACTCGAAGCAAATAATTGGGGCCCTGTGGAGCCGGTGATCCAGATCATGCACAGCCTCCTAGTGTTCGCAACCAAGTCGTCACGCACACTTTTCCCTGACAGACAACACAACATGCCGTAAAGGGGCGCAGCCATCGCAGCCGCAACCGATAGAGTCAGATACAAGAGGCAAAGCAGCCTCTGTGACACACTCCAGGTCTGACGCTTCACATTGCCAGTAGGAGTCTTACAGTGCACAACACTCACCGCTTGGACCAACGCCGCCGACGACTACCACTTCACTACTTCACCACTGCATCCAAATTTCCACTTCCGCTCAATGTCGCTGCTCGTCATGTCAACAGATCCACCTTCTACTTTGGAGCGATTATCGCCCTCCTGGATACGCCGTCCCATGTCTCGAAGATCGACATCACCGCAAAAAGAGTCGCGGCCTACAACATCAAACGGCCTACTTGCACCAGAACCAGCGTCAACATTCAGCAATAGCGATGGCACACGATCACCACGCTCAAGCTCATCTAGCCGCCGCGGATCAATAATAGAGTTTGTTACCAGGTTCCGCTCTTCGTCCAACGCCAGTGTCGCAAGCAACAAATCCCAAGACCCTACAGACTTCAGTGAAATCGAGAACTGGTTTTACGGATTCCGGAGATACAACCAACTAGTCAGCAACACCACATCACCAAACAAAGCCGACCCACCGCAAGATCTGTCGAAATCGTTCAAGAAGCTGACGAAGAAATGCGGGGGTCAATTTCTGCACGGGCTACCAGAAGCAGTCTTTGACTTCTCACTACTCTGGTGTCCCGCAGGCCACCTGACCAGGAAAGACAACAACGAACCATCCTGGAGCTGGACTGCCTACGAAGGCCCCGTAAACTATCCATTCGACCCAACAACCTGTCCCGATATGTACAAACTACCACGCAGCGAGGGCGAATGGTTCCAATCCGAGGTCGTAAACTTCCACATCGGTCCCCAGTCGGCGCAATACACTGTCCGGCGGGAAAAAGAAAACTCCTTGCGCATCAAATACCCGCCTTATTTCCACGCGCCGCGCGGCTCGGACCACACCAATGAGTCGAACACACTGCGATTTACTGCATCGACCATCTCCGCAGACGCGTTCACCGCAGAGCCTATCACACATGACGGCAAAGAAATCCCGTCCTCACATCTCGTCAACGAGGAGGGGAAAACTTGTGGCGCAATCATGGACTACGAGTCTGAACTCTCAAAACCCTCTTCCACCGGTCCCTTTGAATTCGTGCTGCTCTCAAGGAATCTGTGGCGCGAACCGAATCCCGATAATCGGAAGCCGGAGTCGAATACTATGCATCCAGCAGGCACGCCTATCTGGGACGGACAGCGTTTTCTGTGGAAGGATAGGGTTTGTGATCATGATGAGCAGTTCGAGGAGGGGCCGTGGAAGATGCTCAATGTTATGTTGATTAAGTGGGTGGGGGAATATGCGGAGCGGGTGGCGATTGCGAGGATACATGAGGATGAGTGGAAGAAGCATAGTCCGAGTAAGCAGGATATTGTACTGAGATGAGATGAGATGAGATGTTTTCATCCTTTGGTTATGATTAGAGCGATGAGATGGGTATAAGGGTGGATACGCCGTTCAATTATGAGGTTTTGAACATATGGGTAGTCGATTACGACTGACTAGAGTTTACAGACCAGATCTGATCTTCATGAAAGTGTTTGCTGACTACAAAGTTTATTTCATGTTTCCATTTCATACCGCTATGTGAACGTATGAGTCTAGCAATCATATACGCTTGGTACCCGAGACTCGGAGACTCCATGTAGTCTCGGCGACTACTTGTAACCTTCCATCAAGAAACGCTGAACTCAACGTGTACTTCAAGTCTTCTCCTGCTTCTTCTTTTCCAACTTCTCCACCTCCTCATCTATGCACTTGAAGCTCCAGTTCTGGTAGAAAAGCGGATATAGGAAAGGCCTCAAGTCGAATCGATTATCGTCAGGTGAGTACGCTTCCGCATGGTAAGAAGGCGTCATTGTCGTCATCTTGTGGCGGTTGATGGCATAGTAGTGGAAGAACCGCTTGACCTTGACTGCGACCTCGGCGGGAGTATACTTATCGGACCATTCGTGTGCTAGGCGAACCCAGGTTCCGTACGGACCAAGTTTAAGCTCTTTGCGGCATTTGCCAAAGACACCGAGTTCTGCGTATGTCATGCCCATATCGACCTCGTCGCTCTGGACATAGTCTTCTGTGAGTGGTTCAAGTTCGGCCGTTGGTGTTGCGTCGATGAACTCGCCGAGGATGGGTAAGTCAAACTCTTTCTGGGCGTATCCAATAAATCTCTTGAGGTCGGTCTTGGAAATGCTGCCGATAGGATTAAGGTCAGCGCTGCTGCAGTCGTACTTGGTGAGGTATCCGCGCAGACACTCGTCGACGTTTCCTGAGGCAAGCACTAAAAGACTACCTCCATTAGGTCTACCCCGAGTCAATGGTAGCATCTGGGCGAAGTAGTAGGCTTGCACAAGCCTTGTTCTAGCTTGGATGTTCTGGAGTGCCAAGTTCTCAGCAGGTGAGCCGCCATGAGCCCTGAATCGTGGCGTAAAGCCCGTAGCCTTCGTCAACCCGTTCTTCGTGCTAGTGTAGATGTCGTCGATATCCGCTTCGACATGGTGACATCCAATGTCTTCCGCTAACCTCTTGGCGCGGCTCCTGGTCTCTGTGCTTGATTGCTGAGACATTCCCATGTATACGGTATGAAGAATGCCGTTGCATATTTGATGTGGGCTCGTGGGCATCCAATCTTCGCCGTGATAAGGGCCTACGATGCGGCGGACATCCTCGAGAACTTGCTTGTTGCCGTCCTGCACAGCCTTGTACACGAGGCGGCACATGGAGAATACCAGAGTCGCGGTGGCGCAGCTGTCGATTCCCCCGCTGAGGGGCAGCATGAAGCCAGCCTGTCCTGACCGGCGGAGGTAATCCCAAAGCCAGCATGCAGGTCCTAGGGCGATCTCCTCTTCAGGTCGATGGTAATGTAATGGTTGGATGGGCGTCGGTCGAATGGTCGGATCGAAGTCTGCATCAGATGACAAACGTATTTCCGCCCTGAAGCGCTCATAACAAGAAGCTGACACAGCTTGTAGACCACGAGACGGACTTGTCCGGTATGACTGCAGAGGTAGAGGTACGAAGTCAGTATATGTCTCACATGCACTTCGCATCGTCAAAACGTACCCATATCTCCTCCAAGTCGATGTTTGCAGAAATGACTTCAACATCATTCAAGGAGAATTGAGACGCTTGTGCACGGACAGTGCCATTGACGAGTACCTGTAAGGAATCAGTACCGATCACACATAGAGTTTGTATTGATATTACTGACCATGCTGGAGCCATCATAGTAGAGGCGGTCACCATCGCAGCCTTTTTGATTGCTAGAGAAGTCAGTGTGTATCTCACATGCAATTTACAGCTAGAACTCACCTATATAGATAAGCGCCACCCCCTTTGGCAGTGGCGTTCTTAATCAGGTCGAGACGCAGATCCAGCTTTCGCAACTCATCTGACATGGGATGTTAGTATGATTCCCTTGCTCCGTACATGGAGAACTCACGATGGGAACCTGACGAATTGATGATGATGTCGACGCCCGCTAAGCTCAAGTCGATATGCGGCGCCCGAGGCGTGAATAGCTCTTCGCAGGTCTCGTAGCCTATTGAGCAGTCGAGGGCAGATATTATCGCGTCTCCGATCGGAACGAAAGCTGAAACTTGGAGAGAGCGTGCAGCAGCGGGAAGCTCATGTAGTTCGTACTGCTCGACGCGTTGGGGTGGAGACCAGGGAATGAAGTATCGGCCTTCTCGATAATTCCCGGCCATGGCAAGAGACATCTTCGGTCTGATGAGCAATATCTTGCCATCCAGCAGCACTATTCTCGCATTGAAAAGATTGCCGTTATGCCTCCTGTATGTTGTTGTACGTATTCAGTGTATGTCTCAAGATGTAGTTCGTACAAAGACACTTACACCGGCATGCCAACATCATAAATGATGCCGTCGAGTTCGCGGTCAACGATGAGAGATGCTAGCATTTCCCAGGCGTGCTTGACCTGACGAGGTCAGTAGCTAATCTCACGTATAGTTCGTACGGGGAATATTACTGTGTCCTGTTCTTCAGAGATGGAGGTAAAAAGTCAGTATATGTATCACATGCACTGCTTACAGTCAAACTTTACCTAAGAAATGATCTAGACACCCGTAACCGGGGATCGACAGTTCCGGCGTGGTAACGTAGCTTCATATGTGAGCTTCTTGTCTCCTCTTGATCATGAATATTCCCTACCGGGCACCATGTTCTTTGGCAAGCTTGATGGTTTCTCTTACACGCGCAACGTTTCCTTCCCAATCGAGCGCCCATTGATTGAGGTTTGCCGTCGAGAATGTGACAAGTCTTCCCATGTCGAGTAACTTGAACACTCCAGTCAAAGCGGGGTGTAGGTTGGTTGAAGTCGGATTGATATAGGAATAGGAGAGAGCGATTAGGAAGAAAGTCCTCGAGGTTGGATCCAAGGCGGAGGGTGACTGATGGAAAAGAAAATATATATTCAACGACTAGAAATTCGCAAGAGGTGGGCGGATCCAGGGTTGTGGTGAGTCTGACTTCAGAAGTTAGTGGTGTCCAGGTGGGGGATACCGGCGCGCGCTAGCGAGCTAGTCCAGATGCAGAAAAGCGCGGGCCAGGGATCAGCCGCAACCAACCTGGGAGACCACTGAGCCACATGCAATGTCGTACTTTCACGTACAGTGAAATCTTTCTTGCCCAGGTGTGCGACTCTCTTCATCTGCTCACGGCGTGTCCAGCATCTTGCATGACGTCCGCCATCTGCAAGGCTCGCTGCTCTCCCGATTGTCGACGACATACGCGTATCGGCTAGTAGCCATTTGCTTTCCCTGCGTCGTCGGTTGTGCCCAAGCGGGAGTCGTGGTTGGCTGCCACTAGAAGTGCCCGACGCCAATCCCTAGGTAGTGGCTTTTGAAGGTGGGTAAACGGGAGACCCTTCTCCGCAGGTCTCTTCAAACACACCAATGTCGGATTCTATCGACCATGCGATTGCACGTACGCAGGCCAGGCGACGGCGTCGCATAGACCATGCGGATCTAGCGAGGGAGCGGGAGAAGACGTTCTATCGGTAGGCTTATCTCGATTGGCATGCGCCACCTGGAGAGTTACACTCACAATGCCCAGCTACTATCCGCGTCCGGGTTCTCATCTTCCCCAGACAGATGGCCCTGCAAGCCGTCACTCGTCGCCGGGACCGGCTCCCAAGTCGCAGACGCCCCCGACTACCCCGCCGCCCTCTCTAGACTATGCCCCGCGAGCGTCGGACGACAAGGCCCTGACGGCATTTGCACAATTGGGAGCGCTGCGCCTGAATGCGCGGAGATGTCTCATATCCTTCTTCGACAGGACCGACTGCTTCCTCCTCGCCGAAGCCACGCGCACTCTGTCGTTACAGACTGGCGAGCCCGAATTCGAAGACGACCGTTTGTGCTTCGGCACCACCATCTTCCCCAAAGAACAGAGCCTCTGTAACTATACCGTCAACCTCGCTCCGAAATACAGCACGCAACCTCTCGACGATCCGAGCGACCTTCCTTCCCTCGTCGTCAACGATCTCAGCAAAGACAAACGCTTCTGCAACTTTCCCTTTGTCCAGGGCCCACCATACTCGCGCTTCTATGCCGGAGTACCAATCCGCAGCCCAAGCGGCCACAGCATCGGCACATACTGCGTTCTGGACGAGAACCCGCGGGACGGCTTGTCACCGCACCAGCTCGCTTTCTTGAAGAGCATGGCAGGCACAGTGATGCGGCACTTGGAGAGGACCAGGGCAGCTGAAGATCATCGCCGGGCCAAGATTATGGTCAAGAGTCTGGGATCTTTCGCTGAAGGGAAGAGCGGCTTGGAGAACTGGACGGTCGATCCCTGGGATCAGGAGACAGGGCAGTCGTCAGGTCTACCAGATGCTATTATACCCCAGCGCCAGCGCCCTTCTGCCAATTCCGATGCTGCGCAAGATCCAGCTGTGCTTAATGGAAACATAGACCCGGCTATGAGAATTCCGAAAGACACTCCACCTGCAACCGGCGCGCCCCCGAGTTTAGTCAACGGAGAGACAGTCGATAGTATGCGTCCGGAGATGACTACTACGGCGTCGTCCACTTCCACAAAAGGCTTCACCAAGACTGATCAAAAGGACAGAGTGGCCCCAGAACTGAGGGCTCACTTCACACGGGCAGCGAACATGATCGTAGACTCAACCGAGGCAGAAGGCGTGGCATTTTTTGACGCGAAAATTAGTACCTTTGGAGGTCTTGTCGACGATGACTTCGATCCCGATCAGCTACCTGAGCCTGACAAACCTTGCGATATATTAGGGGCGGCGCTTTGCAGAACCGATCGCGATACGAAGCCATTACCCAACACCGGAGAATGCATCTCAGAAAGCGTTCTTAGACACCTCCTGCGACTCTATCCACATGGCCAGATTTTCCATCTCGACGACGATCCTGCAACTCCTTCGGTCGCTTCGCCATCGACAGCTGGCGTCGACGAAGTTGAGTCAGCCGACGGCTTTCCGTTCAGTACACCGCGAAAATCGGAATCTACCAGAAGCTTGGACGACGAAGCTTACTTGAGGAGGGTTTTTCCGACCGCTCGGAGTTTGATACTATATCCATTGTGGGATCCGCATCGCGAGCGCTGGTTCGCCACGGCTGTCATCTGGAGCTCGGAACCGAAGAGAATCTTCACAACCGAGCAGGAGCTCAGCTACCTGGCAGCGTTCAGCAACTTTGTCATGGCTGAGGTCGCTCGTCTAGACACAAAGCTAGCTGACGCTGCAAAAGCCGATTTCATCTCGTCGATCAGCCATGAGCTGCGATCTCCACTGGTATGTATCACAAACGAAGTATTCGAAGCGCATGCACTAACCATATCTAGCACGGTATTCTGGGAATGACAGATCTGTTGAAGGATTCTCCTCTAGATGGCCAGCAAGTATCACATGTAGCAACAATCGAGACATGTGGAAAAACTCTACTGGAAACTATCAATCACGTAAGTTGGTGTAGGATGCATCAGATACTGCCACTAACTTTGTTGTAGGTTCTTGACTTTGCCAAAATCAACAACCTGACCCGGGGAGTTTCGAAGCGCCAGAAGAAGCGGACACAGAGCGCGAAGCATATGATCAGTCCGGGACAAGCTCACACCAATGATATCATGACACTAATCAACGACGTCGACATGAGCATACTGACAGAAGATGTGGTTGAGAGTGTTTTCGCCGGCTACACCTACGCGAAGACGTCTGCGCAAACATACGAGTTAACCGCGTCTAAAGTGAACAAACCGCCGATATCGATCATTCTTGACATCAACCAGAGCGACAACTATGTCTTCCGCACGCAGCCCGGTGCATGGCGGCGAGTCATCATGAACCTGTTTGGCAACAGCCTGAAGTATACGCCGGGTGGGTACATCAAGGTGAAGCTTGAGGTTAAGCGGAAGCCTGAAGACGAGGACGAGACCTGCGAATTTCGGTTCTCGGTGACCGACTCTGGTATTGGAATGTCAGAGGACTATATCAACAACAGGCTCTTCCACTCCTTTGCGCAGGAGAATCCATTAAGTCAGGGCACAGGCCTAGGTCTGTCGATCGTCAAACAGATTGTGGAATCTCTGGGAGGCGAGGTAGAAGTGCGTAGTGAGAAAGATCGCGGCACCAAGTTTACAGTCACATGTCCTTTGAAAGAGTCACGAATGTCTCCCAACTTCTGTGCAACCGGTCCAGAAGGAGAGAAAGACCTGCAGCTACAGCAGATCACTAAGCGAACCAAGGGTCTGAAAGTGAGGTTTGACGGTTTCAACGAGGAAGAGGAGTACCATGTTAGAGACTTGAAGAACAAGACAGCATCGAAGCTATCATTGAAGGCGCTCGACAGCCTTTGTGCTGAGTGGTTCGGTATTGAAAGATGCGAAGAGGGCGACAATGCGGCCGAACCAGACCTGATCATCGCTACCGAAACCGGCGCCAAAGCGTTGCGAACCACGTACAGCCAGTCTCCCGGTCGAGTGTCTCCTACCCCTGTCATAGTCGTGTGCCAGGGCGCCGCAGCAGCACAATCCACAACAGCCATCACGGTGCCTGGGATAATCTTCGAATGTATCGGCCAACCTGTCGGACCCCACAAGATGTCGAAGGCCCTAGCCTCATGTCTCGATCGACACGTAAGACGCGCCGAGACCAAGAAAATGGACGTCCAATCGATCATCCCACGAATAACAGAGCTCAGTCTAAAAGAGGAGGCAACTCCCCATCGCACCGACCACCTGCATGTTGTAGAGCCATCTCGACCACAGCTCACCAGCATTAGTAGTGCCCCCGAGATACGCTCAATCAACAACAGCCCACCCAGAACATCCAAATACCTGAAACCTTCGCGCGCACTGCGATGTCTCTGCGTAGACGACAACCCCATCAACCTCCGCCTCCTGCGTACCTTTGTCGACAAGCTCGGCCACCAACACGTCCTCGCAGCCGACGGTCTCGAAGCACTAGAAGCCTGCAAAGCCGCCAGCGACGAAGAATCCCGCATTGACGTCGTCCTCATGGACATCAACATGCCCATCATGGACGGCCTCGAAGCCACCCGCCAAATCCGCGCCCACGAAATCCGATCCAACCTCCCCAAAGTCACTATAATCGCCCTCACCGGCGTCGCCGACACGGACATCCAACAAGAAGCCAACTCAAGCGGCATCAACCTCTTCCTCATCAAGCCCGTCCGCCTCGCCGACTTAGAAGTCATCCTCAAAGGCGTGGTGACAGGCCAAGACAAAGCGAACCTAGAGCTCGAAGCAGAGAAAGAGCGTATCAAGCAGGCGGAAGCAGACGCTATTCTCAAAGTCGAAAGCGTAGACGAAAAAACACGCAGTATCAATGTGGGTATTGCGGTCGTCAAGGGCGATGACGATGTACAGAAAGCGGTCAAAGTGTGCGAGCACAAGAAGAGTGCGTCGGTGATATGAAGCACACACATCACAAGCATGCAGCAGGCTTCTTTGACGCAGATGCTAAAAACATTGGGCTAGGGCGTTCATACGCATCATCGGATGATTCTTACTCCCCGCGTAAAACTTCGGCGCGTATTTCCTCCCTGATAACGAAGTTGGGTATGGATACGGAGTGAACACACGAGGAAAGGAAAGGAAAAGCATTTACCTACGCATTCTGGCGTATACTGCATTTGCTCATTCTCGTTCTCATTCTTATTTTCCTACTTCGCCGCTTTCAGGCGACAGAGAACGAGAAAAGTACTGTCAAGAGCGAGCTTGACGAACGATAAAATGCATGCATGGGGTTGATGGGCATGTTTAGGCGATTATACCCTTTTTCTATCTTGCGTTTTAGTGTTTCTGCGAGTTATTTGTCCGTTTCAGCTGTTCGTCGGTTTTTCTTCTTTTTGATGTTTAGAGAGCAGGCAGGCGCGTTTGTGGCGATGGTTGGCGTTTGTTGTCACGATTTGATCATTTGGCTGGTATGGTAGCATAGCGTGGTGTTTTCGCTTTCTTGGGTTGCTTGGACACTGGTGGGTCGGCTGGTGGATGCAAGTATCATGACTAGGGCATTGTGGTATATTGAAACAAAGATCAAAGTTTAAAACATTGAGTATTCTTGCTAAATGTGAGACGTGTTGTTTGCATGCTACCTGATATGCATTCGTGGATACATCAAATCTTGGTATAGAGAGAACGAGGCTCCTAGATTCTGACAAGTTACGAGATAATGATTCAAAGAGAGTGTGAGTAACTTGTATATAGCTAATGTGGTTATCGAACCCTTGTCGTAATAATAACACCTGATCCTGTCCCATCCTATCCAAATTCAAGCAAGGTCAATCTCATATCCAAAAGCGACTTCAGCAACCCATCGAAACAATTCCAGTGGATTGGCTAGTCTAAGCACCCAACAATTTGTCGAGCATTGCGTTGTCATCCTCCCTCAGCATCACCACGAACTTACCAACAGCCGGGCCCATGATGACGAAGACCTCGGCGGCCAGAACGTGGGCGACAACGAGGAAGATGCCAACGATGATGAAGAAGTTCTTGAAAAACAACTTGATAAGACGACGGCGAGCCTCCCAGTTGAAAGACCTCCATGCATCCAAGAAGCCAACGACACCAGTTCCACCCATCATCTTGCTAACGACCTTGCCACCGAAGGTGCGGTCGAAGGGAACGATGGTGTCCTGGTCCTCAGGGAGGATAGAAGCTTCGATGCGGATCAGGGTGACCATGGCGGGGAGGCAGAGGAAAAGGGTGCAGACAATGACGAAGACGAAAAGGGTGAGGATGCGGACGGCAAGACCAGTCCACGCCGCGCAAGAAGCAATCTTCTCCTGATCGAGCTTGTGAAGACCCATGAGCATGGCTACGCCGAAAGAGAGGTACAGGCTGATGTACGGCATAACGGAAGCGATGGTGGCGGGGACAGCGAGAGTCTTCCAGTGGCTCTTGGAGGGCATGCACTGCCAGAGGCTCTGCTCGGTCGGCATGCCGACTACCTTGTGTGTCCAGACTGCGTGTACATTGGCGAGAACGGCACCGGTGATACCAGCGACGATGATGGGCTGACCGGGAACCATGGGGAGAGCGCCGTTGAAGAAGGTGGATACGATGCCAGCGAGGAACGAGTACAGAACGTGGATGCGGAAACCGCGGAAGCGTGCGAAGCGACCGGCGTTGGCGACGAGGTGACGGAGAGTTGCGCGGATGGACGAGGTGATGGGCTTCTGGTTCACGAGGGTGATGGTAGGGCCGGTCTCGAGGAGCGTCTCCTTCTCGTCTTCGTCAGAGGGCTCGTAGGTCGATGGCGAGACGGTGATGGCGGCCATTGGGGACTCGACCATGCAGAGGGTGGTGACGACTTCATTGAGCATGTAGGAGATCTGTTGGTATCTTGTTAGTACATGTTGCAGAGACGCAAACGAGATATGGAGCACTCACAAGGCTGATAGCCACACTCGCAATGAAGATGCTAATGTAGATGACAACAACGCCCCAAATCGGGACGTCTTCCGGCTTCAAGTGGTGGGAGTTCCCGGTGGTGTAGGGAGGAACTCCACCGTGTACGGCGCGCTTGACAAACGTTGCCGTGTGAGGGTGCGACACAGCGCGACGAGCGAGTTCGACGAGGACCGTCATCTTGGCTGAGATGCGTAATCCCTAAACACTCAAGTCGCTGTAATAAGTCGTGTATCCTGCAGAGTCGCAGTTGTGTGAAAGCTGAGAAAGTGAGAACAGAAGAAACAAGAAAGGCTGACGGAAGTAAAAGGGTTGACAGTGAAGTTGGCGCTGTCACAGCGCGGCGCGGCGTGAGAGACAAGGAGGCGAAGTTCAGGCCAAGGCTATGCTGGTCCCCATTGACGCAACACGACGGCTGCCTGTTGCGCACAGACCATGTGCCGGTTAGCCGCCGATCTATAATTGGTCTTGTCCCAAGTTTGATGCGGAGAATCGAATGTGCTGGAGTGGATTCACTGCAATCATGTTCCGATATACGCGGAAACTGCCTGATAATCACACAGGCGTTTCCTTCATACTGGAGGACACATTTGGTCTGCTATAACCGAGTTTCAATCCCGCATGCTGGCTACTGTATCTGAGACATGTTCAGCGCCGCAGCTGAGGCACAGTGATGGGCGAGCACGTAATCCAGTACCTTCAGGCAACCTGTCGAAATTTGGAGCCGATGTTGGACGCCTCATTCCATCTACCATCATCCATGAATCACATCACGCGTTCACGTGAACAGTAGTAAGAAGACAATATTTCATTATACCTCCCATCACCCAGATGACGAGAAAGACAACTCCCATACCGTGATTATGTACCGGAACCCCACCCATGACAGATAGACAGGACTACTTCCAAACGCTGAGTGTAGAGAGAATACATGAATGCGCTAGACTAGAGATCAAGTAGAGGCTTTTAAAGAAAAAGGATACACGACGCTGACTCCGATTGCAATTTCAGGCTCGGAGAATACACACAGAAACCGAGCAAAAGTCGTTATACGTGAGCACCGTGAGAAGGGTATGTGTGAGAGATCGATTGTGGCGGATTTGAGGGCGAGACCATGGAGAAGCCTGTCTACTCTACATGCTATAGTTGGAGAGAGACGGCTTATAGGGCAGGCTGCGCAACGGGCTTCTCATCCTCGAGCTCCTCGTCAGAGGACTCCTCGGTGGCGGGTGCGTGTGTTGGGGCAGAGGGGAAAGCCTCCTTCTTGACCTCTGGGGAAGTGGAACGCCCGCGGTACTGGTTGACGGTCTCCTGGGCCTTGGCCGTGGCCTGCTGGGTGTATCCTTGGACAGTCTTCATGGCGTTTCCAGCATGCTGGTTAGCAAGACCCTTGACCTGCTGGGCCTGTTGGTTGGCAACGTTGTAGCCCTTCTCCAACTGAGCATCAATGACCTCCTTGTTCTGGATGTAGATGAGGGGACCGAGGAAGGTAATGAATGTCGAAATCAAAGCCAAGCCCCAGAGCGGGACGAACTTGATGAGGAAGTAGGAGATGAAGGAAGCGAAGAACATCTAAGGGAACGAGAAATCAGCCATCATGTTCGGTGTGGTAGGAGGGGTTATACGTACGGCGACAGTGACGTAGACGTTCTCGGCAAACATGATACGCTGAGACTCAATAACGAAGAAGTTGATGAGCTGCTCAAAGTCGTCGGTCATGCGCTCAAGCGAAGCCTTGGGAATGGTGTAGTACTGGCGAGGCCTGAACTGCGAAGTAAGACCACGTCCGAGAGCCATTTTACCGACAACCTCAGCGGCTGCCGTAAGTCCGAGTACCATGTAGGACATCTTGAACATGTAGCGGATCAGGTTCAGGTATCGGGCGGCGAAGATGAAGAGGACGGTCGCACCAAACGCTATTCCGGTAGCGCGGGGGTTCTTCCAGCTCAACAAGCGGTAGAACATGCTGTGGTAGTCTGGTGCATGTTAGCTACGTGGTCGATTGGGGGGTTGGGCATAGCTTACGAGTGAGGTTCTGGCCAGTCGCTGCCTTGTGCTCGGGAATCGTCTTGGAGTTGGCGAGATCAGCAAACTCGTTGCGCGTCTTTGCGCCCTCGGCCTTGACGTTCTGTGCAACAGGACCTGTAGAGTTTAGCATTGGTCGTGTGTGCATCAGGCTGACGTGTGTGCTGCAAAGTCACCGTTAGCTATTGTCCAAAGCGTGTAGAGACGGTCGTGTGTACATACCCTACCGTTCATAACAGTCTGCTTAGCGTTCTGGACGCTGGGGTGGTTGTTTGCGGCGTTCATGGCGTTTGAAGCTGCTTTGTGGGTGTGAGTTCAAGAAATCAGGTGTTGTGCGGGCGGCCGATAAGACTGCCATGTATCGCGTTAGCTTGCGTCTCGGTAAGGGTCGAAGGCGTTTTGTCCCACTCACCTTACTCTCTAGAATTCCGTTCTTTGCCTTGATTGCGCTGTTTTTCAGGTCCTTGTTGGCGTTGCCGTTGGTCTGGGGGGCTGGAGAGCCGTCCATTTCCGATAGGAAGTCTGGGGTGCCGTTGGGGGTTTGCTGGAGGTCGAAATCGGTGTCCGTGTTGGGGAGCTCAACGCGGGGAGCACCTGACATTGCTCGGAACTACAGGGGAGAAGAGGGGAAATCACAAGTGGATTAAGAGGCAGAAGTATGCGAGTGGAATAAGGAGCTGGGGTGTGTGAGAGTGCGGGAGGTAGAGGTGCTGCGGTGGTTTTGTTCGGGCGCTGTCGTGTGCGCATTGTTGGGTATTCACCAAAAGCGGACGTCATGGCCCCACCCTGATCTAGCCATGATTTGTTTTCCGCTGCCACTCACAACGCGCCGCTGCACATACAGGTTTCACGGCAAACGATGTCATGGGGATACATATGCATCATTCAAGCAATGCCCGAAACCGCATTGCTGCGTGTCGACTTGCTGTCTCCGCGGACGATTCTTCATGGGGCAGGCCCAAGCTCGACCGGTTTCACATGTGAAAGACGACCAGGTGGTCTTGATTCCCCTCATGACGCAACCCTGATCTAGTATTTCAAGACACTCTTGCACGTCTCACAATACGTCTCCCCAATCGTACACGTACCAGATACTCCTGTTTGTCTTGTGCATGTTGTTGATCATAATGGATCCACATTTGTCTATGCCAGGTCCCGGACAGACTCCCCTGCGTCGATCTTCCTTTTATCCAATGTCCGACTTTCTCTAGCATGGAACAAGACGGAGTTTGCTATTGCTGCATCACCTACCATCGTAAAACTGGGCGAAACTTTTTTCACGATTTTCACCTCCAGTAGTGTGCAATGCACGTGAACGTCATAGGGATACATGTATCCCCACTTTACTCATGCTGTTAGTGCTGGTGGACGAACTAATGTTGCGCTGAACGATGCTGTGGGCTCTGATCTTCGTCCGTGCAACGTCTCCCTCATTAAGCCAGTAAAGGGGTCAAGAACTGAATTGAAGTCCAGCTCATGGACACCGATGAGTCTCCTAGTGGTTCGTGTCGTTTTATTGTTGCTGGACAATGGGCCGAAGTGAGTTGATTAATCGGGCATCTGAACATGTGGGACCAGGAGGACCGATCACGCGAGCGTAAGCCTTGCGGCCATGTCCACGATGAAAGCCACGGATAAGGACTTTAGCGATACGCACATGAAAATTATGGCTACGCATGAGCCTCGGAAAGCAACAACAGCGATTGCGAACCTTGCAATCTCGGGGTGGTACATGTCTTCGGAAGTAGCGCGTGTGACAGTCTGGTCGCAGCGCCTTTGATGGGGACTAACATATTGTTTGTAGTAGGGCGAGGCTCGCAGTCTTCAAGTCTGTCTTGTTGTAGTATACTTTGTACATAGGAATAGAATTGTACACTATTCCTGGGCGCGAGGACGATCGTCGGATATGTATGTACTGATCACTAGGGCGGATGAAGGATTGTGGACGGGATGTCGTTATCGGTCATTTCGCTGTGTTGGCGGGGCAGCAACGACACTGTTGGTAATATGGCCGTTCGCGGAGGTTTCAACGTCAGCACTCAGCAAGGACCATATCCTCGAAAATTGCGCTCTTGTCTGGGCATCATCATGTTATGGCTCAGCCTTTGTGGTACTGTATGAATCGCCATTGTTATCGTAACAGGGAGCTCCTTCGCAAGGCAGGTGCGAAACGGGATGGCGGGGGTCAGGGTCTCACGAGGCAGGCGCAGGCGCAGACGCACAGGGCACTCTACCACGCGACAGTCGCGAGGTGGGGGTCTGCGAAATGGCGCATCTCCAAGACCAACACTATAGCCGGGCGAAGAGTCACGATAATTGTGCGGCAATGCGCACACTTGTGCAGCGACCAGTGAGGTTGTTGCACGCCATGTCCACCGGCCTCGACCCCGGGATTCGGGTCTCTTTCCACGCCTAATCCAGCGACAATCAGTGTCATCGATCAGTTGGTGGCCATCTCCGTTGGCCTGCCGGAGCTGATTATCCTGAGGCTTGGGTGTGAAGTGCCAATGCCCCAGGAGCCTCCGAGCGGTCAGCAACCGCTGCATTCAGGTCTGAGGGGCGTTTGACCTCCCGCCTCTGCGCCGACAGGCCCCAATCGCTTTGTTTGGAGATAGATAGAGGCCACAAGCGCCATAGCGGAAGCGTAGCACCATTGGAATTATGCAGGTGGCCTCAGCAGGGATGCATCCGACAGCCAGCAACAGGTCCTCCCGTCGCGATGCTCGGCTTTGGACTCGAGCTGTGATTGCCAGTGTCGAGCCCATTGCGCTTTGTTGTGGCCAGGACGTGTCACAGCAGTGTCAACTAACGCCTCTCAGCGAGGACCAGGAGTTGGAACCAGGAATGCTGGGGTTGGCAGGCCATGGCACCAGGCAGCCCGCGCGCCTTTGGCGATCGAGGCGGGCTCCAGCGAATATGTGGCGTACCTCCGAAATCCTGGCCAAGGTCCAGTCTGCCGTTGCGATAAGACCCACTCACACGCGCAGCAGCTTCCGTTTATCACGCCTCTCGCAGCCGGTGACTTGCCTCGCTCTTCATCTTCACCTTCACCGCGCCCTCGCAACGTTTGCAAACGCGCGTTGAAGCTACAAGCTTAGCTTGACAGCATACCCACTCTGCCATCCCAGATCCTCGGTACGCCAGCAACCTCAGCCAGAAAGAGCGACATGGTCAAAGCGCACACATCGCCATCCCCAACTCGTCACCGCTATCGCTGCCACGCAAATTCGGCACTGAGCACGCGAACTCCAAACAGCTCACCCTCTGCGGAGGCGAGAGTCTGTGGGGACTGCTCAACAGCAGCATGATAATACCTCGCGACCTGTACAATGCCTCTCCCCCGCTGCGCCGAACCCGCATGGCCAATAACCCGACTCTCTTGTATTCGTGGTGGTGCACCGTTTTCTCTGCCGTCATCATAGGCGTCCGACTGTCTGGCCGCTACATCCGCAATGAACGACTCTTCCGCGAGGACAAAATTATGGCGCTCAGCATCATTCCACTGTTTGCGCGTATGGGCTTTGTGCACGTGGTCCTCATCTGGGGCACCAACAACGTCAATGTTACAAATTTGACAGATCCGCTTATCATTCGCCATCGTGAGATCGGCTCGCAGATGGTCCTCGCATCGAGGATCTTCTACGCGTTGTTGTACGTGCAGTCATCAACTTTGTTAGAGCGCGGCTAACCCATGCCAGCATCTGGATGGCCAAGTTCACCGTTTCCGAGTTCCTGAAGCGCTTGACGGAACGTTTCTGGAAGAAAGGGTACGACTGGGGATTGCGTGGCATACGCATCTTCCTTGTCATTACGTTCTTCATGGTTCTCATCGCCACACTGGCAGAGTGCCACCCCACTTCCCACTACTGGCAAGTCGTACCGGATCCAGGACCGCAATGCCGACAGGGCTACGCGCAGCTGCTCACCATGGGCGTCACCGACATCGTCACTGATATCTTTCTCATCGCCTTTCCGATCCCGATCATCGTGCGATCGACCATGCCATTAAAGCGGAAGATTTCTCTCATTGTGCTGTTCTCCTTGTCAGTCGTTCTGATCGTTGTAACTGGAGCTCGAATGCCTCTGGTTATCCAACGACAAGGACTACAGCAATTCCGCACTGTCTTCGCTTCTTCGGAAATCTTGGCTGCAACCATCGTTTCGAACGCCATCATTCTAGGATCGTTCCTCCGCGACCGAGGTGTTAAGAAAGCCAAGTTCAAAGCACCGTCAACTACAGACAGCATGGAACGCAGAGGGTCAGCACGACGCTTCACGGACCAAACATGCAGTAGTGACGAAGACCTCGCACGATCGCTAGGGTACCGGACGAAACCCGAATTACTCGAGAAGCAGACAAGCGTACCTAGACCAGCTCCGGTGGCGGATCTTGACCTCTTGTCATCTTCAAGACAACCTGGTCCCTTTGTCAATAATAACTGGAAATTTCCCGACGAAGAGCCTGGCATGATTCAGAGCAGCGATCGGTCCAGCGTGACAGTCGAAGATGTACGGGATCCGATGCCTAGCCCTCGTGCAAGACGTGTATCGTGGTTTGATGTTGGAGGTCTTCTTGAGAGTCAAACTGTAGCTCCCTCACCCACCGATTCAGTCATCGCGCACGATTTCGCAGCCCAGCCACGGCGAGGGTCCAGAGCCTCGAACACAGTCATACCAAATGCGCGCACATTTTTGCCTCAAGTACGGCGCAACTCCCGACTTTCGCAACAGTCTGAAGACTATGAGATGTCGTCTGTCCGGCCCACCCACCAGTTGCAGGATCTCGGCGGCTTTCTCTCTGAAGATCGAGAGCAAGAAGAAGCTCTGTCAACACCCTCTCCACACTCGGGCTCTTCAGTCGGTCCGCCTCGCAATGAGCGATACGCGCCCATACAACGCACGTCAACGCGCTCAACACAAGCAAGCTACGATGCGCTGTCTCTAAGAGATCCTGGAGGCTTGCTTTCTTCCGCGCCCCCTTCTACGTCTCACCGACGCAACCCTACCCAACATGGCCGCAACGTGCCGTCCTTACAGGATGCTGGCGGCCTTCTTGGTTGACGACTCCCTTACTACTTTACATACCCCCTGCGTGATACCCCGGCTTTCATGGCCTCTTTGCATTTGCATAGCTTGCCTAATGCTTCCCATGTTTCTTTTTCTTTTTCTTTTATCTAGTACACGAACCGCCTACACGTGGCGGTAGCCATGGATTCATGACTGATGGGTTACGACATTCCCGGATGCGATACCCATTGGCCATCAGAGATCTAGAGTGGATGTTGGAGATTACGATCTAGAGTCAGGCGGCAAGACTTGTGTATACTACCAATATATTCAACGCGTGACGTCGTTGCGGCGTACGTCATGGCAGTGAATTGCCGACCTATAAATGAAGTTAATATGCACTCTCGGCTCATTGATCCTACATCCGGGTGGCACACGTGTGAAAGCACAGGGTTTACGCTAAAAGGAAGTCCAAAAAGCGATTACCGAGCGCATGGTTCAGCATCCAACGCTCCAGCCCTGTGGAACGAATAGCGTTCGGGTATTATTCACGATGTCTTGGCTGTCAACGGCGCGGGAAGGAGCTGCAGGGCGACGGTCAAAGCTCGCACTATTACCAACAGCAACCACCGTGCTACTTTAGCACCCTTTGCGGTTGGCATCCAACACTATCGCGAAGTGGTGCCGTCAGATATGAGCAATGACGCGCCGACGCTTGGAGAGATCACCCAACTAACCCGTCAAGAACTTACTACGAGGCAGAATTCCGATCCTATTCGCGAATGCGGACGCGCCGCGCTGTCGCTCCTTCCCAACGATTTCGAGCTTGCCCTCAAGCTTGCGTACCAGAAACTACACGATGTGCCGTATAAGGAGGTGAAGACGTGCTGGCGCAGGCTGTACACGGATGCGAGCTTGTTGAAGGTGTTGAAACTGTCAGGCGACGAGCGTGATGAGCACCTGCGCGAGACCCCCTCAGAGACTGGGGGCGACAAAGAAGAAGTCGATACAAAGAGTGACTGGGTCGATCAAGTGGTGCGGATACTGGATATGACAATCATACTGACAGGCGCACCTGAGAGGGAAGAGCTTGTGGAGCTTTGGTTTGCAGCGCTGAAGGCTGTCCTAACTCCTTCAGGGCCACATCTTCATATCGACGCTCCACAACGGCCGCGCAAAAGAAGAAGACTATCACATGCGGGTCAAATTTCACGCCTACCAGCAAGCTTCGCAACAATGCTTCCCGACCCTCCACCCACCCTTCGGCACGCGATCCCACGAACGAAAGAGCTCAGTCTAGAGGCTTTCCAGAAGGAAGTCGGAGATGCAAACACACATACGCCACTCACCATCGAGGGTGCAATACAGCATTGGCCCGCTCTTGATGAGAGGCCGTGGAATGACCCAGCATATCTGCTAGAGCAGACGCTTGGTGGTAGGCGGCTTATACCGGTAGAAGTTGGAAAGAGCTATACCGATGAAGGCTGGGGTCAGCGTATCACCACGTTCCGCGAGTTCATGGAGACGTATATGCTCAGGGGTCATGGAGAAGCTGTCTCAGCCGCAGCGCATACAGACACGACGCAGACTTCTAAAATCAACGAGGCAGCCGGCAGCAAGAAACCCACACCTACCGGCTACCTAGCTCAACACGACCTCTTCGCCCAGATCCCCTCCCTGCGCGCCGACATCAGCATACCCGATTACTGTTACTGCGAGCCCGCTCGATCCCCCCACCTCAAATCAATCAAACCCGTCGCGAAACTACAAGAACCTCTACTCAACGCCTGGTTCGGCCCCGCAAGCACCATATCGCCCCTCCACACCGATCCCTACCACAACATTCTCGCACAAGTCGTGGGCTATAAGTACGTGCGTCTCTATGCACCCACAGAAACGCAGCGTCTACATCCGCGAAGCACGGACGAGAGCGGAGTGGATATGAGCAATACGAGTCAGGTTGATTTGGATGAAGCTATGGCTTTGTATCCTGAGATATCCTGTTGGCAGACTGGGGCGAGCCGTGTGGGAGATGGAGATGAGGCTCTCCATGAAAGGAGACGAGAGTTCGAGGAAAATTTCCCTGGTTTTAAAGACGCACAGTACATCGAAGGTATCCTAGCACCCGGCGAGTGTCTCTATCTGCCCGTGGGATGGTGGCATTACATACGTAGTCTGACACCGAGTTTCAGCGTAAGCTTTTGGTTCAATTAGATCATCATATTTCTCTTCTTCCATATATCATACATTCGATCCATACAAATCCATCCCTCTCTCCCATCCACTATCCTTCACACATCGTACATGTACCCACCACTTCTTCCAGCAATCTGTTAAATGAACGCCAACACCGTCCATGCTTTCCATATCCCACACGTTGTCTACTTTTCCCCTCTTACCAATCCTCCCAAACCCGAGCACCCCCAACACTTTCCCTATCTCACACGCCGCCTCCTCTCCTCCTCGTCCTACTAGCCGCCCAGCATCCTCCATGCAGACAGCACGCATGACCGAAGTCTTCGCGATGCACTACATCCAGCACTCCGCTCCCGCAGACTTCATTGAGCTCGTTCCAGTATCGACACTGGAAGTAAAGATCTGTTTCGGTGCACTGGCACTCTTTGTAGAGGTACTCAAACCATTCGCACATGGTTGTGTTGGCGAGAGTGCTGTTGAGGCGCTGTTGGTGGTTGGATATTTGGTGGGCTGGAGAGAGGTTGCTTGATGAGGGATGTAAAATCGAGTTTGGTTGAGTGTACGTGGGCGTTGAGAATAGGTTGAGGTATCTTGCTGTGCTGGAAGGGTGATGCTGGTGGCTTGGGCGATCTATATGCCTTGGATGATATGTATAACTTGGATGATGATAGAGGTTCTGAGGTGTTTCGAAAGGCAGGAAGCAGACCACTTTTATGCAGTGTGTATTGTTTGAAGTAGAGAATCCCATTCTCGTAGTTGAACGAAGATAATGAATGAGTCTCCCGTCACGATTACCATGGCCGTCTGCTCTCCCATCAGTGTTGCTATGTTCTCCATGCCATATTCCTTGTCTTTTTTTGACATACAACTGGATCATAACATTTCCTCTTATAAACTCTTCAGAACCCATACCCATCCCTCTCCCTCCCCTCTCCTCCAACCCCCCTCCGTCCTTCTACCCAAAAGCCGGAGCCAACGCATACCCCACAACCAACTCCTCGCCCTGCCTAAAGCAGCTCCACAGATTCCCGACCCCCTCATCCAACGCAGGACTAAAGACATTGCCCACATAGCAGAACACGCTCTCATGCTCCTTCACACCCAGTCGCTTCCGCAGAAAACGTACTATCGTTGCGAAAGTCTGGTTGGTGGAGAGCTTGAAGATGCGTTGGGTTAGGTGAGGGGCTGAGCCTATGGGTTGCAGGCGTATTGTTACTACAAGAGTGGGCGGGTTAGTTGGTGGTGAGTGAGGAGAGGGGAGTGTTTTGGGATGGTAGGAAATGGATGGGAGGGTGTGAGTGGGATAGTGTGAATGGGTGATGTGTATAGTGTTTTTGTTGTTGGTGGGTTGGAAAATGTATAGATGAAAAGACATGATAATACCTTTCTGAACAGCGAGATTTCCTGCTGTTTCTAACGCTTTCGAGGCGTCTTTGGGGAGGTTGGTCAGGACAACTGAAGCTGCCATGGTGAGAGGCGCTTCTGTCGTGTCATCTTCCTCTGGCATCCTCTCTTTTGGTGATTCGGACATGGCGAGGGTTGATTCGAATAGTTGCGAAGCGGAGAGTGAAGTGTGGATATAGCGGCTAATCTGGGCCGATGCTCAAAGGATAAGGGGACTGAAGGAGGTCTGATGTGGGAAAAGCGAATGTTTGTGAGTTAGTGTTCGTTCGAGGCAAGAGCGATGGTCACGATGGAAGGTGTAAACATCGGCCTAGCCAATCAGCGCCCCACTGCCCCAACATCACTTCTTGAATGTGCGAGAGTCGATCAACCATATCATCTTTCGCATTGATATCTAGTGTTTCCTACATATCTAATACGATAATGATATATAACATAGCCTCCAGTATGGCGTCGTCCGCGTTCGTCGCCAAGTAACCTCCTCAGTATGACAATACTCTACAAACCTCCATAGTAGTACCAACACTCGTTTGCTGAAAACACACACGCGTGCACACCACCAGCCAGCCGGTTTGCAAAGCGCAACAACCAGCAAAAATGACCCGAAGGTCATGACACAATAGCTATATACAAAGGGGATGCATGCATCGTTAAGCCACCAGGGATCAGTGATCATGGGCCTATACTGGGTAAGGAAATGGAGCAAGTCAAGCTATGTCGCCAAAAAGGGGAAAGGTAGAAGCTGCGCCTCGGAAATGCTATGGAAACGGGTATTCGCTCGCAGAGTAATGCCATGCGCCCGGGGGCGAGAAGTGAACAACAGGTGCGATAGGAAATTATGTCGTGGGTATTAGTGAGGTCGTGCATTACGCCATAAGGGATGCAATGTGTGGCCGTGTAGTCTGCATGAGCCGCAAAGCTCATCGACGATCAAGTTGGGCGAGTAGCTGGTCAAGCTCAACCCAGTTATCCGTGGTGACTGCGAACTTGCGGTGCTTGCGGGAGACGACGTGCTGTATGTTGTCAGTATATCATTTGTAGAAGTATCTTCGTAGTGCGTACCTCGTCAAAGTCATTGAACTTCTCCCTGCAGTTCTCGCAGTAACCAGGCTTCAACTCCTTCTCAGCAGTCTTGCGCCTGCGGAGGGCTGCGGCTTTACGAGCTTGTCTTTCTTCGTCTCCGTCATCGTGTGTGTGACCCATATTCTCTTGGGCTTTGCGCTTTGCTGCGCGCATGGGTTGAGAATGCTCATAGCTGAGCGCAGCCCTGACATCGTTTGTGACGGAAGAATGGCCACTATTCGTATTCGCCGACGGTACGCTGTTCTTCTCGAGGACCTTTCGTTTCAGTTGGTTGACTTCCTTGCTGTTTCCAGCACGAGGTGCAGCAGCAGTCGAGGAGATCATCTGCGAGCGGATGGCGGACGTGATGTTCGATTGGTGTAAACCAGATGCAACTGGCTCACCAGCAATGAAACGGGGCATGGCTCGAATGCTAGCCTGAGCACTGCCAAACATAGGTGGTGGGCCATCTGCCGTGTTGCATCGCTTAGGGGGAAGAGCCTTCGGGGGATCTAACGGTTTCGCGTCTCCATCCTGTTCTTCTTTGACGATGGCAGCAGGAGCGCTGGGTCGCCTTGCCAGGTTGTTGTTCTCCACCAGAGCATTCTTCTCTTCCATAGCTGAAGCAGCACGCGTGCGTGGCGCCTGGGCAGCCTGCCTTCGGCGTGCTTCCTGCTCCTCCTGCTGTCGGCGACCGAAATGGGGATCTTCCACAAACGGACACTTCCCGTTACCTGACGCACGGAACTGCGGCCATTTGCCCTTCTCTTTCTCGACTTTCTGGTATTCTCGGATCATGACGGGTCGGGTAACCTCGTCCATATCGTGTACGTACACGTAGTATCCACGGAGCGGAATCATATCCTGCGAGGCCATGACGTAGTCGCGGTCCAACTTCTCATTTTGTAGCAGCCTCTGCAAATCAGCAGGACGGCCCTTGTGCTGCGTAGCCACCGCCTGACGTGTCGAATGAGTAGACGCGTCCTCCCCGGTTTCCTTGTTGAACATGGTATCCACCATGCGCTGCAACTTTTCGACGGACCATATCTTCATACCCAAGCTCTTAGCCTTGTACAGGATGTCACCCCGGTCAGACTTCTCGAGGGCGGCATCGAAGATGGATTTCTTGTTCTCCAGCTGGGCCGGGTTAACAGTGCCTTTGTGGGAGGATGAACTACCATCGAGGTCGGCGGGAATGGAACGCGTCGTGATGACATGGGTGACTTCCCGAGAGAAGAACTTGACTTCTCGCTGGGGACTGTTAGCACGAAGGATGTAGGTGAGGGTATGCCAGACGTACGGAACCTAGGACGCGTGCCCTGTTCAAAAGTTTGTCTTTCTGGGGTTCTGAGACGCTATCAAAGTAGAACGCAAACTGGGGAAACAGCTTGCGGTAGTGACGCTGCCATTGTCGAATCGTTTCTAAGTCGTTAGATGCGCGCTGTGCCGCCTGCTTTGACGGAGCTTTGGTCTCTCTTGCTGCTTCCAGCTTGCGAGTCAAAGCCGTGGGCTGGGCCCCACTCCGACGAATAAGGCCGTGACGGCGAGCTTCAGCATCATCAACCTCGATGATCTGTTTTTTGGGTGGTGGTTGGCCATAGGGTACGTCGCGCTGCTCACTGGCGTGGGAGCGTTGGCGCTTTCCTCCTATGGCAGTCGCGCGTAACGGGGAGTTGGTAGCGTTTTGCAGGTTGGCGAGGGGGACGCGCCGGTTCGACATGACTGCAGGAACCTGGGGCGACGGAGGGACAGCCACTGCTGCCATACGTAGGATAGCGGCTGAGGTTGCTTCGAGGTGTAATAGATGGGCGTGGTGGGAGGGGCACGTGTGCGTGTAGCTCACGACGCGACGGTACAGGCACGTCGAGGTTTTTCTAGCAACGCGTAGCAGCCATGTCGATACGGGGGAGCTTTAGAGACCGAGGGAGATGTTGACGACACAACAATTGAGCGAAGGTGAAGCGCGTTGCAGACGTCGATCTGCTTTCATCGACCAAGGAAAGAGTAGTCTTTGTTTGGTCCGGAGGCTGGTACAGTATGATGCAGGGCGGGCTAGAGCGACTGCGGTTAGCCTGAAAATCTCGCGCGAACCATCCACAACATCATTTGCCTAGACAACGACCTGGGCAAACAATACACCCTTGCCGACAACACCGTCAGTGCGCCCTGCACGACATCTCGCGTCTGCGAATCTCCCACCGTATTGCTGGCTTCTGATTCAGCGTATCAGGGGAAGATTTGCAGCTTCTGCATGCGGCGCGCCTCTGCTACTTGCACTGACGCCGACCCCACTTCTCCTGTCTCCTGTCCTGCGAGTAATTCGACGGCGAGCGCTGCACCATTAGGCCCGTCTCATTTCAAGTCCTTAGGCAAGCACCGGCTGGTGGAAAGCTCCCGCGTTTTCCATGTCCGTGGGACCGTGACAGCTTCAAACTTATTCAGGGTCTGGATCATGGAGGGATTTGTGGGTAGCCGGAAGTGTCACCCACCTCGGCCGCGACTTTGTTCTATGGGCCGCAAAACACCGGAAGCGTCAAGAACAGTGCATACGAGAATAGACAAAACACACACGTACAAAGACGTCATGTCAGCGATGTACGTCCTGGGTGCTGCCACGTATTTATCATGTATTGGGAAGACGCAGGTTTCCAGTAGAGTATACCATGGGATGACATGAACTCTGCGGACGTATGGTCGTAGCAGGCCCTGACCACAGTAGATCTGTTGTTATATGTACTTTTTCACACGCCGATACTAGATCTTTCAACATGTCCCCGTGCTTTCCCTCGTTCTCAAGTTCGTCGTATTCTCGATTTCCAGCACTGGCTCACCGTATCCTCCTAAGGTCACTTCATCTCCTATCACTTTCAAGACCGTGCAGAACATACGCGAGTTGGAATTCCGCGAATCTAAACAAGCGTAGACGTCGGACTTCTACACTAAGATCATGATGGTAATACCATGTCGTTCAACTTTCCTCCACATCTTGCACAGTGAAAGGCCCACGCATGCGGATGGCGTGACCTGATCATTCACTTTGACTTGGGCCAAACGCAAAGAGAGAGCGACTAAGAATTCTCTGGACTGCGTGTTTCTCGCACCTCCACTCTCTTAACTCGACTATATACAACATCGTTACCATGACCGATTCCTATCGTCCACCGTACAATTCCAATCGACAATGGAATCCAGCGCCTGCACCCCCAGAGGCTGCGCTCAACTACGACGATGCAGACGTGAATCGTATTCCGCTCAATCCCCGCTGTTCCAACGCTGCCGTTCCAGCTCAATCATCACGGCTATGGGATGAAGACCTGAACTCGCTCATGCATCGCACTATCCGCGCCCACGATCTCGTCGTGAACTACAACCGCGATTCCCACGGCGGTACCCGCTGGTCACGCAAGAACATCGACCGCATTTGAGACGTCGGCGCCTATCTTCATGGCGACGTCTGCGATCTAAAGCACCGGAGTGAAGTGGTAGCAAAAGAGGGGGAACAAGATGCGTACACTTTGGACAAGATCCGCGATGACGTCGAGAACCTGCGGAAATACTGTGCACAGATTCAAGACACCATCAAGGATACCGAACGTGTTCCTCTGCGCTAACGTATGACACGAGACGACGGAGTGCAGACTGGTCAGAATGTAGATGAGGGTCATGGTCTTGATGGTGGTAAGAGCATCTTGCCTGGTGGTGGCGCCCTAGGTACTGACTTCTCGCTGCCTCTAGACACCAACCAGCTCGGCGAGAGCCCTCAAGATGGCGAGGATATGGGCGTCGAGATGAGTACCGACTTGGACGAGAAGCCTGGTCCGACGCTTGCCACACCGCAGGCAGTCTGGGCAACTACACCTTCAACACGGTTTGCCTGGTGAATGGTTGTGCACATTTGTAGCCTTCTAGGTTGTATATTCTTGCAGTAGACACTGTAGAACGAGTACTAGACAAGTTCACGGTAGCACGTTGGCGTCGTGTGCGACGAAGCAAAGATATCCAAATGTTCCTACACGTTGTCCACGTTCCAGCTGATTGGTGCTCGGTGCTCGGCTATCGCAAGACCCCTGCGCAACGGTCTGCACCTGTGGTGTGAGCGACTCAACGCTTTCACATGCTTGCAACTCACGACTCTCGAAAATAGCACGGATTCGGTATAATGCCGTCTGCGCCAAACGAGGATAGCCGCTATGCGGCGGCTGTCGCAGCTCTAGGCTTATCTCGCACATTTTCTTCGTCTTCGATCTTGTCTCATTTCCATTCGGCTGCTTCCTATTCGTGTGCGCTCGCGGTAGAGTCTGGGTGAAGCCGCCGTTGGGATCTACGACCGTACAGCTTTGGTGGATACGCCCGGGAGATAAGCCGAAAGTATGCTGAGGGTTGAACGCGCTGATATCCGCACGTCGACTCTCGACACGGCGTCTCTAATGGAAGGGGAGGACACCGGCTTCCGACCCAGTATGCTCTACAGCGTCCTGCCTACTCTTGTATCGAATCATCTTCCGACGATACCTTCGCTCCGACAATCTCTTAACGATGTACGAAACCGCGGATCACATAGTAAATCAGCTTCAGTCGACGAGCTACTACAGCCCGAGACGCCTCCTCCAGGCTATTCGTCGACACCTCCCAGTGGTTCTGTCACACCGCATAGACTGTCAGTCGCGCTGGGAGAGGCAGACGTCGAGTTTGTGGACGATGGATCAGACAGACCTGGCTCTTCAGGAAGCGCACTTTCACAGTCACATGGTGCTCAGGAGAGCAACTGTGGCATCAGGTGGAAGTATGCTACTTTAGGTATGGAATATCACTCGCGAATGTCGGTGTTGCATGCTCATACTTTGCAGGAACAAGCCTCATGGCACAAGCGTCCCGAGAATCAAGCGAATCGATCAGTAGCCCCGACGAAACATCCGCGACACTGACCCGACAACTCTACATACACGGCATAACGTACTTACTCCGAGGGCTGCCTGCGAAGCTCACCCCAGAAGAGACGTTAAGCATACAGGCAGCTCTTCCACAAGACGTGATCGACACAACGAACGACGTGAGTTCGCACGCGTTACTCCCAGTCTCGCAACGCAGCCCTAGCGCCCAAAGAGCACCTCCACAAGACCCCACGATCCTGCACCGCCTCACTGCCACCTTCGTCCTCCAGTCCTTCATCCTCATACAGTTCCTCCTACCATACATCAAACTATTCCTATCGCACACCTACCAGTTTGAGAGGAAGCATCAGATCACAAAACGGCTCGTCAATATAGGCGTCGCGACTGTCGATGACATCGGACGGAAGACGCTCAGGCTGTCGCAAACCGTGTGCCAAATGAACGATGGCATGGTAGGACAAGCGATCAACGAGATGACCATTTGGTGGGTCAGAGGTGTTACCGGAGGCGTCCAACAGGGCCTTGCGGAGGGATTACAAGCTCTGAGGATAGCTGAGAGCCAGCGGGGTGAGGAGAGTATGGGGCGGATCAACTGAGTATTTGGACTGCATTAGCTATGGCGTTAGGCATCTGCATAACTTGATACACTGACGAATTAATGATATGCATCGACTGTTCCGCTCCAGCTGCTGGACCCTGATCGTCTTCTACACGTGATCTGCCGCTTATCGTTATCGGGCGGACTCCCTAGCGCGTTGTTGACGCACGTCCCTTGGAAAAGTGCAATGGCAAAGTTTCTAGCGGTAGCAGTCTAACGAGTACAAGCCATTCTTTTCTCTCCATTTGCCGTCTCCCTCCAGGCGCACACGCAGAGTACTCTATTTGCTCTTTCTAATCGTTCAAGATACCCTTCTGTTACGGACGAGTGTGTACCATTACCCGCACATCATGTTCGGCGCAGTGAGAAGATGTCCCGCGACCCTCGCGAGGAATCTTGCCTCCATTTCTACCAGGACACTCCGCACACCCTTCCCTAATACCTCGAGCGCCCTGAGAATACCATTACAATCAGCGCGCCTCGGAAATGCCTCGTTCGCTGGCTTCCACAACAGCGCCGCAAAGTGGCAACAGGAGGCCCAGCGGAGCATTGAGGAAGATGGTCCCGTCACAGAGTTCCAGGACTTGGCCACGCGCGGCCTTGTTCACCCCAACCTAATCAACACTATCACGAGACAAATGAAGCTCACGACTATGACGGATGTGCAGTCCAGGACCATCAACGAGGCCTTGAGTGGGGTTGACATGTAAGATCTTTCTTCGACTGCAAGTTCAATTCGCTAATATCCTGCAGCATCGCACAAGCAAAGACCGGTACCGGTAAAACACTCGGTTTCCTTATTCCCATCATCCAACGAATCATCGAGAACGACCCCCAGCTCGGCGAGAAGGTCAGAGGATACAAGCGCGCCAGACCAGACGACATCCGTGGCATTGTCATCTCGCCAACCCGAGAACTGGCAGAGCAAATTGCTGTCGAGGCCAAGAAAGTAACTGCCGGGACGGGCATCGTCGTGCAGGTTGCTGTCGGAGGCACACAGAAGAGGGCTATGCTTCAAAAGACTCAGCGCGAAGGGTGCCATCTTATGATTGCTACTCCCGGACGACTGTTCGACATCCTCTCAGACCCTTACTCTGGCATCAAGGCACCAAAACTCAACGCATTGGTCATGGACGAGGCAGATCGCCTCATGGACGATGGTTTCCAGAAGGAGATCGAGGAGATTAAGAACTTCCTTCCTGACCCAGCCGAGGTCGAACGCCAGAACCTCATGTTCTCCGCTACTATTCCCCGCGATGTCGTCAACCTAGTTCGCCAGATCATGCGTCCCGGCTTCCACTTCGCCAAGTGTGTCGACGAGAACGAGGAGCCAACACACCAGCGTATCCCGCAAAGACTCGTCCATCTGAACGGTTTCGAGAACATCATGCCCACACTTTACGATCTGATCCTCCAGTCACAACAGAAGGCACAGGCTGGTGAAACTCGACCCTTCAAGGCCATCGTTTACTTCAACAGCACCGCTGAGGTCACCCTCGCAGCATCAGTCTTCTACAAGCTCAATGGTGGCTTCAAGCGCAACACACCTCTTTCTGGCACCAGATCCTACGAAATTCACGCCAAGCTCTCTCAACAGCAACGTACGAGGGCTGCAGATGACTTCCGTCTCGCAAAGTCCGGCATTCTCTTCTCCTCGGACGTAACAGCCCGTGGAATGGATTTCCCCGAAGTGACCCACGTCATTCAGATTGGTCTCCCCCGTGAGCGCGACTCCTATATTCATCGTCTCGGTCGTACTGGACGTGCTGGCAAGGAGGGTGAGGGCTGGTTGTTCATCACACCCTTTGAGAAGCAAGAAGTCCGCCGCCGTCTCCGCGACCTTCCCCTCGTCGAGGCTACTGATATGCTAGAAACCGCAACCGTTGACATGAGCGAACCGGCCGAGCTCCCTGAGAACGTCGCAAAGATTCTTTCTGACACTGTCGAAGCACACAAGAAGGTCTACCCCGACCAACTCGATGCCGCATTCCGTGGTCTGTTTGGAAGCTACCAGTGGTATGGTGATAAGCAGGGTCTGCTAGAAGGTGCGAACCGTCTGGCTGAGTTTGGCTGGGGCATGCCATCCCCACCCCCACCACCTGCTAGCCTCTTCGCCGGAGGTCGTGGACGTGGCGGTGGTGGCCGTGGAGGCTTTGGTGGCGGACGTGGCGGCGGCGGTGGCTTTGGTGGCCGAAGCGGAGGCTTTGGCGGTGACCGCGGCGGCCGCAGTGGAGGATTTGGTGGTGACCGAGGCGGTCGAAGTGGAGGGTTCGGTGGTGACCGTGAAGGCCGCAGCGGAGGTTTCGGTGGTGACCGAGGTGGTCGACCTGGAGGATTTGGTGGTGATCGTGAAGGCCGAAGTGGAGGCTTCGGTGGTGACCGGAGAGGAGGCGGTGGCTTTGGCGGCGACAGGAGAGGAGGTGGAGGCTTCGGCGGTGACAGGCGTGGAGGCGGTGGTGGCTTCGGTGGTGACCGACCCAGGAGAGAGGCCCGCGAGTTCTAAGCAGCTTACCAAGCTGTTGAAAGGAACTCCCGCATCTTTCTCTCCCCCTGCTCACGTCGTTGAGATGTAAGTCCGTCACACTTTCCGTCACGCCATTTTTCTCTTCTCTTTCTTGTACTATATACCTGTATACCCCCACAGCAAGCTTGGAAACGAGGGACGATGACGGATATGTCTTTGTATCGATAGAATATTGGTTGCATTGGGCGGCGTTTCAGGAAAGGGCGTATACTCGCCATCATGGTCCCGCTCCAAAAGAGACGCAGCGCATGTTGTTGTCGCCGCAGCGGTCTTTTTTGGGTTATGGTTGGTAACGAAACGTAAGACAATCTCCATTCATACTTCTGGAGTTGGATTGATGTAAAGGTAGTTAGTTGGTTTAGGTTGAGAAAAGTTTAGTATCTGTTCATCTGGTGTCTTTGGTTGATGGATGAGTGAATGAGTTGATGTGTGTATGTTCTTGACGATGTATTACTCAAAGACACGTCGAATGTTTGATGGAAATAGCAATAACACTAATGTGAGATACCGGAAGGGCTATGCTCTTGAATTATCGAACCCCAAGCCAACATATATGGATTCTGTCTGGGGTTGGGAATGGGGTATAGGTGGGTGGTTCGTTGGTTGAGAAGGGAACTAAGTTGCTGGACTGTGAGCTTGGTGTTCTTAAGGTTTGCGTCTTTTTGTCACTCATCGAGATGATAATGTTCGTGAGTAAGCATAAGAACTCCAGTGTACGGCAGCTGTATTTCAGGAGCAATGAAAATGTCATGTATGGTATGCAGAACGACGCTTTGTCTCTTACACAACCCCCAAGAAAAAAAAGACCAGAAAGCGCACCATCAACACTCATCACAACAAATCCACCTTCTCCTTCTCCTCATCAACCACTGTTCTAAACTCCTCAAACGCCTTCTTATCCATAGGATATGTATGTTCCGTTGCCGGGTACTCCCTACTCTTAACCTCATCCCTATACTGGCTAATCGCCCTATGCGCCTCCTCCCACACATTCCCATACTGCTTAACAAACTTGGGTAAGAACCGCCCAGGCGGGAAGTTGCCCAACATATCAACCTGCACGAGCACCTGACCCGAACAGCCATTCCCTGCGCCGATACCAATGGTAGGTATACGCAGTTCCCTGGTGACTACGGCAGCGACTTCCGCGGGCACAGCTTCCAGAACTACAGCAAAGGCACCGGCTTCCTGAACGGCGAGCGCATCGTCGAGGAGTTTAAGCGCAGAGTATGTGGATTTGCCTTGAACGCGGAAACCGCCTAGAGCGTTTTGGCGCTGAGGTGTGAGGCCAATGTGCGCGAGGACGGGGATACCAGCAGATGTTATCTTGGCTATTGTGGGAGCCATTTCCTTGCCACCTTCTAGTTTGACAGATTTGACGCGCCCGATTTTGATCATGCGGATAGCGGATTCGAGGGCTTGTGCGGGGGAGATCTCGTAGGTTCCCATGGGGAGGTCGCCGACCTGGTAGGTTGTTAGTGGGACTGACGAGTGTTGTATGAGGGAGTGAGGACATACTGTGAAAGCTCCTTTTGTTGCGCGCGCAACGGACTTGCAGTGGAGGAGCATCTCTTCCATTTGCACTTCGCTGGTATCTTCCATGCCTAAGGCTACCATGGCTAGACTGTCCCCGACGAGTATCATGTCCATGCCGGCGTGGTCGGCGACGTGGGCGCTGGGGAAGTCGTGCGCGGTTATCATGGTGATGGGCTCGTTCTTACGGTATAGACTCTGCAGCGTGTTTAGAGTGACGGGTTTACGGGTATTTGTTGGCGCGGAGCCCAGCGGGGAATGTGAGCTCCATCGGATTTGTGCGGAAGGCAGTATGGTTCGGGCTACCGGTGACGACGGCGAGTATGCACGTGGTGTTGTATGTATATGTCGCGAAGACGTTCGCAGTACGTTCATGAGGGCACGCGACATGGCGGCGGTGTCGCAAGTATGGTGGTGGTGGGTATTTTGGGCGGTAAAAAATTTGTCAAAGCCCCTGACGACGGTGTGGAGGTTTGTTCGTAAGCCATGGTCCTAGGGCGGGATGCGGATTGCTTTTAAGCAACATGTGCAGAGAGCTGCGCTGAAGATTGTATACTTGACCTTGGAGTTTTGGAAGAACCGAGGGTCAGCCTGCGCCCAGACGCCAGGGGTCTGGCTGAGCCCTGATTGTCTTCGGCGAGTCGATTACTCGGTACGCCCCGCCTTTTGCTTGCGGCTATGTACTGCACTGTGTCCCTTCTATCGGCCTCTACATGTCTTTGCTTCTAGCGTCGTGCTTCAATATGCGGAGAGCGTCGTTCGGACCAGCGGTGAAGGCCTCAGGCAAGGATCTCGGGGAAGCTGCGGCATTGCTCCGCAGTGATTGGATGTCGGTTCCAGTACTCTCAGTCTCGGTATGCATTGAACTTATACTCTCTTCAGCTGTGCAGTCGGCATAAACTTCGAACATCTTTTGGCTCAGATAGACGGAATTGAAGTATTCTTCCTTCTGTCTACGCTGAAGTGTCCAGTCAGATCAGGGAAGCGGCAGCCGCCTGGAAGCAGCCAGTCTTTGTCTGGCGAGTCTGGGAAGGATTGTCCGGTTTCATGAACGGTGAGTACCTCTCAGTCTCTCTGCTGTTTTCATGCCTTATTGCAGATCGCTTCAGGGCGTTCTGTTGTACTTGGCAGATTCAAGTGCTGGTTATAGATGGATGGCTATGCGTGGCACATGGTGACGTAGCTTTTGGAGTCATCACATCTGCACAGCTTGTGAATCGACATGTAAGTACCTAGGTAGAGTCGGTGATATTAGGTATTCATGATGACTGGAGAGCGGTGCTGTTATGAATGCATCAGGCATAGATACGCGGTCGCGCCGTGGTCTCGGCGATGACTTGCCCGGCGAGACGTGCGCAAGCGTGACATGCCGGTATCGAGCTCGTGATCGCGACTACCGCATTCATCACTCCCGCCTCACTGTTCCTGGCCTTTGACACGCCCAAAGACGCGACAACAACACACATCCACCGATCGACACCATTACTAGGGTTCAAGCAACCACAATCTGCCAGCAAAGCACACACCAACTGCCAACGAACGCGCCCCTCATCCGCTATCGATAGCCCCGCCGCCGACCTCACGAGAGCTTCCACTGCGAGCTGCACACTGCCGTATACAACTCGAAGACAAGCGGAAGACTAGGGAAGAGCAAAACCCTTCACAGGCCGCGATATCAAGAACGCCAATATGAGTTCGCCAAAGAGACGTATTGAGACGGATGTATGTGGAGACCTTCACCCCGGTGGTTGCTGAGCAAGGTACAAGAGCTAACCGAGGCCTCTTTCCAACTATACAGGTCATGAAGTATGTTGCGCATAATTCCGGCTGTAAGACAGAATGCTAACACGTGAATAGGATGTACGTCGACCAATTTACCGCCTCCTTCGTGCCACGCGCCTGGCAACCACATGGCGAATCCTGATAGCTGATACAAGGCAGGCTCATGAGCGACTATGAGGTGACTCTGGTCAACGATAATAGTGAGTAACATTACACCCATGTCCATTGGATGCACAGCTAACATCCTATAGTGTCAGTCCTTTCTGCCATCCGAATCCGCATCCGCCGAAACGACGCTGACAGACCACAGGCAGGAGTTCTACGTTAGGTTCAAGGGCCCTGTGGAGAGTAAGTTGCGCATGCACTATCCGTAGCATGACGTGCTAATGAAGGACAGCGCCATTCGAGGGCGGACTTTGGAAGATCCATGTCGAATTGCCCGATCAGTATCCGTACAAGAGTCCTAGCATCGGCTTTGTGAACAGAATATTCCACCCCAATATCGACGAACTGTAAGATCTATCCTCGGTTGTGCATATCTTAGGGTACCCGCTTACTTGTGTAGCTCTGGGTCTGTCTGCCTCGACGTCATTAACCAGACATGGTCACCAATGTACGACATGATCAACATCTTCGAGGTCTTCCTTCCTCAGCTCCTGCGATACCCCAACCCAACCGATCCTTTGAACGGTGAGGCTGCAGCACTCCTCATGCGCGAACCTAAGAGCTACGATGCCAAGGTGAAGGGTATGTATACAAAGGGGTGAGTCGTGCGAGCCAGGCTAATGTACATTTAGAATACGTCCAGAAGTACGCCAACAAGGACACTGCCGAAGACTCCGACAAAGATGATGGCGATGACGACGAGATGAGCTCCGTCGGCAGCTACGAGTCAGGTGATGAAGATGAAGCGGCGGGCAATATGGAGGACATCTGAGGCAACACTACTGTGGATGTTATCGGTCTCCTTTGTATTGTCCATGGCCTTTCTTCTTTATTCTAGTTACATGGCTGGACGTTCACGGCGCTGATATGGCGCACATATAGGCTACATTGCTATACATTCCCCTGGCATGTGGCTGCTTTACGGTTTGGTTATGGGATTGGATGTCTTCGTTGGCGTTCGTGTCTTGCTTCTAGTTTCCATAGGGGGCTTGTGACGAGGGTTACTTCCTTTGTCACTATTGTGTAGGTATGGTCGGATGGCCTTTTCCATCCTATAAGTTGGAGCCGATGTTAGAGGTACTGTATGCTATTCCAATTGACTCTTCCTCTCATTACTCGCCTTTCTCAATCCTCTTCTCATATCTTCTTGTCGTTCTTGCGACTCTATGAACTCACTCACTCTATTCATTTGTTACTGTTTACGTCAATTAGCATATCACATGCAATAAGTATCGCACTCAACAGCCGTATCTGGCACTTAGATGGATATCTGCATGTTGGGTCGGGCTTTCATGTACTGTCACCAGCCACTATTGCTCTAGACCGACTATTACTATTCCCTTGTATCGTATATCAAGATACCCGTATGCCATCTGGACATCCGCCGTCTCCTCACCGCTCCACGCTACCAGTCAACCTCCGCTCCTCACAGTGAAGGCGAATCACGTCCACATCAAGCCCTACCGCTCTCTTCCCCGCTCCTCTTCTTCTTCACCTCGAAACAGATTTCGCCATGCGGAGGTGCAAAGTTCTCGTCGCCCGGCCCGAGCTTGTCCCGTCCGTTTGTATATACACACCCAATCGAGCCATCACAACAACACCTCGACGCGAACAACAATTTTCACAGCGCACAACACGTTTACTGCGGGCATCAGTTATATACCAGGTCAGAGTACGAATTTCCCCTTGCATACCCGGGATCTTCGAGGGTTTGGATGCTAAAATGATAAAGCTCAGGTCAAGGTCGAGATGGTGTCTCACAATGAGGCAGGCCGTCGCCATGCCCAGCGTGCTAGAGACCGCCCGCTATACAGCGCTAACACAGGTGCTGGTGTCAATAACATCGGAGCTCCGACTAATTCAAGACGCTCGACCGGGTACCTGGGCCGCAATGGCCGCCATGCCGAGAATGGTCGACGCAATCCGGCCCCAGGCTATGATCATGCTACTGTGTCTCGCCCGCAGAACGATCGCCATACCGCAAGTCTCCAAGGTTTCAAAAATCATGGTAACCAAAACGCATCCCGTGGTCTACTGCTACTAGCTGCTGACACCAGTACCGATGCCGTCCACAACGAAGCCAGCCTTGAGCCCGACAACAACGCGTCCACCACGCCCGTTAGCCGTCGCATGGCCAATTCCAGTCCCATCAGTCAGCCTATTCCGTTCAGTGGCTCACGCCTGAAGCGCCTCCTCCCCGAGTCTCAGCGCCCACCTTCTCCGATGACACCCCCTGGCCACGAGCCCCCCGCGTCCATCACCATGTCCCCAACTCCCATCCGCATGTTCAATCGCCCCAAGGGCAAAGCGGTCGAAGACGAATACGTTCTGCCCAGCCCCGTCGGCTCCAACACCACGGTCGCCAAGCGAGGCAGTCAGAAGAAGCGCTCCAAGTATCAGGGCGGCGGCGGCGACGAGGCCGCCGCCAAGCGCAAGTTCTCCAACCCAAAGATGATCAATGTTGTCTCTGGTCGTCCTCCTCCGAGACAGAGTCAAAAGCCCGTCTCAGAGCGGCCCATCCTCAGGATGAGCGGCGATAGGGAGGCCAGGTACATGTAAAGAGCTATCCCAAGGGCAAAGGATGACGGGAGTCTCAACTGGACAAGAGCTGTGTGCTGGATCGCTGTTCGCTGGTTTCCGAGATACGACGCGATCGACTCACAGTAAGTATTTCTTCTTTACATGTCTCTCTTCAGCGTTCGCTTTTCGTCGCTCTGCAGTTCTTCTGAGTGGTGAGCGGGGTCGGTTGTATGTGCTGGTTATGGCGATGGTGGGACATGGATCAGTTCTGTTGCTTATGGTGCATTGCGATTCTCTTCGGTCAGGCGGACAGGATATGAGGATGTTGATGACGTATTGTGGGTGTGGGTCTCGTGCTTAGGGTCTTACAGATTTTATGATGGCGTTATGGACGGATGGATGGACGGACTCGATGATACCCTTTTCCTTTTCGGGAGATTACTGGTGGAGTTTCAAGGTTCGGATTTGAGAGGTTCGGTCATACGTAGGCTACCATGTGTGCCGATCTGCTTGGGCTGAGGGCTCTGAGTAGTATCGATCGAGACATGAATCTCAAAGTTCTTCATGGGCGTGATGTCCGTGAGAGCGCCTTCCTTACATGAGCTGCCAAGGCACTAATCCATACATTGACCTTGCGACTTCCGCCTTCTTCTTTCTTACATCTTTCACTCATTACGAAAATCGCTACTCAGTATGGCCGAAGCGATGCAAGGCCGACAGCAAGGCTCGCAGTGACGCTCTTATCGCCGTGACCCTGCAATGCACCCAAGCGACGATTCGGCGGATGGACCATGTCCAACACCTTTCTGTCGTATCCCCACGCGTCCTCCGGAAATCGATACCATCTATTTGATATGATAAGCGCAGTCCCGTAAGTCTGCCTCAGTGCGCCGGCAGAGTGGCGAGGTCGTTACCCCGCCTGCCCTGCATGCAGATATCCAAGATGGTGACTGCCATTAGCCGCTGGTTGGCAGAGGCTTGCAGGCTCAATACAGCGATCATTTCACCGGTCAATATGCACATGCGGAATAGTTCTGTTGCGTTCCTTCTCTTTCTGCCCCGTTTAATCAACTTGAAATATCTACGTTTTTCATTTCGCCCCGTTCACCTATACACTTACTGAACAATTAGGAAGGATAGGAAAAAAAAACCCTGTATATCTCGTCATAATATGGATCCAGCCAGTCTGACAATTGGAATCATTGGTTTATCGACAGTACTCCTCACGACGGTCAGAAAGCTTCGGGAGACAGTCCAGGACGTTAGGTACGCGCAGGGTGACCTCTCTGATGTTCATGAGGAAATTGATCTCTTCGCTGGAACATGCGACGACTTCTTGGATGTGTGTGATGGAGATCCATCGATTTCGGAACGCACCCAGAAGCTAAAGCTACAATTAATCTCTTGGACTACACGGACGGTACAAGGTTTCGATAGTCTACTCGACAAAGTGCAGGCAGTCGCAAGGAATCCTGAAGACGATTACTCCGCTATCGAGGTTCTCATTGCTCATGTCGTATGGCTTCGGAGCAAGGGCACGTTGAAGTACCTCCGTGCTTCCCTTAGCGTGGCAAGACAAAATATGATCTGCTTTACAAACACCCGCATTATCGAAAAGCTAAACGTGGACCTGGCTCATCTCAAGTCTGTGTTGTCTTCGACCAAGACCGAAAAACGACGCGTCGAAATGCTGTACGACATGACAGTGGAGGAGCGCATTGCGATAACACAACATAAGATGTAAGCCACATGTTGACATGAACGAGGGCTTCACTGACATACTCAGTCGTAAACGCCACGCTCAGCGAAGCAAAATTAAAGCAGTCCTAAAGGAAGCAATTAAAGAAGTGGCAATACATGAAAAGAACATCAAAGATCCAGACTTCGCCCCACAAACGAAACCACTACTGCAATTTCGAAATACGGTATCCCAATACGTCAATGATGTTGTTTTTCAAGAGAAAATCGACCGACGGGCTCGTCGGTCGGATCAGGGTAGCTCGTTCATCACGTCCCAGTCAACTGCTACCACACCCGCACAATCTACACAGTCTTCGCATCATCAGGCGTCTGCACCAGAATCCCCTTCCACGTCTCCCGAACCCCACAACAGCCCGCAACGATATGTTCCTTCGGAATGGGGATCGCACATAGATCTACCCATCCCGCCTGTCATAATTCCACCGCATTTCAAGCCATTCAAGCCGCTCAAGCCCGTCCAGCCGCTCAAGCCCATTAATAATGGAACAAAAGGGAGAGCGTGTTCCTGTCCTATCAGGCAACAAACGCGAAGAAGCAGCAAAACCCCATCATCTCCATTGAACCCGCGTCGCGAGATGGATAAAAACAACCCAACAGAGCCCAGTACCCAACCCGTAAGGGAAGACAGCGCAGGGACCAATGCTCAGCCTGTCATTCACGAGGAGAATGAAGAAAACTCACAAGATGAGACTTCGGAAGAAGGCGATCCAACAAATGAGCAAGCTAGGAAGGCGGGACCGAGCATTTGGCAGGCTACTGGTGCGTTTGAGGGAGATATGCCAAGGGGTCTTTCCATACGGCGGCAGAGGAGTCAGTCACCTCAGGACTTTTGGTAGGAGACTGTACACACCGCGGGTGTTCGCACAAATACGAGCGTGTCGGTCTGAAGAAGTGATCGAGTCAAGGCGGATTGGAAGACGGAGTTATGAATGTACAGCACAGGGATGTTTTCAGTCAAGATGTATGCGATTGATATATCCAATTCTTCATTTGCAGACTGATCCAGAAGATCCGTTGACTCTATGACCTACCCTGAAAGCTTCCAATACCCCGCAAATGTACCAACAGCCATGTCTCTGATCTTCCAGCGAGACCAACTCGAACCCAAGGAGAGGGTGAGTCGAGGTCTCCAGCCAAAAGAACCGAGACATGAATAAAGAGCCAATGCTGGACGACTGGTTGCCTACAAGAGCCGTAATGCCAACGAAGGAAGAAGAGGAGCAACCAAAGAAGGAAAGAAAAACCCCCAAGCACCGTTCCCACAAACTGAGGAGACCGAAAAGAAAACGCCAATACCCAATGCCCGATAATAATGCAATCCCCAATCCAATCAATCCATATCCAAATGAAAACACCCTAATGCAACACCCAACCCTATTTTTCACAAGGCAGAAGAACCAAAACAATCTCCTGTCTCTCTCACACAACAAACTCAATGCACACTAGCCCTCCACCCCTCGAGTGCGTTAAAACTAACATCACCCTCCATACTCTCCTCACCAAATCCCTCCCAAGGAAGTTCATGCGTCTCATCACCACTCTCCTCGCCTTGATCGCGTTGAGCCGTGCTACGCCTGAGCTCCACACTCTCATCGTCATCCTCATCAACGAAGCTGCGAATAGTAACTTTCTTCGCCTTCTTCTCCGGCACCGCCGACTTCTCCGACTTTTGAGTAGTATCTTGCTCTTGTTCAGACTGCCTAACAATAACCTCCTCGGTCAAATCATCAAACTCCGCCTCGGTTAACTCATCAGCCTTCTGTCCCTCAAGCACATCATGCAAGCGGTAGATCTGCATGTCCAGCCACTCCAAACGACGATGAAGATCTTGAATCGAAGCATTGAGCGCGTCGCGACGGCGCTTACCCAAACTAGGGTCGTGTTGCTCGAGGAGGGCGGCTTGGACGGCGAGCTCGGCCCATAGGTGGACGCGTTCGTCTTTCAGGCCTTTGACGACGAGGGCGAGGGCTTCGCGGGGAGATTGCGCGGGACGGAGGGTTGCGTCGGGTTCGTCGGCTGTGCGGGAGGATGCTGTGACGAGTTTGGGGACGCGGAGGGGGCCTGTGGCGGTGGTGTAGCCTTCGCGGCGGCAGACGGTGCAATTGTCGTTGTCGTGGTCTTTGGTGATGGGTTTGCGGGAGGTGTTGGTTTGGTTTGTGGAGCTGAGCTTGATGTCGGGGAGGATGAAAGCGGATGTCATTTCGGTGGGAGCGCTGCGCCGTCTGCGGCTGGTGTTGCTAAGCATGGACGCGTCGATGGCTGACTGCTTTGTTTGGGTGGCTTCAGCGTCGGCATCCAAGTTCGACATGTTGCCGGTGTCTTCCTCGAAGTGGGTGTTGATGGTGCGCTGAGTGGTGTCCTTGAGTGACGATTTGCGCACAAGGGAGGGTCGTCGTTCGCTCTTAGCAGAAGCGGCTGATCTGACGGTGTCTTCGTGAGTCTGGCGCTGCGATCGAACAGTGTCCTCGCGGACTGGCTCCTCCGTTCTAGCAGATGAAGCACCATGGCGCTCAGCAGCTCGCTGTTCTTCTAGAGATCGTCGAAGCCTAGCAATCTCTTCCTGAGGGAAGAAGCTCAACTCTGTCAGACTCAGGTCAGCAGGAGGCTGAACGGTCGTGGTCTGCCTCGTAGAAGTGGGGTTTCTTGAAATGCGAAGAGTTGCGCGAGGCGCAAGAGACAGATCGGTCGTCGACTCTACATCGCTTTCGGCACGGGCGTGCTTGTCAGCGGGAACAGGTGCCGACACACTGCGGGTTGAGAATCTCGAGTGTCCAGTGAACGACTTCCGTGGGCTCTCTTGGTTCGATACGCCAGCGACCTTGCTGTTGCGGACTTCCTGCTGAACACGGTTCCTGATGCGCGTACGCGTGTCTTCGCGGCGGTAGCTAGGCTTACGTTGCAGGGTGTCTTCAAAGATGTGCTCCGTATCCCGAGTCCTCGAAACCGGGCCGGTAGTATCGTCAAAGTGCTGTTCGCTGTCCCTAGCCTTTCGAGCATTCTCACGTTGACGAATCTTTCGCTGCAACTCCGCCTCTTTCCTGGCCCAATCCTCGTTCTCCTCATCTTGCTGAGCTTGCAGTTCACGAAGCTCGTTCCGAAGGTTCTCGTTATCCAGACGCATGGCTTCGTTCGTACGCTCTTGTGTCATATCCTCAAAGTGTCGAATGGTGTCGTCCCGTCGGCCAACCTGAGCTCGCAACGAAGCTTCTTGACGAGACCAGCGCTGAGCCTCCTCTTCGCGCTTCGCCTTCAGTTCTGCCAATTGAGCCTTGAGCGACTCGTGGTCAGACTTCAAACGGGCATACTCAGCATGCTCTTGGCGTGCCTTTCGCAGTTCCATATCCCTACGAGTCAACTGCTGGGTGTTCTCATCCTGTTGAGCGCGTACGCGAGCCAACTCAGCATGTAGGTTGGCGTTCTCCCTCTGGGTCGCGTTCGCGGCTTGGTCGAATTGCTGACGAAGCTGAGTTGTCTCTTCGCGGTGGTGTGACTGGTCTTGCTCGAGTTGTTCGCGAAGGTTGTCAATCTCCTGGCGGAGCTGCTCGTTCTCGTGGCTTAATGCGTTCTTCTCGGTCTTAAGTTCTTCGCAGGTCTGGAATGCGACACCCAGCTGGTTCGCCATGTTGTCGCGCTCGGTGCTTAGGCGTTTCTTCTCGATTTCGAGCACAGCGAATTTGCGGTCGGCACGATCGAGCTTGGTTCGGAGGGTTTGTACTGTCGCGTCAAGACCTGGTCATTGTCAGCAAAGTTCTATATTTCCCATATTCTGCAGCAACTTACGCGTCTTCTCAACCTTCCAGCCGCTCTTTCCGCCAGCATCAGAGTCCTGCGCACTGTCGCTTCGTCGCAACTTCTCTTGAGCTTGCGTAGTCGCCCTCAGCTCGATCAACTCCAGTTCCTGCTCGTCCATCTTCTTCTCCTTCTCCTCACGCTCACGCTCCATGTCTGCAATCTTCTCTTGTAGCTGCTGGAGGGCAGCGAAGATGGCCTTCTCTTCGTCGGGTATGGGCGCGCCATCGATCGGGATATGCGATGGGCGGCGACCGCCGTATGGAGGAGCAGCGAAGCGTGATCTTGAGGGTGCGGTCTTGGAAAAGACTGGTGTGCCATCGTCGAAGACGCCGGAGACGAGCTCTGTGAGATTGGGAATATCGGGCAGAATAAAAGACTGCGCAGTCACGTTTTGTGCTGTAGCCGGCCTGGAGCGAGAAGTGGCTTTTGATTGCGGCGGGTCAACATTGCCATCAGTTTGAAGGGAAGTCTGTCGGCTCCTGTTGCCCCAGCGCGTGTTCTTGGCCGAGTCCATAGTCAGTGTTGGTGGTCGGTGCTCCATAAACGACGACTCGTCTTCCGAAAGCTTCGCGTGCAGCTGTGCAAGTGAAGTGCGCTTGCGGTCTTCCTTTGTAGAGAGTGCAGGGGAGTTGCGCTTGCTCGCAGGACGCGGTGATGCAGTATCAAGGTCGTTACGTGAGGCGCGTCGGATTGCTGCGTCGCGTCGAAGACTACCAGTCTCTGCTTGGTATGATTTGCGCGATCGGTTGGTGGGGGGTGTGATGTCGTAAAGGCTGTTAAACTGAGAGCTCATCTTGCTGGGAGTACCGCGGTTGCTGCGGTTACCTCGTGCCTGTTCGACGGCCATGCTTTCCTCGTCTGATATGCTGTGGTCAAAGTCACCGAACTCCTTGTTTACCATGGATGTATCCGGCTGGACCTGCTCGGAGCGGAATGGGGCCCAGGTGTTCATCTTCTTAGCCGTTGATCGGATGCGCGGGTATGCTGGCAGTGTGTTTGTGTCTTCGCCAATGTTGTGCTGTGTGGACATGAGAATGTCCGGGTCGTCAAAGAACTGAGACGTGTTGGTGCCGAAGCCCGAGCGCTGCGTGGGATTCGAGTCGCTTGGTGGTGGTGATGGCGAGCCGATGTTCCTGGGACTGTGGCTGAGGCTGCGTGATAGCTCTCGGATAGCGCGCGCTTTCCCGTCACTTGTGGGAGGGGACGACTGCATGTCGAAATTGTTAGGCTGCGGCGGGCAGCTTGTGGAGGGTCGCGTCGCGTGGTAAACACGTGAATAGGGTATGAGAAAGATACTTCGTAAAGGCTGCTGAAGTTATATCATTACCTCCGAGAATAAAACCAGCCCAAGTGTGATGGGGTGTCCTGGGGCGCGTTATAATGGAAAGTGCGATGAGTGTTGAAGATGAAGCGGGTCAGCGTGTTTACTCCAAAACAAAGCTAACGAACCCTGGCCCCACCCAGCCACCGACGCCCGTCATAACGTGCGCGGCGCGTGGCACAACTCCAACTGAATGGCACTGCATCCAACTGTGACGTCCAGAAGTATGGTCATGATGATTTTATTGCTTCGTATCAGTGCTATAGAGGTATCATAAATCAGATCTGTCGCAACCATACTCCGTGCTCGACTATCCCATTACATGCCATCCCAAGCAACACTTCGACCTGCGCAAAGTCGATTCCGTCTCCACAGGACACCCACCACCATCATGTGTGCAAGCAGAAGTAACACTGAGCGTCCTAGCCCACTCAAGTCGACTGGTCTGCCTCTGATGGAAATACCAGCATGCAAAAAGTCAAGTGATGCTATGCACAACAACGGGTACAGGACGCGCGGATCCGCCGCAAACGGCTGACAGGGCGACAGCAAACTATAAGCTTTTGCGCAGAACAGCAAAGTCTTCGTAGTGCTGATGACAGCGGGATTTCTTGAAAACCTGTACAACCTTGATGATGCACTCGAAGGTGGCGGTGGAGGGAGCATGAGACGCTGTGGTGACGGCGTTCTCCCTCCAGAAGGGGGCGGCGGAAACTCTAGTTTCCTCCTCAAGATCACCGCCCCGTCCTCAGAAGACTGCCTCCTCATCGGTTGTGGACGTGGTGGACTGGGTGATCGGTCCACGACAGTTGCACTGAGATGCGATCGACCTGGTCGTGTGTAGTTAATCGAAGTACGCTTTTTGCTACCCTGATTCGGCGAAGGGCTAGGTGTGTCAGCTCGCGATATGCGAGGACTGAACTCATCCAAACCCGATGGGCCTGCATATGCGTTGTACTCGTCAAATACCAGTGGTGATTTCAGGACATTTAGAATTTCCTCTGCACCTGGGCGTTCATCGGGGTTGATAGCGAGGAGTGTCTTAAGCGATCTGTATAGCTTTTCGGGCAAGTCTGATCGAACCCGCTGTTCGTCGTCAATACCAGCCCAAGTCGAGATCTCAGCCCTCAATTGGTCTAGATCCTCGTTGTCCTCATCGATACCGTCCGCGTTTCGGTATGGCAGCCGTGCAAAACACATGAAGTAGACAATCATGCCGAGCGAAAAGATGTCAGACTTGGTTGTGAAGTTGCCAAATGCACCTCCAGGTCGCTCTTGACGAAGCACTTCGGGGGCGCAGTACGAAATGGTTCCGGTAGCGCCTGTAGAATTTCTTGCCGTGTTGGCGGACTGCACTTCGCCGAAATCGCTGACTAGGACTTTGATCTTGCGGCCAGTGCGATGGAGCAAGCAGTTACTAGGCTTCAAGTCTCGATGTATGTAGCCGTTGGCGTGAAGATGACTTAAGCCGGACGTGATGTCTTTGAAGAAGGATATGATCTCTTCAAAGTGCATGCGACGAGGTCCATGCATATCTTCTGGGTCTTCCAGCTGGCCCTTGGACCTTCTCCTGAGTCGCTCCTTCATCTGCTCCTTGGTGACAGACGTCTTTGTGGAGTCTAGGATATAGTCGTGGAGATCGCCAGCATTGCAGTACTGTTGCAGTATGAATGCGCATGGTACACTTGGGCCAAAGCTGGATATCTGGTAGTCCTCCAGCCATACATGCCGATATGACACCAGGTTCTCGTGCGACAGAGTCTGGAGTAGTTGCACTTCGATCAAGACCTTCTCCAGCCATTCGTGGTCGTCGCCTACTGGCACGCGCTTACATGCGAACTTGCCAAGGTGTACGCCGTCCAGGATATGCTGCACCAGCAAGACCACGCCCTTTCCTCCTCTGCCCAGCTCCCGCTCTTCTATGAAGAAGTCCTTGAAGTAGTTGGGACTGAAGGCTCTGGCGGATATACCCTGGCTTCTAGCTGGCTGGATTGGTGTGCTTCCCACAAACTCAGAACCTTCTGGCGGGTCGAAGCTACCCATGCGCATAGGGGCAGGCGCCAGTTGTTTATGTGGTGATGAGGGTCGCGATCCCTCTGTTGATCCTGGCTGACTCCGGCGCAGCATTTGGAAGTATGCAGGATTGACGAAGCCACTCTCGGTAGGTATACCAGGCGCAGCATGTTCCTCTGCGTCGCTGCCGTGTTCGTCATGGGGTGATGGTTCACGGTAGGATCGGTGACAGTATGGGCATGACGTAGAGCCGATGTCAGTCGCATGGGAGGCATCGCGGAGGGAGAGTTGTTTCGAGCGCTGGTCGTAGACGACAACAGCAGAACCATGGCGCCTATCATATCCGTTAGCTGCCTATCACTGTTGTCGCATCACATGCTGCCATGGGAACCTACAGCACAATCTCCCGCGACTCAGCCGGGGCGTAAGGTATCAGCGACATGTTTTGGTGCGACTTGCGACCGTCGGCCCTGTCGTATGGGTGCCGGCGTGGGAAGAGCGCGTAACGTCTCTGGCAGCGGTCTGCAGCGTGTCGCCCACAGGTAAACAACCGAGCTGACGTAACTGCCTTCAATATGGAAAATGTGATATGTGCGGTCGTACCACCTCGTGCGGTGCGGGGAAGCTACAAAGGTGCGGTATAGGCAGGGACCTTAGTCGATAGCCCACAGCGGATAGCAGAAGGGGTAGCGAACGGCTTCGCGACTGTCTTGTAGAAGTGGCATGACCGTGTTACTCAGGTAGCGCTGACTGTTGTCATGGTGTTGTGTGTGTTGTTTGGACGGCGCGCAGGTTTTGGTGGGGAGAGTGGAACGGCAAGGGCGTCCCAGCTGGCAAGGGTCTGTCACCGTCTCATAGCAAGTGCATACCAACAACGACTGGCCAGACTCATGATTATCTTCAGTGGTGCTCTAGTCTATCAGTAAACCGGAACCATGCACGGTTTCATGCCCCCAAGCCAACCTAGGAAAAAACCGAACACCCTGGAGCCTACGTTGACGTTAGGTCACCCACTTTGCAGGTTTTTGTCTTGATGTAGTCCGCAGACCTGTTCAGTTTTTTTTCGTGTATGAGGTGCCCCTGCTATCTCCTACAAGTGGCTCTTGACCAACATGCCACCCTCCCAGACCTCGCCCTTCTCCAGCCTCTGCCAGCCATCCACGGCACCGATCTCGACGCAGACCATGTTCTTGTAGCCGTCGTCGGGTGAGAAGTCGCCCATGGCCTTGGCCTTCTCGATCCACGGGTTCCAGGTGACAGTGTCCTTGACGTTGTCGCGGATGACGTCAAAGCGAGGCTTGCCGTCTTCGGTAATCGATGTCGTGTCCTGCTTGATGTCCTTGTAGACGCGATCTGTCTCGCCTGTGATCTTGAGCTGGTTGTCACTCTGGGTGTGGGTAGAGGCGTTGAGGACCTTGTCGATGTACTCGGTGCCAGACAGGCCGGTGATGGCGATCTTGGACACGTCCTGAATCCTGAAGTAGGTGTGGAGCAGGAACTGGAACTCGAAACTCTCCTCACCCTCGTTGCGGACGGTGAGAACTGCCTGTAGGCTGTCCTTGCTCAATGTGACGCTGTATACGAGGCCAAAGTCCAGCGGCCATGCCTTGCGCGACTCCTCGCTGAGCGACTGGCGGTCGAGGCCAAAGTCGAGCTTGACCGAGTCTGAGTCGAGAGCATCCTCCGCAGTCGACTTGCCCATATACTCCCAGCGCGATCCACGCGCGAAACCGTGTTGTGGAAGCGACGAAGTGGCGTGTCCCTCCTTGGGAGGAGGGCCGAAGACGGGGAATACGACGGGGATGCCACCGCGTACAGGCTTCTTGCCAGTCAAATCGGCTGCATCGCTCAACCAGAGGTTCTCAGTCTTTCCGCCGTTGCTCTTCCAGCTAGTAACGGTGGCTCCAAAGAGCAGCACCTCAACGCTCTCACCAGACGGCAGTCTCGCGACAACCTTCTGGCTGCCACCCTCTCCGACGATGTCGACCTGGGGGCCGGGTGCGGACGCGGTAGGTGCGTTCAGCGCTGATGGGCGGTTCGCACGGTCGACCATGATGATGACGATGTGTTGTTGCTGTAGCTCGAGGTGATGGTGGGGTATCTATAACTCGAAGTGGATTGTTTGCGGGTATGATGGATTGCTCGAGCTGCAATTGGGAATTAGAAGGTAGAATGGTAGGTAATCGATTGGGGGCGTCTTACACTAATGGTAGCAGGCGGTCTGGAGCTGCTTGTTCTAGCAGGGAGGTGCTCTCGGTGTGGGTGAGGGGCAACAGCTCATTGCCCCACCAACACCTGCCAGCATCCACGCATCACCCAGCACCGCTGAAACACATAGCTTGTTTCACCTCGACTCTCTTACAGCCCGCTTAGCTGCTCCGTCTGAACATTATTGGGTCTTCCGCACTCTCGGTGCATATACTTCCATGCCGCCGATGCAGATCCAACCGAGAGGTGCGTCTTCGCCTACATATCTGGCGAACAAAGGCCCGCGGTGCCCGGTTTGCCAGTAAGACCTGGTGAGCTTCATGGCGTTGCTCTTTCACCTGAATATCCGAACATAGCCTGAAGACATTCACATTGTCACCTGGCGGCAATGAAAAGATGGCCCGGTCCCAGCATGTACCCGGTTTCAGGTGAACCTCGAGATCTCAAAGCTCCTTTTAGGCTCATTCCGGTCGGTCATGAGATGAATATACGATGCTACGCCTAGCTCATTGGCAGAGGCATCAACCTGTATCGACGGTATGACAATTATGTGGAGTTCTCCTGTCATTCACCGCCTCATGCTGATATTGATACAACAACTCAGCGTATCCTTGATACATCAGAACCCAATACTTATTTGATGAACTTGATCAGACCAAAGGTAGTGTGCTATCATTTGTGTCCTATGGGTCTCTGTGATTCAAGGTAGCTCAATAGTTTTCGTTCACGAGACAGCGCTTGTTGGTGTGCAGCCAAAGGATAGGAGCTCTTCATTTCTTGACCAACCGAATCCAAGATCTTTCTGTGATCACAAAAACAGTCGTCAACGGGCAACCAGCTCTACAAGGTTGGCGTCGGCCCGAGTAGCGTGCCATGGCTGCTGAGCCTAATTGGTGCGCCCAGCGGCTTCCCCCACTTCAACACCACAGCTAAGCCACCGCTAACGACCCGTAAAGCCTAGACAGAGCTGAAAACGCGTGGCTGATTGATCGCCCGCTGCTGTGCTATATGAGATGGTGCCCCGCTTCCCTAGCTCAGAACGTTGCACATCTCTATTTTCCCCGGCATAGATCCGCTAAGCTTCAGACTCATCTAGTGATAACGATATACCTACAAGACTATTTAGAAGACAAGGGCAGGGTTGGCCATGCCTTCTAAAGGCGTAAGATGCTTCACCTACATCGCGGTGGATGGAGTCGAGGTTGAGTATACGGTACCAAAGGGCAACGTCAAAAGAGGCGATCAACACCAATTCCTCCATGACCATCTCGAAGTAGAGTCATCCAACTTACCCCATTTCAAGTTTACCGGAAACTTTGAATTCGTCGTTCGCCAGGATGGTCGCGAGCTCACAAAACAATGGGTGGCAATCAACAGCATGACTGGTAAGTTGGAAGACGGATCGATGGTAAACATGGAACAAACCCCCAGCATCTTCGCCAACGACCTCATCATCTCATACGGGTTCTACGATGCTGGACCAGGTCTAGCCGAGCTACCAAAACAACACCAATGCTATGTAACCGTCACAAAGAACTACGAGAATTGGATGCGCGACGTTATACCGCAAGGGTCCGACAAGTCCAACCGCCCCTTCCACAAAATGGTCCTCCCCTCCGCCCACGACATCGGCATGAACAACATGTCGAGCAGTCTCTCGCTTCTCAAAAACGCCGGCACAGGCATCATAAAAGAAGTCCTGGGCCGCAGTCTCCCACACGCCCTCACCATCATCAACAAAGTCGGCGACGGAGTCATAAACCGGATCGCACCAGACATCATCCGCGCGCTGGCAATCACCCAAAAAGACACTCTCGACACCATCCTCAAGATCGGTGCCCGATACTTCGAGTTCCGCCCCGCGAAATGCCACAGACAAATGCAGAAAGTCAGTCCCCTGGATGATACCTGGTATTTCCAACATGGCGCCATACCAGGGATGCCGTACCGCGTGCTTCTCGACCACATCACGCGTTTCCTCGTTGACCACAAGGACGAAATCATCGTTGTGCACAACCGATGGGATGGCGTGCCAGGCGACTGTCCCCGGCCTAACGACGATGAACTGCGAGATGCGCTCAACGATATTCTCCGCGATAAAGATCTGAAAGCGGGAAACCAGGACGACATGATGCACAAAACTATCCACGACCTGCGCACGTCAAACACGCGCCTCATCCTCCTGAAAGACTGCGGCCAAGCCTCCAACTACGATGACGCTGCAAACGCCACTCTGACCGGCGATTCAATGGTTGAGAAACTCTCTTCCATGTGTGAAGACCCGCCTAGGGGCCACCCGATTACGCTGCTGCAGTGTCAAGCTACGGCAACGAATATCAGGGATGTGATTATTGCTAGTGTGCTCGATTCGGATGTCAGTACCAGTCCGATCTTAGCCACGAAACCGGTGTGCGATCATAAGATTTTGCCGTTGTTGAGGGGGGAGGTGGGGAGGAAGTTGATGGGGGAGGAGGGCGTCGTGGTGATACTTAATGATTTCTTTGATGGGGCGACGGCGGATGTGGCGTTAGGATTGTGTAGGGAGAGGTTGGAATAGGTGGATGAGGTAGTTTGTCGAGGAGTGCGAAGTGATGTAGAAGGAAACGCCATGTCTTCATTACATTATTAGGTACTGAGTTATGAGACCTCCCTTGCCCAAGCTTCAGCGCTACACCATCCTCCACAACTAGGCACCACCATGTTCCCCTGGCGTAAAATCCGTCGCCGTCAAATCCCTGTTTCCCTGCACAACGAAATCATGGTCCTTCGTCAACCCATCCAAAAACTCATCCCCAACATTCAAGTGATCCTTAACAATCTGCCTCGGCGTAATTCCCAACCACTGATTAACACTAATATCACTATACTGACTACTCTGCAACACCTCTAGATAAACTAGCGTCTCATTTCCCGTATTCTCTAGATAATGCGCATTGGGCACAGGCACGTACCCGACATCTCCGGCAGTAAAATCGAAGGTGCGGGAGGCGGCGGGTGCTTCGTAGACGGTGAGGCGGGCACTGCCAGCGAGGAAGTACGACCATTCGTCTGAGGTGGTGTGCCAGTGCATCTCGCGCATGGCGCCGGGCTCGACGGTGATGAGGGCAGCGGAGAAGGTGGATGCGATGGGGAAGGTGGAGGGGTCGAGGATCTTGATGGTGCCGCCAGGGACGCGGGCGGGCTCCTGCTGGCTCCAGTGGTAGGAATAAGCTCCTTCCTTGGGAATAACGCCAGCCGGCCCCGTTACATTCTGTTCCGAAATGTTCTTCGGCGCGGGTGTACCAGGGAAGATCCAGAGTTGTTCTTGAGGCATATTCTGCACTGTTTTGACGCTCGTCCGGAAGTTCTTGGCTACCACCGACTCCGGGTTCCGCAACATGAGCTCGGAGAGGAGGAAAGTGTTTTCTTCGCTGAAGGAACCGTCGTTGAAGATGAGCAGGAATTCGCAGCCGTTTTCGAAGGCTTGGATCGAGTGTGGGATGCCGGGTGGGAAGAACCAGACGTCGCCTTCTTGGACGTCGTCGACGAAGGTTTGGCCGGCTTCATTCATGGAGGCGATGCGTACGCTGCCGTTCAGCCTGAGGGTGTTTGGTTAGCGCTGTTGGGTGAGGGGATAGAGGAGGGATGTACATATACGCCCATTCTCCTTGCTTGTGCCAGTGGAGCTCGCGGTAGGCGTGGGGACTCAATCGCATGTTTGTTCCTGCCATTGCGACGGAAGATGGTAGCTGATCAGTGTTCTGCGACCGTGCCCATCCTGCGCCTGCAAGGCCGTGGCGGTTGTGACTAAGGCCGAATGGCCACTTTGCGTTGCTTACTTCTCCCATATCGGAGCCGGGTGGAGCGTAAATGTCGCTATTCAAACGATCGTACGCTGGAGTACTGCAATGAGACATCAGCCACTGCACCAATATTGGGCATGTTCATGAACTTACCGTGGACCAGGTTCAGTTGGTCCTGTCGTAGCTCCGCGAATCGGTTGTGGATTCTTCACATTCGTGAGATCAATATACAATCCCAAATCCTCGTCCTCTGACTGCCCAGGTGCGAGTTCGAAGTCCTCAGGTGAGATGACTGTAGACTTCATGTCGACTGGGTTAGAAGGATTGTAACCAATCAATCCTTCAGAACCGCGCAACGAGCCTAATGCACCAGAAGGTAATGGCATGTTCAGGACTTGGGAGGGATCAACAGGACCTGGTACTGATGAACCACCCGAGACTCCTGACGCCTGGGGTGCTGGCGCAGGTAGGCCATTGGCAAGCCCTGCCAGGGAGTAGAGGAACGCGGCGGATGAGAAATAGAGCATTTTGAGAAAGAATTGCTCGTTACTGTACCAATTCGCCGTGCGACTGCAGAGCCGATAGGCAGCTTACTATCCTTTTATACACGAACAAGCAGCAGTAGATTCGCACTACCCCAATGTCTTCACCACTGACTCCACCAGGCATACGTCACTCGAAGCTACATCATGACTATCGAGAATAGTAAAGTGACGGGTACACAGCCCTGGCTTGCATACGCCGATGAACGGTAACGTGCATGAGACATCCGATCAAGCTTACCAATTTCAGCTATATCCTCTCATCTATAGCTGAGGTTGCGGCTTTTCCGGGGTAAGTTCTCCAACTGCCGGTGGCCTAGTGGTTCAAGGTTGACTGAGGATTGGCTACGGAGCATGAGGCTGACCCTAACTTCGAGGACAAGGGTCTGATTTGCTCGGATCTTGTATTATGTCCGTCTTGTTGATCGTGACGAAAGTGACCTCGCAATGCTCTCAGTCTTGCATCATTGATTTTTTCGGCCACGAATTCGGTACTTTTGTATTGTCGCTATACAAAGTGTATGAGCATGCTCTCTGTACTCTTTCGAAGTCGAATCCAGAAGTATTGGGTGACTATTCAGCCACGATTGAACATCTGAGCTGACCGCATTAGCTCGCTCACAGCTCATACTCAGTAGTAAGATCTGCTATTCCCGAAGCAGCCCCATGTCCCGCGCGGTTTGGACCAAGTGCCGGAACGACCCGGGACCGGAGTTCATCGCAGGCAGTAACAAAGACCTGTATTGTGACTTCAACGTTGATCAAGTGGCCGGTTGCACGTAGAGGTGAGGGCGGTGGTAGGATTTTACTATCCATCTCATAATACAGCGTGACTGCGCATATGCGGTGGATGCTATCGTCGAGAAGGAGCGAAAGCAGGAGAGAAATGGTTAGATACCGAAACTGCTACCCGCACTGAGTGGAGATGAGATGGCGTGTCAAGCTTTGTGGAGAAGGCTTGAATTGGGGCTAAGCAGCACGATCACGCTACGTCATCACGTGGCTCATTGCGGCTAGCGGGAAGCTCAGCTTTCCTCCCAAACCTCAATCGCGACAACTCTATCTTCACTCCGGTCCGCATGCAAATGCACTCACAACGTCAAAACAAGGAAACTACAGCGCCACAACTCCCTCAGCAAACATAACTTTAGTTTTGTGTTGCATAACATGCGCAAGTCTTCGCGATATCCATTCAACCCGTCTCAATCGCGTTATCCACTACACTGTCACACCTCCTCTCTCCTCAATCTAACTAGGCGCTTAAATGCTCATCCAACATAGTAAACATCTCGCGGTGCCTGATCTTACTTGATGCAGAGCTCAGCCTGTCTAAGAACGTCCAGCTCCGAACCCTACTCGTTACGAGCTCAGCACCGACAGCTGCCAACCCTCCCAGTCTTCGCCCAGGCCTCCCACGGTCTTACTCGGGTACAGCTTGTGCATGAAAAGTGCAATGACTCAGGTCCGCGCGCGTGTGCACCAGTGCCGGCGGATACTCTTCATTCCCTTCGAGGACGATGCATGGAGTCAGCCTTGCTAACGGGCAGATGCAGTAGACCCATCAATTGGTTCTCGGCATCATTCCTCGGTCGAGACAGAGCCATATGGTCACGAATGGTAGTATCCTGCTGTTCGCGATGTTGGTAACAGCTCACCTCAGGGTTCGATAAGCCCACCCAGACGCGTCCCTCAATAGGGACAGGACCAGGTGCATTCTGTTGTATCAAGTTACAGAGATTATCTGGATCTCGATCAGGTATATCGATCCCAACTGCGGGAGAGGCAGAAAGAATGCCAGGCGGAACTTGGATGCTGGAGTTAACAGCACGTCCAAATGCCTTCTTCTCCAAGAACGCCTTAAAGAATTTCGGAGAAGGCGCATTGGCTACTGCACCAGTCGGATTGACAACCTCATCATCGCGAACTGCCCCGGTATGCTTTATGAGTCTACCTGACGAACGATCTGCGGAGTTCGACACAGAAGCGTTGTCTTTGACCATCCGGTAAGCCGCAGGAATGCTGCCGGGTATATGATGATCCCCTAGATCTACGCCAACAGTAGAAGTCATGCTCTTCAGCTGAACATACGAATCGCGGCGATTCCGCTCCAGTGTAGCCAGAGTAGGAACACAGCGCCCCGTGAGTAGTGGGCGTGCAAACTCTTCTGGTTCTTCGTGTGCTTCACAGCCTGGTTCGCGGCTGTCTTGATACTCCACGAGCGCGTCGTATGCCTCACTATATCCCTCGTCGAAGTCGTTGTGCGGGATGATTTCGGTCACCGAGAGGCGCCACAGCCGAATCCAGCATCCAGACTTCGCCGTCCAATCCACTGGGCTGTCATGAAGTTCGTTGTAAAATTGATATTCTTTATGAACATCCTCGGGTTCAGCACGCGATGCTAAGTATTCTGGCGAGTTGTAATTGAGAGTGGCATCGTCTTCCTCGATCAAAAAGTATGCAGCTCGATGAAGGCGTCGCCGTGAGCGAACGTGCCCCACGTGGTACCGGGCAATGGCTTCAATGCCGCGGATGCCCATTTTCTGCTCCCACCACAGCTTCTTCGCGTTCATGTACTCTGGGTTGTCACCAAAGTCGTCTTCAGGGTTGAGCAGCCCCTGTTCGTGTAGCGCCTCGGTGTCACACTCCTCTACGCAGTATAAGTCGTTCCAGAGTTCAACAATCATGCATTCTTCGAAACCTTTTCGATTTCCAAAGATACTGCCGGCCGCATACTCGTGCGAATCGTTTGCGACTAATCGATCATAGTGTTTTGGTTCAGCGCATAGCTTCTCCAGTCTATCCAGAACACCTCGCACGAATCCATCGTTTTCACCCTGGTCAATGTCTTCCATCCAGTCAGAGACTCGCTCATAGCTTTCGAGCAAGGCGTGCTCTGACTTGTCCCTCGTGACTTCACGAATGAAGGAGGGTTTGAAGTCGATGCCCCAGTTACGCGTGTTGAAGTCTGAGATACCTTCATTGATCGCCATCTCTTCTTCTTCCGTGAGGTACGGTCTGCAGGGATGATCTAGCCCCACATAACGGCGTATATCAAAGTGACATGCAGGGGTAAATTTCTTCAGATTCCCCTCGATCATGTTCTTGATGTCCTACAACGTCTTGACGGGCGAACCGGGCGCGGCGATATTACCGGGACAGATAAGAAGCTATTGCATCTCGAGCTCCTGGAAGGGGGTATTCTCACCGTTTTGTGATCGAGTCTGGATAATTGTATCCAAAGACTGAGCTCCAATCGTTACTTTCAGATCTTCCAGAAGATGCGGTTCCAAAACGTCTAGAAGGAAGGCGATGTCCAGCGCGTCTGCTTTAGTAGGACGTTCAGACCATGCGTCGACATCTTCGTATGACTGACCTTCATCGCTGATGAAGATAGGCTCCAAACAGTTGGCCATACGTTGATTGTAAAGACGGCCACCCGGAGCCCACTGGTTAGTGTCGTTGAAGACAGGGTTGCCATACTGACGCTGAGGTGCTGCTATTTGGTCATCGTTGGAGCAAACAGCTTCGACAGTGTCTTCATCTGCGACAATTTCGCAATGGAGTTTGGCTTGAACACTTGGTGGGATGCCAGATGCGAGAGACGGATTTTCTTCGTTCTTAAGAGACGACATCCAGCAGTCGCTGCTTATAGACATGTCCCGAACGCTGGGCAACCACCGCGGTACCTTGGTATTGTCGTGAGCCCGTGTTTCGGTTGAGGATTATTGCCTCAATTGAAGGCGCAATGTCTCCGGTAGGATGAATATCGAAACACATGTCGTGATCTTCATCCGGTGACGGCTGAGTTGACTGGTGTTGCTACTCAACCATATGGAATCCACCAAACGCTAACCACACCAGACCAGCGAAGGGAACAAGTGTGAAAATGCTCTTAGTGGCAGGTCGTACTAGCCAAAGTACAAAGAACGCACAGAGCACGAGAATAGCAGACTTCTCAACTAGCGATAGTTGGCCAGTAGCCTTGCTACTAGTAGAAGCGTGGACGGTGGCCGAGCATCCGTGGACGTTGGCCGGCTGCTGGAGCCTCTGAGGTACCTTTGTGATGGAGAACGTGGCTTGGAACTCAAATTCGAACAACTCAGGCCGTAAATTATAGGTGCTGCGCGACTGGAAGTCGTTGAAAGCTCGCACTTTGGACATATCGGAAGCAGTGGATGAACGGCGCGACATGCTCAGAGCTCGTGTGCTTGGGGCGGCGGATGTGTAAGTGGTTAAAGACCAGTACGCCCTGGCGGATCGGATGGCGTCGCCTGAATCTTGTATAGGCTCGCTGGGAAGAGTCAGGGGGCACGCTATGTGGTTAAAGACGGCAAAAAATGACCTGGACTGAGTATATGATGCCAAATTGTCGCTTGTGACTGGAGTAGTAGACGCTATAGCTACTGCTGGGACTTTTTCGACGTGGAAAGGGGCTTTATTTACCATGTAGATGGCGCGTGTGTTGGGTCCTCAAAGAAGAACCGGGCCGCCTGTCTGCTGTGCCTAGCTGCCCAGGTGCGGTTGTTGAAGTTGAAGCGAGCTTGCGCAGGGTAGTGCAGGCTTGTAGTCCGTGAGATCGAACGTTACGTTTGATTGGGGTAGAGGGCAGTGCGAGCCGTGACGCTGATCACGCCAGCTCCACAGTAGTCGTATCTGTGAGTGAATGCATGTGAACGGGCTTGTGCGGCCATCACATACGAGCTTGGCGGAGCTCCTCATGTTTGCGTTTCCTCTTCTCAGTACCGCAAGATATATATCGCGAAGATCCTGGAAAGCTGTAGTGTAGGTAATATAGGTAGATGACAACCCAAGCGTGGTATGCGCAGCGGTATACATACATCAACGTGCTCAGTGAGGTGTTTGTTGCTTGTACGACTTACACTCAACGGTATTGACCAAACATCTTGCATCTGGGCCAAACGGAAATCGTCGCAAGAGCCCAGAATCTTCGATCTGATCAGTGCGGTACTCTTTCCAAATGCTATGGCTTCCTCAAGGCGGTTGGCTATCGAGAAAAACGTAGTTGGATAAGCAGGAGGCATCATGGGCAGAACAGTCCGCGTGGCGAACAGACCAATATCTTAATAGAGACGGCGATAACGGCGACCTCTGATCTTGAGTTTAAGCAGGGAGAAGTGGGATAGATGAGCCGAACAGCATCTTTTAATCAAGACGGAGGTTCCGATACGCAGCGATAGATAACGAGAAAGTGGTGCTCTCGCGTATGATCGTGAGAACAGTCGAATAATTACAAAGATATAAGTGATGAGGGCATTACAAGAGTCGAATTACTCTCTATTAATAGTAGGTAGGTCATGGGGTATCGTAATATAATGAGGTCAAAGTGTGTGGACTGAACAAAGGAAAAGTCTCGGATCTACCTCGACACACGCGCATTTTCGTCTACCAGCATCTCGGTGCTGTTCTCCCTTTGTGTTTCCTTGCGGGATATATCGTCTGCCCAGGTGGCCTGAGAAGCGGGCGTTCTCCAGCCGCTTAGCCTCCTACCATCGGCACCATCCACTTCTACGTGGATGTCCGTAACAACCTGAATGTCTCTCGCATCCTCGCTCGAGCCATTTGAGCGCTTCGTTACGTCTAGAACGTAGTCGTCTTTGGTACGCAGCGCCTTGCTGCCACCCCTACTTCCGTAGGTACGAGCGCCCTGCGGGCGAGAGTGGGAATATGCGCTGCGGTGTCTGGATGGAAACGCCTTTGGAAGCCAATGTGTGATCAAAGGCCTGAGCAATGGCAGGCAGGCGCAAATAATGCCGACGTTTGTCTCAACGGAGCTCCACGTCGCTGCAGGCGGGTTGTCGTAGCTGGGATCATCCGAGTTCGAGATCGCGACGAGAGATTGCAGACGGAGAATTGAGACTAGGCAGACACTGCAGGATCGCGCGTTAGTGTGACTTCTTTGTGACAGTTGGTGGTAGGGGTATGCCTGCTGAGTAACTCATCCCGAGAAGAGCCGGTGATACAGTGATGCACCGTGCGATAATCAAGTGAGCTTCGTGTTACACGTTGTAACAGACATCAGGCGCTCGCAGGACGGCCCGAATAGACAAAACAGGGTAACACCAGGGAGGAATACTCACAATCCGCCAACTGCGAAGATGGAGATGAGTCCAATCTTCTGCCTCTTGCCGAGGTTTAACTTCTGGATGACCGGAATAGGGAGAAGGATGATCGCGAAATCGGTGACGATGTTGATGGCGGCGTTCGTGAACCAGACGGCGAATTGGTTAAGACAAGTAGACTTCTCATGAGTCCAGAAAGCTCGTACAGGTGTGCAGGAGAAGATACTGGAGAAGACTGTCCAGATGGTGTAGGCGACGACAACGGCCATCGTGAGCCAGTTCGCGAGTTGGAACTTCTTGGTCGGGAAGATGCGTCGATACTGGAGGAGCATGGATCCTTTGGTCAAACCGAGCGATAGGTAGTATACGATGAGACTGAACCAGAATGTCTGTCGCTTGCTGTCAGCAGAGCCTTGAAGTACATAATGAGAGTGTCGCACCTTCAGGAACTTGACCATATGATCAGGTGAGATTGTGCTGATGTGTCTGCCCATACCATATTCGGCTTCTGCATACAGTCAGTGTCTATAAGATAAGGTAGTCGGACGTATACTAACGGATACCAATGGCGATGGTCAGGCCAATGGAGCAGAACTGACAGAAGGTTAGCATGAGCATACGTAGCATGACGTGGTAATGAACTTACCATTGCGAGAGCGATGCCGGCATCTTCGATCCCTACGCAGCGAATTATAAAGAAGCGCGTATACAATCGAAGGGCGACGGCTATGAGAGCCAGACCAGTGAAGACAGAAGATATCTCGACCGCTTGCCTGCCCCTCGGGTTATCAGATAATGATCCAGCCATGATGTGATAGCATAGGTCTCAAGACGACCAGATACGGTGAATCAGGCTGCTTTTGTGGGAAACATGGAGTATTTCACAACCTGCTCAGGCTCCCTGAACGGAATGGGTGGTATGGGCACTGTCGGTGGCTTTACCTTTAACCACAGTTATGCACGTACCCACCTTCCGTACGCCCACCGAACAGTGACATTCGCCAATTACTCCTCGGGTGCCAGGGTCTGTAGCCCTGTCAGGAAACCTTCGGCAGGGCCACGAGTCGAAAACGCGAGAGCAACGAAGTGTGTGAGATCGGTCTCAACACGTCCCGTGCGACGTTCCGGTTTTCCCGGGATCTACAGAACGCAGAGAACCCAGTCCCTGCAACATGGTGAGCTGTTCGGCCGTCACGCGAAAGTTGGAGAAATCGCACCAACTTCAAGCGGCACCCGTGTACAATAGTTGTGTATGGTTCGACCTTGAGCAGTTCGAGTTCATTCGTTTTGTGATGGCGGTTATGGTGTCATCAACCATGTTCGCCGGATGTAGTGTTTCAGCCCGATGCATAGGGCTCCTTCGGCCGCCAGCATCCTTGAAAGTGAGATCGTGATATTACACGCGGGCTAAGGAGTCGTGGATGCGATTCCATCTCGAGACCCGTACCGAGCCAGAGCGGTAAAGGATGCCACTGAGGACTCGGGAAGATCAGGTCGAAAAAGCGGAGTGGTACACACATGCAGGAACGTGGCGCGACTTGCGTGATGTCGTACAGGAGACGGTAAACTCTCATTCGCGGATTTTGTAAGCGAGGACTAAAAACTATGTGTGGGCAAAACCATGATCATCCTTCGCGTTTGCAGGCTGCAGCTAAGGACGCACGGGACGGACCTAAAGACGAACTTGCGCACGCAATGCGCTTTTTCATTTTCTACCTCGCGAATGTACGAAGCTTCAGAGATTGACGGCATGACGACCATCGCGAGCCGTCTGGAAAGGAGCTTTCATGTGCTGAGTTTGAATTGGTTGAGGCTCGGGCCGGAACCCTAGTGTCAACCCCGTTGAAAATGACAGGACACTATATCCTCCGTCGCAGTCAGCGGGACGGCTCTGCCACTTAGCATACTTGGTTCCTACTCCGTAGACCGTTGAAGGTGTCACAGCTGCGTCGCTACCTACGTAGAAAGCGAGCAGAAGCAGTATGGCCCTGAAAATCTGCAGATCAGTCATCACTAACGCATGCAGCTGCTCAAGACCGTTAGAAGTCGCCGAGGCAAGTCGAATACAGGTGGGAACGCCAAAAATTGGGCAAGATCAACTTTCACTAGACATTTGGTGAGCAGAATAACTGTGGCTCCAGGAGATGTGCGGGTAGCTTTTAGACTGGATCTTTAGCTGTACGCGAGCCGCGATGACCCGGCGGCGGCCTTTTCTCGCTGAGACTTGCTGTGGAGATTACCAACGGGTCATAGCCGACTATGCACACGGGATGAGCTATCTAATTGTCTGTGGCTTTCTCACATAGATGAAGCTGCATATAGGCTGTATAGCGGTGCCGTTGACACAATGTTGTTTCTGAGAGTCTTCTTGCTTTTCTTTCCCCGCGGAAACAGGGTTGAGTCGGTCCTTCTGCCCGGCAAAGATCTGAGCCTGAGGATGAGTCCGACAGTGAGGGCCTTAGCTTGGGCGCGCGCTGTGACATGAAGATCGTCGACAGCGTAGTGTTACAAAAGGGCATGGTGTCGTGGGAACAAAGCGGACCCCTTCTCCACAAGTCACGATTCGAAGGCGTCCCCAGCGGCTGGGCACCACGCGATGCCAAGGCACTAGTGCGATTCGGCATCGCCCCGTCGTTCGAAAACTCTCAACTTGTCTATCTTCATGTCAATCAACTTGAAAGAGGACTCGTGCGCAGCCCTACACACCGTTCAGGCGAGCGACATCATACTGTTATCTGACCGCCAATCATAAGTGGGTGTAGTCCACGCGAGAAGAGCTGCACATGTGCCGAGTCGAGAGTGGTCCGCGCGTAAGCACCAGGTTATCTGCTCGCCCATTGGAGCTTCCCCTTTCCTACCAGCCATCATCGATGGCGGTTGAAACTGTTTGCATATCGCTAAGACTCCGATACCCGCTACGTTTCTGTCCAAGTAACAGGGAGATGCCGTTTTGCAGCTGATACCCAATGCTCCAGCTTGGCGCTTACTGTGACGAATTCGTCCAACTTACGTACTACGACATGCAAACAATATCGCTTTTTCGCAATGAAGGGGTGCCATTATGTCAGTACGTTGCTTGGACCCTCTTTTCGCGCTTGCTTCTGCGCTTGTTGTCGAGGGCGTACTTAGCAGGCGGGCTACGTTGTTCGCTGCCGCTGTTCCAGAAAAGCAAGGCGACGCCGCACCCGCGGACCCTTCGTTGGCTCACAGTGGCGCAATGCTGCACGCCGCTGATTCTAAGTTCATTAGGTGTTTGCTTTTCAGGGCGATGTCCTGGTAGCCTCCGAGGACCGAAAGGTACCGAGTACGATTGAACACGTACCGTGCTTCATGTTCTTGCTCGGCGCTATTGTGACTCCAACGAGGGCAGCTCAACGGAGCAAATTTCGGAGTCTCAGAACCCGATCCCAAGAGGGGAACTGGGAACTGTCAAATCGGGTCAGCATCGTGGAGTTGACCCAAATCGCAGGGCTTGGGTCAGCCAGTTCAGTGGATCAACGGTCGATCTATCGAAAAACTAACCTTTCCCGTGGTGTTTTTACGGTACCCACGATAATTACTCCAGGAGTCCAGGAATATTCCGCGCGTTTTCGTCGAGCTCATTTCTTCTGTCCCCCAACGGCTACTTGCTTACGACGACAACCCTCTTATCGCGGCACTGCCACATCCCGCGATGTAAGCATTGCCCAGGTTCCTCCGCATCTCCAAGTGACCCCTCCGCACAGGCGCATTACGTCGCTTTGCTTGAAGCCAAATTTTCATCGTTGACCAGGGTAGGCCTGTACGTAAGTAAGGATTGTACCACTGGAGTATGAGTTTCACCGGCAGCGAGGGATCAAAGGTCTAGTGCTGGACGATGGATTGAATGCGCATAGTGAAGATTATGAACAACGGCCGCGAGATTTCGCCGTTGGAGATGATTTTGGGATGGATGTATGTTCCCGACAGTCTAATGATTGTACTAATGAGCTAACAATACTAGGACTGGAGAGCACAATGATGGTCTATCCTTGTCTTCGAAGACACTACCACCCGGCGCGGCAACGTCACGATGCGACATAGGCTCTCGACTTCCATCTCCTACAGACCAAACCCAGTCTTCCGATTATGCGATGAACGACCCTCACATGATCCTACTGCGTCTCTACAACCATACCCATGTCCTTTGAAATCGCTTCGACGAGTATCACGGCCTTACTCACAAGTACGCCGTAGAGCAAAGCCTTCCACTGATCCGAGACATCAGCAAAGGGGTCTCTTGCTTCCAGTAGGGCAAGCTTGTAGTACTGCGCCTCTCCAGATGAGGTGGGTCCTTGCGGCCATGCTGTGTCATCGATACCCGATACGAGTGCTGGGATCACGCAAAGACAAACACGATATCGTGCGTTTGAAGCTAATCGAACGCCGCCACGTTCGTCAGATACTACGGTCATTCGCTCGGGGTCGAATGTCGTTCCTGGGCGTACGTATTCGATCTGATGGTGATCGTGCGAAACGAGAAGCTCCAGCTTTAATCGCGTGAGTCCGCACAGCCAGGTCTCAAGCTTGAAGGTGTCCCGCATTTCATTGAAAGGAAGATATTTGGCGAACTCCGCGTGGATGAAAACGGACTGTTTCGTAGCTGAGGTAGGGATTTCGAATTCTCTGAAACGGCTGTTCTCGATTCTCTTGATAGTCGCTAGCGTATCTACGTGTCTCACTGTGTGAAGGTCACCTTGGATATGGTCAGCTTCATCATCTCGAATCGAGCGATGCACTTACAAATTTCCGAGGTCCAAGAGTACATGCTGTACATGCGGACGCGCTCTGGTTCGTCGATATTGAAGTTTATTTTGAATACCCATTGCAGTGTACGCTATACAAAGCAAGCCAAGGCTAAACTCTGATCAGTAGGAGTCGACAACATCGAGAAGCATTTCTCAATGTCAACATGTTCAGCAGACGTTGGTAATGTGGCTGTGACTATGGCTATTCTCTGAGGGACTCTGGTACTCACCCAAAAGTGATATGAATAGTTGCTGCAAACCTGAACTTAAGCCTAACAATGAGGTCACGTTCTATGGCGCCTTTGGCGGCAATGCGGAGAGCCTGAAAGAGCACAATTATCTTTTGTTTGAAGTTGTTGAAGGTGATGAGGGACGACACTATAAGGTACGGTTTGAAGTGTCCGTCACCCTTTGCCAGGATTGCGACATGACTTCAAAGTCAGTGCAAATGGGCATCGGAGGTACTGCTGTAAGAACACGTACAAGACACTTGGGGCGCGGATATCAACGTCGCATGCGTTTTCGATCTGATGGCGCGTTGAGACGACCGCGTGGCACTAGGGGTGGCTATGGTTTTCATCGCATTGTATATAGAATTTACAAGAATAAGAATGAATCATGGGTTAGAAGCCATTTAATTGTTGAGATTTATTAGTGTGTATACATCAAACCGCAGACTACGAACTCGATTGTAGCCTGCATCGAGTACATATATCCACTTCTCTTCAATTGTGTTTTTGTGGTTTGAGCTGAGTACGAGCAACATCATTGTGAAGTGCATGAAGTACATGAAGTACATGAGGTGAACAAAGCCAAACGGATAACTGGAGGCGCTTTAATGACTACTGTGGCTGTGTTGATCCCCATTGCTCGGCATTGTTGCTCATAGACATTGTGAACGCACAATGATACCAGCATATTGTACACAATGTCTTGAATAAGGCCATTGCCAATGAGACAACCTTCGCTGAAGAGGAACGCGTGTCTCGCCACTGACGTCTTACACATGCACCGAACCTTTCCATTTCCATGCGGCTCTTGTGGTTTCCTTTATGACAACGTCACTGTTCCAATGTTTTTTTTGAATGAATGTTCACTGCAGTCGAGCAGAAAGGGAATAGGTAAGAGCTGAGGCCGGTTGCGCATCTATTTCACCAGCTGCCAAGTTCGCCCTCTAGCTCTCTGCTTACGGCCTTTGCTTCGCCTCAAAGAACGTAAAATTCGACCAAAACCTGGTGTGAAGCCTTCGCAGCGTCAGCTCAACCATGTTCCATCGACTAGACCATCTGCCACCCCAACGCGGCCTAGATAGCTCCTTCTCTTGCTACACGACACTCGATGGCTTGCCTCACCGATCCTACGCTCTCTACCTCCTGCGACGATGTGCCTACATCATCGGACCTATCATGCGCCGGCATGGCTGGACTGTCCCAATGCTGCATGAGCTCTCGCCGTACTCTTCTTGCCATGGCATGTGCCTGACTCGAAAGCGATACAACACAAATCGTTTTGGGATGACCACGACCGAGATCATGCCGTTAAACATAGAGTTGCGTCTACGTGATGATCGCGATCCACGTCGCTTCATCCATACGAATGATTTGATAAGTACTATACTGCATGAACTTGCGCATTTTGCGTATAGGCGGCATTTCATAAGGTTCTACAAATTCAATGCGATATTATTGAGCGAACTAGTCAAAGACGTCGAGTCTGGGGAGCTACGTCGGCGTGTAGACTGGCGCGATGTTCCAATAGGCATTGCGGGGATGGAAGAGATTGTGTGCACGATGACTGGAGATCTGAAGAAGACATTTGCGGAGATGATTGGCGTTGGGAAGAAAGATCGGTATAGGTATAGGATGTGGGAGCCGCACATGAAAGCATCATCTTCAAGATGGGCTTGAGTAGAGCAGAAAGACACGGGTTTTATTGGTCGACCGATAGGAGACGAGCGTATGGATGTGGCTTGAGCATTCAGCTACGACTCGCTGAACTAGATGATTGTTCAATCAGTCGATTTCACAGAGAGTATGTCCTCGAGTTAGATGTCATCTTTATCCTGGAGTCGCTTGATCGTGAAGACCGAGGACTCAACAACCCTATAGCTAATGTGCGTGTGGACAGTCGTTGGCGTGCAACCCAGCATCTGCCATCCTAGTATCTCCCAAACTGTTCCTTTGAACCAGTCCCTGACGGAAGCATTCTCAGTGATGCCTATTCTACATTTCTGCCCGTCTTTGAACCCAGCGAACTTCAATGACCTCACCCATGGTGCTCTTGGATCCGTTTTCTCTCGTCCGCTTGTACTTAGAGGTGTAAAGCCCGTGTCGATGACATGTTGTTTCCCTGGATATAGTGTAACGTATTGGCTTCTAGTCGCCCATGAAAAACTCTCGCCTGAGAAGTAGCAGATATTCAAGGTGCTGCGAGGCACGCGCTGGCCAGTCTCGACATCGGTAAACGTGAGACCGCCGTCATGGAGAATTTTGCCGTCGAAAAGACTGGTGTAACGTTTGTGCAATGTAATCGGTTTGTCGTGACGAAGCGTGAGATTGAGGCGGATGCTCAGATCGGTATGTCCGTCGATGTCGAAAATGTCGGGCGAAGAAGTGATGGTGACGTCGACCGCTGGGGAACTAGTCATTCTGATAGGAAAACAGTATCTGATCTGGAAAATTGGAGATCTGAAAGCACTTGGGTATACTTATAGGAAAATGCAGAGACAAATACAAAGCTGCTGCCTTGACGCGTCGCGTTCTGCATCCGCCATCGTCAATCTTACAGGACTTCGGCCGTCATCGCTACTCGTTCTCCCAGGCATCCATCTGGAAGCATTCCAGGCTCTGCGATCGTATGGCTTCCAAGAATGTGGACACTGATGCCCACCTCGGCCAAGAAGTGGTAAGAGGATGCGTTGCGGAGCTGCCGAACGAGAAGTTCCTGGGTGATGTCATCGATCGAGCTAGCCATTTTGAGCGCTAGCGTGCTCACCAGCTATCACCACATAAATAGGTACCGCCACGTACGAGAGTAGCCCACTACACCATTTTCCTATCTCTATACGGAACTAATCGACTCACTTGAAGGAATGGGAATCAGGGAGATATACATTTCGGCTGCTGCAAAAAGCAGAATGTCTGCAGCACCCACACCAAAGGGGACGCCGGGGCCAAGTGAAGGTGAAAGGATATGGATAAGAGCAAGGCCCCAGAACAACAAGAAACATCAACAGCCATTATGATGGAAGCCCTTGATATCATGAGCGCCCGCTCGCAGTGGATGAGTCCAGTATCGATGTGCCGAGAATGCTACATCTGGCTATGGAACCGTCTTCCTTGCGCCTGGAACCATCGCAGGTCACCTCAACTGCTCCCGTCTTAACCGCTTCTCGACACAATAATATTGTTCTACTAAGTGAACGCACTCAAAATAGGTCGATTTTGCGTCTTCACTACGACTCACAATACGAATTACCAGCCTTCACCACTCGATTGGGACAGGACGGCAGAAATTCGTGCAGCTCACCTCGAGACAATAGCAGCTTAATGAGAAAAAAACTGCAGTCGTCGATAGTAGCCCTCATGCTTAAACAGACCTCCCCCTTGGCGGCCTCTATCGTCAGACCACCCAGCTTCCTCTATCTTCTCATTACGCCTTTATCAGTTTCCAGCACGTTACCATACATTTTTCAGCACTCAGCTTCTTACTTCCATCTTCTACTCTTCACGATACTCACTTCTCTTCACGATACCCATTACTATTTACGATACCCTTACCGCCGCAATGAATTCCTCTATTCTGCCCTCGGTCGAGCTGGTCTCACCCGGCATGCTTGAAGCTGCCACCATCCTCGCTGGAATTCGTCACGCTCGTCCCAGAGATCCCTTTACTACTCCCACAAGGTCGCCCTCCGCCATCATCCCCTCGATTGAGCAGGCCTCATCGAGCGATGTACCCTTTGGAGCCGCCCATGCTGGAAACCCCTTTGACCCTCGCTCCACCGGAGCTTCTTCTCCGTCCGTTTCCCATGGCTCTGGTCGCTCAGGTCTCAAGCTCAAACTGCGTTGCATCCAATCCGCCCTTCATCCTTCACTCACTCCCATTGCTGGCGCTGGCCATAAGCACAAGATCGATCAACTCAGCACCCGCCCCGAAGACGACACCGACCCTGAGACTGACATCATGCCTCCCAAGTGTCGCATGAAGCAGAACGTCCAAACTCCTCCCACCAACCCTCCGATGCCCATCTCCGCACCCGCCCTGAAGCGTAACAAGCGCATTCTGGACCCGAAAAGGGCTGACCACGCAGTACTCATCACCACCGCCACCAAGGCTGGCAGCGAGTACTACGATTCGGGAGTGGACGACGTCGCTGGCGACGTCAAGGACACAACCAAGCCACGACTGTTCCGCAACGTCACCTGGGGCGAATACGCCACCAGCTACGACGACGAAGACAACTTCAAGGCCAACCCGGACTTCACTCAATTCGTTCCCGGCCGGTTCGAGCTTCTTGCCGACGGCACCGTGTTCGACCAGAAACACAAGCTGGTCGTCAAACTCCTCGACAAGAACGGCAAGAAGCGCATCTTCACCAATCCTCCCCCGCGCGACTGGGCTTTGCAGGAGGCCATCACGGCGCTGAACAAGCGCACTGTTCAGCAGATCCGGCGCAACACTAGCGTCCGGTTCCGTGAGGTCGTGCAGGCCTACGTGGCGGAGGAGCGGAAGTGGATCCTCGCCAACCTTACCGCCGGCAAGCCCACCAAAGGGTGGAAGGCCTTCGTTGAGGCGTTCAACCAGACCTTCGGCGGCAAGGTTCTCGCGGGTACGGCCGGCGCTCGGCCATTGAGGAGTCACTCCAGTCTCACCAAGGAGGTGGAGAGATTTGGAGCTGACTTCTACATGAAGGGTCGGGTGCCGGTGACGGCCAAGAAAGTGGCCAAGAAGGAGTGAGTGATTGTGGCGGCGGCGGCGGCCCCGGCGGCGGAGGTGTTATGGTGGTCGGTCTGCGGGTGCTGGCGGTGAGCTTGTAACATAAGATAGCGAAGGCAGAGTAAAGAGAAGGATTACGTAATATGTTTACTTCTCTTGCTTACGCCTTAGTCTAGAGACTTACTCTTAACCTACGCCCTACGCAGAAAAGAAAAGATAGGAATTATTCTCTTTCTCTTATATAACTACTCTTACTTAGTATAGTAATATAGAGCTATTCTCTACTATCCTTTTATAGTGTAAAGTAATTACTATTTATTAGAGCTAGAATCTATAGATTTCTAGGCTAATTACCTAATAGCGATAATCTAAGCTACCTAATTGCTTAGCAAGTAGATTTATAGTAGAGGATTTTATTCTAAGCTTTCTTTAGTAAAGCACATTGTCTACCCCTAGATGGATGCAATGGCTTGGGACGCTGCCGAAGGTAGTCAGCATATGCCAAGCGCTACGTCAATATGTTCTAATACATTTCCATATCATCTTGCAATGACCGGCGTGCTCTCGTCCCAGTCGTCCCTCTCACACGCATCCAGCAAGAAACCCGCCACCGACTTCCTCGAAATCATAGCAAAAGTCCCAATTCCATCTCCCCTATCCCCAAACGTCCTCACCGGTTCCATCTCCCCATTAGTCAGCCATGGTGGCCGCGGCAAGACATACTTAACACCCGCACGCTTAACCTCCTCATTAACAAGATCATGATCATCATAAGAATGCCTCATGTAAGTCCAGTGCCTTACGTAGCGCATCCACCAGGGCAAATTAGGAAAACTGTTGCCGACGCCCAGGGCCTGCATGACCACGATTTTGGGCACGGCGTGGAGTTTCATGGCGGTGATGGCGTTGGCGACGCTGTCGGCCATGAAGCGCGGGGGCGTCGTGGGGCGCGAGAAAGGACTGTCTGATGCGCGACTGGGATTGAGGCAGACGATCACTGCTGAAGGTTGTGTATAGCTGCTACCTGCTGAGAAAGTTTTGCAGACGTCGTGGAGATTGAGGGGAGTGCCTTGTTCGAGTCAAAGGTGCATTCCTTACAGAATCGAGGCACGCATCCCGGCCAATGAACGCACCTTGGCAGATGTCGAGACCCGTTCTGGCAGACAACGTGGCGGGATTTCGCACTAGCGCGGTAATGCTGTGTCCTAAGAGGTGTGGATAAGCGCGCCACATAGAGCACTGGAGGTTGGGATGTCCTCTCACCTCTCGCCAGAGCTTGTTCAACGAGATGCACACCCGTCCTGCCGCTGCCTCCAAGCACCACGAGTCGCATCTTTCACAGTTGTCTGCTCGTCAGATGGCCGTGAGCTATACGTGTCGAGCAAGCTGCAAGGTCCGAGCTATACTCCACGCAGCGATTACCGTAGGCGAAGGGCTTTCTTAATAGTGTTAGTCTTGATCTCGTGAATGCATGTTTTTGCTTTTGTTTTAAGTAGCTACCTACCGCACGGGGCAACGAGGTCGCTAATCTGCCAAGGTCGCAGGGTCGATGACGTACCCCGCGTCGCACGCGCACCCGCGGAGGCACCATGTCACCCGGCCATAGGAAAAATAGGGGCGGCTATGCTAAGGCTACTGAAACGTTAGTAAGATTAGCGTATAAACATAACGTAGTTTATAAGCGAGTAGCTACCCCAACTAAGTAGCTACTCTATGACAGCCTGGGGCTGGTCTCTTGTAATTCTCAAGAATTCATGTATACACTCTTTGAACACTCGCACTATGTCTTCGTGGTGATCAATGTTGACTGATAGACTAATTTGTGTGCCTCCAGGCCATGCATGCCAGATGCATTTGTTGAACTGCAAGTTGTATATCGTCTTCCCGCTGCTATGAACTGTACTATTCTACTCAATCGTACGTATATATTCCCTCCAGCCTCTGCCTTTCCCACCGTGGAGCTGAGTCAAGACTCCATCGCATCCGCCGCCACTATATTCACCCACATCTCCGCAAGCCCCGCGGCAACATCGTCGACCGCCTGCATCACCTCCCGATGCTCCTGCTGCACCATCTCCACATACTGCATAACCTGAGATCTCGCAGTATGCGCATCAGCTGGGCGTGCTCCTTCCGTACCCGCGAACCGATCTCTAAGGTCTAACAACTGGTGTCCGTAGCTATCATTTGAGCTTGCAGAGTAGCGTGAAGAGTTTGCGCCATTCTTCTCGTCCAGAAATTCTTGAAGGTTATATAATTCCATCGCGGTCTTTGTCGTGGTTGCGATCTCTCCGTGAAGAAAGAGCGCGTATGAGTTTGAGTTGAGTAGACGGATCAGTTCCGGTGAAGAAGCGGACCTGCTGATGTTGCCTCGAAAGACTCGGCTGATGATGTTCCCGTACAGCAAGAAGCCATTGAGACCAATGATATCTTTGAATGTTTTGAGGATACTATAAGCGTAATAGGACGAATGTGTGTCCATCATTTCGACCATTGTTCGCGTTATGGTCGATTTAGCGTGTTTTTGCTTCTGGAGCGGTCGGGTGCAGGTTGTAGTGTATCGATGAAAGCTTCCAGTGGCGGTTGAAGTGAAAGAAGATATGAGCTCTTATAAGGGGTCGACACACCTTGGTATTGGGAGTGAAAGTAGTCGAGGTGATCGGGAGCCATGTTGTAGATCGTTCTCGGGAAATATTCGCAATGAGGAAACAACTCATTCACATGACGAATGTAGGGCCAGATCAATCCAATTGATGAATTGAGGAGGCTCTCTATCATCGCGACTCTTGCAAAGCAAGTGTGGAAGACTTAAAGCAGGGTATCACGAGCTTCATCCTCTCCTAAAGCGGGGAAGATGACGGGGCCGGTGGTGACGGAAAAGAGCACAGCATTGAACTGGCCAACAAGTAAGTGACATAAGTGTAACATATATGGCTATAGAAGCAGTTTTGAAAGCGGTAGAGAAGCGCGGCGGCCTCGCTCATAGAAACCTGCGTGTACTTGTGACGGGTTTGGTATTGCTTATCTGTTATGTTTGTCTGACCTCATTCTTTTGTTCCTAGAAGACAAAAGCATTAAAGGGAGTCTCAAGGATAGTACACGCACCTATGCCAAGGCCTGTCATCCAAGATGACTACGCCGCCAAGTGAATGTAGGATGGTGCAACCACTACAGCGAGCCGAGTCAAGCTGCGCGCAAGACCCGTCAGCAATGTTACCTCCTGAACAGGCACTATGGTTGTAGCAAACACAGTTTCAGACGGGACGGATAGGTCAAGAGGTGATCGTAAAGACAACGCATCCAAGAGACCCGCAAGATCGCGGACACCAATTTGACCGACAGCAGGCATGTCTTGCACGGTGCTACCAAAGCGGAGACTAGAAACCTCAAAATCTCTTCGAGCCTGTTCGCGCTGCTTTACAACCATACCCTGCTCTTCCAAGACTTTCCTGGTCTGCACATCCTTCGCCAACTCAGCTGCCCTCTGGGCATCATCTAAGCGCCTGTAAATGAAATCCACTAGTATACATCGCGCGACGAAGACATCGTCTTTCGTCATCAATGAGAATCTCTGCGTGCAATATTCGTGAAATCTTTGTATCAAGGGATGCATGAGATCCGTGCCTTCGAGTACCGACGGCAGATTGAGTTCGTCCTCATCATACATCTCGGAAAGCAAGGCTTCGTGCCACATCTGGATGTGTGGACGAGCACGCAGAAAGGAGATGAGGTGGGCTTTGGCTATGTGTGCCGAGTCGGACTTGCATAGTATGTGCGAGATAAAAGTCAGGTAGTAGAACCACTCCACTGCCGAAGTGTATGACTGGATTATGGAAAAGATCGCTGGTACGGTGTACCAGCTGGGGCGGAGGACTTTCGGCTGCTGAGTGTATTCCATTTCGGTGAAATCGCGCGACGTTGAGCTGATCATTTGGACACGCTCGGCTTAGTCTTCGATGGGTTGTGGTAGCCAAGAGAAGCTCGTGGAATCGCGCATACTCGTGGAATGACCTCGATTGGCGGTGTTGGGAAGGGCGATGTTGAGAAACAGTGTCTGTTTGATCGATAGCGTAAGGGATGAGCGAGTAACACCGTTACTGAACGAGACTGCATTGGAGGCGATACGAGTATGGAGTGCGAAGCGGTCATGATCCTTGGGACTCCAGGTACCAATGCTGCTAGTTCTAGAACAGATCATCATGTGCTCTACGACCCAAAAAGGTGTGTAGGGCACTCAATGAAAGACGCAAACCACCTACACGTGATAGTGCGAGAGTAATCTCTCCACCACCCCACCATGGACTGGAGGACTGTGACCTCCTTGCGACCTAACGACCACATCGATACATTTACCATTTCAATTCCTTAGCAATCTTCCTCCCCCCCACTACCCGTACAACAGTAACCATGTCCACACAGGAGGCTCCGGTAGAAACCCCCTTCCCCGACATGAACATCGACAAGCATGGCCCTGTCCACGTTCACAGTGCGACCGCTACTGTCACCAAGATTGCTAAAAGCCCACCAGCCGAGGGTTTCACCACGAAAGTCATCAAGGTCGTGATGATGTGTACCGGTAACCTGAACACCAACACCATCGTCATCGAAGACGCCGATATCCTACGCATGTTTGTGGAGAAGAATAGGAAAATAGTCATCAGTTTCACGCAACTTCCCATGATGATACCGATCTGGAAGTTGGAGCCCGCTGGCCCAATGCCGGACAACTACGATGAAGAAGATACTGAGGAGGACCTCGAGATGATAAGGAATGTCTGGAGGACCTGTCGACTCGTATGTGGGCGCCATGCGGGACTTGAAGAACTAAACAGGAGAGCCACTGTGACTATGCGTGCGAAGCAGGAGCAAGACAAGCTTGCTGCCCAAGCTAGTAATGGTAACTAATTGTGTTCTTTTCAAGTTTTTTGTTTGTGCTTTTAAAGTCAGTCTCCTCGCAATTGCAATCACTGACCTTTAATAAGCTGAGCGGCTTGGGCGTCTAGCAACAACGGCAAAGAACCCTACATCTGGACGTCGACGAGCAGTATTTGCACCGTCACTATCGACGACGCCAACAACGACTTCACCGGCAACGACGAATCCACAAAATACCCCACCAAGGCATCAGTTCGTCCTCCCTGGCGCACCAGCTTCCAAGAAGCCTCGTCGCATCCCAGGGCAGGCATTCCCGCTGGCCCCGACAACGATGGCACCTCCTGTACGTATCGGTGGTCGTACAATGCGAGAGCCAGAGGACGATGAAGGGCATTGGAGCGATGCAGAGGAAGAGATTGGGAGCCATACTGCTGGCGACTCTGCATCGACTAGAACACGCAAGCCTGGATCTGAAGACCTCGCAGCCTTAGTCCGGCGTCGCCAGGCCGAAATTGAGGCTGCCCAGGCCATGAAGGCAGGCCCGTCGAACCTTTTGAAGGTGCCTCGTATGGAGGATGAAGGAGCTGAAGATGCCGAGCTCTTTGGTTCCTCGGACACAGATGACGAGGGAGATATAGAGGGACAAGTCGAGACCCGGTCGGAAGAAGAGCTTGAAGACGACAGCGAAGACTTTGAAGACAGCATAGAAAAAGCCGACGATGACGATGACGAAGGAGACTTCGGGCAGTATCCCGTAAAGGGCAAGCGCTCGCAAGGTACCCTGAAGAAAGTTTCACGACCGTCACAGAAGCAGCTTGGAAAGCGATCCGCCAAGTCCACTTCAGTTGAAGCCAACACGCAACCCCGTAAGTCAAAGCTTCGAAAGTCGGATGTGCGGATCTGGCCGACCACTATCATCACGACTGGTACCGCCGGGCAAAGTCTACGACCAATAATGGAAGAAATGGGCCAGATCTTGACGACAGACGCTGAGCGCCAGGAATATATGGATCTCGTGTGGACGCGCCGCCGAGCCGCCGAGGAAGACAAGGATGCTACCGCCGAGCAAGCAGTGGTCGACGACCTAGAAGATTTCGTGCGTACTCACGGCATTGTGGACTTGCACAACCGGTGGGCGCGATGGATGGAGTCTGGCGTCAAGACTAGCATGCCCATGTATAAACCGGCCGGAACTGGCGTGATGGATGCGGAGGAGCGGAAGAAAATGTTCGAGAGGAAGAAGAGGGTGCGTCGGGGCTAGGAGGGTCTCGTGGGTTCGAGACGGATTGAGATGGTTCGGCGCGGGTTCATGATGTTGAGGCTTGGTAGCGGGTCAAGAAAGCTTTGCGTATGACACTGGTTGTTAGCTGAAGGGCAGAATGTCTTCTCTGAACAGGATGAACAAAAGTAGGATGAACCCTCGATGTGTTGAGCAACGTGCGCTAGGATGACTTCGTATAATCGCATGCGCAGAACTTAGGCGTGTAACTATGCTTCACGGGTAACGACGTGCGACAAAGAATCTTGGCCAAAATGGGGTCGAAATTGCCCGTTTCTTACAGATGGCAACGATAGTCTTCTGCGGATGTCGTGAAGTTTCGTAGTTCAGGGTCCAAGCACGCGTGTCGCGCACGCGACATTGGCGCTAATCTCAGTAATGATGACGTCATCAGACACTACAACTCTAGTGACACCACAACTACAACCGCGCCACTCTTCCTACCCGAGTAGATATATACCTCCAGGCCTGTAAATCTGATAATCGCATCGAAAGTGTCTGGTTCTCGCTATTGGAGATGTTGTTGCTTCATTTTCGACAAAATGTAGACTTCAAAGGCCTCTGACAGCGACGAAGACCGTCTACATCGCTCACGACGTCGTGCGATGCATAAGACGAATCCAACCTTGCCATGGCCCGTATCGGCCGTGCAAAAATTTCCCCGCACGCAAATTCACTATTTCGAAATCGAGCCGCTATGACCAAAGATTTTTGGGACCCATCGATTTTGCTCATTCTCTTCTATGAACCACCAGTCTTCCAGTTCGCACTCGTGTACTGATCATAACCTCTCTGCCTCTCGTCAGCTCAGCAAAATTCTAAACTAAGACCCTCAAGTTGGAACACGGCGCGTGGAAGGTCCGTCGCAAAGGAAACCAACGGGAGAGCACCCCGCCGGTCACTTCCTCGGCCACACGACATCACTGCTATTCCTTCCACTAAGAAGCGTCATAATCCTGCTTCTGGACTTACTGTAGTCGATAGGAAAGTCGATGATATGGGAAGTGAGAACAGCGTCCCGGCAGCTAGGTCTTGTGACAAAGAACCGAAGCAAGCAGCTGAGAAGTATGAGCCCGGCACGAGTGAGACAAATCTGCCTGGTACAAACATAAGGGAGCCCAAATCGAAGCGACGCAAGACTATCAAGCTCAGCGCCGATCTGAGTCCACCCAAGACAACCATGGCAGCTCCGTCAGGGCGCGAATCGAACTCTGTGAATAGTGGTGCGTTACGAGAAGGTCTAGGCACTCAATATTTTTCGGATCACGTCCAGGAGAGATACAACAGGCCCGAAACCCGTAAGAAGAGAGGACACAACGAAAAGAAGTACAGTACGGCGGAGACTGCAACAAGACGTTCACATCGGAAGAAGGCTGGTCGGTCGGAAGCCGGGCCAACTACTCCTCTGGTCAAGAGTGTAAACAAATACGGCTTTGGAGTATGGGTCCCGGCTACCGGATCGAACAGCCTTACGGCTAGTCACAGTGCGAAAGAGGAGATTGCAAACCCTCTTTCTCTTCTGGAAGACGACGCCTCCGATGATGTTTTAGCCGATCACATCCTTAATGGTGCGGTCGCTGACTCAGGCAAAGAGGCTGCCAGAGATGCAATATCTCAAAAGCACAGCGGCGACAACAAAAAGCAAGAAGCAGTCGGTGATGTCGTCAGGGCCGACATGGAAGAAGACACGGTGGCAATTGAGGACGTTGTCGACACCAGCTTCATTCTAGAACGCCTCAAGACGTATAACGGACAAGGGTCCATAGAAAAAGACATAGGTACGCAAGATGCGGGTGACCGGGGAAACCAGTCAGTGTTCGACCAAGATATTCAAATGATGGATGTCGATGACTCTCAAGCTAGTGTCACTGCTTCTGGCTTTGGTCGTGATGACGCCAATCTCCAAGTCAATCACCATGCTTCGCCCGGTCTAGTACCAAAGGAGGAAGCTACCGCTGCTGAGGTCAGTAGCTTAGTGGCAGTTGACTTCAACGCTGGAAGGACGACACCTGGCCCCTTGTACTGGCGTACAGCCGACAAACGAACAGAAACTGGCGTCCACTTCTTCAACATGTCTTTCGAGGACCTGCGTGAGATGACACGACTCCAGGCTCTCGAACGAGCGCGTCCGCAGTCATCCGATGAACTTCGCAGTCTACTGGTCTCCGCGACTACTAGTAGCCATTCCAATCCCGAAGAGTACGCCCTTGCCGATGCCAGAATCAAGCTCCAAGCGTGTCGTAATGCGTTGTATGGCGTTCGGTTAAGGGAGCGAATGGCGACAATGCGCATGGCAGCCGCTCGCGCAACGCAACAGCCGCGTGATCTCGTTGCAAAGCTTGAGGTCACCACCGACGATGCACGGAAGGAGCTTCTTACGGCTCAAAATGCATTTGAGGAGGACTTTCGGAATGTTGCTGTCGCCAAGCAAGCTCTCAAGAATGTCACGGGTAAGCCTGTGTCAGATTCTCATGACACAGAGACGGAAGCGGATGCTTTGAGAAGGGAAGATATGATAAATAAGATTAATGGCACGATTGTAGAGTATGAAGCGCAGGTGAAAGCGCAGTACGGTATCAGTTGAGGCGCACTTGGGGCAAGATGTTTGGCAAAAGGAGTTGGATGACGGGACCCGTATGGTAATGTGTAATGGAGGCGTATGGCGGAGACATGTGATGCATGGTATCTGGAAAGAGTTGAGAAATCACGATACAGGAGTAAACTAATGAACAGGTGCATCCATGTATTTCATCAAAATATTTGCGCAACCACTGACTAAGATCGGTCTTTAGTACGTTGCTACATACACAGAGTTCTATGTGAACAGATGATAGCATAGAAGACAATGTATACCTCAACGTTAAGTATGCAGTGTAATTCCACGAGTGAACGTCGTTGAAGGTGGCAAGCGACCCGAACGCATGTGATGGTAAACGCGATAACGACATCACTACTTGGACTTCTGTAGTGTTGCCTGAATGTATGTGAGAATATCACGTCTTGATTATGTTCGTTCCTGGAATTGGACCAGTGAGTAGTACTGTATAGTTCTTTGAATGTTTTTCCTCTTTTCGAAGGTCGCGAGTGAGTGCGCAAATGAAAGTGAGACATAACAAAACAACCCTGCGCGCAAACGCCCACCACGCGACTATCAACAACACCGCATCTGAACAACTTCCATGTTAAAACCTTGAGCTATCGATACACCAAGGCCGGTATGCACGGAGAAGGCACCAAAATGCAAAGCGACACACCAGACCCTCAGCGATTCTTCAGACCCGCACCTACCCCATCACTCGACATCTCTGCGCCCGAGACACATGCAATGCAGACTCCCAAGATATTCAGACGGAAGCGGCCACCCACGACGTCGCGCAACCTTACCGTCTTTGAACCTCGACTCTTCGCGCTCATGCCCGAAGCCGCAGCCAACGAGCTCATCAACACTATGCGCTTGATCCTCACCAGGGGCGGCCACAAGAAGCATCTATTGGAAATGTGGACGCAGAGAACCAAGGATCTTCTCAAGAGGCTTGGGAACAGCGAAGTGATTAGGGTGTATAACGAATTCGCTACTGCACATGGGCTAGTAGAACAGCGGTTGACGTTCAAGCTGCCGTTGGTCGAAGATTCAGAAGATAGGAAACAAGAGGCGGAGAATTTCGATGAAGTGCATGACGATATTGGAAGCCATGGTGCGACCGAAAAGAATGTAGGGGAGGATGCTGCCGTCAACGACGCACTGCAAAAGAAAGTCGGATTCGAGGTCGCACAAAATCCAGATGTCGATATGGAAGACGTATCTTTACCAAAACCCCTCCAGCGTGTCACGAAGGAACATTCCATTCCAAGGACAGCACTTTCGCCTCCACCCTCATCGCCGGTACCACCACCTGCTCCATTCGTTTCCACAAGTGTCGCGTGCGAAAGGCACACTCCCGGTACCTGCACGGTTGTACGAATTCATGATTTCAAAGCTTTTCCCGTGACAAAGATCCAAGAAATCCAAGCCGACTATTATCGAAGCGCTATCATCATTGCTATGTGCGTACACCGCGACAACAACAGCCAGGTCACTCAAGTAACAGCAAGCATGGATAACGGGCCTGTCGACTACCTCCTGATTAACGACCCACGAATCATTACATTCCTAGGTTTCCGCCAGCCACTATACGATCCCATCTACGTCCAACCCAATCCTCGCCTGGATGAGACATACCAGATCCATATGCAGCCAGGCCTAGCACCGCGAAACCCGAAGGCTTGGGTTGTTGGCGAGTTGGTATCGGCGCGACATGCGTATCTATACTGGCTAGATAGCAGGCAGACTGCAGATCCGAAAGCTCCACCTACTATCGCGGAAGCTAGGATCCTGGCTCCCAAGATAGGTCGCCGAGCTAAGGATGTGTGGGAAGAGATTGAGAGGTGTTGGAGATTAGAGCAGGGTAGCAGTGGAAAGCGTCACCGAGAGAACAGGATGGAGTATCTAGGAGAGAATCCAAAGTATCCCGAACGAGAGGAGAGGAGATCGCGAAGGAGCATGTGGGTGTAGGTCAAGGAGCTGTGATTGTATCTTCGACACAGTCGGATTGCAATGAGAGATTTGGGAAACACTGCAACTGATTGACAGTTCAGATATGTCCCGAGTTATACGTAGTCGCTCCGGCCACTTCAATACAGTGAGTGTAGTGAACGAATGTTTGTCTCGCGCGTCGTGTACTGACCCTACACAGCGCGGCCCCAACCGGATCGAGGGTACGTCATTGATCAATCTCCGGTATCAGTATGAGCCAAGAGATCGTATACTCTGCATCTGCTCCGACACAAGCCAGATACAACAAGAATTGAGCTTTACTCGGCTCTTAGTGGTCTACATGTGCCTCGAATCAATCGCTCAAAGCAGAGCGCGCTGCGACGAAGCATAACGAGCTGACATTGTGAGAGCTATACTAAGTTCGATCTATCCTAGCGGACCGCGAAATCAAGCATGAGAAGAGCATCCATTCATCCCCATACCATACACCAGCCGTTACCTCAGTCTGTAGTTTGGATCCACACGCCTGCGCTTCTCTTCATCTTTCCTTTCTTTCAATATGGATGAGAGAGTACAGTGATTCTACTTCTTGCTCTTACGTTTTGGCCGCGTTGCCTGCTTTTTCTTCGTAGATTTAAATGGCTTCTTGGATTTGTCCTTTCCATTTGACTCGGGAGAATCCTCTTCTGATATATCAGCACTTACTTGTTCGCCAGTCTGATCTGTTTCCGTATTGTGCTCGTCTAATCCCTCTGAACTGGCCTCCTGTTCCCGCCCAGACTCTCCAGCTTGATGCTTTTGCTCATCGAGTGCTTCTTTATAGGCAGTCCACCACTCAGCACCCATTCCTGTAATTTTGAGAAGAAGCTTATTTGCGGCTTTTCGATCTTCGAGGATATAGTGATGAATAGCATCAGGTGCTTTCTTCTCGTCGTATTCACCAGCACGCCTGTGAAGCTCCCCTATCAGCTTAGCACTCTGAGCTTGCTCTCGATACTTCAAAGCTGTACGCAGTTGCACGCGATTGTATTGCGTGTAGTCATGTTTCTCGGTGTTCTTGTTTGTCGCCTTGGGTCGAGCTTTGGGCCCAATGGGTGGGCCACGAGCAACGTTGGCTGGTGCTACTGGATCATTGGTGTCTTTCTTGTTCCTCTTGTTACCATCGCCGCCATCATCACCTTCATTATCTTCACCACTGCCTCCGCCTCCGACACCCTCCCCAGCACGGGGAAAACCTGCCAGACCACTGCATTCGCGGTAACTGATCGCAAACAAGTCGTTTTCGTCGTCACTAGAGTCATCGCCGTCATCTGGCGTCTCGTCTATGGTCAATTGATCGTAAAGATCATTCGGTGCTTCTCGCTCGTCAGAATTGTTCCAGTCGGCCCATGTCTCGCCCGCTGAGATAAACAAGCCGCTTTCTAATCGTGTCCTACGAAGATCTCTGGCTGTTGATAAAGCGTCATTGACATGACCATCTGTCGGTGGTCTTTCCGAAAGCCCTAACTCGCGTGCCCGTCGTTCGGAATGAGATTCGCTCATATCTGGATCGTTGTTCCGGTCTTCCACCTCCCTTCTTTTCTTTTCAATAGCATCGGTATCGAGTAATAAGTTGTAAGGTTCCATCGGCACCTGCGTCATCCCAAAAAGCTCTCCTAGTCCCACGGAAAAGTTCTTCGCCCTTGGAATACGCATACGTAGCTGATCGGGCGGCATGCTTCGCCAATTCATATTCTGGAGCATACCTACCCCGTTTTCCTCGAAGGCCCTGAGGTCGCTCCTTAGTTTGTTGTCGTAAGTTTCGTCGCCCGTCAATTTTGCAGGGGCATGGCCTTGAGAAAAAGCTAGTTTGGCTCTTTCCTTGACGGCCGCATCGACATCTTCGCGGTATTGCTTCCTGTACTCTGGTGTTTGATAATATAGGTAGTCTTCATACGCTAAGGTGGCGTCACGACGCTTAAGATGTGCCCGTGAGCGTTTGTCTGCATTGTCTTGTTGGCCCTTGTCCTCTGCAGCCTCTCTTGCTTTCTGGAGTTTGTATTGAAGAGACTTTTGCTTTTTCTCGATTTCTTCTTGTATTTTATTGATTGGTGCTGCAGTACTTTCTGCCTCAGTTTGGGCATTGTCCTGCTGGATGGCATTGGACGCTGTGGAATTGTTGATTGGAGACGAGGAGGGTTGGGCGGTGTCGTCGTTGCGGGCTGTCGTCTTCAACTTGGATCGGTCTCGCAAGCCTGGCCATCTCTCATTAGGTGACTTCTTAGAATCATCATCGGCATCATTAGCACGTCGTTTCGGTGGCATCACTAGAGCTGATTGTCGGCTTGCACGAGAAGATGTGTTTGTGACAAGAGACGTGATGTTCGCAATCAATTATATGTCAAGACGCAATCCATTGCTGATACAGCCGCCGAACATAAGAACAGGTTTCTAATTCTTTGTCCCGGAATGTGGAACTTAGCGACAAAGAGAAAGTCAATACATCCAAAGAATTGCATGGCTTCTCGCGGCGCCCTATATATTCTTCGATAAACAAAGAAATCATAAGCCGCAATGATCGAGAACAACTTCTCGATGTTCTGTTCATGATGAATGAGGTGATGATGTTCCTCCAGCCATTCACACCTCTACTTTGCGTCCTTCCTTCCTAGCCTCATCAAGGAGCCTCTCCTTATACTCCCGCATGCCTAGCTGATCAGTCGGTGCTGGCTCAACCCCTTCTTGTGTCTTGCTATGCATCGGAACCAGAACAGTCTTATGCAGAACGCGAAAGGCCTCGGCGAGTTCAGGGTCGGAGTAGCCACCGAGCCGCCGTGCATTGTGCATCTTTCGCTCCTTCTCTTTTTCCTTGAGGCGTTTCTCATCTGCGACCTGTTCGGTAGTCTTCCTCTTGCCCTTGGCGCGCCTACCCGCTTGCCCCCTAATGCTACATCGCTCTGACCCTGCCACTTGCACCTCTGCAACCTCAGTTTCGAGCATCCTGTGGTCTTCTTTGCGGTTGTGGGCCGATGCATCGTCGCTGGTACCACCTTCGTCTTCCTCGACCTGCCCTCGCGCCAGTCTAGCCACGCCACTGTTTGCGTTGCGATGTGCCTGAGTAGCAGGTGGCTGGCCATTTCGAGGCTTACGGAGCCGTGTCCGCGCCTGAGCGAGTGTTCGAGTCGAAGTGCTGCCCTCGATAGCAGTTTGTGGGAGGGAATCGTCGTAATCTAGTTCGTTCTGATCATCCATCTCTACGTTGTGGTCCTCTGAAGCAGTGTTGAAATCGCTCCGGGGCTTTTTAGCCGCTGTGACTTTAGTTGGCACAGCTTTACGCTTCTTCGACTCTGCTGGCTCCGTTTCGGCCTTTTTCTGCGTTGAAACAACCCTCTTAGGAATGGCGAGTTTAGTGGCCTTATCTAATGAGCGCGGAAGCAGAGCAGCCATGAGTGGGATGTTCAGTAAATCCCATTCGATCAGTCTCCTGGCTAGCTCCGTTTTAAGTATCCCCGGTTGATGAAGATTGGCCATGTCTGCTGCTTTAGCCATAGGACGCAAGTCCTCATTGACTCTGTAACTGGCGTAGTTGTAGTCAATTGGCTTGAGGTCTTTAGCACCTGCTTTCGCTGTTGACGGGTCGTACTGATCAAGGATTCGGATGGCGCGTTCGACATCGTCTGGTAAGATCCTTGGAGGTACCACCATATTATGCCGCTGAAAGACAACGTGGGATCCCAGCACAGAGGTGAGCTGAGCCGTTGCCCATGCGGGCTTCTTGCTGTTGGATGGGGCCATGGCGTCTGTGAAGTTACGTTCAGCGCGCACAACGGGTGTCTGCGGATGGGTATGCGGCTCTCGGCGCTCGGCAGTTAGTATAAGTGGAGTGTGAACGCACAACGTAGGGGGCGTTGTGCAGCGGTGGTCTTCGGACGCGTCGAGACGCTATCGAGATTGAGATCAAGCGCAAGCAACGGCATTCAACAGTGCCAAGCTAGTGGGTGACCTCTATACCAGTCCTGTCAACGATTAGCTCCGATATATCTCCAGAACCCTGCGGTATTTCGTCGTGCTGACATAAACAAGGAAGGGGTGTCCACCACGTTCTACTCGCAAAGAGCATGACCTACCAGAATATCTGTTCACCATCATCCCAGGCGCAACCCCCTTGAGTCACTCAACTTCACAGTCGTTGCAACCCGGACTGCCCATTACTCCTACCACATAACACACCACCAGCACAGCTGCTCCGCCCCAACCACAATCACAACCTACACCATAGACCAGACACCAACCGTAAACCATGACGTAGAGCCGCCGCCATCTCCACATCAGACCGGGATTCGCGCCTTTGCGGGAGACCTTGAAAAGGAGACCACTGAGCGGGAAGGATACAGCGCGACCGGTAGCTCCGTTGACGCCTTTAGCCACACTGATAAACCCGCCAGAAGTCTTACGCGCTCATCGCTCAACTCTAATATCGGCCGCAATCGTCCACTTCCGCGCTCTACACGCCGCCTTTCCGATATCCAAGACCTCGACACCACAAAAGTCGCTGGACAGAAGAAGGCGGGGCAGATTCAGATGGACGACCACCATGACACAGTGGACGAAGAGGAAGACTTGGCGGAATTGGAGGCACTGATGATACCACCGGAGATGAAGTCGTCCCCTCGGCAGCCGGAGACGCCCACTTCAGAATGGCAGCCCATAGAAAAGTCTTCGTGGGATCCTGCCGGTTTTCCGACCAAGTCCGGATGGCAGTCCATCAACGACCCAGCGTTCGGCGAGAACCTCAGCCAGGATATATCAATAGACAAATCCTCGTGGGATCCCGCCGGTTTCCAGACCGAGTCCGGATGGCGGTCCATCAACAATCCAGACTTCGACGAAGACTTCAGCGAAGAGACGTCTACAGACGAGCCCTGGGCGGCGCACGAAGGCGACATACCCGACGAAGGAGAAGAAGACTCGGTGGCAGATTTCCCCTCCACTCCAGTCGACGACGAGAAACTTGTGAGAGAGCCGGATGACACCGACGATCTACTGGACGAGAAGTATTTCAAGCACAACGGCTACCTGAACTACATCAGCAACAAGGACGGGGATGAGTCTAACTCTGCGACGGAGAACAAGAAGACAGGAGTTCAAAGCAAAGTCAAGACAACGAAGAAGAAGGAATTGAAAGTTGTCTTCGGTTCGTCGCCTGGCAAGTCCGCGGGACCAGGAAAGCCTTTGACATCGCCAAAGACATCTACCAAGACCTCAACCCAGCCGCCGGCCATGGAAGACAGTAGTCGCGATCACCTCAAGGCCGATACTGAAGCTGAGCGAAGCTCTAGCCCTGCTTCCTCTTCGGATGAAGCTAGCAGATGGGAAGTGGTAGACGGCAATATTGATGCCCCACGAACAGGCAACAAGTCGGTCCACAAGCTTACAATCAAGCTACGTAACAACGCGACCGGTGAGTCCAAGACCGTCACGTACACTGATGTTGAGCACGATGACATCGACTGGAAATCCAAGCCCCAGATCGTCGCGATAACACAATGGCGCACTGATGTTTTCCATGGATATGGAATCGACACCAAGAAGGTTGCGTACCCGTACACACCATTGGAGGACGCCTGGATGACACTCTTCCACAGGAAGCTGCGCGCAACCATCAATGCGGGCCACATCATCAAGCTTCCCGGTCCGGTCCCGGTGATCGATGCCTTCAACACCTTTTTTGAAGGCAAGGTACTCAAAGACGCGAACGGTGCTGATGTACCTTCCAGACCACAGCGCGACGTGTCATCCATTCGGGGAAAGCTCGACGGCAGGGTTAGCAGAATTGCCACAGAGAGGAAGAACATGAGAGGAACTCTAGAAGGAAAGACGGGCGGTGTTTTGTTTGTTCCGGATGTGACAGAGGACGAGCTGAGGAAGTTTCAGGTAGATGGGTCGGTTGCGGCTGACGACCCGACTGAGGCTGGTAAGAATGCGGCATTGGATGTTGATGGGAAGAAGAGCAGGCGACCGTCACCGAAGAGGAAGCGGGATTAGAATGATGCGGGGGATATGGTGGTGAAGAAGACGAAGCGAATAAGCCGAGCTGATCAGGATTAGTATCGGATATGGAGATGTCTGAGCCGGTATCCTGGGCAGCTATGCCTCAGCAGGGACCCAGTACGCATGTCAGCGTTGATGTTGCACGTCGAAGAAGAGGTCTCGTTGTACAAATGAGTCGCACATTACAGTAGTCAAGCCGAAATTCATTTGCCTCAAATATGTCGAACCGATCGCAGTCGCGCTCAACCCGTCTTGTCTTCCCATATCTTCAAAAACAGTTTCCACAGGATGGAGAACAGGATGCCCTGCAGACCGTTGGCGATGATTCTCGTCTTCAGCCCGCGGCCAAATAGACCTAATCTACCGTCTTGACGGATGACCTGCTTGGCAGCCTCGGTGTAGGATATCCTTGTATCGTTGACCTGTCGATATGTCTTCACAACGCGTAACGAATTCGATATTGTGTCAGAAGCGACCGAAGCGCAGAAACCGATGAAAGCCGCCCGTAGTAACCACCATCCGATCTGCTGTCTCGATGGCTCTGTAATAGTTTCGGAAAGGAAGTTGTATACAGCGAACCAGGGGTAATGTCCAACGAAGGTCGCTGCTGCGGTTGCAAAAGCACCCCACCATAAAGAGCCGATGCCGTCAGTCTTGATGCGCTGCCGGAGTAGACCCCAGCCACTAGATCCTTGGGCCTGTAAGGTCGTTTTCAAGGTATCGATTGGTGTTAGCAGCATCCTAAAAGCTGCAGCGCACGCAGATGCAAAGATTGTCTGGATGGGCGATGGAAGCTGCTTCAAGAAGCCGTTGGACTGCAGCAAGGCCAGGATGCCAGCGTTGGCGGCTGTATCTCCAAATCGAGCGATGGGCCCCTGGAAGAGTGCAGCGCCCATACCTTGGTAGTATCGACCTATACCGCCATCTGCATAGAGAGTCTTGGTTGCGACAGTCGTTGATGTTCCATGGCGATATTGGTAGTTCATGATCGTACGGATGGGCATCAACAGCAATACTTGCAGTATCATCGCCGCAGCACCACTCAGACCCCCACCTAATGCACGCTTCAATGCGCCTTTGAGATCGAACTACGCATGCAGTGAGCTTTTGGAGTTTGTATGTACCGCGACAGTGCAGAGGGACATACATCGACGTCATCAGCCTCTATCCAGCCTTTGATGAAGACAGCAACGACCAGTATTGCGAAAACGGCAAGAATACCTCTCCAAACATAATACCAGGTCTTGGAAGCCGCCTTTTCCGGTTGGTTGATGATTTCGTCGCTTTCCGATGGTGTGGGCGTGGGCTGACGCGCGGCATCATGCGAGAGCAAGGGCGCGCGCTCGTCTGGCACGCTACCGCCTTCTAGATCGCGTTGAGAAGGCATCGTGGTAGGTATATGGTGTTGAAGTGCGACGATACACAGTATGTCGCCTCCGTTCGACGCGTATTGAGATGGATTACCAATCAGTCGCGATGACGCGCACTCGGCTATACCTTCAAGCCGAACGATACGGACCCACTTGTGCGCTCACGTGACACTCATTCGTGGTGTGCCATCTACCAAATCCCAACGATGAAGCAACTCATCGACCTTTCAAACACCGAATCGCTATTCTCACACTCCTGTGTTTCTCGAAGTCATGACGGATATTTCTCACTGACGATAACGAGAAGATTCCCACTTTCGTCTCCATCATCAAGGGCTCAATGTGGCGTGCTGAAGTTACTTTTCTCACTAAAGAGCTCGCTATTAGATGTTGAAGACTTAGGGACCCGTAAGCTCTGCGCTGTTACGATTGCGCGGCACGAGTCGAATCATGACAAGGTCCACGGCGCGACAGAAAGAGGCGCATTCACAAGTCGATGAAAAGGTCACCAACGGTATTTGTGTCGCCCAGTCGAAGTGAGCGGAGTGTTGCTGCGATGCTTCGGGTCGAGTTCACACGGGACGACCTTTTCACAGCCCCCTATGAGTCTTGGCTCGTAAGGCAAGCGACCTTGGTACTCCACACCGATCAAAGGCCTTATGACAATTTAGTCATTTAGAGTCGCTGAAGTTTGTCCCGCCTTGCCAATACAACGGACGACATCTGCCGTTTATCCATCTGAGTTCCACCTATCGCGCCGGGATTATACAGCCGTGACAGTCAGACACAGCCGCAACTGCATCGCTAAGCGGGCCAATCATCGTGGAATGCATACAAGACCCGAGTTACTTGGGCCCCGTTGTAAACAAGGCCACCAGCGCCCATCTGTAGTAAACCAACACAGCAGGTTTTCCGCCACATTTCAGTCATTTGAGGAGAACGCCAACTTGGTGAGATGATAGCCGCTGCAACCGCTTTATGTGGAACGGTGTCGGTCCAAGCCAAGATACTGCGCCCTGGGCTTGGCTAACCGGTGAGGATGCCCTGCTCTAATCCTACGATGCTTAAAGGAACGTGAAGACCTGGTGGGAAAACGTTGGTGTTGTGCACATCACGGATCCACTACCAGTCTACCCGAATCTGCCACCACCATGATGGCACCTCTCCTCTCCACCATGCTGTTCGCAGCCACTGCATCAGCCCAAGTCACAACCTCCTTCTGGATGCCCTCGAACGGCCTAGGAACAGACAACATCGGTTTCGTCGGCTCTGTGATCAACGCCAACGAGACCCATACCACCGTCGCCGTCGACTATGACGAAGGAACCGATAAATCCGCACTCAGCATAGGTGTCGATGGTCCCCAAACCATGACCATAGGTCCCAAATTCTTCGGAACCACAATCGACGTCGGCTTTGCTGCCAATGGGGGAAACGCCGAAGATGACGAAGAAGACTCCTACTCACTTGACTGCTCCTGGCCGACCCCCGAGGAAGCAGGGTCGAACCGTACATGCATAGTGTCTTACCCTCCGGAGCTCGCTAGGCTTCTCTGCCAGAACACCGTTTACCTCTCGACAAGTGAAGACGTTTGGACGAGAACACACACCTATCCTGCGCGAGGCTCGGAACCCGCAGGTACTGAGACTATAAGGCAGACTTTTACCTATGGCTATGGCTCTGCTGTGTCCTCCGTCTCCCAGCCGGCCTATTGCAGTGAGAGTGGTACGCCTGAAGAGCCTTACGTTTCTGAGGTGGAGGTCCCTGCGACGCAATTCGGAACTTACTACCTTGTTATCACTGCGGGAACGGAGAAGTTGGAAGCTACTGCTGCGGCTACACCGACTATGTCTAGCGCCCTGTCTACGAATGCTCCTACGAATGAGACGAGTGCTTCTGGGACTGCGCCCTTGCCTGAGGTGACGGAGGCTGGTGCGCCGATGATCAGGGGTGCGCCGCTCTTGGCAGGACTTGGTGCTGCTGCTGCTGCGTTCTTTGTTTAGTTTATGAGCTTGAGGAACGAGGTAGGATGGGATGGATTAGCATGGGATGGATTAGCATGGGATGGAACGCTCGTTTGGTAACTTGTAATGCAACTCCCAGTTCCGTGTAGTACGACACACTGGGTAATGATACCCATTGGTTTGCCTCCTTTCGCACCAGAACCTGCTACTAGCGCCCTTTTCTAGCTTATCCTTGACACCGTTACGCATCTTTGTCTTCATTACTGCTACTCAGAGTGGCTAAGGTTCATGGCTTTTCGCCGCATACATACTATTAATTGTTCATAGGTACGCAATTTCTAGGCTGATGTATACTACTGCCTATGTAATGTCTTCAACCACTGTTACAGTGACCAAGTCCGCTCAGAACGCTCACCACAGCTTCCATGATCCCCGAGCTTCGACAGTGCCGTTATTTGGGCTTCCAGCAATAGTTACCCTGCTGTTGCCATTAAATGCAAGCAGATTTACCGAGCCCATGGGATCCGTCACAACATTGGGCGTAGCTAGCGCATACACCCTCGCCTTGACGTCGGCGGCAGTTGACGGCCCTTCAAGACCACGGAGATATGAGACTAGGCCCGCTACGTGAGGAGACGCCATGGAAGTACCAGTCAGCGTCCTCGTTTCTGAGTCGCCCAGGTGAGATGCCGATACAATGTTCGTTCCAGCAGCGAATATGTCGACCGCGGCGCCGTAGTTGGAGCCTCCGCCGCCGCTGTGCCTCTTGTTGGTGATTTCGATATTTCCAACGCAGATAACTTCAGGGGAGCGAGCTGGCGAGTTGTCGATAGCAGGGGAATCCTCATTTCCTGCTGATGTCACAACGAGAACGCCTTTCTTCCAAGCTGCAGTGATGGCTGCGTCCCATGTTGTTGAAGCGGAAGAGCCAAGCGAGACGTTGATGACGGCAGTGTTTTGACGGCCCTTGGAGACAATGTCGTTGACCGTCCAGTCAAACCCGGCGAAGACGTCTGATGCACTTCCAGTCGAACCGTCCAAGACCTTTACGCCAATGATGTTGGTCTTCTTCGCAACGCCGTACTTTGCGCCACCGACAGTTCCAGCTACATGCCTAAGACTTGTCAGGAGGTGAGAAGGAATGTCTTGTGGAGCGTGACTTACGTTCCATGGCCGTCGTTGTCGACGTTGGCGCTGCCTCTCACGGCATTGAAGCCCCAAATTGCTCGTCCCTCGAAGTCGCTATGACTGATACGGACACCAGTATCTTGAAGATAATGTTAATACCAAGTCTACATTGCCATCAATTCCATGACTTACCGACAACGTAGGAGAAGGTGCCTTTGCCCGCAGTGTCATCATACACATAGGCAGTGGCTCCTGCCTTGCGGGAAGAGATGCTGGCGAGACCCCACGGCGAATTCGCTTGAGTCACCACCGCGTTGGTCCTCATGATAAAGTCCGGTTCGATGGCGAGGACCTATATAAGATGTCAGTGGAAGCACCAGAGGAGGTTAAAATTCGTGTCGCATGTTGCTGCATACACGGCATTAAAACTTGATGACTAGATAGTCTTCAAGGTCATGTATGGGTCTACAGAATATTTGTTGCGATATGAATTGTGCTATAACTTGACTTACCTCAGGTAGAGCCTTCAGCTCTTCAACGGTCGCCTCATCGAACGAGCCGGCGTAGGCTTTGAAGTCGCCAAACCCGTATTCGCGTTCGACTGGAGCACCACTGGGCCCATCCTCGCCCCGTCGAGCCAAGTTGCGGGCATGTATGCTGCGCACGATATTGTGGTGAGCCGCGATTGATTCAATGTCAGTGTCAGGCTTCAGTTGGACGATGTATTTCCCGGGGATGATCTCGTTTGCTGGAGGTGCCACGACAGGTGCAGCTTGGGCCAAGAAAGGGGCTGCAGCTGCAGCGAGCGCGGTGATGCGGGTGAAGAACTGCATTTTGCCTGTGGACTCAGGGTGCGGCGCGTGGAAATCAAGAACGATTTGCCCACCACTACTGGACTATCCGCGCTTTTTGAGTTGCACGAAGTGCATCGCAAGGCTATGGGACGAGTAATCGTTAATCCAAGCATCGCTCATCTTTTCTTGACTACTGCCTGTTTGGGCACAGCTCCCGTAATGCACTTCGTATAGAAGGCGATGCCGGTAGTGGTAGATGAGAATCTTCCGACTCATGGTCGGCCAAGACGGTGGCACCAGGGGTAATTTTGGAAACGGGATGAAGACCAACCCTGTTCTTCCGGCCAGCGGTTTCCACTTCGAGCGCAACTACCGGGCGCGAAGCGATGAGCACGGGAATCGGCGTCGTATTTTGTGGATAGATCCCACATCGGAATGCACTCCGCAAAATCGGGCCTTGTAGAATTAATGCCATTGTTCACGAAAACAGAACAGGCAGGTTCCAAGAGTCTGTATATTGAGAGAGGCTCGAAAACATGGGGAAAGATAAGGACCAGTCTGGGCAATAGAGGATTAGCAAGGATCGAACACAGTAGACGATGCAAAGTGCTATTCAGAGTGGTGGATTCTTCCGAGATTGCAGCATGCGGCGCGTTTGAAGCCGTATAGCATCAACCCAGCAGATGCAACACGAAGGAATACATCTGTTCAAGAGGCAACAGCGTGAACTATTGACGAATTAAGTTGCACGATGGCCTTGTACTGGAAGAATCCGCTGAGCGGGCGGTCCCGAGATCTTGAACGGCTTGCGGCTGATATCGGCACGACTACGGAGGTAGATAGCGAACACCATCAAGCCATTGAGCCAGGTAATAATCCGACACCAAGCAGTCGCTAGTTTGTGTTCTTTGTTTGTTGGACGGTCCGCGATGGGATGTCTATTGTCGATGCATGAGATGTGTAGACGACGGGTATGCGGGTGAAAAGGAGTAGCGAGAAAGCAGCTCCCGAGGTCTGGTCGAGAACAGGCTAGACTGGTCTTGCCAGATGACTCAGCGGCTGCCTGGTCTCTCCAGGCGCATCGAAGCTATGGGCAAACGCCAACACCACGAACAAGCATTCGCGCGTCTAAGGAAGATGTGCCGATTTAATTCTACCTAGCTGTTCACGCTCATACACAGCAAATGGGGTTTCTTTGGTTTGCTAACGCATCAGAAACGGTCCCTCGAGGTACCTACCTAGGCAATGCCCCTCAGCTGTAGACGCTGATCTCTCACATCCTCATCAAGTCGTGCTGCATCTTTTGGCATCATTGGTGATGGCGTTGTGACAGCACTAGCTACAGGTAACAGGAATGACCGATGTTGTGGTGAAGTTGCCCAAGCAAACAAATTATAGCCTTCTAACTATCTGGGTAAAATCGTGCTACCATGTTACGCGTAGATGACAATCAATTCCAGCCGAAGGGCTGGACAAAACATAAATGAACGACGGAGAGTTAGCCTCTAACACAAAAAGCACACGCACTTCAAAGCCCCCATCGAGATTGAGCTTTCGCCCACGTGCAAACTTCAATCCCATGTGATCACATCCGAGAATTCCTTCTGGCTCCTCTTCCCATTCCGCATCAGCTCTTGTTTGGTTTCGACGTCGAAGCAATTCGTAGCGACACCGTCTCCGCAAATCGGAAGTGTGCGGCGCGTGTCCATATCGCAGTACACGTTCTCGTATAGCGAGACGAGATCTGGTCCCCTAGACGTTGCACTCGCGCATAGCTCAGTCGCATTATGGCCTGGATCTGCAGTCACAACGATGCGACTGTCAACAGCACGTTTGACATTCTGCGTCGATGCATCAAGCGTGTCTCGTGAGAAGATCGAGTTGCCGCCGCCATTGGCGTTGGTGTACGCGCGGAAGGAGGGAAAGTGGCAGTAGTCGTGCGCATTGGTTCCGTGGGCTGAAGTGTCTTGGAAACTGGGGAAGTGTATGAAGAGCATGCCGGCTTTGAGACCGCTGTTATGGTCCGAGTCGATCCATGTGCATCTGGGCTTACTGTGAGAATGGTCAGCATAGTTCGATAGTGGCCGAGGCCGGATTAGAAACGGAGGATACTCACACTCCGCTGTCTGCGACCTTTTAGAGACAGTTAGCATTCGTGCTCTTGAGCAAAGTCTTTAGGGTAATCTGTAGAGACTGACATAAAGATTACCATAATACCAGTCTAGGCCGCAAACAGCGCCAAAATCGCCGACCCAGGCATACTTGCTTCCATCAGCCCACGTAGTGCTAACGTAGGGAATGCAAATGGCATTGGTGCCTGAAGCGACTTGTACGTCTGGGAAGTGCTTTAGTAATTTGCTCGTGCCGCTTTCTGGAACAGAGGTCGTCTTACAAGGGGCCTGCTTGTTATCTGCCTGATTGATGGAGAAATCCTTGTAATTTCCAGAACCCACATAGTTACCTCCTGTATTGCCAATGAGCTGCTGGCTTTCGCTGTACAACCGAATCGCTCCAATGTCGCCGTCGCCGTCGGCAGTGTAGCCACTTCCACCGTTCAATGCTGCTGCGACTCTGACAACTGTCTTATCGCGTTGTTGTCCTCCAAATACGCCCGAAATGAAAGTATACAGGCCCACCGTGTCGGCAACGACTCCCAGAGCTGTAGTCATTTGAGGTAGAGTAATGTTGAGATAGACAATCGAAATCGAAGTATCGAATGGAAAGTGAGCCGAATGACAACTGAGGAAGTGCTGTGGTTTTGATACTCTGAGAGCTTGTTGCCTTTTATGCATGTCTCGATGGGACATACGCTCTTCATCTTACGGGAATTGCATATGCTATAGCCCAAAATAGAACCTGGTCGCAAAGTGCTTTGAGTATATCTACCTGGGTAGATATGATTAGACCTAGGTTTTCGGTTTTTGGACGACCCGAGACTCTGTATAGATACTTTCCTAACGCAGAGTAAAGATAGCTAATGACTGTGATCAATTCAGGCAGGCGCTATTCCATGGCTGATTTTTCGCCGTTACCTAGGTAGCAGTCGGGTCCCCAGGTAGCTCTCGTTGGTGCACAACAGCCACCGAATGTCTCACAAACCTGCACGCCAAAAGAGCTTGGACAAGATTCACATTAGCACGACTCGAGCTAGAGGGAAAAGGCTGTGCTTCACTGTCGGTGGGGTACACAAGGCGGCTGAGGAGATCTGGGTGATGGTGATCTTATGGCCTTGGCAACGGCTTAGGCCTCTTGGCGGTGCATCGCCAAGAGCTGACCGTGTTGTTCCATAGGAAAGTTTCTTCTTTTGATGTATCCTCGTGCAAGAGGGCTTGGTACTCAACCGCTTTCTCGGCAGATGCCTAGGATATGAGACCAATTTTTAGTACACACGCTCGGCGGCCTTCACCGTGTTGGCAACCGTGGCAAGTTGTAAACACTTCACTGCACATGCCCGATGGCTCTAGTACCATGACCGCAATGTTTTTTTGACCATGCAAGACATGCTGATGTACGTGTTCGAAAATAGGGCATGTCTTCGATGGTTCACACATCTAGTACCCCTAGTCTCCGAGATCTAGATTACAAAAGCGCAGGAACGCTCACGCTTTCTAACACCATCTTCGCAAAATCTCCAACATCAATCCTTGCTATTCTCATTCGACCAACATGCGTTTCCAAGTCTCAGTTGCTTTTTTGATCTTATCGGCGGCTCTGGTCTTCACGCCAATTCTGGCTACGCCTATAGACCGCTACGACCCGCCTCAAAAGGGTGTAAGTAGTCATTTCGAGAGCAAACCTGGGTACATGTCTAAATTCTGCGCAGGTCTGTCAGCAAGAAGGTAACATCTGCTACGTTGAAAATGGCTGGATACGCCCATGCCGCTCGCAGGTAAGCGAAATGGCCATCTCGATCTTCCAGGACTTACATACTGATTTGATATAGTGTTCCGGTGATGGGGCTGCTTGTTACGCCACGTCGAGAGAAACGAATTGTTATTGATCGGTCGGAAGGATAAATGGCATCGGCCGGAGGCGGGGGCCTGCATTGTTCAACACAATAGCAGCAATGCACGGTTGCATCGAATGCCCAGTGCTGGCCAAGTAGCAATATCGTTTGCCTTTTCGAAGCTCAACCTTCTCCTTTGCTATGTAAAAGATACCACCAAAACGACGTTGTGACTGGTACAGAAGCTCACGGATATGTACGCGCGTGACTGTTCTCTTTTCGTTCTCTTCATTAGGTCCCATAATTCTCAGTCAGAGGTCCCTTCTTGTTCCATCACGCCTCTAACAAAAGGACAAGCCTACGAATCCTGTCCAACTCATTCTTTCTCCCCGTTATCGCCAAACTCAAAGATTATATCAACTTCGCGGTTGATGTCCTCATCGTCATCATCCATGTCATCGGCCTCCCCAGCAGCATGCGCTCCAATACGAGCATCCATCTCAGCCTTCATAAGGGGCACGTCTCGTCCAAGTTGCATCCTGCCTTTGGCAATAAGCCTGGGTTGCTTGTCAGACTTGCGCGGAGAAAAGGGCAGCGTATCGTTGTCATCGCCATCTACCTCAGAGCTGGACTCGATGGAAGACTTGTCGTCGGAATCAAGCCTGTGATTTTTGCCGGATCTGTTGTGTTCGGACAGTGTCTGCGGTATTGTCTTTGCCAAGAAGTCGGCGATGTCGATAGCCTGGTCAGGATAGCGCTCGTCGTCTGCGACGGTTTCACCGGCGTCGATACGTGCAGCCAGCTTTTGGCCTTCAGCATGCAGCATACCCAGGGGCTCGTTGGGTTTCTTAGTCATCTGATGTCTCGCCCAACCACTGACCGAGTCAACTGAACGCAGAAACCCAGTCTTTGCCACAAGGGTAGCCTGGAGATCATCCCTCCCACTCTCCATAACTTGAGGCAGGAACTTTTCCATACCGTTCTTATGAACCCAAGTATTCGCCCACTCGTAAACAATGGCACGCTCATCATCGGTCCAGGGTTCGCGGACCTTGGTCGCCTCCCCAGTGTCACGATTGCGCCATTGGGAGATCTTCTTTCGGTACTTCAGGACCAATTTATCATCGTTAAGATCGATTTGGTCAAGATGGTCAAGGTCAACGAGGTGTTCGCGGATGTACGCATGTGTGGCTGTGTCGAAGACCATGAACTTGAAAGTAGGTTCCCAGCTTGTTTCGCCGCGTATCCAGATTCTCCCATAATTTGATCTCTGCCAAGACATGTTTTTCTGCTTGTTCGGGATCGTGACGGTCGTAGGGTCGGGTATCAGATACTTGGGACGAGTATTGTCGCGCCACATGCTGGTCAGCTCATCCTCACTGTACTTGGTGGCGATTTCTGGGATGACGTCCAACTGCGCGAAGGTCTTTCCGAGCGAGGTGGTAACACGGTGGTACACCCGAATTTGATCGCGGTTATCCATCACACGCATGAACTCCTCGGCATCAAGGCGAGCCGACTGATTGAAGACCGGCTTGGGTAACGTATGCTGCCACTCGTTGAAGTTGTACTGAAGCGTATATATTGATTCGAACACTGGAATCACCTTACTGAACTTCGTTGGGTTGGTCCAAGGGTCGATGTCAGGGTCAATGCCCTTCTTCCTGGCCTTCTCCACCCACGCACCGTACATGGTCACCAGGCTCTTGGCCAAGAATAGCTGCGAGAGTGATTGATGCTCCGGATTCCTGTCGCCATGCACGCAATTCTTGGACTCCGCTTTCAGGTTCGCCTTCGACTGCTTCTTGATCGCAGCCGTCAAAGTTGGGACAAGTTCGTCGCATAAACATTGATATCGCTGAAGTCGTTCGGGTCGCTGACTTTTGGCGGACCAGTGTGTCGCGACGCCGTCTTTGGTGACGTCTCCAGCCGAAAAGGCATCTAGCTGTCGAACTTGAGCCAGCATGTCCAAGTCAACTACTGGCTGCGAAGAATGTCGCGTCAACGCCAAGAGAGTGGAGTATGTCAGGAGAATGTGTAGTTTCTCTGAGTCCAAGGGCACGTTCGATGAGGTTGGTGGAGGCGTCATCTCGTCCTCGTTGCTGCAGTCTGGCGCTGTCTCTGTGGCAGTCGCTCGCTCGCTGACGCGGTCTGTTGCAGTGATGGGCGCAATCGGCGTGTCTAGAATGCAGAGCGTCAGTAGTGCTTGGAGATGTTATGGGTATCTACGATACCATACTCACAAATATCGCTAGTGTTGTTGGCGCTGTGCTCAGTCGCAGGGAGGGTCGCATTAGCTCGCTTGTCTTTGTCGCTCTCCATTGTGTAATCGCTGTTTATGTTTGCGAAGCCGCTCGCAAATTTCTCAATATTACCCGAAACGTCACATACGCTGACCCTAACTTGAATGGCGGATCATTTGGTGACAGTGTGCGCTTCAAGAGCTTTGGCGGTCGAAAGTGGAGAGGACTCGCTCGCAGGGGAGCAGATCGGTAGTGACGCGAGCAAGTAATGACGCCATAGTCAAACTACGAGATCACAAACCTCTAAAGAACGAGTTTGCCTGTCAGTAGTTGGATAGGTATGTGATGAATGTAGCAGTGTCATCAAAGAATCCCATAGGACCCGCTGTCGCGAAAACAATGCTGAACCAGTGAACGCCAAGCGTACTCAATCGTCGAAGGCATAGCCTCGAGGTCGATCACTGCCTTCTAAGCCTCCACTATGTCGGTTTGATATGCTTAATTGACCTCGATCTGAACGTCGATATCTCGAGGGCACGTTGCCATGAGGTCCGCCTTGCCCTTGGGACTGTGGCTTCCAGAACACGAGACCGAATGAAGCTGGGAATTTTGAGTTGAGGAGATAATCAGCATCTTTGCGTACGCTGGCTAACGATGAGTAGACAGATGATAAGGTGTTTTTCATCCACTGACTTTGCTCGAAGCGCGGATGTAAGAGCCCGGCGTGGATCGTCTGAACAGACATCAGATGGTTTTCCAATACCAAGCGTCCTCGTGGCTATCTGGCGCGTCAACAATAGGCCCAGAAGCTTGTATCAGGCGCAGCTTGAGAATCGCCGGTAATACATCAGTGACTGCCCAATTCCTCGGACGCAAAGCACCAGAAGTGAATGAGCCTTTTGAAGCCTTTTCTGCCAGGCAGTGACGCGCACTGTCCCAATTTGTTAAGCCTTGTTTTGGGGTCTTGAGTTTTTCCCTTCCTTGGCGTATATCTTGCTCAATTCTGTCCGCGATCAACCGCAGCGCCATCACCGCACCTTGTAACATCTGTTCTGAGAATTGCAAGAATTTGATCATAACAACCTTTCTCGATCCGCCGCGCGCTCGGGACGGTAACGCGTGATATCTGCGCAACTGACTTCTTGACTATACTCGGCAAACATAGTCGATATCGCGCCGTAAGTTTTGAACCGGTCCATTTCCGTACGTGGTACCAGCGTTGCAACCTTTTGAGTCGACCCGTCTCTCCAATCCGACGTTTGAACTGCATTGACTAACGATATCTCTGCAGGGCTTTTCCAGCTTTTGCTACGACTCTTGTCATCCAGCGCATACCCTCACGCTCCCCAATACATTCTTTGTACCCATCTGATAAACCTTTACAAGAAGGCAAGGACGCAAGAAGATGTCGCCCCACCTGATCGGTAGCCTGGCCCGCGAGGTTCCCGGCGCGGATGAGGTGCCAACACCCCAGCGCAAGGTCAAGGGGAAGTTGCGCGCCAGCAGCCCACCGGAACACCCTCCGGATACCGAATCCGTCCCGATTGATGAAGATAGCGATGGTGAACTGTCGGACGACCCTGCACCTTACGCTGATCGAGAGCTAGTCAACAAGGAACTGACACCGAAAGAGACATTCTTGCCACACGACTCTGACCCTACCATGATCGAGGCTACATTCAAGATCCAAATGCCTGACGGCAAGAGCTGGTTCACTCAGAAGAACATAATCCCCGAGAAGCGCGAACCCGCCGACCTGAGTCTGTACGCAGCCGAGGACAGCATCTTCTTCCCTGACCTCGAGAGCTGCAAGGTTCCCAAGAAGGACAAGGATAAAAAGAACAGCGCCGTGGTACGATGGAATAAGGTTAGCCAGAACCATTGGGAGCGGACCTTCAAGGGCATCCATGAGGTCTTCACCCCAAGCATCGCCCTCCGCCGCTTCAATGCACGCACCCAAGCATATGAACACATCCACATTGGCCAGTCGAAACTTATCAACATCGACCCCAACGATAAGAAGTGGAAAGATGCATACAACAAGTGGATTGACCAGATCTCGCGCCGCTCCAACGCCGCCTACCAGAAGAAGAAGAACCGCGACCACTGGACAGTCCCAGAGATCTGTGCCATGTACACCGGCATCAACGACTTCATTCACGGACATGGCTTTGATGCGTACGACACCATTACCACCGCTGACCTGACCGATATCGTTGATGCCATCAATGTGGTTGGTGGGAAGAACCGTGGGCTGGACGCTTTGCGAGGTCAGATCACGTCGGCGCATGAGACGAAGAACAAGACGACGGCGTATCTTCGTGAGCATGCCCGAGACTTTCGATTGATGATTGAAGCTGGCGGCGTGGTGAGCGATGAGGAGCGGTACCCCGAACACATGATCCCTCTGTCAGAGTTTCCAGTTGAGAAGCGCCCCAGCCACCGAAAGGGCACAGGTAAACCCAAGGTATATAAGCCGAGGTTCCGATCTGTGGCTATACAAACTGGCGATGATAATGTTGTTCCCGAAAACTTCGACGCTGCCGGCATTGCCTCGACTGCAAGTAAGATCCCCAAGAAGCGCAAGCGCGATGCACCAGCATCCGACAGCGACGAAGTCAAGGATCAGACCGAGCTTCCTGGTGACGAAAGTGACGAAGAGGAGGTCGAGCATGGCTACGGAAGCGATGCTGGCGAGACTTCGGACGAGGAGGTGGAAAACGGCGATGAGCCCGGGCACATGGATGAGACAGGGGACTTGAAAAAGCCCGAAGATGTGGAGGCACAGAAGTTCAAGGAGTTCGAGGTCGTAAAGGAGCCCGAGAATATGAAGGAGCCCGTGGAAGTCAAGGCCGAAAACCTCCCGCCGCTCAAGAAACCACGTCTGACTGACCACGCCATTGAGCTCGCCCACCGGATGCTTGAAGACGATTCTGATAAGTAGCTATCAGATATGCCTGTCGCGGCCGAGACTGGTATCGAGGCACGAGGCTGGTGTAGCGAAAGCGCGGTAAAAGTTCGTTGTGGGTGTCAAGACTAAAGGGAAAGTACAAATGACGTTACCGATCATTGAATAGACGCACAGCAGCAAAGCAATTTGGCCACTAGCGATCACTGCCAATGAACTTACGCATGGCTATAGGATACTGTAGGCGCAAAATGGATCAGAGAAAAACCCGGCGTGACCCCTGTGCGTGACTATACATACCGCTGGAGTGACACTATACCTCTGACGGTGAGGGACATGATAGTTTGCAAATGACTGTAGCGAGATCCAGGAAAGATAGACGGAGAGTGGTAAGTAGTCAGGATTGACGAGAAGAACGCATGTGACAATGGCATAGCCCTGTGTCGCATGATGCAAGGCGCGATCAGTTGCATTGCAACACAAATGCACTGAATGTAGGGTTTGTAGTGCTAAACAGCATGTCGCAACTGGGTTCCTCAAGGGTGATCAACATGATAGATGGTATGGATGGAGATGATGAGTGTTGATGGCATGCGGAGGGGTAGGTGAGAATGAAAGGAGGTGCGAAGAAGATACGGCAGGCGCGACAAGCCTGCCCCGCAGCATCGCCCACAAAAGCACACTAACCGCAGAGCCTTCCCCCACCAAAGGAAACTTGACGCGACATCCCGACCCCTTACAATTTTTGCATAATTTGAAAGACTTGCGTTCGCAAAAAGAGCGAAAGTCACCCCAGGAAATATGTCAGACACCGAATCGGACACCGCGAGCTCAGTCGGCAGCATCGTCGAAGACGCAAGCGAGCCGGATACGACTACTTTCAAAGATCTATTTTCGGATCGACAATGGACTCGTGTGTCAGACATGGTCGAGCACAACAAAACTGAGAACGGATTCGATCTGCCTGCAACGATCAAAGGACTTGGACCAGGTACGGCTCACAACGTTGAACGCTCATCTACAGGTTCAACGCCTTACCCTTTTGGGATGACTACTGACTGGCTGCACTAGACGCGGACGAAATCACCATCATCAAGCTGATCAACTACCTCCGATCAGAAGCACAAAAAGGCACAGATCCCAAGAGTATCAAAGTAACTCTAGATGATCTCACAAGCGACAAATACCTACAGCCAGTTTTGGAAGATGACGCGTTACTCTTCGAACTTGGAGATCTCATGCCAGATGATGACAGCAAGGCCATTGACTACGACGAGTATGAGGCGAAGATGCACAAGGACATGCAAGAAGACTTCTCCAAGATTAAGCTCACCAATGATCGGGACCAGGACTACTTCGAATCGTACAAGGGCAACAGCATCCATCGCGAGATGATCGAGGATCGTGTACGAACTGAAGGGTACCGCGACTTCATCGAAAAGAACGCCGAGGTCTTTGCTGGAAAGACCGTGCTTGATGTTGGATGTGGTACTGGTATCCTCTCCCTCTTCTGCGCGCGTGCAGGTGCGAAAAAAGTGTTCGCAGTCGACAACTCTGGCATCGCTGTCCGCGCCAAGGAAATCATCGCGAAGAACGGGTACCAGGACCGTATTGAGCTGATCCAAGGCCGCGCTGAAGACTTCAACACTCAGCGGTTGATCGGCAAGGAGAAGGTCGACATTATCATCTCGGAATGGATGGGTTACGGTCTTCTCTTCGAAGGCATGCTGGACTCGGTTCTGCGCGCACGAGACATGTACCTCAAGCCCGACGGCATCATGGTACCATCCCACTGCAACATCCGTCTCGCCCCGATCTCAGATGCCGACTGGATAGCAGACAGCACGAGTGAGAAGTTCTGGAAAGACATCTACGGCTTTGACTTTTCGCCTATGATTCCAGGCGGTCTGCTGAACACACACGAAATCGGTGTGTTTGATGTGCCTGAGAAGGCGCTCTGTGGCACTGCGACGAGCCATCTGCTAGAGATGAAGACTGTGTCTGTACAAGATCTGAGCTTCAAGGTACCTCTTCGCATGACGCTCGACCGCGACATCACATCTCTCCAGGCTGTCGCGATATGGTTCGACACTATCTTCATCCACCCTGGCAGTTTACAGGATGTCAAGACGCTTGATAGCGTTGACTGGGGTAAGAACGGCATTCCGGGCCTAGGTTTCTCGACAGGTCCGAGCAACACACCTACACATTGGCATCAGGCAGTACTGCTGCTCGACCCAGAGGTCGCGGAGAAGCAAGCATATAAGAAGAGCACGGTATTGGAGGGAAGCCTGACGTATGCGAAGGAGAAGGGCGATGATCGCGGTATTACCGTGACGGTGGAGTGGAAGGGCAAGGGTGAGCAGGGCGATGTTGAGGGCAAGGTGCAACGAACGATGGCTTAGGAAAATAGAGAAGGACAACTGTAGATACTAGATACCGCCAAAACGCGTCTATGTAGCTTGAGCGCGACACCTCAGTCGATGCCGGCCCGACATTTTTGATTCCGCGCTAGTGTTCCGATTCCGAAATGCGCGCGGAAGGCTGGCGGCAACCCTTGGGCGTCGACAATGCAAGTCGACTCCACGCAACGTCCCATTCGCTGCGACAGGGCGAATTATGCTCTTCTCCACCTGTTCAAGTCGCTTGCAGTAATAGCCGTGCCGCATATCTTCTCCACGATTGCCGATGTCCGAGGTGACGACATACCACGTGGATCGTGCGCGTGAGCTTCAACGCTCCAGGAACCCTAGGTGTCGCATCCCGTACCGCGAGCACCGGAAGCGTAACAGAACCCCACACGCACTACTGCCGACTGTACGCTACTTGATATCGAGAAGCCGCCTAATAATGCGCCCCCAACGGTAGCAGAGCTCGATAACTTCTATGCGCGGTATTCTCCCTGGGCGACCCCAGGCTAAGCTCCAAGCTGTTGCTCATGGCCTGTGGGAAGGCCTCCAGATAATCGTATGACTACACTCACTACGACGCGCATAAATGCTGACTCACTCTTCCTGTAGGTCTACATCTCCGGAAACGCGCTCATCGTCCTTGACCGACCCAATCACGTCCTCCAAACCATCTACATCGACGAGGAATTCGAGCTTGAGGCAGTCGCGATCGACGAAGGCACCGGCAAGCTTGCGGCATGTTCGACGCGACACATATACATATACCGGCCATACGGACAAGATGAAGGCGCTATTAAGGTGGGCACACAAGGAGGGGCAGCTAGGAATGACTGCTGATACGCGCAGTGGTCGCAACAGGGCAGCACGCCCCTTTCCGACGACGATGATACGATAACGACTCTCTCGTGGGGCATGCCCGACGAATTGCTCGTCGGCAGCGCGTCCCTCACCCTATTCAACGCCCACAGCGATATCGAACAGATATGGACAAAGCAGCTAGCCAACCCCGTCAAGTTCGCCCAGTTCTCCCCCGATGCCGAGTTGATAGCTTCAACAGGCAGGTACGACCGCCTCCTCAAGATATGGCGACGCACGTCCTTCGGCTCAGCAGACCAGAGCTTCGATTACTTCTACCTCCCACACCCCAAAGCCATCACAGGCTTGCATTGGCGGCACCCGTACCACAAAGAGCAGCTCACGGACAACGTACTGTACACGATATGTGCGGACCAGAAGGTGCGAGTCTGGGTACCGGGCGAGCACCACGGAGTAGATGGCATGCACATGTGGGCTGAAGTGGACCTCGTCGAGTCGATAATGTCACGGCATGTGCCGCTGGAGCAGCAGTCGAAGAAGAGATATGCCTTTTTCATTGACGGCAAGCACTTTACACACGCGACGGGAAGAGCGATGCAACAGGCTTCAGCAGAAGAGAAAGACCATGGCATCGCGCTACATCATCTGATAGAAGTCGCGAATCGTAACCCGGAAATTTGCGTTGTGCTAGATGACAGAGGCAACATGTCCGCGTGGGGTTTCGAGAACGTAGGAGCAAAACAGAAAAAGGTCACCGATGTGTTCAACATTGCGCATGTCGATGGACTGCATCTGCACTTCGCCAAGGAGCCAAAGCCCATTGAGGACAATGTACAATTCTACGCTTTCATCGGCGACCAACCTGACTCCGAGTTGACCCTGCTATCGCATCACTTTGACGGGCGAATCGAGTGGCTAGAGTCACGCATCGACTACTTGTTTGACCCGTCGTCACAACCACAACGCATTCAACGGAAAGCCATGTGGACAGGCCACTCGCATGCCATCAAGAAGGTCAACCGCACAGCTAGTGGAAGAGCTCTGGTATCGCGGACAACGACTGATGAATGTATCGTATGGCTACAGCGGCAGAGCGACCAAGGCATGACACTACATCGACATTGCAGCGTCAAAGTGACGGAGCATATTCATCGCACTGCTCTCTTACAAGAGGGCAACTTTGTAGTCTTCTTACACCTTGATGAGATCTCACTTTGGGATACTCGCGGTCATGAAGCCGTTGAGATGACGCGTTCGGCATACAAACTCCAGGGCAAACCATTATGCCTGCTAGTGATACCAGAGGTCGAAGTTGGTGGACAGCGCATACACATCGCCACCATCAGTTCCGACATGAAGGGCATTTGCTGGGAGGTAACCCTGCCAACACCGGAGCGAGATGCATCTACGGATGAGAAACAAACCGCTATCGCGCACACCAATGGCTATACCAATGTTCATTCAGAGATCACGCTCAAGGAGTTCTCAACATTTAACCTTGGGTCTGGCGATGACCTTGCCTTTGTGTTACCCGTGGATCCCGCCGGCACCGCGCCCGTCATCTCAGGCTTCCTTGACAGTTTTGCGCGAGACATAGCCATCTCATACACAAAGTCCGGGATCATCAAGTCCTGGACTGCACGCGTCAACGCTGAGAACCGAAGATTGGACTGGTTGTTGACTTCCGAGGTCGAGACAGGCGTCAAGAACCCATCACTCGCTAGTGGCACATCGATACGTAAAGCTGCATTGGCCGATGCTGATCGCACTACACTCACTATATGGAACACCCGAAGCGCTCAGTTGGAACATGAAGAGACGTTCGAAGGCAACGGAATCATTCAAGATCTCGATTGGTCTTCTACTCCCGACAATCAGTCCATCCTTGCTGTTGGCTTTCCCCACCGCGTCGTTATCTACGCTCAGCTCCGATACGACTACCTCAACGCGGGCCCATCCTGGGTGCAAATCAGCGATGTGCGCATTCGCGATATCACGCCACATCCGATCGGCGATTCGGTATGGCTGAGCAGTGGTAACTTGGTCATCGGTGCAGGCAACCAGCTCTTCATTCAAGATGAACATGTGCAGGTGTCCGAAGGGCTGTTTCCTAGCTTACGTACGATTTCACGAAAGACAGCATCTATCGATATCTTCGATGCGGTTAGCAGACTCAACGGCCCTCTACCTGCGTACCATCCCCAGTTGCTCTCGCAATGCGTATTGGCCGGCAAGTTGTTGCTGGTACAGCGCATACTGATTCGCCTCTACAGTACACTCAAGTTCTGGATCGAAGGCGAAGAGCTTGACAGCTCGTTGGGCTTCGCGCCTGAAGACTTCTCAGAAGCTGAGGTACGTACATGGACAGCTCTAGCTAGACGTCACTAACCTCAACAGACTCAAATGACTGCATCTCGCAAAAAAGTGCATTCATCATACGCCGATTTCTCTGACGATAGCGAACCTGAAGCGGTCACCGAAGAAGTCGCCTCCAGTCTCAAGGAACTCCTGACCACCAAGCGGATCCCACTTTTGACTAGTCGCGAACAGTTTCGCTTGGCCGACATCATCGAGTGTATTGGCATGGTAGAGAAGCATCGCCGATCGATTGACGATAACGCTGGTCGCTTCTTGCTGTTCTTCCGACAACATGTACTGAGCGAGACGCACAAGGGACCTATCTCGTGGCGCGAGATCATCTGGGCATTCCACTCAGGGAGTCAAGACATTCTTGTCGACCTGGTCAGCAGACACTTCAGCGGCAAGATGATGTGGCAGCATGCAAAAGAATGTGGCGTGTTCATGTGGATGTCTGACATCAACGCATTGGTACATTCCGCTTATGTTTGTCAATGGAACTCGCTAACAACGTCTACAGCGTGCCCAATTCGAGGTCATTGCTCGAAACGAGTACACCAAAACCGATGAAAAGAACCCCGTGTACTGCGCCCTGTACTATATGGCCCTCCGTAAGAAGCCAGTCCTCGTGGGTCTTTGGCGAATGGCTACTTGGTCGAGAGAGCAGGGTGCAACCCACCGACTCTTATCGAACAACTTCAATGAGGATCGTTGGAAGACCGCTGCTCTCAAAAACGCTTATGCATTGATGGGCAGAAGAAGATTCGAGTATGCCGCGTCGTTCTTTCTCCTTGCAGATCATCTACAAGATGCTGTCAGCGTTCTACACAACCAGCTCGGTGATACTCAGCTCGCTATAGCAGTCGCTCGTGTCTACGGTGGTGATGACTCACCCATCTTACTGGACTTCTTGAGAGACAAGATCTTACCACAGGCTGCTAGGGAAGGAAATAGATGGCTTGCAACATGGGCATACTGGCTGCTGAACAAGAAAGATATGGCGGTCCGCTCGCTAGTCACACCACTAACAACCCTACTCGAAACGTCCGAACCGCCCAGCTCCGCAGCCAAGTCATACCTCACCGACGACCCAGCCTTGGTAGTCTTGTACAAGCAACTCCGCGAGAAATCCCTCCAAACACTACGCGGAGCAACCATGATCGGCATGCGCGAGGAATGGGACTTCGTACTTCACACAGCTGGCCTATACGACCGCATGGGCTGTGATGTCCTCGCGCTCGATCTGGTCAAGACATGGGAATTCTTGCTTCCACCCCCACCCACAAAAGCAACGTCTGGCCGTCCGCCGCTAAGCCCCTCGATGCCACGGCAGAGCTACCAATCACAAGGAAGGAATCAATCTGCCACGGACTTTGACTTCGATCCCAGGAAGCTGCTGCGAAGGAGAAGTTCATTAGTTATCGCCGATTTGCCGGTCCGCGAACACGCTCACAACGAACTGGCGGAAAGCAAGGGGACGCTGGAAGAAAGTAAGGAGAGTGATGAAGAGGATGAAGAAGATAGTGAGGAGGAAGAAGTTGATAATAAGGGCGATGAGAAGGGGAACGAGAAGCCTAAAGAGGAGCCGAAGAAGAAACCACCGCCGACTCAATTCAATGAGCCGGATGCGAATAGTTTGTTGGATGCTTTCGGGTTTTAGTAGGGCCGGTTACATGTATGTTGCTGTAAATCTAGGCAGATCAAGCTCTTAGTATCCGAGTGACTGCACCGCTGCGAATTTTCGTCAGGCTGGCTCCTTCATTGTGTTGTTGACCACAACGACGCACTGACTAAGTTGCACGTGATGGAACCCGTTTGCTCATTCCCGAATCGCACTCGTCGCATTCCCACCGCCCTCCCCGCAGGACGCGAAATCCCTGCCTCCTGTGTTGGTACCGTCAGGGCTCGGTTGCGTCATCGGGTACGACGTGGCAAGATGCAGCCTACTGGGTAGGGAAACAGCCGTCAACAGTGGATATTTCTCGCCTCTCGGAGGATCTCAACGTAGACACTTCGCGATAGCATGCTTCATCCAAAATCATACAGTCAACTTTCATTTCGCCCCTAGATAGAATGCACACACTAAAAGCATGTGGGAACGCGGCCCTGCGCGCAGACTGAAGGCTCGTCGCTTACACAATCTTGGGTCATAAAACCCATATTTTGGATGACTAAGAAGTAGATATGGTGCATAAATTGCCTTACGTTGAACTTCTTTTCTACGCAAGATGCTGAAATGAGGCTATAGCATGTTCGGTGTTCACATGGATCAACCCGCTATGGCACCTACGCTGTGCAATTACGTGATTTGCCATTGTATTCTCTAGCCTATCTACCGCCCAACTCGGCCATTCTACAGCTATTCGTTGCCCTCATCCTCTCCATCGCTCTAGTGTATCTCAATGGCGTTCTCCGGATATCGTTCGTTACGCGAGAAGGTTTTGGTTTGCCTTTCTTGATCTCTTCCCTCATCTCCTTTGCACGCTTGACCAGATCGCTGATCGGAAAGTTACCCCTCCGAACCGCGTCTCTGACTTGGCTGCGGACGTTATCCCCGGTTCTTTCCTTGACTTGACATTTCTGTGCGCGCTCTGCGTTGATCTTTTCCGCGAAGCCGTCCCAGGTCTGCAGTTCAATATTCTCGTGGTCAAATGCATCGATGCCGTGTTCGTGACACCAAGTGTTGATGCTGCGCCAGAGTGCGTGGCGTTCGACTGGAAGCCATGTCTTCGCTTTCTTGTTGGCCTTCTTTTTGGCATTCTGCTTGGTGCGCTTTCCATCTTGCTTAGTGGTGGGCGTAGGAACTTCTGGGTGATCTGGTTGAGGCTCATCATTTACACGGTCCGTTGACGGGATGAACGGTCTTGTCATCCTGGTATCAGCTTGATCAGTCGCACTTTCGTCCTCAGCCACTCGAACGAATGACTGCACAACAGTGTCCTGGCTGTCCAGAACCCCACGGTGAAGAAACCTCTCAGCTACTGTCGCTGAGATGAACTCCCAGAGTTCAGTCTGCCTCTCCCAGGGTTCTGGGTCATCGTTGTCTAGACTGTACTTCTCGCTGACCCTGATGTATTCGTTCAGCATCGGTCTGGTAACGAAGACCTGAGGCACGCTGACACGGGAATCCGACTCGGTCGTTTCCTTACAGAATTGCACAATGTGAGAGAGCAGATTCGGGAGAGCGGCGTTACGGTACCGAATAAACGTTGCCTTATAGATCTCATCATGTTCTACGGAGTGCGGTTTGATGCCACCCGCTTCCTCAGGGCTACGGAAGAACGATCGGAAAGCGACGGCAGCTACGGTATCACTAGTGCAGACCGGGAAAGATGGGTCTTGACGCCTGGTTTGCAACAAGAGTTTGTAGTAGAGATGAATCCACGCGCGCTGATCTCGGTTCCATTCGGTGGGCGGGGTGGCTGAGGTATCCAGGATGTCGGTCATGGTGATAACTCCGTATATTGATCCAAGGTAACGCCATACTGGCCTACTTCTTTATACGCCAGGGTGTTTGTGATGGACAGCATCAAGAGGCTGATATGATCAGGTCACGCTGGGCCAGACTGACTGTGCGGAACCACGTGAAGATTGCCTTTCGTACGATTCCGCTGTCACCATTTCGGATATGGTTACTGTTGTAATAGAAGGACCGCTCGTGTAAGCTTCTCTGCTATTGGGGCGCGTCAAGCACATCATCCGCAGCCTCTCCTTCAGATCGAAGCATTAGCGTCGCGTCTTGCTGCACACACGCACTATCATATATTGATAAGAAAATGAATGTAGAACAACTCTTCTGCTACGGGAAGGGATATTCGCAGCATAAGGCCTGAGTTCTATTGTTCCCTCGCGACATTGACGCGTTGGTGGTGACGTCATGGCCCGCTGCAGACCTCAACCTTACGTGCACACCTGGCTTTCTCGTCTTCCACCATCGTCGCAACATCACTCCCTTGCATCGATCTATCCACCTGACCATCATCGCAACCACCAATATACCTCGTGGACAGCAACAATTCTCGCAAGCAAACACCACTGTATTCGCATATCAATCGGCGCGCGTCGCAGAGACGAAGCGCAACTAGAGCATCTCGATATATATTTCATCTTTTCATTCATATGCTAGCACATCTACAGCTCGCGGTGTCACCCATGCCTCGTCCAATCCACAGCCAAATACCTCCAATCCATACATATCAGCTCATCAGTCACAGCCGTTGCCATGAAGTCGCTCCCACAAACATGTGTATTCACACCACGAACTGTACACCTGGTCATCGAAAGCCGCTAGTCCCAGCGCCACCAAGCTCTCCACCCAGCTTCCACTCCTTGTCCTCATCCCCTGCTCCTGCCGGGCTCAATATCCGCCAACTTGAATAGATCTCGCGGCTTCAGCTCTGCCTCTGAAACTGTCTTCTTGGGATTGGCATTCTTAGCTCTCAGCTCCTCAGCCTGGGTTTTGATAAGCTGGTAACCGGGCTTCTTGTGGATCTGCGATCGAACACCATCCATTCCGCGAGGACCACCAGGATATGTGGTTGCATCCAGGGCCCTATATGCGTTCACCGCGGTGGTGGCATCGTTCATCATATCATTGAGGTTATTTACCCAGTAGATCAATCCTTGCTCCGAGATCTTGTTGTTGAAAAACGCCACGATGACATTGCGCTCGGCATTGGTCCAGGCGTCGTTCTTCTTGCGATTTTCTCCATGACCCTTGGTGGCCTTGGGCCTTCCGGTCGGCTTGATGCGCTTCTTGAGTGGCGCTTTGATCTCGTCTTCCTCTTCGTCCACGGCGATGTTTTCTTCTCCATCTTCAGTTTCCTCTTCGCTCTCTTCCTCCATCGTTGTGCTCCTCCTGGGGCGTTTTGTGCCCGTCTGAGGCTCTCTCGCTTTGTCAGCTACATTGACTCTACGACCTGACTTACGGACCTGCCGCGACGTGTTGTTGTCCTCGGAGGCATCGGTGGGCTTCGCGTCCCTCGTGTTCGCTCGTCGTGTAGTTTTCTTCACGGCTTGCGCGTCATCCTGCGCTGGCGAAGGACTCCTTGTATCCTCGAAGTCGGCCTCACTCGCAGCGCTGTCCGCATCGCTGTCGGGCATGTCGTCGTCAGCAGTGGCCTCGGAAACGTCCATGTCTGAGCCGGTGGGCGTATGTCCGCACGACTCAGGGAACCTCTCGCAAACAATCCGGTACAAGAAGCCGAACACTTCCTTGTTATGCCTCAAGTCTTCGATCCGCAAATCGAGACCAATCTCTTCACAAATCTTTCGGTACTCGTCGAAGACTTCCTGTTCAACTGTCCACATCTTCCCCCTCATGAACTCCCCGGAATTCATCGCCTTCCGCACCAATTCATCTGTCCTCGACAGTGCACCGTGTACCAGCTCCTGTTGCTGGAATAGGTATTCTTCTTGGCTCCGCTGGATTGCGGTTGTGTTCTGGTCGGAAGTGGCCTCAGCGGTACCTGGTTGGACGGTATCGAAGAAGCGGCGGAAGACGTTGTAGTAGCTCTGGCCTGTCGGCGGGAGTACCGTACAGATGGGCAGGGTGGCGGCAGCGAGTGCAAATCCGGCTTGCAGCTGGATGAAAAGGCGCTCTTCAATGCTCCAGGGAGTGCGCGCTACTTCATTGTGAGCGTCTTGAGTGGGTGTGGATGTGTCCTGGGGGCGGCTTTCTTCTGGAGGCGCCGCATCTGGTATGCTTATGTCACTCATGACGGCTCTGCGACGAGTTTTGGTGGACGTTTCTTGTCGAAACAAGGGGCTCAGAGCGCGACAAGAGTTTCCGACTGTATTTGTTAAGTTGATTGTAGGTGATTGTTGACTTGTAGCAAATAGTTATCGACTACTCACTGTTGTAATGGTCAGTGCGCGGTGGCTACCTTGAGTTTTTGAGCACGCAATGAAACAGGGCAACCTACTTCTACCTTTCACTACATATTTCGACTCGCATAGTTTTATTTGGTAGACGCTGCTGACTGCTTAGTATTGGATATGATCAAGCTCACACTACGCAGAAATTTCCAACTTGAAGGAGACATCAAACATCAATGAATCCTAAGATCTACAACATCTCCACTCCTCTCTTATACCAATCCATAATCTCTTCATCTGTGCAAGCCAAGAACTCCCCATCATCTCTTTGCAATTCCATGACCTCCTCGATAGAGAAGCTCTCAAGTATGCCAAACTTTTCCCGTATATCCTCTAACAACAATCGCGCTCGTTTCGTCGCAGGACTCTCCGAGCCCTCTCTATACGACTCTGCAAACAAATCGCCCTCATCGCCACTCTCGTCGTCATCGCTATCACCAGGATGATCAACTCCTTCTCCCCCTTCTCCTTCTCCGTCGCTATCGATATTGTCCGCCCAAGGATTTCCCAACAGATCAGGATTGACATTCCCCGACCTCGAGAAATTCTTATTCGAGTCTACACGGCCCTCGTCTTCATCCTCAGAGAGCTGATCTGTGATACCTCGATCGACATGTCTCTGAGACCGCGTCATCCTGACACTACCCCTAGCTTCGAGCTGGATCTTGAATTTGTTCCTCGTCATGTAGCGTCGCGGTAGGAGAATGCGGTTGCCGGCTTCGTCGAGAGCGGGATGCTCATTATGGACGTTGATCATCTTGTATTGTCCTTTCCATTTACCATGGCGATCGCGACCGGCTACTTCGCCGTTTGGCAGGCGGTCGTAGATGAAGATGTTTTCTTGCTCTGTGCGTTCCTCTTTCTCGTAGCGGGGAGTTGCGTCGAGTTTTTTTATTCGATTTCCGGACTTGTCGGTTTTGTAAGGTGTTGACTTGCTTTTTGGCTGATTAGCGTCGTTGTTATCGTCGTTATTGTTATCGTCATTGTTGTTGTCGTCGTCTTCGGGATTGTTATCTGGAACCCTTTCGTAGTGGTAGTCTCTTCGAATGAGGGTCACAGACCTTGTAGTCCCCCAAGCAGGCGAGTCGAAGGAAGTCGGCCAGTTGAAGCTCGTCTCAGTGCTTCCATGGTGCGTTATATGGACTTGTGGTAGCAACTCTAGAGTAAGAGGGTTATTGCTGAATCCAGAGTTGGTATCAGTCGCAGTTTTCTTGCGTTGATAGGCGTCTTCGTTGATGCGCCATGTGATAGACACCATTTCTCCTTTCCTTTCAAGCTCGTTATCCTTTTGCCGCTTGATGTCCGGACAATAGTCCTCTTCTACCTCTCTCACGTCGACCATCTGCCTTCTTCTCCGTGGAAAGCGCTCTTCAAGATGCTTGTGTCGCCTCCGAAAGCGGGAGAGATGCTGCGGCATCGTGCCGCGGGGTGGTTGGCTGTATCGATGCGCGACATCAGGTTCAATGATAGCGGGCGCACGTTTACGATAGGCTAGCTTGAAGGTTTTATAAAGCCGGATCATATGATTCCGCCACGCCATATAGGGATGGTAGAACGCGCCTTCTCTATCGTCGCTCATTGCTTTTATTTCCAGCTGACCTGGGGTTCCGTTCCTGGGGTTGCCTTCGTTGAGCCCATCCGCTTTGAAAGGTAAGACCTTATCTTCGCTGTCATCGTTGTCTGTCGTCGCTGCTTTTCGGGGTTCTTTTCTCGCTGCTACCGCGAGTTTCTCGGCGGCTGTCTCCACATAATATTTGTTCGCCTCCAGGTGTCTTCTATTCCACACGTTTTGGTAATAAAGATAATCTTCCCAAGATGCTTGCGCATATCTATGTTCAATGAACTTCCTCCACGTTTGGGCTGGCTTATGTACCCTTGTGCTGGCGGCTTTCGCAGGAGTGCGTTTCTTCACTATCAGATCTTTATCCTCTTTGTTGATTGCGTCTCCGCGCTCATCAAACGCCATGGGCGCTATCAAGTCTTCCCATGTCTGCTTCGCTTTCTTATAGTGTTTGTTGATATTCTCTTTCGTTGTCGCGTCTTGATCGACCAGTGCAGATTGTGTAAGCCATGCCAGCAAGGCTTCCCTCGTCTTTGTCAGCCACTCTTCGAAATGCGCTTCGGTCACGGGCTCGGGTGGCCAATTTTCGATCAGCGTTGGGTTGATGATGCCATCAGGAGCCCGCGGTCTTTTATCAGTCATATTAATTGGAGTATTATAATATGGAGCGATATTGTATGACGGAAAGCCAGCAATTTGCCGAATCCAGCGCTTCGAGTATTCGTTGGCAATGCGCATCTTTACATGCACCACGCTGGTTCTTTGTTCTTTATCCTCATAGTGTTACGCATGCAGCATCACCTCTACACAGTGTTTTGTCGCGACAAAGGAACATCCGTCTCATGAAATACGTAGTGTCAACAAAGAACAAGATATGTAAACTGGATATTGGAGATACAGTCATGCAATAGAGCCACTAAAGGCCACATTTAGTACTACATATTTCTCAAGATATCCTCAAAACCCTTGTGGTGTCGTGACATAGCGGTAGTTCCTGCCGTTGATACCACTCTCCAGTCATCTCACCCGCTCCTTGCTCAAGCGTCCTCCCCGTCATCCGATGGCTCATCCTCGTCATCAACAGACTCATCGCCCGTAGACTCAGAGTCATCCATGACATCCCTTTGCACCGGTTGACCCTTCTTAGGACTATATTTCCTCTTGATCAGCGCGTTCTTCTTCTTGATGGCAGCCGCGCGGGACTCAGCTAGCACAAGCTCGTCCTCTGGTAACTGTTTCTTTGTGACAAGATCGTGGATATCACCCATATACCCAACGGGCGGAATATCTGCAGTATTAAGCATCGCAGTGACTGCGGCTGCACCATCCTCGCGAGCGTGACCCTCATGCCAATCTTCAAACTCCCGTCGAGCATTCTTCTTCTTTACAAAAGGGTCCTCTTTTAAGTCGTTGTTGAAGAACTCGTGGCCAAAAGTATACTTTTCGCTCTTCTTGATGCGCTTATCAAGATCCTTGACCGCTTGATGGTTCCACGTAGTGTCGACTGAGTCTGCGGGCTTGGAAGCTCGCTGGAGGCTGACTGCTTCTTCATCTGTATCGGGCATGGACGACCACTTCCAGCCCGCATCCTTCGCGGCTGCCAGAACTTCTGGGGGATCTGGCATGACCTTCTGCTCAGCGGGCTTAACCCAACGCGGCTTTCCCTTTGGTTCGGGCGCTTCCGTCCCTTTTCGTGGGTCAGTCATCGGCTTCTGGGACGAGGATTGCTGCTTGGTACTTTTCCCTGGGGAAGGTGATGAGGATGAACGGGCCCTTGTACTGCCTGGAGCGACCTTAATAGTACCTCGCGTGTCTGATGTGGGCTTGATGGTTGGACGTTTGTTTCCTGTAAGTTTGCTTCCCGGCGCGTTGCTGGCTGGAAGCTTAAGAGTGACTAGCCGACGAATAGCGTGTCGGTCTCGCTCAAAGATCTCCAGGCTTTCACGTTCTTCGTCTGTGTCAGGTGGTGTGGATAAAGTAGAAGTGTCGGAGTCATCACCTTCGTCTTCTTCCTCAGCTTGATCTTCATCCTCTTCTTCACCGTCACCATCATCAGTAGCGGTAGCAGTATCGACAACCGGCTTCCAATCTCCTCGGATGTACTGTTCGATCTCGTCGTCGGTGATGGTGGGCATCCAAACATCATCCGCTTTGCTCTTCTTGAGCTTGGGCGTGAGCTCGGTCATACGATCTCGTAAAGCACGAATGTTTGTATTCGCACGGTTGAGGTACGAATTCAACCCGTTCGGAGGCCTGGTCCCAAGGGCCTCCTCTATGACTTTGTCGTTCTTGTCCCGAATGTCAGTGCGTCCCTCGAAGTATTCGTTGAACGCTTTGAATATAATCTCATTGTGTGGCGCTACAAAGGCGTCCGTCTTTCCAGTGGCAGCTTCCAGAAGCTTCTCGTGAAACAGCTCAAGATAGCCGGTCTCGAACGGGGCCCATGGTGTGTGGGTGACCTTGGGAGGGAACTTCATGCTTTGGACGAAGATTTGATTGCGCCACTTGTTGATGTCCGCAACATGTTCCTTGAGGTCCCAATCGATGTCTGCCTCAGGTCTCCTGTCGTACGTGAAGGATCGATTCTTCTGGTCATTGTCATGTCTGTGGTGAAACTTGAGCGTCAGTCGACTTGGTTGAACGTCACCGACGACGAGCGTCTCGCGCTTGTCGCCGTCCATAATCCCCCACTCGAAGTCGGCGTCTGCGTCTGGAGCCTTCACTGCTTTTGATCCGGGATGCGCCGGCTTCCTCGGCTTCCTGACGGTACTATTTGCAGGTGGTGTCTCACTGCCGCTCGTCTTATTTCGCGGGGATGTGCGTGTAGGAGTGCCGCCGGTCTTGACTTTCTTCGCGGGCTTTGGGGTAGTAACGGCTTCTCCCGTTCGCTTTGGAGGCATCCTGACGGTACTGAGTGGGGGATCGTTACAGTTGATAGATTCGAGCAGCGGGTATGAACTTGGAAGGCAACGAATGAGAAGCGGGGTATAAAGCCAGTGGAGAATCGACCAGAGTGACAGAGAAGCTAGTCTCCTGGTATGAAACGGTCACAAGTCGTCTCTAGACCCTTGTGAAAGGTGTAAAGAACAGTGTAGCGGGTTCCAGTGATGGTCAAAGCTTCTATCCGAAGAGAACGACATAGTGAATGAGTCCGTTTATCGGCCATTGTGTCATGAGAAGCACTGTTCCGGCATAGCAATGGGACTTCCTGAACTTTGATTTATCAAGACGCGGATAGAGCGCTTTGTGGTTTTCTGCATGGTGTATATAGGTCCGGATTTCAATGGTGAATGGCTCCTGAAGACAAGGTTATGACAACTCTGCGCGGTACACATCTTTTATGTTTTCCGGGATGAGAGGGGTTTGCGAAAAACACCGGCTTGCTGATGTCAGTCGGTTGTAGTAACACTCACGTAGACCTATCTGAGGATTGTTCTCAGAAAAAAAATGCAAGACACCACAGGCAGGAGCGTACACAGTATAATAGAGGAAATGAGCAAGGAGGGATGCGAAAATGGTGCTTTGGCATGTTGACGTTGCTAAATCGAGATCTACCGCGTCCAGCAGTCGCTGTAACCGCCAGATAATATGAGTGGTGATATTCGTGCAGCATGCGTGGGAGAAATGGAACACGGTAGTGCTTGACGGAGATAACTGCAGACAAGTCGCAGCGGAGAATACCACTGATCGTCGCGATCCAGAACCTAGACTACGCGAGTACATCTAGTTCGGCGCGAACAACGGAAAAGATGGGCAGTTCGTGTGGAGCAACTGTGCCGTAGCAAGAGGCGGTCTGCAGGGGCACTCGAGTAGTCTTTGAGCATCCCTGGAGGTGTTGAGGTACTATTACCACCCGTCCCGGTTAAGCGACGCCAAGGTCGACGGAGGAAGCTGCCGACTCAAGAGGGCATGGGAGAAGCACAATCGCTCGATGCGGACAGAGGAGGTTGGAGGTGAGGAGGATGCGGAGTGTCAGCGCCGGTGATTGGCTCCGGCGCCGAAATTAGCGTGGGCTTGCATGTTTACGTCGCGTGTTCCTCGTGCACGCCATTTGCGCGTGCATGTCTGTGACAGCTGCCAGTGGCAGCATCGTGACATCAGCACGGCGTCGCGCAATCAGTGGCATGAAGCGCTCGATCCATAGGAAAGGCGGAGGTGAGGTCGGTGTAGGTGGGATGCGGGGCCAGGGGCAGCAGTTGGTCCCGCCGTAAATTAAGCAGCAAAGGCGAGTGTGGACCCTGACCAAGAGGGCTAGCGGGCTGCGGGCCTAGTCCAGGGCCTCCTTGATGCTCCTTTCGAGGCCGTTAGGAAATCATTCCCTCTTTTGCCTGTCGTCGCGCTCTTTTCGTGCTGCCGTGTGTCGTTGCGCCGTCGCTGACTTTCTTCTGTTGCATGAATGCCGCCTGAGGAGTAATACCCATAGAGTCACAGCGTGCACGACTCAAGCCGGCGCCAGATACTAATTCCACCTTCGTGAAACACGCTCTACACCAGCACCGCTGAACCGAGCGCCCCAAGTAAACAGGTCTGTTCTACCTGCCGCGGCGGAGAGCAAATTTCCGCTCCGTCATATCGAACCACCGCGAAGACAGCAAAAATGTCCAGCGGAAGCATCACCATGGAGGTTAAAGAGGAGGCCGTCGAGCGCACGCCCAGGTCGCACGTGGACAGCTCGCCGCTGCCGACAGACTCGATGGTTACGGTACCCCTCTCAGAGACGGACGGAAGAACACTAGAAGAAGAAGAAGAGGAAGGCGCAAGGGAATCGGTGATACGGCCAGAGATCATAGTTGAGGAGCGAAGAGCATCATCACGAACCAACTCAACGGAAATCCGCAATGCCTTCGGGCGCCGTGCCAGCCAATCGAGCGTCGACACGCCCGCCCCAACCAGCCCTACCATCTCAGTGCGGGACACGGACGCACCCGTCTCCCCCAAGACAGCATCGACAGACTGCAGGGGGCGCCGTACTAGCAATGGCTCGGGAAAAAGCGAAGAGGTCGACTGGGCTGAGCTAGAGAAAAAGGAAGAACAGGAGCCCGAGGGCGAGGAGGAGGTGTGTAGACGACGCCCCTGTGTAGAGCATGCGTGCTAACATATCTAGGCCATGGCCCTGCTGCTCGCACGACTAGAGCAGGAGAACGAAGCTATCCTCTCAAACTCAAAGTCCAACATGAAGGTCGCCCGCGCCCGCAGCCAGTCCCGGCCCCCCTCCTTCAACCAGCTGAAGCGTCTGGTGGCGGATGACACCTCCCAGATGCGCTTCTCCCAGCTGCCCTCGCCGCCGCCCATGACGGAACTCGAGTTCTGGGCTGCTCTCGTCCGCGACTACCCACAAACCGTCCACAGACTGCCCACGCTCTGCTTGAATAAGATTCGGGGAGGCATACCAGCGCCACTGCGGGGCGTAGTCTGGCAGAGTGCAGCTGGCTCGAGAGAGAAGCTGATCGAGGACCAGTATGACTCGCTGTGCGGAGAGTCGAGTCCCTATGAGAACATCATCAACAAGGACTTGGGACGAAGTTTCCCCGGTGTCGAGATGTTCAAGGACCCTGAAGGCGAGGGGCAGAAGATGCTGGGTCGCGTACTCAAGTGCTTCAGCTTGTATGACCACAAGATTGGCTACTGCCAGGGTCTTGGTTTCCTTGTTGGCCCGCTGCTTATGCAGATGGGCGACAAGGAAGCCTTTTGCGTACTCGTGAGGTAGGTCGTACCGCTCCCTGAACAGCAGCAATGTACTAACAATAACAGGCTCATGGAAGACTACGATCTACGCTCATGTTTCCTGCCGGATCTCTCCGGCCTCCATCTCCGCATCTTCCAGTTCCAGAAGCTGCTCCACCAACATATGCCTCAGCTAGCCCAACATCTCGACGACCTAGAAGTGCAGTCCGCATATCTATCGCAATGGTTCCTGTCTTTCTTCGCTGTCACATGCCCGCTACCCATGTTGTTTCGCATCTACGACGTACTATTTGCCGAGGGCGCATCCGAGACGATCATGCGGGTAGCCCTCGCGCTAATGAAGCGCAACGAACAAAAGTTGCTGTCCCTGAGTGAGTTCGAGGACGTAATGCAGTTGCTTTTGGGGCGCCAACTCTGGGACCCATATGGGCGGAACGCGGGGTCGGCGGATGAATTGGTCGGTGATTTCGTTGGTTTCACAAACGACGTGACGCGCGAAAGGTTGCAGGGATTGGAGCAACAGTACAAGGAAGCCCAGGAGAAGGATTCGTCCAAGCAACAAGTCCAGAAATCTGCCACGTCGTTCCTGGGGCGCCTGTGGGGTCCGTCCAACTCTTCGACCAAGTCCGTTTCACTCAGCCCGGGTCTCTCCGCGCCTTCACGGCCTGTTAGCTTCCTCAGGCGCTCGGCTTCCAAACAGAGTCTTGCCTCGACACTCAACTCTACTGCCGAATCGGATGCTTCTGCTGCGACGCAAAGCACAGCCATGACGGATATTTCGCGCGCCTCGAATGGCGATGCGCTGTCGATGAAGTCGGGACATGGATCCATGGCCATGGGCGCATCGTCGAAAGACCGGGACCTACATTATCAGATTGAGCAACTCCTCATGTCTGTAAGCCAACTACAACGCCAGAACAGCGAACTTGAAGCCGCTCTACAAAAGCAACGCGAAGACCGAAAAGAAGACCACCGAATCGTACGAACCGTAGTCGATAAAGTCCGCAAGAAGACCACCACCTTAGCCGCGCCCTCAACCCGTGCCTCCCGCCGCCGCACAACAATAACCACTGCAATCTCACTCCCCCCATCCGACGACGCCCCCGCCGCCGAACTGACAGAAGAAGCCAGCGAAATAGTCGAAGTACTAGAATCGCGCTTCCCCGCCGCCCAACTCCACCACCGCGCCTCCTCCATGTTCGAAACCAAAGCCCTCCTCCGCGACAACTTGTCCCGCACCAAAGAGCAACTCGCAAACGAAACCCTGCGCGCCAACGCTCTCGCCCGCGACCTTTCGGACCGCGACGCAGAGCTGCAGATCGCACGTGATGCATTGAAAGATACGCGCCACCGTCTGCAAGATAGCTACAACCAGAACCAGCGCCACGAGAAAACTATCCAGGAACTACGTCAGAACGCGAGGAAGCAGTCTGCGGCTGCGTCTTGGACGGGTGTGGATCATAGTGGTGGTAATGCGCCAGACACACCACCCACACTATCCCGTTCCACCACTTCAGATTCCATCAACACAAGCGGCCTCCGCGAACTCCGCCTCGGACGAACAAACAGCCAAAAGTCCGAGAGAGGATACTACAATAGTCCCGCACCCCCGGTCCCGTTTTCCAAACGCTCGAGTTCGCTAGCTACGCAATCGGTGCTCGCTACTGAAAACAACACGCCCGCTGACAGCGAAGCCCTTTTGTTAGAGCTTGTAAATGCGAAGACGGCGGAGGCGGTTGCGAGACAAGAACTCGAGGAATTGAGGAGTCGGTTCGAGGGCATGAAGAGGGTTATGAGTAGTGGTGGTGGAGCGAATGGTAGTGGGTACAGTGGGAATGGATCTCCAATGGGAGGAAGTCCCTTCGCGACACCTACGCAGACACCTGCTGTAACACCTAGTCCTGTTCCCAAAGAACCCGCCGCGGGTGGTGGTGGTGGATGGGGTTGGGGCGGTTGGAAGAGGACGGTCAGTAGTAATGCTGCGGGCTCGTAGGTCGGGTCCTGGATATCAGAGCTGGGGAAGTAGGTGGAAGGTTGAGGGATATGGATGTTGATGTACAGTGTATATACTCATACAGTCTGGTCTGCGAGACCAGTACGATGCAGCGGATGCCTGCTCTCTAGATAGATAGAGAGTAGGATTATGTCTTCTTGGGCTTCTTCTCTGCCACGGGTGGCGGGGAATAGATGGCCCATATACGGGTTTAATGTCACCTTTTTCTTCATGATTGATCAGCTTCACTCTTCCTCTTCGGTTTAAGCATCGTCTAGCTGGTTTAGTCGACATCGTGATTACAAACGACGTGCTTTTCGTATTACGGCGTGTACATGGTGAGGTGAGAATAACCTTCGCTGTTGACTTGTAGCTCAAAGCTACTTCTAAACCTACCGACCCAGCAGTCTGTGTCCCGGAACATGAGCGTAATGGCGAAGTGCGTGAGCTTCACAGCATTCAACGATACGCGCGAGCTCTTTCCAACATGTTCGAGTATGCCACAATCTCGTATCACATCTCCTCTACCCATCCTCAGCCCTTCCTCTCCACATCCTTACACCTCTTCACCCCCGCCCTCGCATTCGTCACCCCCTCCGCAAACCCCATCTTCTTCGCCAATTGCGCCGCCTCCTCATATTTCTTCCTCGCCTCTCCAATCTTGCCTTCCATCTCCAAGAACTCGCCTAAGTTATGCGTCGCAACAGCACAGCCCATGTCGCATTCCTCATTCCTTTCAGATGCCTTGATCTGACTCGCCTGTGCTAACGCTCGTTCTGCCCATTGCCGCGCTTGGTCGATGGCGAGGGTGCGGGGCGCGGAGTTTGAGACGGGGAAGTCGGTGGGGGCGTCGGACATGGTTATGGCGTTGGAAGAGGAGGCGGAGGGGGGCGTTTGTTGGACGAGGCAGGTGGATATGTTGTTCACTGGGGGCTGTTAGTGGGGATGGGTAGTAGGGGAGTGGTGGGGGAATGTACTTAGGACGACGCTGTGGCATGAGGTGGGTGGGCAGAGCTGTAGGGCTTTGACGAAGAGGGGTGCGGCGAGGTAGTGCGAGTCGAATTGCTCATAGTGTGTTCCGAGAGCTGGACGGTATTAGTATGAGGTATGTGGCACCTGACTGTATTGCATACCTTCGAGTACACCACCCATCTCGTCGTTGGTCAGCCATGGTCCCTCGCCGTTCTTGACGCCCTCCTTCTCCCGTCTTTGTTGTTCCTTGAGTGCGCTCTCAACAGCCTCAACCAGTCTCTTCTCTCCGTTCTCGGGCTCATTGACATATCTCACATCGTAAAGCTGGCCCAGCTTCAGATTGATTTGCACCATGTTCTTCTTCACCCTGCTTCTATTCCCATTTGTCCAATGCCTATCCGAAAACTCGTCCACCCATTTCTGGCAGTCGTTACGCATAATCTCCAACACATCGATAGCTAGACTGTAGTAGCCCGCATCCTCAAACAGGGCGGCGATGGTGTACTTGACGCCCATGATCTCGTCGCTAAAGGGATCCATGCCCATCTCGTCGGCCAGAGCCAGCGCCTGGCGGAAGTGCTTGTTGGCTTCGCGGATATCAAGCCATTGGCCGCGGCTGTAGAAGAGAGCTCTGCGTAGCTTCTTTGCGACGGGCTCGGGGAAGTTGTGGTAGGGCTTGATGATGACGTTCTTGTAGTACCACGGTATGTAGAAGACGCAGATGCCGGCCACGAGGGCGATAGACCCAATTGCAAAGGGGAATAACACGGGGCTCTTGTGGTATTGCTCCCGGAACTGTTCCCGCATCGTGGAGCGATAGCGCCGTCCCAGTTGCTGCTGTGTTGGCCGCCATGGCTTAGCGGGCAGCTGTGAGCATCTCGTTAGCGGGGTTTGCGCTTCGCAGCGTGCGATTGCGCTCGTTCGAGGTACTGCGCGGGGGGCCGTCCTGCTCAACATGATGCGCCGGGCAAAGGCAAAAAGATGTGGGCGCTGGCATCTGGCATTTGGTGGAGCGAGTGCATGACGGAACGAACTTTTAGTGCCCGTCGCGTGCGTTCCGCGTAGGGCTGAAGCTCGTCATGACGTAGCCAATCACCAGCGCGCCGCATCGCGTTGCCCTCGCCGGCCTCAGACTTCAACAACAATGCACTCAAGAGTTCTATCATGTGCGGGAGGTATGTGCTGGCCTTGGTGAGTAGAGACAGTCACGTGGAATATCATGCGACAGCTGACAAAGACACCAGAGGCCCTCGGAAGTCCGCCAGCAGCTCGAGCAGTCGCAGATGCCTGTCGAAGAGGCACCAGACGACGACAGCAATGTACGCCAGAGCTACAACTTCGCCCCCGGCTATCATGGGCTCGTATACAGGGCAGACGGTCCCGAGACTGGCGGCCAACAGGAAGGTGCGACGGAAGACACCAAGTACAAGCTGCAATCAATGCAATGGGGTAGGCTCGCCCAGTCATGACCATGTACGTCCGCTGACAGCATGCGACAGGTCTCGTGCCGTTCTGGACAAAGCGCAACCCCGACTACGGATCCAAGATGAAGACGATCAACTGCCGAGACGACTCTCTCTTCGAAGACCGCGGCATGTGGACAACCATGAAGAAGAAGAAGCGCTGCATCATCGTGGCACAGGGCTTCTACGAGTGGCTGAAGAAGAACGGGGGCAAGGAGAAAATACCACACTTTACTAAGCGCAAGGATGGCCAGCTTATGTGCTTCGCTGGGCTATGGGACTGTGTGCAGTTCGAGGACTCGAGCGAGAAACTCTTTACCTACACGGTCATCACCACCGACTCGAACAAGCAACTCAGCTTCCTGCACGACCGCATGCCCGTCATCTTTGACAATGGCTCAGATGCCATCCGAACCTGGCTGGACCCGACCCGTACGGAGTGGAACACAGAACTGCAGTCGCTGTTGAAACCATACGAGGGCGAGCTGCAGTGCTATCCGGTTAGCAAAGACGTAGGCAAAGTCGGCAACAACTCGCCGTCCTTTCTCGTGCCAATCAACAGTGCAGCCAACAAGAACAACATTGCCAACTTCTTCGGCAACCAACGAAAAGCTGCCGAGACCAAGGCCGAGGAGCAATCTGTCGCCAAAGCACAGCATGATCTGGGAGCCTCGACAGACGAGGAGAGCCAGATCAAAATCGAACACGACGTCGATGAGACGCGTGTCACAACCGACCGCGTGAAAGGTACCGAAGATAACGCGCCATTGCCCATCCCAGCGAAGTCGCCGAAAGGCGTCAAGCGAGAGCACGACGGGGATGCAATTGATGGCACCGCAGAGTCTGAGCCACAGCACAAGCGCAACAAACCTGCCGCGTGTAATCCGCCTACTAAAAGCCCTGCGAAGAAGTCAACACCCGCGAAGAAGCAAGGTACCAGAAGCGCCACCAGTAACGGCAGTGCAGCAAAGACATCCAAGGCCGATGGTTCGCGGAAGATCACATCCTTTTTCAGCAACAAATGAGCGCAAGAGTTTGCTTCCAGTATCTCGGGCCCGGCAAGCGCGACGTCGGGACATGGCATGCTGGAGCATGTTTCCGAGCACCATCCAGAGCATCAGGCGGTTTGGCGGTGAAGAACGAGGTCCATTTAGGCTTGCTGCCTTGTGCGCTATATCGTCCGACCTATAGTCCGGGGGCAAACCGCAGCGCAGGTACACGAGTGCGCGGAGATGCACTCGTAGAGATGCACATGGTGGAGGATATGAGAGGAAAGCCCTTGCGGAGTGAGCATATCGGCGGTCGCAGATGGGCGCAGACATAGAAGTACCGTCCTTGCCCCGCGCTAATAGTGGCGGGAATGGGCGAGGAGCCATCTAGCGGCCGTCGAAACCTCCAAAACACCACCAATCTTGCCTATTGGAGCTGTCAACGCCCTGCACAACCCATCCGGAGCGCGTTCCTCCAATGCTTATCCCTGCATGGCCCGAAGATGCGGCGTCTTGACTCAATCTACTTAACGCGCTCTTGGCTTTATCCTGCTTGCATCCCGTGATCAAATATCAGCTGTCGTCGGAAGTGTGAACACCAGCACTCCAACCATTGCCTTTCAGTTGCTTTCGTATTCAGAAAGCCCTGTCTTTGGCAATCTCTTGCTCACTAGCATTGATGCCAAGACTTGTCGCTTCCGCGTTCAACCCTAGCCGTTCGCGTTCCTGACACGATGACCTCCAACATGGCGTCTTTGATGGACCTTGTGTCCCAAAATCAACCCAAGTTCCAAACGCACCAAGCCCTTGTTCTTGTTGGACTCCAGAACGACTTTGTGACATCAGAAGGACGACTTCCCGTTGACACCCAGACGGGCTTTCTGGAGCGCATCCAGACTTTGATCCCAAAATTCAGAGAGCTCAGCGGCAATGTCATTTGGGTCCAGACGCTATATGAAGCCGATCGCATTGCGACTGGCGCTGACACAGGCGCAGGAGACACGCTTGTTGTAGAAGGGCTGCTCGATGGTGAGGAAAACAACAATGAAGCAGCTGAGGAAGAGTTGGCCAAGGAAACAGCGTCGCCCGCGCCATCCAGATCCTCAAAACACAAGCAACGCGCACTAGACCTGCTGAAACGCGTGTCGGCACGAAGAAAGACGCTGCCAAAAGAAGTCGCAAAAGCCAAGGCTGAGGAAGACGAAGAGCTGTTCCTGTTGAAGAGCGAGAAGAGAACGCCAGCATGCGTGCCCGAAACGCGTGGCGCCGAGTTTGCAGATGCTATCGCGAAGCAGATCGAGCTACCCGCAGATGTTGTGATACAAACGACCAACTACTCCGCCTTCCAGGGCACCGACATGCTCATGACACTGCGCGCAAGACTCATCACCGAACTCTTCATCTGCGGATGCATCACCAATGTTTCTGTGCTTGCGACTGTCATTGATGCAGCGCGACATGGCGTCAAGATTCATGTCATAGAAGACTGCCTGGGCTTCCGCAAGGAAAACCGACATGAACTGGCGCTGAAGCGCATGGAAGACTTCTTCAGCACGTATCTGGTCGACAGTGAAGAGATACTGAAGGAGGATACGACGATAATTGCGCAAAAGACGTCAACGCCTGCGGAGGGCGCAAAGAGCGAGCAAACTATGGAGGAGCGCATGGCCAAATTGTCTCTCGCAAGGGACATCATAGAAAAGAGGGCCGCACAGGGTGCTGCAGGTGCCGGGGAAGATAAGACAGAAGGGGACAAGCCAGAACTTGTCAAGTCAAAAGTTCGAATGAGGAAGAATAGAAAGAGCAAGAAGAAGGCAAAGGATAGAGAAGCATCAAAGGAAGATGGTGAAGATGCAAGCAGTGAGCCTAGCACGTCTGCGACCCAGGTTACGAAGGATCCATCTCCGCCAATCACAACGGCACCGACAGTCATACTACCGTCTGCATCGGCTGACCATCAGAGAATGTCCAAGATTGCGAAAGCTGGGAGTGTGGCCGATTTGCGACAAAAAGAAGGCAAGCAGCATACGCTTAAGAATGCTACTTCGGTACCCGCATTGTCTGCGAAGGCTGGGGGTGACGAGAAGGAGAAGAATAGATTGACTGAACTCTCGGATCGCGTGCGCATGTCACTCACTAGGGCACCAAAGTCTGACTCGGGGTCTGAGTCAAAGAGAGGGTCCATCAGTTCTGCAAAGCCTGCCCCTACCACCCCGAAGCAAGACGACAAGGAAATCAAGCAACCCACTGTAGAAGCCGCACAGCCAGAACAATCTGCTGTGAGCACGCCAGAAGCTAAACCGCCATCATCAACAACGATACCTGCAAAAGCCGTCACGATGGGCAAGCCGCCCAAGTTGCAGTCACTCGCAACGTTGCCCGTCCTGGGACCTGGCGATCACATTGCAGAAGGTGACTCACGCATCATCCATGACTTCTTCCCCATCGACTTCTTCCACCCATCTGAACCATCGAAACCACTCAAGGACATCATCTTCACCGAACTTTACAACGAAGTACGATGGCAAAAGATGCTACACCAGCAAGGCGAAGTGCCCCGTCTAGTATGCTGCCAGGGTACCTTTGGCGACGACGGCTCAATGCCCGTATACCGCCACCCATCAGACCAAACCCTACCACTAATGCGCTTCTCCCCAAGAGTCCACGTCATACGAAAGCAAGCCGAGAAGCTCGTAGGCCACCCACTGAACCACGTCCTAATCCAACTCTACCGCTCCGGAAACGACTTCATCTCCGAGCATTCGGACAAGACACTTGACATCGTAAAAGGCTCCTCCATCGTCAACGTAAGCTTCGGCTCGCAACGCACAATGCGCCTCCGCACCAAGAAGCCACAGTCAAAGTCAGAGGAAGATAGCGAACGCGCGTCTTCGACACGCGAAACCCAGCGCATACCCCTCCCCCACAACTCCATGTTCATCCTCGGCCTCGCCTCAAACGCAAAATGGCTGCACGGCATCCAACCCGACAAGCGCCTGCTCACCGAACGCAGTGAGACCGAAAACGCATACAACGGGATCCGCATTAGCCTGACTTTCCGCCACATCGGCACGTACCTCGATTTCCGCAGCACCATCATCTGGGGCCAAGGCGCGACGTCGAAAACCCAACGTGACGCCGCTGATATCATTTCGAACGACGACGCGGAAAGCAAGAAGTTGATAACGGCGTTTAGTCGGGAGAACCATGAGAGCGAGACTGACTGGGAGGAGTGGTATGGCGAGGGGTTTGATGTGTTGCATTTGCACGACACGCCTTCCGCCGACGATACGCCCTTGTTATTCCTGTCGAACAACAGCGTGGAGAACGAGCAGGTTCTTATTTGTCTTGCGGAAACAAAAGTGCCGTATACGGTTGTTGAAGCACCGGATCTGGATAAAAGCTTCGAACGAGACAGACAGATTACGTTCCGCGATGTCGATGTCCAGCATGCGGAAATTTGTACGGCGATGGGGATATTATTGTATTTGGATCGGCATCACCCACTTGATAAGAGTCATTCCGCGAATTTGGCGAGCGCGAATGCGTTTCCTATCATGCTTTTGGCATCAGAGATCTTCAAGGTCTGGCAGAACCGGCGGAGAGATGGAGAGGGGGGCACTACCCCTACCACCACCGACGATAATTTGGCAAACCAACTAGCGAGACTAGAAGAGATTGTGGAGAGGAACGGGGGACCGTTTGTGGCGGGGAGTAGATTTAGTATTGCGGATGCGTTTGTTTGGCCGGTGGTGCATGTGTTGGTTCGGGAGTGGGAGGGTTGGGAGGAGGCCAAGTTTGCGAAGTTGGATGAGTGGTATCGGGGGTGTTGGAAGAGGAAAGCATGTGTTAAGAAGGTGGCGGAGAAGTTGGCTGTGCCGAGGAAGGTTGTGGGGGAGAAAGGGAATGAGAGGGTGTAGGTAATGGGGGGAGTTGGATGTGCGATGTAGTTGTATGGTAGGGGTTGGAGATGGGTACGTTGTACTTCATTAATTGCTTTAGTTTCTAGGTTCATATCACCCCTTCAGCTGTCAAACACATCATCCCTATCCACGTCCAAGACGTCAAGGAAACTCAAAAGTAACACATTTCCCATTCCTCTTCTTCCACTCTTCCCTCCTTACCTCTTCGCTCGCCTCCTCCTTCCCCTCTTTCCTCACCACCCTCCCAACCCCCTCTCCTTCCCTACTCTCCGACCCAGAAGCCCCAACCCACCTCTCCGCAACCTTAACCGCATGTCCCCACCTAACCCTCTTCCACTCCCCTTTCCTAAACTCATACAACAGAATATGGCCCAGGGTATGTATATCCCTCCTCGCCCTTGTCAATCCTTCTGTCGTCCTCCTCCCACTCCCCATACCCATACCCATACTCATATACCCATTCCCGCTCGGCCCATCACCCTCCAGCGAAGGCATCATACAAAGCGCAGCATGTAACCTAGCTTTATTTTGCAGGAAAATGTTCTGCTCACTGAGATCTTGGGAAGGCGTAGGAGGATGCATATACCCCGCCGCGAGACCGAAGATACCCCAGCCGAAAGACTCGCCTGGTAGGGAGCCGCGGGAGAGGATCTCTTCTAGGACGGCGATGGAATTGTCCCAGAGGAGGGTGAAGAGATTGAGGTCGTCTTTTGCGGAGCTGGCGGGTTGGGCGCTGTAGGTGCTGTCTTGGGCTGCGGCGAGGGAGAGGGCGAAGTTTGTGAGGGTTGGGGAGGAGGAAGAATACGGGGGTTTGGGTGGTTTGGGTGGTCGAAGGGAGCGGGAGAAGACTGCTGTGGCGGGGAGGGTGGTGTAGGGGCCGTGGTAGGTGATTAGCGCTTTGGCGTGGGAGAGGAGGTGGATGAAGCGGACGATGTTTGTCCTGTGAATGGCGGAGGCGAGGATTTCTTTGTTGGGTAGGAGGACGGGTAGCTCGCGGTTTGCTGTTGGGGCGTGGTTGCGAAACTGACTTGGGACGTCTTTGTTGGGTGGTAGATCCGCTAGATCGTCATCTAACACTGAGATATGATTGCGGGACTGAATGCGAATGTTCGTCGATGGTGTGAAGTTCTCAGCCATACTGTGATCAGTATGGCTATCTGACGTTGAATTTGCTGATACTAGTAATATACTAGAGTGCAGGTGAACAAGCACCGTCGAGATCGTGACGATATAGCGAAAGCTCGCGAGTGAGACTGAGAGCTCAGGAGCGGTGGGTGGAGATAGGATTGTAGATGACATGAATGACAGCCAGCGTTGGTGAATTGTGTTTCGTGCAGGTGACGCCACAGTTCGACAACCACACGCTTTCTTCTGACGACCGATCCAGTGACATTGGGCCGCGTGTCCGTCAAAGCGCCGCGACATGGTGGATCGATGAGACAACGTAGTCTCTGTGATACTGTGTATCTGCGGCGTGTCTACGATGTATCTTTCATGCGTTTGAGGTGAGATTATCACCCACTTGCGATACTGAGATGGCGAGGAGATATTGGGTACTCATTCTGAAAGTCCTCTAAGGTACGCGGAACTTGCCAAGGCTCAGAATACTCCCGCGAGTGAAACTGTGTCTGAGGCTATCGCGCAACTGGAGCCTCGGGGGTGCCTCAGGAAGCCTCGCAAGGCCTTCGTATTGTTGCTGAACCGTGACAGTATGTATGATCTGACCCTCCGGGGTTTCCGGGGTTTCCGGGACGTCCCAGTCTGTGATGACGGTTTTCGGTGGAGACAAGTTCTCTTCAAGGTCTATGTCTTGGGGTCCGTGGATCTGTACGGTGGTCATATTGCCCGGAACTGTAGGCACCAGATCAGAAGGGCTCAAGCTGCGGCGATATCCGCGGCGATGTTTGCGTTTACGGCCACCTTCTTCTGAAGGATAGTAGTTGCGACCTCGTTCTTCACGAGGTGCGTCGGCCAGACCCATCTTCCATAGACAGTGGCGAACGAGCGGGCGGAGTGTAGCGATGCTCCCTGCGGTAATGCCGATTCCAGGTTCAATAGTGCTCCACAAGGCGACATCGGTTGTGGCATATAAGAAGTCGGGGCCTTGAACGAGTGTATGAATGTATGCCATACGGATGGCTGTACCGGTGCTTCCAATCGCTGCGAATGCAAGGATACCTGCTACCAATAGCTTTGTCTTGGTCCTCATCTCTAACCCCCAGACGATGAAAAAAGGTAGCAAGCCGAATGCCCAATCAGCGATTGCGTTGATGGCGGCGAGGGCATAGGTAATGGCCAGAGTTGGCCCATTATGTATGCATCTGGCTGAGGCGGGATGCACATTCCAAAAATCAGAAACTACATCCATTAGCGAATGTGACAACGAGCGCTTGATTGATGCTTACTAGGAATGCACTGAAGCAAGACTAGAAAGAAGTAGACAAGACCGCATAGTACAGTGCCTAGCATGAGTATTCTGATGGCCCAGATGTGCCAGCGCTCAATCGCGACCCGCAGGTAGAAGTAGCCGATGGCAAATTTGAGCAGGCAGTTCGCTATTACGTAGAACAGCTCGCACAGGTACCAGAACTGTATCGAGTCAGATGTTAGATGATGCGATAAGAACGTTAGACTGACCAAGAGTGCTGTCTTCGCATCACTATCACTCAATTCCCATCGGTGGCGTCCGGTTCCGTGCATCGCGGCAATGATCTGACATGGGAGATATATGGTGAACGTCAACTACAAGCTTGATCAGCACAATTTCCTATTGAACATGAGACGTGACGACTTACTAGTGAGGCAACCATGTACGAGTCATCTTTTCCCCATGTCTTCATCAGGACCGCGCGTACGTAGATCCGTAGCAAGACAGTTGTCCAGGTCAGCACGAAGAATAGTCCAGCAATAGCGAACACCTCGGGACTGCGGTCGTCTTTGGTCATAGCTGGGGTGGTTTCCGGCTATTGGAGCTTGGTTGTGTTTCCGTTATGGTGGTGCGTTCTCTCATAGCTCCTGGCAGGCATTCATCCCAGTTGTTGCTGACCGAATCTTACGCGTTCGAAAACTTCATCGACAAACAACAGGATGCCGAGGAAGGCTCCAGTACTATCAGACCCTGGAGCACAGGGACCGTTGATAGTCGTCCCACGCGCGTAGTCTCCGAAACTGGCCAGAAGCACTGCCGCGCAAGACCAGTGGAAGCCAACGACCCACTATTGGAGATCGCGTTCGTTGCCGAGTCATGAACGATGTGCCGGGCGGTCTATTCGTTGCGAAATAGCGGTACCTTTGATGGCGGCCTGCTAGCCTGCATGCTCCAGCTGCCAATCTCAACACGGAGGCATCTTCTCAGAACGCGCCACACGGTTAATATCATGCAAATAACTTTCGACATGTTCGGTTGAGACATGAACTGCCGGAAGACTAGATGGTAGATCTGCAGATTGACTTTGTGCAGACATCACCCTTACCGACTCGATGGCCAACCGTTGAGATGCGGAGGTAGACTCGTAGCGGCGGCTTCAGGCTTTGGATGATGATACATGGCATGCGCTGCCACGGCCAAGGCAAAGACCCGAATCCGAAAGCCGTGATGGCCCAACGCGGGTTGAAGCAGTCTAATGTTTTGAAGTTGTGGTTAGGCGGGTCTAGGCAGATCGGAGATTGCCGTGCCGCGGTAGATCGGCACAGGGATACCCGTTGGGCGAGAGGGTAACCTGGTCTAGCCACATGGCAGTGCGGTACACCATCTTCGGGGCTTTTCAGTTTTGTAATCTACTCGTCATTGTCACCGTGATCGTCACAATAGCAACGCGACATCGACGTTTTGAGGTGCGGAGAGCGAGTTGTTCGGCATCGCAAGCGCAAACACCGCTGTTCTCCATCCCGCCAGCCGTTGCGCCATGTCTTAGGCGCCGATTGCGTGCTGTGCAAGCCACGAGGGCAGACCCCTATCATCGACACTGCGATTATTCACATTTTTCTCTCACAGCTTGCCAACGCTCTAGTGGAGCCTTTCGCCTACTCGCAGCACAGGGTTGTGACAAATCATTGTATCACAAACTTCCAGGACGTGTTACTCACATCCTACCTAGGTAGGCTTATGTCTCCTCCCTGGTTGACTCGCAGGCAATCTCCAACTCACAGGCAATCCATTTATCGTCCCGGTTACTGCTAGACATCGCGATTCGTAGCAATGGCTTGCCGGACAGGTAAGCAAGGTTGCAGATGGCGGCAAACTGGTTGCGTCGGGTAGAGACATCGAATTGCTGTCTTGAGCACAGTCGCACAACCGCGAATATAATGGAACACAGCCATTCGGATCTCAGAGTCTCACAATCCCTTCCAAGTCGTATCTCAATCATTTCACTTTGTATAGCAGCTACACCAAGGAAGTTCATCACAGCGATCTGGTAACGAAGATTCTGTTAGTGTTTGTTTGTCGATATGGCTACCCAAGCTTGTAGTACTTGTGCACTTCCGGAAGGTCTTCGCTACTATCTCCTTCGCGGAAGCGTAATGGTCCCGCTGGTACCGGTAGACCAGCTGCCATACCAGCTCCAAGGAATCACACGTCAGTTGACCCATCGCCAGATCTCAGACGGAGCTTGGAAGCTTTGCTCAGAGACGGACGAGACCCCCTCGGCTCTCCTCATTCAGGCTTCTACAGCCAGCTTCTCATCTCCCTCGATTACGACCACCAAGTCACGGTACCTAGCACCAGATCATCACGTTCGTGCCGAGCCGCAGACGATGCCCGCAAGCAACACTCGCTCTCCTCTACTGTCACAACATCTTCCAGCGAGAGCAAACTCGCCCGAGCCACCTCGTCCAACACCTATCGCTACTAGTGAACGCCCGTCGTCGCTCACCGACACCTTCGCCTCCATCTACCAGAAAGATGCGCAGCGCCTCGGATACCGCGTCCCCCACCCATCTGGCATCGAGCCCGACCCTTCAAAGAAAGAGTATTGCACACATTGGATGAAGACAGGGGAATGTGACTGGACGGCCATCGGGTGCAAGTTCAAGCACGAGATGCCTGGCATCAAGAAACTCCGTGAACTAGGTTTTGTCAGAGGCATACCGAAGTGGTGGAAGGAGAAGTCTGCTATCGTTGCTAGGCCGCCTACTTGGATGCAACGAAGGCTAGCGGCGAACGAAGACGCGGATCAGGATGGTGCGATACCGGAAGCAAGAGTCTTTCCCGACATTTCGACATTTCGATCGAGGAAGACTGAAGAGCTTGATCTATTTGGCGACGACTTGCAGCAGCCGCGTGGTATCTTCAAGAGCAGCTCGTCTCCTAAGCAGAGTGCAGTGGGACGATTGACGCCCCGGCCAGCGCCAGTCCAGGAAACCATTCGACGTGCTAGCCAAGTATCGGATCTGCTCATCAATCTTGACGATACCCCTGCTCCTCCACCCAGCCTCCAGTCGTCTCACACTTCAGTAGCCAGTGCAGGATCTAGTGAGATGCAGGTACCCTCCGGTCGCACTTCTACCTCATCAGCACCGTCCCCTAGCATCGAGTGTAAGACCTTGTCAACTATCATCAGCGAGACTTCAAAGACTGTTGCCACCAAGAAGACAGCAGACGAAGAGTCCCCCATCCGGCGCCCTTCTCAGCTCTCATGGGCCTCTGATACCGAAGACGACATTCCCACCCCCACCAAGCCCGCAACCAAAGCCCCTCGGCCAGCCCAGCAGCGAGGCAAACCCGCTCCTCAAGGCAATCACAGAAGCCCCACTACGACATCCGCGGCCCTCACCAAGCATCCCGGTCTTGCGGCTTCAAAGCACGCCACCAGCGACCGCGCTATAAACAGCAGTGCAAGCTACATCAAGAATGCGAACCACAGGAAGCACAGAGATCGCGGGGAAGAGGCTGTCGCACGAGAAATACAGGCTGATGTTGAGGTGTTGCGGAGGGTAGCGCATCGGAAGGACAGGGCGAAGAAGGGTGCTATGACGGCAGTACCTGCAGCTGGCAGAGGAACATGTGTGTGAGTGGAAGACATGTGTGGTGATGGGTGATGAAGGTGGGCACATGCTGTGTGACGATGTTCGGCACAAGGCGGTAGGTGATGGGTGAGTTGTACCGAACGCGACAAAATGGATGTGAGTGGTAGTATAGCTGTATCGCATGAGTCTCTTGCTTACACTTGTCTGATTTCCCTACCTTCCTTACCATAGACTTGGACGACTTCTTCTTTAACGAATTCTGTTCTACGACAACATTTCACTGGTAATTAGTCTGCCCCTCTGGACAAGGCAGCAGTTTCCAAGCGCACTGACGCGCTTCTTCTGAGCTTCCTACCTCTATATAATGCCCGATCACTCTTCCAGACTCACTCCATGCTTGCTGCACCTAGATTCAAACTATCCAACGGAAAACTTGCAGCGATCAACCGCAAAACAGACTCATCATGACAGAGCGCGCGCTCACTCCGGCCCTCAGCGACCCTTCTATCGAACCAAAGACCATGCAGGACGCTGCACTATCCGTACCGAGTCCGGTAGTTCAAGACGTCATGTTCTTCACCCTGTTGAACCGCGACGTACGTATGAGCATCTACGACTTTCTGTATGAATGGCTTCCTCCTCTGCCATATAAGAAGCGCTGGCAGAAAGAAGATGACTGCGGTGGTATGGTGCTGGCTTGCAAACAGGCTAGCCTGGTGAGTTGTTGTTTTTGAAGAAGAATCGATAGGTCTTGATCGCTAATGTGACGTAGGAACTATCTGAAGCAGCGGCTCGCCACTTGAAGGTATTCTTCGATGAATTCTCCGACCAGTTTGAGAAAGAGAGTGGGCATCCTATCAGCCTATACGGAAGTATTCCGCTTCACCAGGGATGGAAGGCGCTGCAATCCGTTACGTTCACTTTGGATATCAGCTTCTTCGATGAGGCTCTCGCTGAGATTACGATGATCCCCGAGGATGAGAAGGATAATTGGCGTCGTCAGGAGGTGGGGCAGAAGCTCATGCTCGACGCCAGTGAAGGCTGGGGTCGCAAAATCTCCGAATGGCGCGCACTCCTCTTCCATCCGTTCGACAAGGTCACTCTATTAATTACTGGTGCGTCCGAGGATACCGACGACGGCACAGGCAGTCAGATCGAGAGGTATCGCAGCGTCGTGGACATACTGCGAGACAGCCTGGACGCTATGGGAGAAGGCTGCGGGAACGACTGGCTCATGTTCCAAAACGCGCTAGACTGGGACGCCATCTGCGAAGAAGAATATGAAGATCCACCCGCTCGCTTTTTCAACAAGTATGACGAATACGACTCTACACCAAAGCGAAAGTGGTACAAAACGGCAGAGCTCTTTCGCTTTGCGCGAGTACAGCACGTGCGACTGGGCGATAGAGGCTCAAGGAAATATATCGAGAAACAAGCTCTTCGCGACTACATCAGAAGGGGCCAACGTATCCAGACCAAGCAGATCAACTTCGCCTGGAACTTCCTCCCTAGTACCACACCCGCGCATAAGAAGCTCATAGGTAAGAAGCACACTTATACCGCCGCACACGCCGAAGCGCTCCGCAAGACAGATAAACTACGTAAGCTCAAGTACGAAAACCAATGGCCGCACAAGTACGAAGTAGTTGCTGGGGACGGACTGGTAGGCGAGATGGGCATTCGTCACCCTAAGCGCTGGATCCTGGCGAGTAACGAGTACGACGAGTACAATGGTCTGATGGGGCGGTCGACTGCGACGGAAGATGTGGAGAGCAAGGGTATTGGGATGCCGCTTTGGAAAGTGAGGAAGCAAAGGGCTAAGAAGGTGAAGGGTGAGGAAGGGATTGTGGATAAAGTTCAGGGAGACGTTGAGAACGAGGACAAGAACGAGGACAAGAACGAGGACAAAGACAAGGACGGATACGAGGATGGGATCGACTTCCAGGCTGTGATTGAGGACAAGAAACAATTCAGGATAACCGATTTCTGGAGGAAGGTATAGCCTATCAGGGCGCGAACATAAGATGCGTCGATGGAGTATGTATTCATGGACTCTTATACTTCTGTTATAGCAGCAGAAGTGGAGATAACATCGATAATGTCGAGTAAGCTTTTCGGATCTGAAGGAAGAGTTAAGATGAGACCGCCAAGGTGCTGGGGTTCAGATCTCTACTGATATCTTAATATCAGCATCAATAAAGCCATCAAACATGTGACCTCTCTAATCCTAGCCCCAAAAACAACGCTGACGTGATGTTCCTGTTGAAATTGCGAGTTGCTCTCAATGTTATCGACGGAGAAATGAAGACGCCGAATAATACGCCGAGGATGCCGCTTCTTCATCAAACCAAAAAAATGCCCTAAAACCATCCTTGCACATCATGTACAACTTCCTTCCACAAGCCGCCGACCAAAATCATCTCCTGACCAGAACAAAAAAGAAACAGCAGCCAGCGCATTCCCCAACACGTCTGTCGCTTAAGCACCCCACTTCTTGACCGCCTCTCCCAGCTCTTTCGTCAGCCCTCTTCTAACAGCCAAAAGCTCTTCTTTTGCATTTTCGGCCTCTTTCTCGCTTCTCTCGACTCTACCTCTGAGCTTTTCGACTTCGTTTCTTAATTCTTTCCGTAGTTCCTTGCTTGCTTCTTCCACCGCTGTTAATCGATCGACTTCTATCCGCAGCTTTTCGCCTGATGTTTCGACGGATTCTAACCGCTCTTTCATGGCCATCATTTCTTTTCTCATGTTCTCGGATTCTTTCTTCAGGGAGTCGGATTCGATTTGCAGTCCTCGGTATGCGTGGGATTCCTTTTCCATACGCTTTTGGAGGTCGGTCTTTTCTGTTTCTAGGCTGGTATTTGAGGCCTTGAGACCGGCATTTTCATCTTTGAGATGTTGAATTCGATCTGTTAATGCGCGATTGACGCGCTCTGGTGCTGGACTGCGTGGACTGAGAATGGATAACGGTGATGGGACTGATGTTGAGTCTTTGAGATTCGAGGGTGGGACAATTTGCTCGCTGACGGTGCGGCGATGTTTCTTCGGACGAATAGCCGATGCAATGCTGGGGTAGTCTTCATCGCGTTCGCGTTTGATCTTGACACTCAAGTTGTCTGTTGCTGCGCGTTTGATGGATGGCGGCTGGATTTCTTCGGTTATGGATCTCGATAACGATGCTGTCTCTGGTCAGTACATTCACCCATCAAACGACAATCAATATCGACATACAGACGGTAGATGATCGCTTTGGCCGGACAGCCATCGAATCCTTTTCAATGGGCGTACTGGGCTCTGATTTCCTCGACGGCGGCAGCAATGGTCTTTCCCCCTCGTTCTGCACCCACAAACATGCGTCTCGAAAATTCCTGGTAAACATGGTAGGATCTGATCTTGTCCGACATAACTCCTTCACGTGGCCAGCAGCCAAGAAATAGTAGAGAATGAGGGCCGAAACACGATGGATGGCTTTGGAGCCTCCGGTATCGTCTCCAACATCACAAAAAGGTGCATGAAAAGCAACAGTACTGGTACTATTCACAGCTTGCAACTCGTGTGCGCCGTCCTCCAATTCGGTAATGCGATAAAAGCTGACCTCGGCCTCATCTTCGTGGACGTGCGCGGTGACCCGATCTATGGGTTCATCGTCGTCGCCCGCGGGGCCTGGCGCATATCCGCCGATGACAAGCAATTGCTTGTGGGTGGAGCGACCGAGCCCTCGCCAGATGGCTCTACTGATGGTGAAGCTCTCGTCGAACTGGATCCAATGCAGTCTTGCGGCGCGCGGCAAGGCGCGAAAGGACGCGGCAAAATTCGCACGCGCCCATGCTTGGACATTTTCGTTTGTCAGGGGCGATCTTGTCTCATGGAAGTCGGTCATTGTGGCGATTGATTGGCGTGGTGTCACCCGTTGTTGCGCTGGATTTCAATGGGGCACGCCTCGATTCGCAGAAGCGGAGGCTGCGCAATTGCGGGTCGTGGGGTGGTAACGAGCTGGTGCTGTTTTTGGTCGCGGTGAAGAATTGTACGACGAGCACAGGTCGCCGCCATTGAAGCCCGTTGGTGGTCGGATCACGGCGACATTGCTCGAGAAAGCTGTGTAGAGGTTGTCGCAGGCAGAAGTCAGGCGGGAATCCTTCCGCTGCCCGTTATTTGCGGGGCTGGCAGTGGCTGGACGACTAGAACGGAAGGTGTGCAGCGCAACCCATTTTAACACATGCAAGACGGCCACCATCCCAATCGTCATCGCACATTTGCATGCTTCAGTGTTTTGCATCCATCGCGCTGCATATCTAGTTCTGGACTTGCGCGATAAGGGTACTGAGCGTCCGTAAAGCTCTGGTTCCGGGTACCGAGGTACCTCTTGTTGTCGAGCGCATCGTGCGCTTAGCCCCGAAGAGACCTGATACACTTGGCAATAGTATCAAAATAGCTAGAGCTGGATTAAGGTTGCAGGTGCGCCGGACAAGGTTCAGGATGGTCCTGGTCAGGCCAGGCGATGAGTTCATCGGCAGTTCACGGATGCTTGCGCTAGTGGTCGAGACCATCATGTTCCTCATGTTGTGCATATGCTATGTATAGGGTGCGTCGAGAATTGCAATTGCGTATGCTTATATGATAGCAGTGAATACCAGTGGATGCTGAAGTGTGATACAGGTCGTCTCTCCTATTCTCACGACGGTCAATGGGTACCGTGGGGACTGCGGACTTGCAAGCGAACGAGCTGATGCCATCTTACAGCACATTTGCTTTTTTCCAGTGAACGATCGATCGTGCTATTTCATAGTGAGGTGTGTTTTTAACGTTGCGTGCCACGGGGTTCTCACGTGTCTTGGCGCCTAATTGGGCAGTCCTACGCGTCTACGTCATCGCCTTTTTTTCTGCCACGCGCGCCTCGTGCTACAGCTTTCACAGTCACCCTGCGCACCTCCACTCTGACCTTTCAACGCTTCCTAAGCATTGCTTTGTTTGCAGTCATCCTGGCCCTCTTCCTCAAAGCGCCCTTCTCGCACATACCGACGATCGCGATGCCCCGCCGCAGCGCAACCTCGTCGGCTTCCACCGATACGACCACCACTACAACGCTCCCGGAGAAGGTCCAATGGCCAACAACATTCACAGACGGATTACCGCTTCCTAAAATTGTCGTTTTCGACCTCGACTACACGCTATGGCCCTTCTGGGTTGACACGCACGTCACGCCTCCGCTGAAGCCTGTCGAGGGCGGCCTGAAGGTCAAGGACAAATATGGCGAGGGGTTCGGGTTCTACAACGATGTTGGCGGCGTATTAGAAGCAGTAAGATACCTTGATACTACCCATTCACATCCCAAAGCTGACGTAACGACAGCTCAAACACAAGAACATCCTCATCGCCGCTGCCTCGCGCACGTGCGCCCCCGATCTCGGTCGCGAAATGCTCAAGCTCCTCAAAATACCCAGCGCAAATGGATCTTCCTCACGCGCGATAGACTACTTCGATCACATGCAAATATATCCTGGTAGCAAGACGACGCACTTTCAAAGGATACATCGAGACAGCGGAATCGAATACGAGGAGATGCTCTTTTTCGACGATGAGAGCAGGAACAAGAATGTGGAGGTTCTGGGTGTGACTATGCAGCTTATAAAAGACGGTGTGACAAGAGATGAGATTGACAGAGGTGTGCAAAGTTGGAGGAAGAGGAATGGACGGACAAAGGCGCTGGAAGGCTGAGAGGACAGTACCTATGTATTTGGTATGGTTCCAGCAGCATGAAGAGACGAATGAAATGAGATACCCATGACACATCCAACCCCATTCGAATCGTACGAGGCAAGACGCCATCCTCAGCCTGACCCAGCCTACAATATCGCGTCTTGCCGTGCCGCCGCCTGGCAGCCTATCACTTCATGCTGACCACGAATACCCAACGACATATGCTGAGGCGTCCCGTCAGATCGATCCAACGCACATGTCGCTTCAGACCCCCGCCTTACACATGCACATTAAAGTGCTGTGGTGGCTGCTAGAGGACAGTCAGACTTGGCATTCGCAGCCTTGTGTCCCCATGCGGCCGCTTCTGGTCAGTACACATCCACAGCTTTCTTACATGTCTTATAATAGCGCTCCCACAATGTCGGTGTGGCAAGGCATTGCGGGCCGCCCCTATGCAGAAACAACTTGCAGAGCCGCATCAGGCTATGTAGTGCTTCTGTACCATGCCTTGAGCTGACACAACGGAGGCTGTGGCTGTTTTGTTACTAATGAAAATGCACGCAGATTAAGCTAGTCTCAGGAAAGTGAACCCGTAATGCGGCTCCGGAATCTTCACCGTTCACGGCCGTGAGTTTTGGCCAACAAGGGCACTACACGCAAGGCCTGCTTACGCCGTACTCCGTATCGTACCACGCCGTATCGCTTCAGGTCAAACGTGCTACTGAATTTTCCAAATGGACTTGACGATAGATAGTATTATGCGGCCGTTTCTGGACAAGGCTCTGCACCGTATATGTGGCTCTCCTTCGAAGTCAATGCCACCATGACCACATCTGTACGTTTCCGGCTTGAATTCTGCAGTGTTTGGTACGTGCGAGAAAATACAGATTTCCAGTGTAGTCCAATCTGCACGAAGAGTGGAATGAAACAAGATACCGGTGAACTTTCAATCCAATTGAGATCGCACGGAGGAAGGTCTTTCCCGTGGCCAGGTACGAGTGCATCTTGGCTTCGGCACAGACAGCTTCTCCATCACTAATCACACGATATGTTCACACACTCTGCATATTTACTAGGTCAATCATGGAAATTATTTCTAGTCTACGACGCCGCGGGGGGCCGTGCTGCCGCAGCCTGGCAGCTATTTGCACGATGTCAGCCCATTGCTGCCTCTTGATCACAAACACCTGACTATTCAGTACTAGAGGTTCGCCTCGAGATCCACTCAATGTATCTGGCCCAAAATACCCCGCCTTTTACTCTCGACAGTCTTAGTGTAAACCACTTCGCGTCCCTTGCTTGGCCGTTTCTGGGCAATGCTTCTCCATAGCTTGTTGGAAGTCCTACCATAACTCTGTTTGAGTATCGGTACAACCGTCAGCTTGACGCAAAGCCTAGATGACCATCACAGAGCAACACCAGGCTGCAGTCCGAGTCAGACTGATGCTCTTTTTCGCCGAGCTTGATGCGTAAGCAACTGTGGTTTCGCATCAGGCTGCGTCGCGCCTCGGAACTACACGCTTTTGGCAGACCCTTTCAAAGCTTGTCGTGTTTTGAACGGATACTAATGCACCTTTAGTAGGCTAATGCCGGGGCTGTACGGCCGTACGCATGTGCGCTACGGCCCGCAAACTTTTACCACCCACCACTACGAACCTGGCCAATAAAACAATATACAACCGGCTTGCTTACACCGTATTATCATCGTTTAACTCCATCATACCGGATGTGCTACAAGTTTGTGCTGCTGGATTCTGCGATCGACCGGATCAGGCATTTATTCTTGATCGACGCTCCTCCGAAGCCGACGTGTTTTTTGACACATTTATACGTTTTTGGCTAGAACCGGAGGACCTTCCTGTTGTATCACTCGTTAGCAATGTGATGTAAGTTCTCACATACATCCCATAACGCACGGCCGTGACTACCGCGTCGATGTCCAAGTAAGAAGGTGTACTGCGTCTGAGATAACCTCCGCTTTCAAGCACCATGATCTGTAAGCTTCCACTAGCTGTTCCCTCTTCACATCACAAAAAGAAAGAATTCTTAGGGTTATCTAACGAACACTTTAGAAAACAGGATCTCCAGATCGGAGTTGTGACCGAAGCACCTCCATCAAGAATGTGGGAGGCCTCATTACAAACACGCATGCCTTAGGTCATTATGCACATCAGCAGTGATACACCTCCTCGGAGACCCTCGTCGCCAAAACGGTAAGGATAGTATAGTGTAGTAAGATGGGGGCCGGCGTGTGCAGGTCCTCCAGTACAAGAGCATCTCGTCTATAAATACTGCGTCTGCACGGTGATTGAAAGATATCATCCACATCAACCTTCCATCCGATACCAACACAAACACTCAGCAACCATGTTCGCCAAAATCGCACTCGCACTTTTTGCTCTTAGCAGCACTGCTCTGGCCTACTCCGACAAGTAAGCCACTTTCCATTCCCTACCCCTTCTCACACCACGTGCTCTCCTTTCCCCATTAGCCTCAACCATGCTAACCCTCTCAGCTGCGACGGTTCCAGCCGCTCCCCCAATCTGAGCGAATGCTACGTTGGCATCGCCAGAATCGACGTGAATGCCAACTACAACGACGGCCAGGAGTTCTCACAGGGTAGCTGCTTCATCAAGTATGCAACCAACGGCTCTGGTGCGCAGGCAGTGAGGGGCTCGGTTATCAAGGAAAAGGCGGAGTACATCTTGGCTCACTGTGGAAAGTCGCATGGGAGCTATGGAACTGGTAACTGTGATAAGTGCCATGTCACGGTTAACTACCGCAGCTAGAGGAGGATGGAGAGATGCTTTGGAACTTGGGGGAGGAACTTGGGATATGGTCTAAGGGCAATCTTTATTTATTTACACGGTCTTTCTTTACACATTCATTCAATTGAGAACTAGGTAGTTTACCTAGTGTTCAATCAAACAAACCCATGTGCTTCACACCCAGGGAAGCTGAGATGACATCGAATTACGTGCAGCGTTGCAGCAATCTGATGAGGACTTGAAAGCATCGCCGCACTACCATAACTCACTACAGGCAGCAGCAGGCTACCGAGGTGTCATGTTGATTGAGCCGAGAATTACAATTTGTACCGGCCGAAGGATGCAGGTGGGGCGCGTCACTCCCGCACGGGTCAGCACACCCACCTCGACCTCTAGGCTTCCAAGGATTGTGCTTGACATACCTAGTCAAGCTCCTGTGTCGCGCCATCCAAGCACCTGGTTACCTTCAATTTGTTCCGCGTTATCTGTCTTGTGAATATCGCGAACCCTCATCACCGCCTTCAGATCAACACCAGATGGCGGAGCAGATACCTGCGGGCGTGCTTTGGTGCCGCCAGTGCAACAAGCCTTTCACCAAACGTCAGTGTCTTTAACGTGCTGCTCGAAGTATGCGACAACGGTCATCAGACTGACTGTTTGCGAAGAATCAACGTTGAAACGTCATGGATACTATTGTCGGTCCAACACGAAAGCATCAGTGCCGAGACGGCGATCATGTGTTGCTTGCGCCAAGTCGAAGACCGCCTGTGATAATATAGTACCCGGATGTTCACGCTGCATTCAGAAGGGTCTCATCTGCCAATACCCGTCCAAATCTGCAAGGCAAAAGCGTGACACTGGGCGTCGAGCTACGTCCAACGATCTGTATAGTCCCCGTGACAGTCATGTAAATTCGACCGTGCCAACAGTGGCCGATCAAACTCATGGTCTCCAAGCTACTACACCAGGCAGCGATGTCCCCATACTCTTCGACGATATACCGTGGAGCCTCGACGATATGACGGCCTTTGATGGTTACACGCTACCTACGTCTCAGTCAACTTTTCCTCTAGTCACACCATCTTCAGCGGCATCAACCAGCCCGACGATCACTTCGCCCTCTCCATTGTTACTGGAAACAAAAGATTCAATCTCCCACGAACAGAATGCACCTACTCATCCGCGGGACCGGAACCAGAGACAGCAGTTGTTAAGCTTTTCCATCTCACCGGCCCCTAGTTTGAACGTTCGATCAATGATACAACGGCCGAAGACGCACCAGGGAGCGGAAAGAGCGGCCAGCCTGGTCTTCTACACATTGAAATCTTACCCGCTGATGCTGCGACAAAATACCCTGCCACCTTTCATACACCCGAGCTACGTGTCTTTTACGGATGAAGGCGCAACGACTGAGCCGCTTGAGAATTGCATAGCCTTGATACTTATGATGGCGAATGGAGTCAAGGGAAGCCGGAAGTTTTTCTGGCGGAACGTGAGAATCGAGTGTGAACGCATCTGTGACCAGAACCAATCCCTCAATAAATGGGAGCTACTTGGTGCTATGCAAGCGCTTTCAATATACATATTGATTCGTCTTGACGAAGGCGAGACTGAGCACAATAATCTGGACTATCTTTTAGAGAGGGCGGTCATCGTGAGTATACTGCACCCGTGTGTCCAAGTTGCATCTCTAACAATTTCGATCCTAGCTCGTGGCAATACAGCTTTCTCGCGACGATTTCGATTGTTATATGCATGACGTACCATGTCGCAGCAAATCAGATAACAGCTGGCAAGACTGGGTCTACAAAGAATCTAGGCGAAGGTACATTGATCATCCCCAGCGCCGTTCCAGAATCCACTCGCTAACAGCTCTGACAGACTCGCAGTCATCTATCGCATCCTAAACAAGCTCGTCTTCTTCGACCCAGCAGCCATGTGCGACATGCCCACTGAGTTCGTAATCGCGCCTCTGCCATCTAAACGGCAACTCTGGGAAGCGAGGGATGCGAATGAGTGGCAAATACAACGGCAAAATGAGCCGCAAGAAGAAGTATCATTTGCACTGGCTGTCGACGGTGAGATCGTCAAGCTGGACCAGGGTCGGTTGTCCTGCCAAGATGCGTGGTTGCCATGTGTTCCGTTAGATAACGAGGCACCTCCTCAAACTCACGCGAGTAGATCTAGTCGTAGTGCGGCCTGCTGGGCCGAATGGTGCTCTGGTACGGACAGCATGGGTGGGTTGATCATGCTTACGGCCTCTATGGCATAGCGATATGGCTTGATGGCTTCTACCGAGATATACCAACAGTGAAACATCGATGAGTATTCATGTACAAGTATGCATGACATACCAGCCGGCAAAAGCGCCACCCCATCTGAACAGAATCAGTGCGGCGGGTTTTCACTAGTGTCGGGCGGAACAATTTATACGCCAAGCGGGATTTGTGAACTCCGCCATGCGATTCCCTCTCTTTCCCCAACCAGGGAACAAGAATATTATAAGAATGATGGATTGTCCTCCCTTACGAGTACTCAGGATATTCGCACCCTTCCAAGTGTTATCAGTCGCAAGTTACGCGGCAATTTATCCTTTGTTCTCCACCAAATCACATCCGCGTTACCATGGTGTCCGACACTTCTCCCTTTCCCTCTCCAGTCAAACGCTGGCACAATAAAGCCCAGCCAGCCGGCGACCCTAGCCTCCCAGTTCTATCTCAAAAGGGAAAATCGATACTCGTCACCGGAGGAGGCAACACGGGCATCGGAGGAGAGACAGCACGCTTCTTCGCTCGCGCAGGTGCCGCGCGCATCGGTCTCCTAGGACGTCGTGAAGGCCCTCTTCTCGAGAACAAAGATATCATCGAGAAGGAATATCCCGGCACAAAGGTCTTCATCCAAAGCACTGATGTAACCGACGAGGCTTCAGTCAACTCGGCCTTTGGCAACTTCGCCAAAGACGGCAAAATCGACACACTCATCCACGCCGCTGCAGCTATCGGCCCAACCGAGAACTTCGCTGACGTTGACGCGCACAAGTTCCTCAAAGGTATCACCGACAATATTGAGGGCTCTTTATGGGTGGCTAAAGCTTTCATACGCCATGCTGCACCCGATGCGCACGTCGTTGCAATCAACTCCTGGGGCGCGCATTTGAGTCTGAACGATGCTTATGCCTCCTACTGCGTCGCTAAGATGGCCGCTTACCGCTTGTGGGACATGGTACTCCTTGCGAAACCTAATCTCAGCGTCTTCCATACCCAGCCTGGCGTTGTGTTGACGGAGATGAACCGCAGAGTCGGCGGGGCAGATAGCTTCAAAGATGTCAAGACTGATGATGGTGAGTTCTATGATTCTACTGCATATTGCGATGAGACTAATTGTTCTTTGTATAGTCACTCTTCCAGCGAGCTTCAATCTCTGGCTCTCCACCCCAGAGGCTCGCTTCCTCAAGGGCAAGTTCTTGTGGTGTAATTGGGATATCGACGACTTGAAGTCTCGTTCTAAGGAAATTGAATCGGGAAGGCTACTCAACATCGACCTCAATGGATGGCCATTTGGGGCGAATGCGAACTAAATGATGATAGCACAAGGCAGAAAAGCGTTATCTATACCCAGCTTGTAAACTACAAAGATTTAGATCTATGATGGGGCATATTCCAGGCAACAAACTCAAAGTGATTGGGTGGAGTAGCGATGACGTCACGTAAGCAACTCCACAACCACCACCTGCAGCAACTCCGGCACGATGCCAAGCAGGCCCCCAATACGCCCCGGTGGCCTTGCACAACTAGCAACAGCCAACAACAAAACAATAAATCTTCCCCAGATAACAAGATGACTGTTCATTCCTCTTCTTCTCTCGCGCCAAGTGCCATTGCGGAACCATCGCTCCTGCCATGTCACTCTCCATCGAAGAGAAGCTCCCCACCGAGCTTCTCGAACAAATAGTATCATTAGTTCCCCGCAATTCTCTCCTCAGCCTATGCTTGACTTCCAAAACGCTTAGTCAGCTCGCTACGCCATGCCTATACTCGGAGATATACCTCAGGGAGACCGACAACCTTGCCGCTCTCGCATACTTGGTTTTCACTTCCCCCGCCCATGCCAGTCTGGTCAAATCCTTCATCGTGCCTCGTACCTGGGCAGATGTTGAAGAGAGATATTCCAATGGGTTGTGGCCAGGATCTGACGACCCTGGAGTCCACGATGTCTTGAGGAAGAAGTGCTCAGAGTATACTTCCAGCGTCGAGGAGGCTGAAGATGTTTATGGGAAGATTCAGTCGGCCAAGAATGAGGATGCTGTTATGGCGCTACTGCTCCCCAACCTCCCGAAACTTCGACGATTGAACATCAATTGCGACCTGTATGGCCACGATGATTTCGTCTCGTGGTTGCCCAAGGTCATCCGTGGGATAGCATCGCGCCGCGACTTGTCAGCAGATAATTCCCCGAGTCCTTCGAAGAACGGACAGCAGGGCATACAACCGCACGCAGTGTCAGAGTCTATCGATATCCTGATTGCTGGAGGAGACGACAAATATTCAAGCGCCACCAATCATGTAGCAGTCTTCTTCTGTCTACCCAATGTGCGCTCTATATACGGATGGAAGCACGGCGACAGCGAAAGCCACGATGAGAATGATGTGTTCCCGAAACTGGAGCCACAATCATGCCCAGTAGAGTATCTGGAATTGCGATGCGCAAAACTTGACCTGGAGAATTTCCAAGGCATGTTGAATGCGACAATACCTGGAAGACTCAAGACGTTCAACTACGAACTCGGAGGCTCGTGGGCGTGGTGCGATACAGAGCATCCAGCGATGATGCGAAGTCTAGAGCCACATAACGAGACGCTGGAAGCGCTAGGGCTGAGCCACGAAGACTTCTACCCTTACCTTGACGACGAAAGTGCCGAGCGTGGGAAGGCTTACCCATGTTCCTTCTCTTCTTTCGCGGCTCTCCGGCGCCTCAAAGTCGCTCCCGTGTACATATGGGGCCACCGCGGAATCACTGACGAGGAAACTTTCAAGACCGCCGAATCGAGAGATAGACTCTGGTCCACGCTGCCCAAGAGCCTCCAAGAATTCTGGATCACACGAGCCCAGAACCAGCATATAGACCACAAGGAGGTCGTCGAATTCGTCCCGAGATGCTTACTTCCGGCACTTGATCTGGTGGTGCAGAACAAGCAGACAGCTTTTCCCCAGCTTGTGCACCTGCGTGTCGAACTTCCGCTCCTGGACTGGAAAGACGAATGGCTGGATAGCTTAGCATCGACCTGCAAAGCCGCTAACGCCCATCAAATCCGAACAACCATCATATTGTGCGACATGTTTGACAAATACGGACGTATAACTTCGGAGCGAGACTGGGGCTGGAACGAAGACATCAAGTGGGAGCCATCGCGCTATAGTCAAAATCGAGAATGCGCAAAAGTATGGGTTGAGGCTACACCGCAGCGACAGGAACATCTAGCCTCCATACTCAAAGACATGAAGCCTCAGTTCCAAGAAGAGAATGAGCGATACAAGGAAATGCAAGCTGAGATCAACAAACTGGGCGCGCTATGCACACATTGTCAGCTCAGTGGAGAGTACGATTCCAGCAAGGGCATCGGCCTACCCGAACGTTTCATCGACGAGAGGTTAGGAGACGAACCGTACTGGAAAGGTCGAGGTGGTAAACCTGATGTGGTGACATGATGCCAATCACGACGTCACGAATAAGGACCTTCCGGCTTTCCGTATACCTGCAAGGGACAGCCTCGCTGCATAATTGCGACGTGTAAGCCGTCCAGGGCTAGCTGCCCTACTCATGGTGACGTCGTCCTCGTGATTGAGACCACACCGGAAGTTCGTACCAAAATCGAGAACCGCGAAACACTCCTACCTTGGACAAATAATGTAAGCCCTAGAGTTAGTGAGCCGAGATGGAACCGAAGAAGGACCTTACAGGGAAGGTAGCGGTAAATGTTTTGATTACCGTATTCGTCAGGTACATGCGACTATGTGTCTTGATGTATGCTCTGGAGCGTGTTCACCGCAGCTTGTTCATGGTGGTAGTCGTTGGCACTACATGTGTATATCATATAACAGTAGATCGCTACCAACGGCGCTAACATGTGTGGACCCTGGGCTGAAACAAACCAGTAATGCGCCACCAAAAGTCTGAAAACGCACTCTAGGGCTTGCATGATATGCGCAGCGAACAATCGCATTCACCAGTACGATAGCCAAGCCTTCTCTGTGCATCTCCAGCCATCAATCCAAACAAGTAATATCTACGAAACTACTATGTCACTTCGTGTATCCATTCATCCTTAGTCAGCCACCCCAGCACCACGGGCGCACGTCGGGACCTTCGTGTTCATCTACATCTTACCGGGTATTTCTACACTCCAGTCCACACCTAGTAACGATCCACGTAGCCCAACCGCGACAAAGCGGTGGCGGTCAAATCTCCAAGCACACATCAACTCACCGCAGTAACGACGACGATGACGAGAGACATTTCGATCCGACCTACTTTTCCAAGACTGCACCTATACATCGGGGGGTTAACAGCATTACGACACATTCAACCTTCACTCCGCAGACGAAAAGAATGTACAATTAGGATGTGTGATGTACATGAAGAAAGCGAGCATGGAGTAGGCGCAGTATGTACAAAGACAACAATGATGACGTTGCTCAGTTTGCTCAGCTGCTATTCAGCCTACAATACCCAGGTTGGCGACGACACCGTACGACGACGGGCCGAAGAAAAGGGAGAGGGATCCACGCTTGCGTACGTACTCGATGCGATGCGATTCGAAACAAAGCAGAGGAAGAGGAATACAGTAAGCAGTAACAGACGTTGTACGTAGGTCGGCGTACACAGGTAGATAGCGAGTGTGTATAAATACATACTCACACCACTACCACGACCATCATCGCCATCTCATCTAAAAAAGTTCACTGTTATCCACACAAGCCGACCACCACAACAGCTAACTATGAAGCTCACCGCCATCCTCACCACCCTCTGCGCGAGCACCGCCTTTGCTATAGACATCTTTCAAGCTGACGGCTCCATCAAAGCGATGGCAGAAGGCGATCTGCTACCGCGCCAAATTCCAGGGTGCTGCTCCACCAACTTCAATGGGCCTTGTGTTTGCCCACCTGCGCCTTGCACTAGCTGCGGTGTACGTAATTCTTACTCGTCTCCAGAAGAAGAAGAATCTAGAGAGCCCTGGAGGGGACGAATGAGAGGGATAAATGCATCAAAGAACGCTTTGCTAACTTTTCTGGGTATAGCTTGAGTGCTGCGGGTTTTAGAGAGGTGTTGATGTTCTACGGTGTATGGGGACTTCTAAAAAGAGGGTGGCTTTGGATAGAGGAGATATTGAGACGTGTGGATCGAGCGGCCCGAAACGACGTGCATCAATTCACCGGTGGGAGGGCGGGTAGTCGAAGATAGTATGTTGGAGGTATGGGGTAGATGTAGAAGCACTCAATCCATTATTCGCGGTTCATCCTACTATGGTTCCGCTTTACATCACTAATACATTGACACGTCTACACAGTTACTTACCATACTCACGATAGTTACAAATGAAGATCACCGCCGTTCACCACACTCTGAGCGAGCACGAGGGACGTATGAGATGACTGCCAAAGGGGTGAGAGGCAGAGACGTGACGAAAGAGCAAGAGGATACCGAGGGCGTGATAGTCTATCACTAGCATGAAACTGGACGGCTGCGCTGATGTCTACAAGAGCGTAAAAGTACAAATTCCAGTATTTGGAAATTTATGTGAGTGTTTTAGTTTTTCCCCTTGGAACGGAGTGCCACAAAGATTGGAGCGAATCGCTACGAAGCAACAATAACATTGACACAGACAGTACTACGACAGACATACCTTCTCGCATCACTGCCCACGGACCGCCAGCCGCCAACCACCCTGGGCCACAGCCACGGGTAAATATCGGGACTGTCCTCCAGCCCTACGTCTCCCAGTTACCTGGTCCGAAAATCAACACATGGCAGTGACGTCTGCACACCACCACCACCAACAATAACAACAATACCATTGCATTGGCCATCTCATCCCATTCCACCCCACCTCCTCACCGCACCGTACCAAAAGTCGCAATGTGATGCCCAGCGGCGCCCAGATGTGATTCAGCCTCAAGTGCTCCTAGTCTGTAAATCACAAGAACAACGGACCGAAATGCAAGGGGGAGGCTCCACAGAAATGCGTACGTACTATCATGATGGACGAAACGAAATGGAACAAGGCGAGATGGAGTGGAGGCGATGTAGGTCGTTGTGCGTGTTGGGTATGGTAGAGTGTTTAGGGTGGGAAGGCGGAGTGTGTGTGTTGGGTAGGTATAAGTAGGGTGGTTGTCTGCCTATGTTTATAAGGGCAGCATCACTGTCTCGTCCACCTAAAATAACAATCTTGACACGTCCACCTACAACTATAACCTACCCATCTCAACCGCCATCCCACTTTCCCAACCATGAAGCTCACCGCCATCCTCGCCGCTCTCTGCGCGTCCACGTCCCTTGCCGCCACGAATTACGTGCTCCAAGTCGACGGCACGATCAAAGCCTACGGCGAAGGCGATCTAGAAGCTCGTCAGCAGTTCGAAAGCTGCTGCGCCACCAAGTTCGTGCCACCGTGCGGCTGTGGTTCCGACTGCCCTAGCTGCGGTGTAAGTACCCTACCTACTCCAGAGAAGAACCAGGACATTGCTAACAGTTTCGTGTAGGTCAGTTGCTGCGGGGTTTGAGTTCACTGAGACTGTATGGGAGGCTTAAAGGGAAAGAGTGATTGGGAACAAGGAATGCATAATGTACATATGTTTATATCAATTTGAAGGAGGTTCAACGGTCTTCCCACGTTGTCCAGATGAAAACGCCAATATACGTGAGAACATGTGCCAACGCCGTCGCTATGCAGTCAATAAACGAATAAAGTTCACTTTCTCATTCCAGAGAAATCTTTTAGGATGCCAATCATGTGGGTGTTGGTCTGCTTGCCACCACGACGAGGACCCTTCTTCTTCTTGTTCGTGGGGGCAGCGACAATGACCTTGGCTTGCGTGGCGGCTGTCAGCTTGTTGGCCAAGAGCGCCTTGCGCAGCTCGTCCGGGTTGTCCGGCACCTGGACCGAGTGCCACGCCTTTGCGAAGACGGGGTCCATGGGCAGCATGAGAGAAGGGTCATTGCCCCAGACAGTCTTTGGCACGCCGTCCTTAGCGCGTCGCACCAGCACCTCCTTCTTGTTCTCCATCTTGGTGATGTCGTCGGCCACGGTGGACCAGCCGTCCTTCAGGTCTTTGATCTGAAGTCCCATGGCCGACTTCTGCGTCTGGAAATGGCCTTTGAGCTGCGCACGGTCGTGAATGCTGAGCTTGCTCTTGTATTTGTACCGCTCGTTCGCAGAGTCCCAGCTGATCCTGTTGCCTGCGTTGTCGGCGCGCATCAGCTGGCGCAGCTGTTCGCGCTGGATGTGGCCCGGCGGGATGTTGAGGTATTCCATGATGTCGTCGAAGGTGTGCCATTTTTCTTTGCGCTCGCGCAAAAAGTCATTGACATAGGTGAGGCGGGTGAAGACGTGCTCGCCGGTGCCTGTGTCCTGCGGCTGCGAGTAGACTACGGGGGGCGCTCCATCGGTTGGACGCTTGCGCTTCCCGCTGGCGGAGGAGCTCGAGGGTGTCGGCGAGGGGGCATTCATGCCCGTGGCCGAGTTTGCCTTGAGGAATGACATGGTGGTTGTAGTGGTACGAGTTGTAGATGCGGTTGGGCAGGTGCGTGGGTGGCTGTTGCCTGGTCGAGGATACCTGCTGTCGGCGGTCGAGTGTGCAGCGTCTAGCTAAAGAGTCGCACGGCAGACAACGGTGAAGGTCCGGTAGTAGTGAGCGTGGATGCGCGGAAGGTGCGGCAGGTCAAGGTGAAGGTAGTGAATGGAAGACGTCGAGTGCAGGCGTCGGAGAAAGATGCATATGTGCCATGACCTCAATCCTGGGAGGCAGCCGCGCTAGTGCCTGGCCCCTGCGCGAACGTCGTCAAACAACTGAACTCGCGACTTTGACCGCGGACCCGTTCATTGTTCGCGTCAACACCACCCCCCTCCTTTGTCTCTTTTCTCCCGGGACGCACTCGACCGACTCTCGAGAATGGTTCGAGGCCTGCAATAAACTAATACACGATAATGGCGGCGACGGTCGACGTCGGCTACCTGGCCGCGTCCTATTCCGTCCCAGAGACAACACTACAGTCATTACTATCCGAACCTACCGTTGAGCTCGTCCAGACGCTGCTCACCCAAATCGAAGTGAAAGCGCGCGCATACGATGACCTCCAATCGGAGAAGATTCGCACCGATGTCGAGCTTGAAGCCGCCATCCAGGGCGGAGAGCAGCGCGCGCGCACTTTAAAGGCCACCGCAGAGAAGGCGCAGAAGGAGGCCGAAGAATTGAAGAAGAAGCTAGTCCAAGAGGGTATGAGATGCATAGGCTATGCATATCCAATTAACACTGACGCGTTTACAGAAAATGCACGGCAAGAGGCAGAGTCGGCGCTGCACAACCTGCGCGCCACGGCTACGAGCTCGACGTCTGAGACGCAGGCGCTGGAGTCGCGCATCAAGACGCTCGAGTCCCAGAACCGCGACCTCATGGCCATGCACGAGACCAAGACAACCGCACACGACCGCCTCGCAAAGGAGCTCACCGAGCAACACCAGAAGTCGGTCGAGCTGCGCAAGCAGGTGTCGACTCTTGAGGAGAAGACGCAGTCGCTTGAGAGCGCTGCCACCAATGTCAAGTTCCGCGAGGCCAACCTGCAGCAGGAAATCGAGCAGCTACGCAGCAACAACGACTGGTACACGACCGAGCTCAAGACGCGCGCAGACGACCACAGCAAGTACCGAAAGGAGAAGAACGCCCAGATTGCCCAGCTCCAGCGCGAGAACGCTGACGCCTCCGAGACCATCGACACCCTGCGCCGCTCCGAGACGCTGTTGCGACAACACATTGAGGAGCTCAAGGGCAAGGCCGAGGAGGACCGCCTGCGCATCGAGGAGCTGGAGAATGCAGCATCAGCCGCCGAGGCCCACTTCCGCATCGAGCTCGATAGCGCGCGCCGCCTGTCGACGTTGCACCAGCAGAACAACGAGATGACCAAGAAGCGCTTGGAGCAGTTGCAGGCGGACAGCAGCCGGGTACAAGAAGAAGCCGCCACTGAGATTGGTCAACTACAGGCCGAAGTCGAGGTGGAACGCGAGAGGGCTGCCGAGGCCGATGCGCGCACTGCTGAGCTGGAGACGCTTGTCGAGACCCTCAAGAGCGACAACTCCGATCTTCGAAGCTCCGTCCGCGTCCCCGGAACACCCCGACACGGCATGAGCATGAACGGTGGCTTTAGCACGCCTGGCAGAGCTGGTTCGCCTGCGGTTGTCTTCTCCCCTGGCGGCTCGCAGCTCAAGACCGATGCGTCCAAGACTCAGCTATTGATCGAGAACAATGACCTCAAGAAAGAGCTTCGCAAGGTCCGTGAGAAGTTGGAGGAGAACACCGGTGTCCTCAACGACATGCTACAGGAGCTGGAACGTCACCAACCCGAATTCGACGAACTTCGCCGACAGAACGATGCCCTGAACGAGCAGAACAACGAAATGAGCGCGCTTCTCGAAGAAGCCATTGCCGAACGCGAGGCGGCACAACGCGACTCGCGCAAGGCCCTGGGTGACTTGGAAGGCGTACACAACGAATCTGCTCTACTGCGTCGCCAGATTCAGGACATGACGATCCAGCTGCGCACATTGCTATGGCGCCGCCAGGTTGAGGAGCAGGGTCTGGGTAGCCTCACAGAGGAACAACAAGAGTTCATCGTGAACGCCGTCGAGAACAACCAGGTACCGGACAAGCACGTACCAGACGACTCGCCCACGCACCAGATGATCACTAAGCACCTTATATTGTACAAGGATATTGCTACCCTTCAGCAACAGAATGCCGAACTGACGCGCACACTTCGACAAGTAGGCGACGAACAGGAGAGGCAAGAGGTCCGCATGAAGTCTGAGCAATACCAACAAGACATCGAGGAGCTTGGCCGCCTACGCTCCGTGGTCGCTGAGAAGGATGAAGAGATCAAGTCACTCAACGTTCGCTCGCAAACCCTCAAGACGGAGCGCGATATGTACAGCCGCATAGTTGGCGGTCGGGGTCAGTTGCCATCTCACTCGCAGTCAACATCCGCTTTCGCACAGTCTGTGCCTGCAGCCGGAGCTCCCTTGCTTCTCGAGAACGGCTCTTCGTCCCGCGAGATCCCAGAGTACAGCAAGCTTATCAAGGACCTTCAATCACACATTGACCTGCTCAAAGAGGAGAGTGCCACAGACCGCACTACACTCAAGGCGCAGGTTGATAGTCTGACCAAGGACAATTCTCAACTCCAGAGCGACAAACTCCGTTTCGAGTCGCAGGTGCGGCGAGAGCAGGACAGGTATGCTCGTCTTGAGGGTAGCATCAAACTGCTCCAATCCGAAAAGGACTCACTCCAGGAACGCTACAACAAGGTACAAGCAACCATGGCCCAACAGGACGATAGGCTTGTCAAGGCCACCCAGAACGCTGCGGAAGCTGAGGCACGTCTTCAAAGCTTGCAGGGCGAGATGGTACAGCTCAAGGCATCTCGGGAGATGTCCGCGACGATAGAGGCACGTCTCAAGGAAAGGAACCAGGAGTTGATGACCGAGCGCGATCGCTTGAGCAACATGGTGTCCTCGATTCAGAGTCTGCGCAACGAAGCTGAGTTGGCCACCGCGGAAAGCCGTCGCGAGTTGCAGAACACGGTGGACAAGCTTCGGACAGACTTGCAGAGCGCCGAAAGCAAGCTGGAGGACGAGATCGCCGAGCACAAGAGGGCCACTCAGCAACGAGACTATGAGCGAACCGAAACGCAACGACGAATCGACGACCTCATCGCAGCACGTAACAGTGCCGAAGTCAAGTCCGCGACCGCTGAAACGACACGCCACCAGTTGGAGCAACGCCTCAAGGAACTCCAGAACCAACTCCAGTCGTCCGAGGAGCGTCTGCAGGCTCTTCAACCACGATCGCAGGCCAACGATGAGCAAGATCCTGCCAGCCGCGAGGAAGAGCTGGCGGAACAAGTTTCAGATCTTAAGCGCAAGATTGAGCGCAAGGAAGAGGATCTGGAGGCTGTCACTGCCCAGATTGCCGGTTTCCAGGATATCGCCCAGGATGCTGAGAACCGATTGCAGACCTTCGTCGAGGCCCACGAACGGCTCCAGGAGCAAATCAACCTTGCACAAGAAGAGAAGGATGCTACTATCCGCGATCTGCAACAGCGCGTGGAAGACATCTCTTCTGAGCTTGCTACGAGCAGCACCGAGCTTACTGAACTGAGAGGAAAGCATGAGCAAGACACGTTGGTCCTCAGACAAGAGAAGGAAACCTTGGAAGCAGAGATCACCCGACTCAATAATGATGTAGCTGACTACAAGGCTGAGGCCGAGAACCAAACGCAATACGTCAAGACCCAGGCCGACATCGCCGAGCGCGCGCAGAAGGATTACGAGCACGAGTTCCAGAAGCACGCCGAGAGCATGACGAAGCTTCGGGAGCTGCGGGACGAATACAACCAGCTTCAATCCCAGATCACAGAGTTCAAGACGCAAGCAGAAGCTGCACGCACAACGCTGGAGCAGAGTCAAGAACACTGGAAGTCTACTGAGGGTCGCTATGAGGAGCAGCTTGCAGAGGCCAGACGCCGCCAAGACGACTTGAAGCAATACAACCAGACATTGCTCAAGCAGTTCGACGAATACAAAGAGCAAATCAACAGCTTGAAGAACGACCGGGGCGCATCGACTGGGGAGCCAAGCAGCACGGAGTCCGGCTCCAACAACCTCCAGGACATCGAGACTTATCTCCGCCGAGAGAAGGAGATTCTGGAAGTTCAGCTGAACCTGAAAGTGCAGGAGTCCAAGCGTCTCGAGCAGCAACTCACACACGCCCAGGGTCAGCTCGACCAGACACGAGAGAAGCTACTGGAAGAGCAAGCCAAAGCCTCAGGTTCGCAGAGCAACTCCAGCCTTGCACATCTCAACAAGAACCTCGAAGAACTCAATGTCTACCGAGAGAGCAATGCGACTCTGCGCAGCGAAAACACTCGACTCCAAGCCTCGTTTGCTGAGAAGGCCAAGGCGCTGGAGGATCTTCAGGCTGAGTTGGAACCCTTGCAAGTTCGCGTCACCGAACTTGAGGGCGAGCTCGAGCTCAATGTAGGTCACCTCAAGGCTGTTGAGGAGGATCGCGACCGCTGGCAGAAACGTCATCAGGATGTGCTCCAGCGATACGATCGCATCGACCCCAAGGATCTTGAAGACCTCAAGCAACAGATCGAAGACCACAGGGTGGAGCGCGATCAGGCATTGGAGCAGGTAGCCGGTCTTAACGAACAGATCACAGCTCTCACAAGCGAAGTACAGAAGGCAAATGCTGAGCGAGACAACATTAAGCAGGTCGAGAGAGAAAAGTTCCAAAAGACACACAATCAGCGCATGGGAGAGAAGAGAGCTGAGATCAATACGCTCACCGCAGAGCTCAAGGAGGCGCGGGAATCGAGCACAAGCTTACAAGCGGAAGTCGATCGCATCCGCCAGGAGCTCACCAACGCACAAGCCACAAGTGCGAACGCCGGACAATCTCAGGAACGAACGGTGGCACTCCAGAAGGAGTTGGAGCAGGTCCGCGCACAACTTGCAACGACACAGCAAGAACTTAATGCTACGAAGACTGCTCGCGACGAAGCCATTGCTCAAGCGAACACTTCTACTCAGGCAGCTGAGAATGCAGATGCGGGCGAGGAGGGTCAGATCAACGAAAACTCCGACACTACGACATCCCAATTGGCTCTTCTGCAGAAGCAGCTGGGTGTAGCTCAGCAGAAGGC